GTGCTCTGTGACTCGTTAGCCTTTGAAACGAAACAAAAGCTCGATCACATACTCAGCCTGGTCGGCTTCATTCAGCTCTACATCCCCAATCTTGGCTTCGTCATAAGCCGTCTTGTTCTGCTCGATGTCTTCCTCGATCTCCTGCCAGATCAGTTGTCTGACTTCTTCCGATTCTTCTTCGAACAACTCTCTCGCGACATCGCAGCGCAGCTTGAGGTGCTTGCTCAACGGAAGCTCGTCGTATCCACGATCGTCAAACTCCTCCTGCACCTTTGACTTGAATTTCGGGTGGCTCATATAAAACTGGAAGTCCGAAATGCGTTTGGGAGCGGCAGCGTCCTTTATGCGAAGCTGTTTCAAGAGGCTCTGGAAGGGATTGGGCTTGTCATGAAGGTTTTTCTGTCGACTGAACCATCCCATGATGCTCTAATTCATGCTGGTCAGGACAGTCGCCTTCACAAAGCAAAAAAAAACTTGCCGCTTCGGTATTTTCGATCATCTCTTTCTTGAGCTCCACTTCGGCCTCGTTTTCTGGTGCTCGCGCGAGCTTTACAAGCTCGTCGTCGTCGTCTGGCGGGTCTTGCGACAATGGGCAACGCCATGGCGACAGCTCCCAATACTGCGGGAAAAGTCGGTCCCAGATGCTCTTCCCCGACCCACGCTTTGGTCTCCTCCCCGTTTTCGAAATGGCCGCATACTCCTCCACCCAGGATTTCAGGAAGTTGAGCCGCTTGCCATGGAACTTTCCTTGGTTGCCGCGTTTCTTGTTCTTCCCCCGATCGACATCGCTCATAGGCTCCTCAAGATCGTCTGCCCTGTCGCGCTTCTTTTTAGTGGTCGACGGCGGCATTATGGATAGAATGAGAAGAGGGTCTCTGGATGGGTGAGGGGGAAGCGGAGCATGCGAGCAAGCAAGACCGCCTACCCCCCCACCTTCTCGCAGGAAGCCTACGCAACGTTTCAACCCGCGCTACCCCTCTCGTAGGTAAAACGAAGCCAAAGTCATGCTACTCGCCTCATGCACGTAAACGGCACAGCCAGCGTCATCAACCTACCTTGACCTTCAACCACCATGTCCGCTGCCCCCACCGCCACTGCCTCTGCCCCCACTTCCTCTGCCCCCCCCACGATCTTGCGCTCTGCGGCTGCCCAGTATGTCAGTGGTCACTTTTGACTGCTGCTCATTCGCTCAACTGTCTGACAGACTAACTCGACGCTCACGATTCGGTACTACGCCGTTAACGGGACCAGTGGATTACAGGCCTTCCCCATAACCCAGCGCCCAGGACGACCAGACACGCTTGGCCAGATGTTCGGCACCTTCAACGGCGTTTGGGATTCGACTCCGCTGCAATGCGGTGATTGCCCCCATGGCTGGACGACGCTGTGCCCCAAGAAAATGGAGAATTGTTTTACGATTATCCATCGCTGCAAGCACGACCGTCCGGATGATCGACTCGACGACGAAACAGCAAACAAAGCAATCTCCAAGCTCTTCCATACGGACCCACCGTTCTACCCAGTGGAGGGCAACGTCATCGTCCTCAAGCACAAGCTGCTTCCTGTCGTCCCGTTTTCGGAGCTCTCCCTCCCCAGCGCGCTGTATGCCGCCGAACCCATGAATGTCGAGGAAGCCGATGTTGCTCTCATCGACCTTTTCGTGCGCCAGTCAGTCTCGTCTTGCCTCCAGGCTCCGTTCTTTTATCTAACCCTTCTTACAGGTGGGCCTTTGGGGGTCCGTATGAAATCCCGGTCCCGCCTCGAGCATTTGAAATGTTGGGACAATGTAGCTTTGAATAGTCTAGTGTCGTTGTCGTTTTTTTTTCAAAAAAATTATTTTCATCGAGCAAACAACCCAAATTAGGAAGCCCGTGACTATCTGTGACAGCATGCGGCTTACTACTCGCTACCTTCCGAGCCTGACCAGTAGGCTTTTCAGGTCCCCGTCCAAGCCTTATGGCCGCTTTCTAGCCCAGAAGTGGGGGCGAGCTGGGTGCACAGCCTACATTCCCTCTTTCTCCTTGTACCACCACCTGTCCATGCCCGCCAGCGCCAATGTCGTCGACCCTCAATTCCTATGACGCCTTCTCCAACGCTCTCGCCGTGCTCTCTCGGTATTTATCATCTCACTCTGCCTTGTCCGCTCATCCAAGCTACACTGTTAGGACTGGACGCGTCACTCGTTCACAAGCTGCCATCTTTTCCTCAATCCCTCGCTTCCACGCCCACACCCACCCGTATCAGACACTATCCCTTGGCCTCCATACTGCCCGTTCAGACGGCGAAGCGATTGAGTCTGCTTGGTAACTTCCTCGTCTTGCTTGCAATATGACAGCTCACTATCCCTATAGGTCGCAGCAAGCGCCGTCTGAGCCAAAAGCCTCACCGTCGTCTTCTCGCGAAACATAATCCTGACGCTGGGGCGAATCACGGCCTGACTGCCGCTGACGTTGATCTCGATGCAAGCGGCACCGAAAAATACCGAACCTATATCGAGAGCCTTCCATATCAAGGTCAGTATCCTGTCTTGTGCGGCGTGAGCTTGTGGTTTATCTGACTTTTTGACACAGAAAGAAGGCAGTTGATACTGGATCTTCGTCGAACTCAAAAGATTCTGTACAACCATCGCTACCAACTTTGGAACAGGCGACGCGAGCTAGGGCGCTTGTGGGTGGAGGAGGAGGACTTAGAGGCTGAATTGGTCCTGCGACGTGCGATGGACGCAATCGACGAGCAGCGCCAGCTATTAAAGCGGCTCCACGATGATGCAGACGAGCAAGAAAATTGGCTACTCAAGCACACGACAGCAAGCCATTTCTCGTGGTAAACGGGGCGGAATCTTCTCACGTTGCGTCTCTCTGTCTACCTCTTGTTTACTTTACTTCTATTCCGTTTTTTCTTGTCTTCTGATATCGAGCACTATATCAGATCTTTCTTGTTTGTAACATTTCTACTCTACTGGAGAATATACTTTAATGCTTAATTGTGTAACAATGTGAGCTTGGAAGAAATGTGAGCTTGGAAGAGCCTCTGACTTCGTCGTCCTCGCTTGCGGTCACGTTATCCCCGACCCGCATCAAAAACTTCAAATACTGACAGTCACTCGAATGATATTTCGTGTCGGGCAACCTCTCTCATGAGATATAAAATATATATTGAAGCCCTTAATTCATAGGTTTTCAGTCCCTTGCAGCTCATACCATACACTCCTTGTAGCTACCCTTGGAAACATCAGCAATCAATGTCACGGAAATTTGTGTTTTGGTTTTGAATCTTTGAGAATGTCTAATTAAATGTAAGTTAAATAGCAGTATCATGAGTTCTCCTGCCCCCTCTAACCATATAGGTTTGGCCATTGTTTGATATAACAGTGTTTTTCGAGACATCAGAATCGACGTGAGGTGTCGCAAGCGCCATACGGGAATGTGACCCAGTTATCATTGACCACTACTTGCACATATGACCACACCCACACGACCTCGACCTCGTACACAGGAGGCTCCTCGGTTGCAAGGAGAGCCTGGACCGACTCAAATGTCTGCCCGGTGGGTTCTTTGTGAACGATTTATGATGAACTAAATGGCATTTTCCAGCGGTAGCTCAGCAACGGCATCGAGCACCACGAGCACAGAGCAGCTACTAGTAGGAGAAATCTACACCAACACTGACTTCCACGAGTTCTCTGTCTATCCTGGCTCAAGCTCTATATGCTACGATATTTCCTGCTCTTTCGACGCCCAGGCCAATGGTCGGTCACAGGCGCAGTCTTCTGGCCCAAGTAAGTCTGCCGGATTGTTCCTCACACTACTCTCATTCACTGCTCTCTTAGGTGACGTGTTGCGCTGAGCTGCGCTGTGTTCAGCATGAGATGGTCAAGGGATCCTCGTGCGTAGCTACTCGTCCGCTGTCTACGTCTCTGTTGTGTTGTACCTGCTATCATAGAACTTGAACGATAAGTTCTCGCTGTTGAAACTTCAACGAAGCCTGAGGCCCATGCTAACAAAGATCTATAATATTAATCATTTCAAAGTTCTTGGGGTGTGACGCTCCTCATTCTTAACCACGATGGCTCCAAAGACCAAACATCACACTGAGGCCGCAAAACGGGAAGCTCATCGCCTTCGTCAGCAGAAATATCGGGAAAGTACTCGGTGCGTGATAGTGGAGTTGCAGTTGTTATCGTTCTGAACTTTACATTGTTCCAGGGGAGCGCTGATGTCTAAAGCCTATGATGCCCATCGACACACACGCAAGGTGGCCAACCCTCTGCGTCTTCCTGCTCCGCCAGCATTGCTACTAGAACATGCTCGCTCAAGTTTTCGATGACGAGAAGGGCTTCATGTACTATTTCGACCAAGATTTCGACATCATGACCAGCGACATCAAGTGCTGGGTTGGATTCCCTTTTTCGATGCCGCAGAGACAGCCGACGACACTTTGGACCGCTTCACTGCTGATTACCAACGGGAAACCCGTCGTCTCGGTAGCCCTTCACGGATACTACTTGCAACGCGAAAGCCAGCAGGAAACTGAGCTTTGCGGCCGAATCAAAGCTCTGCGCAACGCTACATACGCACACAAGACTCGGGTTCAGGCTTATGAGGCCGCCCAGCAGCGTTGGCGTGCATTCTTTCGATGGGTGGAACGCTACCAGCCCGAAACATTCCCCAGAGAGCATTGTTTGTTCATGTGTAACTGGCGTTGGATAGCACGTCATGCTACTCGGCTGTACTACTGTCAATATGCAGAGGAATAACAAGCACGAAGGAAGAATGAGCTGCAAAGCCCTGTGGATCGAGCGAAACGAACTTGAACAATTTGAAAAAATCTTATTGACTGTACTCCCCACCGACTTGTAATATACATCTTATCTTGCCTTGCACCGAGCACTTGTAGACTATCTGTGTCGATTCTGCGAGCGAAGAAAGGAGATTTTTTTTGGCTGATTACACGTGATGCCTTGCCTGTCACACCCGTAACACCTGTTGACGACTTGATCCATGTCATGGAGAAAGCAAAAGCAACGCGCCAAGCGCGCACGCTCTTCCTCTCCTGATACCCCTACCCATCTCGTAGCCATCCACACTGGCTCTTCGACCTTCGATGTTCCTGTCGACGGAGCAATAGAACGTGTCTCAGCCGATACTCGCCGGACTTTTTCCGAAGCAGTCGCCATTGCACCTCCTTCGCCTCTCAAACGACTTCGAAAGGCTATCGCTGCTCCTTCCATTTCCTCAAACCTAGACATTAGCCTTGACGCCTACTGCATGGGCTCTGGCGAGAACGACTGGACAGAAGAACCTACAGAAGAGGTTACAAGCAGGAAGTGCCTCGAATTTTGCGACCTGCGGTGTGTATTCCCATCCTTCTCTACCAACTCTTATTCATCAACAACCTAGGACCCCACTCTACGCCAATGGATGATTCACCATCGTGACGAATATCTACGAGTGCTGCTTTGGCATCATGGAAGGGGTTATTCAGACGAGCGATGTTACTCGTGTGGGGAGACAGACCCCTCGTACCGCTGTAAAGACTGCTTCGGTGGAGCCATGTGGTGCGACGATTGCTGTGTCAAGAGCCATATTGCAACCCCTTTCCACTCAATCGAGGTATGTGGAGAATCTTTTGTCCTATCGACACCGACTTACCCTATTCTTTTAGCTCTGGAATGCAGGCTATTTCCAATCATGCTCGCTCAAGGTTTTAGGATTGGTAATCCAAGTTGGCCATCCTCTTCACCTTCCATGTGCTCGACCCATCCCTGCTCGCAATGACTTCGTCGTGCTACATCACAACGGCATACACGAAGTGTCGGTCAATTATTGTGGCTGTCGCTGGTCCAATGACCCTTATCATATCCAACTTCTCCGGGCAGGCATATACCCAGCGACAACCGACTCTCCAAGAACAGGCGCGACCTTCGAATGTCTTGCCGAATACCATGCTCTGACGCTTCACGGAAGATTACCGGGTGGGACTTTTATCGTTCTTTGGAAACTAGGACAAACGCGATCGGAGTCAAGCCTCCAGACCGCTATCAGGTCTTTCTTCGAATCGCTCGCGAATACCGACATCTATTGTCACTCAAACGAGGTGGACGTGGATACGACTCCCGGGGCGTGGCGGATACAGCACCAGGGGAACTCGCGATTCTTTGCCCTGCATGCCCGCGTCCAGGCGTAAACTTGCCAGATGATTGGCAAAATGCTCCACCTGCACAAGCGTGAGTCGCTTTCTGTTTCGTCTCCGTTCTCCTGCTCATCACTCTACAGTGGTCTTTATGTTTTTTTCTTGGCCATGGATGATGCATGCTTCCGACTCAAACGTCGTGCGTTCTCCAACGAAATCAGAGATCCAGCTCTGAGCAATGGCTGGGCGTATATGGTGGAATGGGAACCGTACAAAGGCTTATTTACTTCAAGTCGGGGACCAACAAGAGGTACCCCTATTCTTTTCCTAGCCGTCATCTTGATATTTAATGCTCTTTATAGATTAGCACTTGTACTGGACTCGCGGCTCTTGACTATGCCAACTCCAAGTTCTCCCGTGGCTACAGCGCAACGGGGGTTGGCATGGGAGTCTGTGCTCGACATGAATTTGTGCAGCCCAATGGCGTTGGTGACCTGCAGGCTGGAGAACGGTATGAGCAATTTACTCTGCTTTTTCTTATGAACTAATTTGACCTTCTCTAGATTTGCTAACATGGACTTCATATTTGGCTCCATTTTGCGACACTTGCACCCTCTTCTTCGAAAAATAATTTCCTACGACATCGCCTGTCAATGGTGGAAGAAATTGTTTGAACGACTGCGAAAAACTTCCTCCTATGCTCCGTTTACTCTTGGTGCTGGAAGTGTTCATGCAGCTCTTCGTCTTCGTCGTGCCCAAACTTCATATTCTGGGACATACGACATCGTGCCAACTGCTTTATTCGTTCAACTACACGCTTGGGGGTGGACAAACTGATGGAGAAGGAATCGAACGCCCGTGGAGTATGATTGGTGGAGTTGCTGCAAGCACGCGGGTCAGTGGTCCTGGTGCACGATCGGACCTTCTAGATGATCATTGGTCATTTTGGAACTGGTCGAAGCTCGTGAATCTGGGTGCGTATAGTCTTTTTCTACCAGTATAATATCTTTTGCTGACATCTAAGTTACAGCTTCTCTTCTTCGACGGCGTCTAGATACAGCGCTGCATGAGCGTGATATCCAACAAGCAGCTTTTGACCAGTTCTCCGAAAATCAAATAGCGCGAGCGTTCCTCAGTGGAAGGCAATGGTGCACGTATATGAAAGAGACTCCACGAAGCCCAATCCTTACGAAGGAAAGGTCGACGGTAAGATATCTTACGGATTCTTGTCTTTCTTTCCGATTTAATCGTTTATCAGGTTTAACAGAAGCTCAAGTGCGAGAGAAGCTGGAGGCCGAGGAAGAGTTGCAGGCATTGACGGGCAAGCTGCGGATTCATGAAATTAGCCCCGTCAACTTCATTGCCGACTTGCTCGAGATCGAGAACGAACAGTGAGTCGACTGTAACCTAATATCACCTCTTGATACCAAGCCCATTTTAGGCGTCGCATTGCTGGCCTGGCCGAGCTCAAAAAAGCCAAGTCGACAACAATGAAAATCAATCTTCGACGCCTTCGACGGAGTCTGAATAAACGAATTGCCAAAATACGCTTGCTACAAGCCACGTATATGCCCGCTGCTCTACAGCAGCTCAAAGAAATGAAGCTTTCGGAAAACATCTTACCTGAAGATATTCCTTTGATTCCGCCTTCTGCCTTGACTGCTTTGCGACGAAGGGAAGGAGGATGCTTGGAGGGACTAGCAGAGATTGAAAAATTCATGCGGGATGCACAATGTCGAGCTGCTCTTGTGGGCTTGCGCAATCAACTCCTCGTCAAATACCGACTCCTGCTCTACAAGACGAATCATTCGCGAAACCAGACAATGAACACCCGCTCTCGGTCACTGGTTGCGCGTAATGAGAGTCAAGTCTTACTTCATTCCAAGAAGTATCAGGCTGCTTGGTTAGCGTTGGTGCTTCTGGAGGATGGTGTAGAAGGGAGGGTAGGCTGGAGACGCCTTTGCAAAGAGGACATTCGGTGTTTGGAAGATTCGGAAGAACTGGTGAAGAAGCATGCGAGAGGGGAAAAGGCTGAAGCACGACGCGCAAGAGATGAAGCAGCACTTCGCCAAGCCGGCATCACTCCTTTGAATATCCACCGTGTCCAAAACGACAGTGACGCAGACGAAGAAGACAATATCAACATAGTATCTGCTCCGCCTCGCAACCAGGCATCCAAGAAGAAGAAGATGCCGGCTCATAAAGGCTCTGCCGTTCAGTCTGGTGAAAGTCGACGGGTTGTATCGTGGATCTGGACGATGGCTGGGATGACGGGGTCCGACGCCGAAATGGAGGAAGGTCAGCTCTTTGCTACATAACCGGTGTCCTTTGCTCAACGACTTTATAGCTCTACGAATCGAATGGGCAAAAGCTTATGCTCGTGTTCGACGCTGGAACGAAGAAGTAGCGCTACTACAGGAAGAGTGGCGACGCCTACCCCAGTCTTTCGCTCACGAGGAAGGGTTGTGGACCGCGAGGGCCAAGATGATTCCCGTTGGGGCTATTCCACCAGCAGATGCGGAAGGGCTGATGGCCTATGCCCTAAAGCATGTCAGCATGTATCGCAATCTGGCGGGGATGGCAGAAGCTGTGCGGACACAACCGAAGCTCAAGAAGGGGACCCGTCGACCAAGATATCAGCCCGCCCCAGCGATAGACCTGACGGCGATTACGACAGATGGCAATGACGGAGCTGTAGATGTTGATGGCTATATTGAAGAGGATGACGCAGATGGTGAAGACGGGAACCAGAGCGACGAGGAGCTTTTGCTAACGGGTGAAATCGACGATTGGTAGATCACATGATGCACACGAATAAATTTTTTGCGGCCTTTTTCGGTGATGAATAATGCATTGTATCGGCAGGCAACGGCAAGTATGATGAGCCAACGGCAAGTATGATCTGTTGATGGGAAATGAAAGATCCAATGATGTATTGATGGGAAACCCGAAACCTATTGATGTGATCAATAGCTGGCCATATATGGGCAGCCCAGAAGTTTTGCATTACTTGCCCAACATCTTTTGCATTAGAGCCTTGGAGCTCAGCCCTCTTCTTTCGCAAAGAAGATGAGGCATATGGGGTGCACCCAACAACAAAGTGGTCGGTGTTGTCCTCAAACGGTGGTGAGTATAAACAGAGGGCGGGTCTGTGGGTAGTCCGCAAGGCGAGTGCAAGGCAAGGCGGCTGAAGTGCTGTTCGTTTTGGAACGCTTGACGTGGGCCCAGATCTTTGCGGGTTCATAAGGTTAAAGTTCCTTCTGGATGGCACGCCACTATGCTTGAGGAAAGAGCATTTGAAGTAATAGCCGGTGGACGCGTCGAAGTTCAAGTTGCGTTGGTGTTGGACGGGTGACACGTGTGACCGAATAAGCGCGCCGGCGGAGACCCGGCGTAAGGGAAAATTGCCTTGCCACCATCCCCCCTCCGTGTTTTTTTTCTAAAAATTCAAGATGTACTATTGTGGAGCTATCTAGGAGAGTTTTCCTACGCTTCGTGGTCGCCTCGAGTTATCCGGCTAACCCCCAATGCCCTGCAATCCTTTTATGTCACGGTATACTCGCAATAGAACCGTGTAGCTGTCGCCCTTCGGCAGCGTGATCGACCCCTCCTCTTCTCTCAGTGCGAGTAGTCGGTTAGTAAACCTCTCAATCTCGTCGATGCTAAGTGTAGCACGATGCCCCCCTTGAACCTTCAACCGAATACAGATGAGTCGGGAAAGGTGAACGTAGTCTATTGGGAAACGGTTTTAGCCCTCTGTACGGTACCCACAGGGGTCGGCTCACCTTGTCCTGACTTGACTGCTGCCTTGAGTAGTGCGTACCAATTATTGTGATATGCATCGCCGAGTAATGGGTTTCGGAAGTTATATCGAACAAATACACTCAAGATTTCGTTGATATTGCCGCCATAAAAGTTGCCTACGATCTTCTTGGTGTCTGCAAATCCAATAGCCAATAAAACGCCGCATTGTGGAATCGGTACATGGAACGCGCATGCGTTCGCGCGCCGTCAGCCCCACGTCTGACGCAAAGAGCTCCAGTTCGTGGTTGCTCTGCATTCCAGCGCTTTTGACCTGATCAGGGTAAGTATCTCGCGATTTTTATTTCTGAGCCTTACACGCATTGCCGCGCGAGTGCGTTTGGTGGTTGACTTCCGACAGGTAAGACTCAACGCAAAGCTATTTGCCTCGATTAGTACCAATCGCTCTCTTGACGAACTTAACGTAACTCACAAGTTGTGCTTGAGATAATCTTTATCTTTATGCGCAAGATTGGCGGCCCATATCGCATATACGATGATGCTCACACACCACGTCGACCGCCATCTCATCATGAGTAGTTCTCCGCGATCGACTCCCGCGCGACACAGCTCATCTTGCGTTAAGCAGTGGGGCTTGTGCTTCTCCCAATTGTCTCGCTGACATGTTTTGCTGCAGTAATAGGTCGACCGGCAGTGAGCGCACCGCTTGAGGCTTGAAGATAAGATCAGGCATCCTCCACAAAATGAGCGGGGTCCTGGATCGTAAGCGGTGTGGGGAGTCAACATGTCTGTCGACCTTGGTGGTAGGGGCCCGTGGGCCTTCTTGCGAAGGATCGATGGACTTAAGACATGCCCAAAGTTGTTCTTCCACCGTGCACAAAGGCCGGAGCGAATACGATTTTATTCAACTTCTTCCGACGTCCCGGTCTCCTCACTTCCGTTAAGCTCCCCCCACGACTTCCCGATACGCTAGACGTAGAATAGGTATGACTTCCAAAAAAGATGGCGGGATATCGAGCCGCAGTAGACGCGCCACTTTGTCTTCCATGCGAACGATGAGATCCTCGGTCAATGTCGCGTCAATACCGTATCTTTCTTTCAGAATGATTTCGAGTGTTTTGGTTCGATGGAACGTGTCTAGGAATCGTTAGTGGGTGCACTCGTTGGTTGGGAACATTTCTTACCCGCGCCGTTTCTCAGTACAGTAGCCATCTCTTCACACCACACTTTCTCGAATGCGAGACCCAGAGAGGCGTCCTTGAGATTGTACCGGCTGAGCCCAGTGAAGACGAGCTCGATGGGGACTGATCCCGCAGTCATATATGTCTCACCATCGTGCAGGAAGTGCACTCCGATGAGGCATCGTAAGCGAGTTGATGAGCACGGGAGTGCCTTGAACGCTTCAATTTGACGTGGCCCATTTTGGCCAACGCTGACAATCGCGGCCGCCTTTTCATTGGTGACCATCGCCGAGTTGGTGAGCTGAACGAGACGCACATAAGATATGGGACTGCTGCAGGTGTGATTATAGAATACGCACCTTAAATGAAGCTCTCAAAGAGTTGCTGGACTTTCTGGGCGTGAGCCATATGGCAAACCTGAATACTTCATCAGCGCGGGCCCAGAGGGAGTGGAGATAAGGTCCTCATACAAGTTGTTTTCGAGATAATCCTCATTCTTGGTTGAGAGATTCGCACTCCACATACCAAAAACCGCCAGGCTACACTTCCAAGTACCGTACCACTGCGTGAAGTACTCGAGTCGACCGGTGAGTCCCATTTCTTGGAGCTGCTCAGGTGTTTTGCAGCGCGATTTGTGTTGTGGCCAGTCGAGCTTCTGACATTCTCGCGAGCAATACCGAAAGCGCTTGCACCGTCCGCAGGTTTTGAGACCAGAAGGCGCCCGCCCACAATGGTCGCAGCTTGAGTGCGAGCCGGATGAGTTTGTCGCCATCGAATCGAGCAACGCGTCCTCTTTGGTCAGCCCCGCCTGAGGAATTTTGTTGGGCATTGCACCGGGCAGGTAGGAGAGGGAAGACTGGGTTGGCGCTAACGGACCAGTGCTGGCCTATAGGCTCAAGTTCGGATATTGAGGTGCGGTGTGATTTGGATGGTTCTACGCTGGAATGCCACTGTTGCCACCCGGGCAAATACCACGCCATGTCGGCGGGATAGTTTAGTTATTCGGACGTGGCTGCCTCAGAGCGCGATTAACGCCACTACTTCGCCGTGACGGGGCCAAATCGTTCTAGCAAATTTCAGCCGCGGCTTATCGGTTACCGCGGAGTGGTGCCCACTTATCATGCAAGTCTGGTTGGAGTAACAACCGAGAAATGGTACGCGTGTGTCGCAACGGAGCGAGCGGGGTTGAAGAACGGCGCGGGGTTGTGAATGACATCATGCATCGCATGACGTATACTGATTTTTAATAAATTCGCTCAGCCGCGGTATCGTTCAAGAAAGTTTTTTTGCGTTCATGTTTAGATATATACAGTTTTGCGGGGCAATATCAACCCATTCTATATGTTCTTTGCCGTGGCCTCAAGGAAAGCCAGCGCGACAAGGGGGAACTCGTCCTGGTCTGCTGGCGATTGTAGAGAAAGTAGTCCGGGGACACGAGCCTCCATGCGTTGCACGGTCGCCTCGTCCAGCGACGCAACAACTTCGTACCGCGCCTTTAATACGACCTCGAGGATCCGGCGACGGTAAAAAAGATCTATGGTTAGTTCAACCTGGAGGACGCTGGGAAGTCAAGCAAACGATTCACCTTCCCCTTCCTCAATGATACTTGCTATCTCGTTGCGCCAGACACGATAGAAAGCTTCCCCGAGGATGTTGTCCTTATAGTCGTACTGGTGTAAGGGCGGTAAGCGGGTGAAAACCGATGTCGACCAGGCGACGACGTTGGATTTGGCCTCTCCGTCAAATTTGATGATTGCGACGCAGCGGATGCGGTCGGCGGACCGCGTCAGATTTTTGAGACCGTTGACGTGTTGGACGCTGTTGGGCCCAGTGGCCAGATGGCTGTAGGCGGCTTCGTTGGTCATGATGCCTGAGGCGAGCACCTGAACAATATTGCATTAAGCCGACGACGCGATCGTTCGAGCCGTTTCCCGTACCTTCATCGAGTGGGCGGTCGGTCCTTCTTTACTGTGCTTTGTGCTAGCGGCAAGGGCAGTCAAGAACCTAAAAATTAGATCGTCAATTTGCGCTCGACAGATTTTACGGCGTACGTGTGTTTCTTCAGGTAATCAGCGTCCTTGGTCACCAAGTTGGCGCACCATACTCCAAGAAGGGACAGGCCAATTTCCCAATTGGCGGTCCACTGCCGCAAAAAGCGAGCTCGGTCGCTCGTATCAACAGCCTGGTGTCGAATTGTTCGACAGATCGTTTTTGTGGGTAGGCCAGTCGGTAGTCTGGCAATCTTTCGAGCAGTACCAGAAGTCTTGGCAGCGACTGCATTTTTTGAGCTCGCTGGAGATAGCTCCGCATGAGTTGCAACACGAGGATGAACCCGCTGGGAATGTATCGAAATTGTCGTGACCAGGAGCAGAGGCAGTTGTGGCTTGCATTACACCGAGGAGCAAAGTGGCTGCGAGAGAGTTGGGAGGAGAGCGCCAAAGGGCAACTGGCCGCTAAAGAGAATAAGGGGATTGGGAAGCGACGAAACGGGTATTTGTCGTGATATCGGGGGATTCCAATTAGAGTGTGGTCGACCCGGAGTCCTTCCCTGCCATCTTCTCCCTATGGTTGCCGTTCCGCTTCCCGAAGCTCTTGAATCCAAGAACTTTCCCTTCGATACAGCGGCATCGACTGACAAGAAGACGCGTGTTCACTTAGGTTGCTTCACTGACGATGGGTCTGTTGTTCGAGGCCCAGTGGCACCTTCTTCCGCGAGACGCTCCTCGATGTCGGGTGGATGCGCGTGACCAGCCCGTGACCGGCGTGTCTCTTATTTAAGGACGCGACGTTCTTGGGTCGTGCCAACAAACATGGTCCGCCCCGCAACAGACCCCGATAGTCCTCTGACCACTCTGGACGGAGAGCCAGTGCTTGTCTCTGCCGCCGATGCCCTCGAGAAGTTGCCGACATTCTCTGAAGAAAAATTGGCCAAAATCGCTCAAGACTCCACGGGTTTTTATACTCCAGCGGAAGGTCTTATCCGCAAGAGTGCCTCGTCCGTTGTTGCGGACTGTAAGCTCTCGATGGACGCAAACAACAACTACCGCCTGTTGTATCAGTGCGTTTGATTTCTTTGGTCTCGCGTTCTGGACTGATATCATACTTGCAGGAAAGAGCCTCTGGAGATCGTATCGACCATCATGCCTCGTTCCTCTTTCGCATTCAACAACGGACCCGGGGGCAACTACGTCCACGCAGATTGGCGCGGAAATCCCTCCCGTCTGGCCCGACGGGCGTGCAATTGTCCGACAGTCGAAAAGGCGTATATGTGAAGACGACTTTGAACTCCGTTCCTGGATTGGATGCATGGACAACTAACGTGTATGGGTGTCTTACCCAGTTTCATCTTGTACTGAAGTTCGTTATGATAGATTCGACTCCACGTTCTCGAGCTCCCCTCGTCAATTTGAATATTCGATTTCTGGGACCCCCGTTCCATCCACGCTGGGAACGATGCGCACGCTGTTCAGCGAGATCGACAAGAAAGTTGCCGTACGTATTGACCATCTGTGATTCTGTGTGTTAATATCCTTTAGACTTGGGCGGCCTCCATTAACAAAAAGAAAAAGGAAGCCCACCACGGGCCAAACGCTGGAATGTGGCTTCAAGCGCGCCGTCCGTACTTGGTTCCCGCGGCGTCTTTTTTTGCTTGATGTACGAGGTTAACCTCTTGTGATCTTCAACAACTTATACCGCTTTCAGGAAGGGAGAATGAGCGAATTTGACGAAGAGTACGACTTTATATCCAAGATTACGGGTCACGATCTGCGCACTAATCGGGTGCCGGAGGTCCTGGTGCGTAATCGCGATACTAACACGGATGTGGAGATTTCGTTCCACGGAATCCATATGTTCCCATCGTCGTCCGTCATCAATATGACTATGGTGCCATATGTGAGCTTCTTGTCTCTTCTTGTGCGTTGAGCAGCGCTTACCGCGAGTAGATTTACATCACGCGCGGGGAAGTGGCGTGGGACTTCCGCCTGGTTCGCCTCCATATCTTGGGCAAGGTACGCTCCTATTTCTTTAACATATCTGGCCCATCTCACCCCGTCTTAGCGTGCCTTTTCTATCATGGCCAGCCCCAACAAACTCGTCGTTAAGCGGAAGGCCCCGGAATTGGACCTGGAAGACGAAGAACCGACCACCGCTTCTAAATCTCGTTAAATCTTTGCATCTACCGTAGTCTCCACATAAAATGTAACATACGATCTGAATGACTACGCCGTTTTTTCTTGGATCCGGATCGGATATTTTTCTTCAAATGAGCTTTGGCTTCAAATTCACGGTTTACTTATTCTACAATGCACTTGCTAAGATATTTGAAAACACGGCTTTTTCAGATGTGTGCCTCGTTGCGGTTCGTTCTCGTTCTCCTCGTTCTTGTTCTCTTTATCAAGTCTTCTTTGCCTTCTCCCAATCCTCCTGCGTCCTGTACGTGTCGAAATGTTCGCGCAGAGCGGTGGCCAACTGCATGCATCTTGGTCTCGTCATGTACTCGCCCGAATAATCGGCGAGTCGGGAAGTACCACGGCCGCCGAACAACGTATCGACTCGGTAGGGGAGCAGCTGAGGGTCTGACCCAACGTCGTAAAAAATCCGAGACCTTGGTTATGTCGTTGTGCTCGAACAATGGCATGTATTTCTCAAATGCCGTCGATTTATCGATTTTGAAGAGGAATGCTTCGAGGTTGTCCTTGTCCACTGCGCGTGACGACGATGTGTTTAAGGGGTTGCGACGTGCAGAGCCCTCCTCCTTGTGTTCACGGTTTCTTGAGATCACAGAATTGCGCATTCCAACCCCTCCATTATGAGGAGTGGGCAGGCGAGTCGGTGACTGGGTAATAGGGGAGTAGGTGGATCCGTTCTCGCTGATCGTGATGGGAGTGGGGGCCACAGGGCGAGGCTTGTCCCCGGTACGTGCGCGTGACGCAGGGATTCGCGTGCCCGACGCGGGGAGTTGCCGACGTGAGGTTGCGGAGGCTGGTGTTGCTTTGCGACGGCTGCCAGAAGCGGTTGGTTTCTTGCGGGATTGGTTCGTGCGCGCCTTGAGCTACAGTTGATGATGGATTCAGCATGTGCGAGGCCGCAATACGGTACGTGCTCACCTTCTCTTCCTTGTTGGCGCGGCCCCATTCAAGGGACCCCTGGATTATACGATTCAACTCTGCTTGATCAACGAAATCTTTATCTTTCGATAAAGTGTCCTTAAGAGTGCTCAGATTGAGGTAGATGCGGTTGATATTGATGGGATAAGTTTCAAGAAAACCGGCAATTGACGTCTGCGACGCTCCTCCATCAACTGCGAATCGGATTGCTGCCCGAGTTGGTCTATAGAAACCTGCGACCGTGTAAGTCTCCTCGGTTTTCCTGAAGTCAGAGGGTAAGCTTGTATGTGGTTGCGAGTAGAAAACTGACGGAGCGGTGTTGGCCGACTTTTTCGTGCGCTCTCGTTTCTTTCCGATCAGCGGCTCTCCGACTTCCCCGGTGACGCGTTTCCCCGAGCGAAGGGTGCGTCCGTTGCCGTGCGGGGGCCGTGTGATCAGCAAGTTGGTCTTCATCAGAGTCGTTGTCAGAGTCGTCACTCTCGTTTTCGGCAATCGAGGCGGCGTTAGGTTGGTCGCGATGCTCAGGATCATCACGCGCTTCTCCGGCAACGGATATGGAGTCGTCGGGTATCAAGGTATCCTCGCGGCCTACATCCTCTGTTTTGATCTTCACCTCGGGGACCTCAGTTTTTATATCCACTCGCGAGAGTGTCGACATGGTGAGAGAGAAAAACAACTAGCTAGCGTCACGCGGTCACATATGTGAGTTTAAGTAATCGACAGCAGACGTCCGCAGTTTGATGCCTGATCACCTAAACGGTTCGGCTCCTGCCGCCTGCGGCCTTATCCTCCCTCATGATTGTGGAGATAAGAATGAGATTAGACTTTTTATATAACCTCGACTTCGTTTTTGTGTGCATTGCAATGCCAGACTTGCGCTCGAAAATGATCTGAACTGCAGTGCAGTGCAGGTGACTATAGGGGGGCAGTAGATGCGAGCAAGCTGCAATCATTACATCTGATCAATTGTCAATGAAAACGATCAAGAGGCCTTTCGCAACATGCCACTTCCGCCCAACTTCTGCCTTTGCAACGATAAGTTACGCATCGCCGAGGCACGTAAGCTTTGTAACACGTTCGGTCAAGGTCAGTGGTCATGAGACGCGGACGGACGCACATTACGCTGATCCTCTTGGTTGATAGACCTACGGATCATCCGTCGCCACATATGGCAATCGACTTGCCGAATATGGTAGACCCAATGGTAGCTCATACGATTGGTTCGGTTCGTAGGCTTCACCACAAGCTTGCTGTGCATGTGGGCGTATTTCAATTGTGAATTCCAGAAAAAGATTCCAGGCCAGGCGTGTATATTTAGACTGATTTGAGCCGATTGAAGGAGAGGCTGCGGGTTAAGATCTTGAGATGAGATGATTGGATGGAGTTTTGTCTACGGCGGCTCCGGGCGGAAGCGCAATTCGATCCGTGAAGCCGATTGATTAGTCGGTGGACCCTTGTCAGAGAGGGCCGCCCCGGAACATTGCCCTATCGAATTCTCGGTATTCAGCCAAAGGCCAGCTGAGAGAGAGATTATTCAGAAGTAAGTCATTGAAACCGTCGTTTATATTTCGAGACACCTTCTTTGCTGCGGCGCCTTGTTTTATTGGAGATCACGTAGCTGACAGTTTGAACACCATCGATTTCTCGCCCCATCCTCCACGTCAGCGTATTCCGGGCGCCACCCGCTGTTGTTCGGTGAAGGGAAATAGCCACTTGTGAGCTTGGCGGCAGCAAGCTAGTAATAAGCCCTGGTTTCCCTAGGACAGTCCAGCTATTATCATGGCCGTCGAGAAAAAGAAGCGACTTCGGACTGACTTTGGACTGCGGTGTTAAGCGACCGCGGCAGATTGGACTCGGCGCTGACAAGTCATGTTTGACGTCAGCGCCCAAATTCGAGTTACTTTAGTAGGCGATCACAATCTGAACTTCTTGGTTTCCGTCCCTCACCACCCCCCATATGTTCTCGACGCTTTCTAACTTCCTCCCCTCGGCATTACACTCCTCGCCACAAAAAGCCGACCAGTTCCGCCCAGACAACGAGGAGGACGATGAGGGAAATAAGTCTGATGTCAATGCAGACGAGACGGGGGTGCTAAAGAAGAAGAAAGACAAGAGTCCTAACGAGGTGAGCGGATCGATTACGACGTTGTTTGGCGCATTATTTGCAGCGGTGGATTGGCGGGTTGTCGACAACATGCATAGAAAGATCGGCGGTTGTCTTCCCCTCCTCCCACCCTTGCACAGAATTTTTTTCCTCTATGCGGGCCCATCGTTTTCGTTATGACTCCCATCTCCTCGCCGGTGGGATAAGCCTCTCATTTCGATGGAGCTACTCATCACACGAGCAATCCTCTCATTTCAATGGAGCTGCTCATAATACGAGCAATGTCTTAGGTGGAAAGCTGTTAAGTTTCTGGAGTCAATCCCTCCCTCATCACCTCCCAGCACCGCCATGAGTCTGGGACCTCCGTTGGAACCGCTCTTGTCTGGCGCTTTAAGCGCCAGTCATTTCTTTGGCCTGCTTTTCAAAGTATTTTTCCATGCTCACCCAACCCCATCTGCAGACATTCATCTTTGTACGGCCCCCACCGGCCAAAACCAACCATCCCCTCAATCTTCAAGTTCAGCTTATACCTCCCAACTCTCGGGGCCCATCGGGTCTGCCAAATGCCTCCCGACAATCCCTCGACCTTTCTGCCGCGAATTCCGTTCCGAGCAGCCCCACAACCACCGATGCATCCGGCTCGTCAGCGTATGAAGATGGAGCACCACTTTCCCGCTCTTCCTCCAACGCTTCGTCAACTTACTCGCGATCTTCGTCCGCATCAACCTACTCCGCTGCTTCAACGAGTTCAAGCGCAAGTAGCAGGCGAATGATTGTGCCCTTGTATAACCTCCAGGCCCATAATGTTATGACCAACACCATTGTCGACGCTGGGACTGATGCGAAGATCGCAAAGTTCTCGAAACGCGGAATCGAAATGCTTGACCTGGCGGTTCTTGAGCCAGTGGAGGTTTATGCCGGAGGTGGAGCCCCTGTAGGCGGCGATGCACTCGTTGGGTCCGCCTTTTCGAACAAAACCGTTGGTGGGCGACCAAGCGTCAACTTACAAGTTCCTGCTGGCAACGGCACAGGGCATAATAGTCGACCTGGCACTCCAGACCCTTCAGCCACGACAAACTCATCTCAAGCTTCGTTAGTTTCGAGTAGCGTGCAATCATCACATGCATCACAAACATCAGCAGATGTTCCGCCCTCCCCCTGGCGTTGCAACACCCCAGAAGAAAAATCTGTTCGGGAAACTATTCAAGAGGAAGGAGGAGAAAGACTCGCCGACCCCGACCCCGACTCCGACAAACAATAACAAATTGTTCGGTCACTCTAAGACGCCGAGCATCTCAACGCCGACCCCGTTACCCGTGGTGGTAGCCGCTCCACGGACCTCTATTGGTAGCGTGCAGCGGTCTTCAATCGACATTGGTCCGCAAGATCACCATCAGACCTCAGCGCAGATAGCTGCCACTCCTGCTATTGTTGGACATGGCCCTATTCTGGGGGTCTTGCCAAGTGTTTCTTCACCAGTCCATCCGCCGAAAGGACGGCCGGGGCTGTATGTGTGGGTCGTCAAGCGATGGATGAAAGGCGATGGCGGCGGACTTCTCAGTGTAGCGAAAGGAATGGTCAAGGGCCACCAAGATCAAACCGACGTGACACAGGAAGTCGAGGTCCGGTTTGAATGGAAGCGAGGCAAGGGGAAGGGCAAGAAAGCCAAAAAAGACGGCGAGGACCGCCCAGCTGCTCGCCGACAAGGAAGCGTGGCGAATCTGGGAACTGCAAATGCGCCGACAAGGCGGCTCAGCATGAATATCTCGCGACAGAGCAGTTTCAGCAATGTGTCCGTGTCGGAGGAAGGTCACGTGCATGATGGCCCTACATCCAAGTCTGCCAGACGGCGATCGCTTGCTCTCTCTGTTGGGCAGGGTGAGGATGGGGGAGAGTCTGGTGATGAGAGTGATCCGGAGGACTCGGAAACGCCTTGGACGTGCACCGTTAAAGTGCGACGCCTGGCCAGCCATCTCCGATCGCGGTCCCATTTGAGCTTCCATCACCACTCCCGAGAGCCGACCGCTGAGGTCTCGGAGGACGGTGTCAAAAAGGAAGTGTTGAAGGTCAAAGTCGGAACACTTTCGCCAACGCCACATCACCCGAAAGTGGTTGCGATGCTCAAAGTGCCCTTCCCGCTCCCCGATGTGAATGTGGAGCAGATGAAGGCGGAGAAAAGAGAAACGAGTGGACAGGGCGGGTCGTTGGGAGCGCCGAAGGGTGGTGAGTTGTTTTTTTTTTCATAACGTTCTTGTTGTTTCTAATCAAGGTTTCAGCGCACACGTTGACGCTCACTGCCGAGGAGATCAAGGATGTTGTGTGCAGCACGGGTCTGTGGCTCGTTGTCCGTGAGGGTTTTGGTGGCATTGGGAAAGTCAGCCGCAAGGGCGATGGCTGGCGCATTCGAGGGTGATCGTACCTTGTTTGTTTTGCTTTTCCTCATCTAGGTATATCTATCTTTATTATGTTGTAGTGTTCACACACACACACAGTCTTTCCTTTTCTTTTCCTTTTGCTTCGTATGTAGAATCTGTCACATACCAATTCCCCCCACTTCCTTTGTTCTACCAGACTGGATCATCGTGTTGCGAATTATCTGCCACTGTGCCGCCTTGGAACATATGTAATATGCACTCTAAGCAGAGATGACGAACAAAACTTGATATGTAATAGCTTTGAGAATGTAAACCAATTTGCACATGGTTGGTTATTATGATTCTCAAGTTACCTTGCTTTAGTAAGGTCCCGCATGTGAAAAATTATCCCTAACACATGTAAACAACGCAAAAACAAATATGTCCAAATAAATGTCAACATTGGTAAATACATCTCATCAGCCCGCTTGCCTATTCTCAGTGTTCACGGGTGATGCCAGCCGGGTATCGGGACCTGGGAGGTCCGGTTCCGGGTAAACTCGGCGGGCCAGCGCATTCCTATCTAAATCCAGGTAGTAGTCTGTTGTCCCGCCACGCTGAAGGTTTGTTCCAGCTAGTTGTCAGGGGAACCCCCACTTCGGCCTCCTTCGGACCCTCCGAACACATCCAAGGCGCATCCGACCGGCGCCCCCTCGGACGCTCCGACCCACCCCGACCATCGTCCACGGCCTCCTTCGCCCCCGCACAATCACCGATCCGTCAAGACCCTCCCAACGATCACCTTGGGACAGAGCCTGCGACGCCGCTCAGGCCTTCTGCGCTCTACGTTGGCAGTTACGGACGACCAGTATATAGTTGGCGCCCTAGCAGGCGGACCCTTAGAGTTTCTTCTCTTTGGATCCTCCCCTGCTAGGTCGGTCCCTCCGTGTATTTCCGTAGCTTTTATTCACGCTTTGGATCCTCCCCTGCTAGGCTTTCGTCGGAGTCTCCAGGGTTGCCCTTACACTAGTGCTCTGCCAGGCCGGGCTGCCCAAGCCCAGCGGTCTTGGAATTCTGAGGCCCGAGCTTCCTCAAACTTTAAGCCCGGCATGGGCCACATGGCTACAACACGGGCTCGGGCTGTCCGATGTGAGCCGGGCCGGGCTTCGGGCCGCAATCAGGCTCCCAGCGACCCCACGACCAATTCTTGCCCCTGTGTTAGCAACATCAACACACATATGGACATATATGGACACGCTCAGCCTTATGCTCCTTTTTCTTGCCTCGGGCTTTGGTACTCAGGCACTGGTGAGTCGTGACAATGATGGGCCCCGGATGGGTTACCCGGGCCAGATTTCGTGTGATGCCTGGTCCTGGTCCCCCTGCTTCAATAGTCATTGCTGGTGGGTTCAAACAACAACTTGTCCATCATTGAACCATTGAACCATGATCTAAAACAAAGCCTTAGTATTCATTTACATCCACCATACCTCGAACTCGGAACTGCTGGTACTGTAGCAATTTATTCAATTCAGCAGTCACGTGTCACACCGGCCCTCTGGCGCCGACATATTTCGGCTGTCACACACATCGACAGACAGGCAGTGCCGAAAATTTAATTTCGGCGCCCATGTCACACCATTTTGGGGTGCCGAATTGAATAAATTACTACAGTATGTTTCAATAGGGGTTAACATTGTTCAAGAAAGAAGAGAGCAAAAACAAAGCCTTCTGCACATGATAATAAATCAGAAACAGCATTGAGCAAACAAATTTCCTTCTTATGTTTTATGCTCCATGCCCATATTCTATGGCCTGACAACCTCGTTGAATGCTTGAAGCTGGACTGCGCAGCTGCGTGCAGTCCACCTGCCAACTCCCCTTCTCCGTCATTTGCTACACTATAAACCACTCCAATCCTCAAGCTGGCACACACCACCACCAAAAAAAGCAAACAACACGTGTTTGCATAGTCACACAATACTAAAGCAAGGTTTTAGACTCAGGCACGTGTGCCAGAGGCCCTTGTAAGTAACAGTACTTACATTTCTCACAATTGTAACAATCTGGTGTTCATCAAAGTTGCTCTTTTTGTCATAGTTAGTTTGGATTCATTCAAAGGTTGATGTTTATAGTTTATTTCTAACCAAGATATCGGTCAACAACTATATTCAAGTTGAGTATGGTAGTGATTTTACAAATAGAGTATACACAATTTGACGCCATGTCCTGCAGCGCTGATAAGTTAGAATCTCGATAAATATATACAATGAGTGTGATTGTTTGTGGGAAATTGTCTAAGCCTTGAGACGGCGGCGAATCTTGATGGTCGCGCTTTCGGGCACGATAGCGATGTCGCCGAGGGAAATGTTGGGCTCGCGGCGCGGGCGCGGGGCGATTTCGTAGTTCAGAATGAGGTGGCCCAGGATGAGCTTCAGATCATTGGTCGCGAAGAATCGGGCAGGGCTGCGCAACGGTGAGTGCCGGGTCGTCAGAATAAGAAAGAAAGCGTAGCATACCAAGCATGAACACCGTGGCTGAAGAGTACATACTTGCTCGATGTCGTGCTGAGGTCCACGTTCTCCTTTGGCTTGCCCCCGTTCTCGCGCTCGCGGCTGAAGCGGAACGCGTCGAACTTGAGCGGGTCGGGGTAGAGGTCAGGGTCCATATGGATGCCGTCCATCGACACACCAATCGTCGTGTGTTGGGGTGCGATGATGCCGTTGGGCAGCTTAATGCCCTCGGGGACGCGGACCTGACGGGCGAGCGAGGTCCCTCCGACACCAGACACACGTGACGACTCGCGGATGGCAGAGTCGAGACGGTACATTTTGGCGACGGCGGCTTTCGTCCAGACGCCGTTGGTCTCGCTAAGCACGCGAAGAATCTCCTCGCGCATCTCCTCAACGAGCTCCTCGGCGTTAGGGGAGGACCAGACATCCAGGACGGTGTTGACGCAAGAAATGGTGGTCGTGATGATAGCGGCGAAGTTCAGCATCACGATGCGGTAGGCCAGGTTGTAGGGGGAGGTATCGAGCTCAGAGGTGCGCTTGAACGACTCGCGGACCAACCAAGTTACATACTCGTTCTGAAGTCATGTTTAGTCATGGAAATAGAGTGGAGGAATTAAGACGGACCGGCTCCTCCCAGGGATATGTTGGGTCGGCATCTTTGGCGCGCATGTCCTTGATGCGCTGCTCGATCAGAGGCACCAAGTATTTCATGCAGGTGTTGGCTTGATACTTGTTGGGAAGGGTGACAACAGAGGCAACCGCTCTGACAACAGTTGATCTCGGAAAACCAAACAACGATGGACTTACGGTTTCAGGAACTCGGGGAAGAGGTGAAGGACGTACGAGCTCAAGTTGACCGCTTTGGCGAAACGAGTGCCAGCCATAACATACTCCATATTCGAGCACAGCTCCTTGCCAACGAAAACGCGGTTGACGACGCGGCCGACGGTGCGGGTGAGGCTGTCGAAAATGTAGCATTCCCGCCATTCGCCATCGCTACCGTAGAGCGAGTCCATAGAGCTCAGGATCTCATCAATGATCTCTTCGTTAAGCGTTCCAACTGTCTTGGTCAGTTCGCGTTTGATGATCAGTTCCACCATGTCATTCTTGAGGATCTCTGCATCACGCCGATCAACGACGGACTCTGTATTGCTATGATGTCATACCTGGGTGGCCAACGGTGTACTGGGTGGGAAACAGAAATGAGTATAACCGCGTACATGAGGCTGAATCGGCATACCTTGAACTGCGCTGTTTCATAGCGTCAACATTTGCCAGGGCGCTGGACAGGAACACACTTACCCGCATTGAAGGTACGATCTTTGGCGCTGACGATATGCTCCGGCTGTGCGGCAAGCCAAGACGCCATGGAGGGCGGTAGGAGGATTTGCGGGGCACGAGTCCAAGTTGGGACAACGAAAATCTTGTTATTCTAAATAACGATGTTTAGAACGACGGTAAGAGATGTCAGGAACCTAAGGCGGACCTTGCTGTACTTCTTGTAGCCGTCCATGTACATCGGGATGGACTGGAACCAGCCGCGCCAGTTGGCGCGCAGCGCGGAAAACCACTCGCTGTCGTTCTTGCCCATCCATGTGAGACCTGTTGTCGCATGAAGCGTTAGCAACACAACAAAGCTTAGACTAGGTAACGTAGACCACTGACCTTGGGGAATTCGGGCATGATCACTGCGTGATTTCAACACAGCGACAATGAAGAAAAATGCGGCGAAGAAAAGAAGGGGCGCGATCGTGGTCGCTACGAAAATGAGAGGGAGGTAGGGCAGCAGCGCATGCAGGCCGGCCAGAGTAGATTGCGAGTCAAGAGGAAAGCCCAACATCGTCGGACAGATGAGAGAACACGAGTTGGGAACAGACGAAAGGTGCCCGCTCGTTTTATACTAGAAGCAGGGAGCGTCATCGTGGGACAAATACTCTCCATCGCGATCCAAATGAGTAGCCAGCATAGCTCCAAATCTTGATCCAGCGGAAGGAATGTAAAACGGTGAGGATGTTATGTTGTACAGATCTGGCCCCAATCGATGAGGCACACAGCTTGGCGCCGCCGATGACTTGCGCCGCAGAGACTTGCGTTTAAATCCGACCTGCGCATCTCGTCGAGAAGGTGTCTGATGAGAGACTGTCTGGAAGGGTTCAGATGCATTTACGTACTCGGTAAGTTTCGCTGAGACCTGGGACCGCTAGAAAACCGATGAACGGTCACAAAGTGCCGCGATGAAGAAATTTGCACTTTTAAGCTCTGTTGATGCCCCCCTTTTGATCGGTCGAGTATCGCAGCTCTGCGTTAAAATTGGGTAATAATTATTCTTCATCCCCCGTCGGCTCTTGGCTCTTGCATCACATGAAGACAGACACTTGCAAACAATGATTGCAACAACACCATCAGTTTGTATGGAGAGAGAGGCGCTGGCGATGACTCCAAATGTCGATCAAACACACCCACATCAATAGATTCCGTTGAAGAACGATGTTTCGGTGACTATCAAGCAGCAGCAAAGAGCTTGTAGAGAACATTAGATTGCTCGCACGACCGTGACGATTGAACTTGGATACGCTGGCTCGTCATCACCGATGCGCCAGAGTGAATGCAAAGTTGCTCTCTGGTCAGGTTGGAACTTGAATGATGCAAAATTAGATGGCGGATAACACAGCTTGAAGAAGCACCAGTGATCCCCATTTGCATTCCTGGGTTGTCTCGCCGTTACAGGGCGGGTTGCAAGCGGGTTGGTACTTGGGTCTTGGGATCCTTGGTTGTTGCTAATTTCCAGTAATGGTTGAATTATACTTCCGAATGCAGATAGATGTGGCGCGGCAGCGAACAGACAGACCAGCAACGAGTACTACTAGTCTATAAACAGTAGTCGCCATTTTGAGGTTGAAGACTATACACTACGTCTTGTGATTCGACAGTCGGTATAGGTTTGTCAGTAAATGCTCGGTGCGGTGTAACGGAGTCGAGTATACACAATAGGCTGTCAGGTAGATTCGTGTCGAATTTGAGTCTGCAGTTGCAATCGCAGATGGTTGGCCAGGACTGAATAACACCCAGCGAAGCTGACGTTCCCTTTTAATTCCACTGATGCGGATAGCCAGGGAAACAAGCGGGGGAGTCAGGTCCAGCTATTGAGCTTGAGGAGGATCTCAGATTGTGTTGACGACGACTGCAAAGAAGTGTTGTTCGTATTGGCTATGGTTGCCGTCATGGCTGTTCCGAGTAGCCCATCCAAGGAGCTTGAATTGAGCCTGACGACTCCGGACAAAAGCCTCGACTCTCCCAATGGTTGTTGGCAAGTGACTTTGGTTGGTAAGCTCACAGTAATAGGGTTGTTCCGAACCTCGGCCATCATGGCAATGAGACCTTCCGCCGATGAGGTGAGCGTGAACTTAGCGACTCAACGGATGTCATTTAGCCCCGCACGCATGTTGACGACAACATTGCTTGGTGAATATGTTTCTTCACAAGATGTAACAGAACAGGACCGACGGAGTCAACGAGGACCAGTTTGTCTTCCGAAGATATTACCACAAGGCTAAGAAGAACAACACTACAGCACGACAGTGAAGTTGTGACCAATCCAAACTCTCGTGTATGATATAATGTACATGCAAGCCGACATAGGGAATAAGATACGACTGGAGGTGAGGCGATGTAAGCCTTAAGAATGACGAGAGCCATAGCAGGCCTACACAACGTGTTTATGACACTCCGCCCCAAACACCGAGACCGGTAAAAAGAACTCCAAGACTGACGACCGCGCTTATAAATGCGGCTGAATGGAGGCCGACACGAGGAAGAACGCCAGGCGCATGGAGTGTTGAGAGAAGGGCGTGTGTAGCGGCAGCCAGTCCTATCAATAATACGGCAATGGGCCCGTGCACAGACAATGAGACCCCCAATAGTAGAAACAGGCCCAGCGACAGCAAGATGGCATTGATTCGCTGCAGCGGAGGGATAAATGGCGGAATATAAACTAAAGGAAGGCCGAGAACATCTTCCAACTCGTCGCGGGCTTTAAGCGCAAGAAGCTGGTCGAGATCATTCTCAAGTTCCGTGTCTGGATCCGTCAGAATTGTCGAGGAGTTCATTGGATGGGGGATTGAGCTTTGATATGAGGAAGTCCGTCTTGGAAGGAGGGGAGTGCGCTCAACAGAGGCAGAGAGTTGCTGCTCTGTCGAATCTGGTGTGGCAACCCCAGAACTTGCTATTGGAGAGGTCACGAGCACGTCGCGGTATAGTGCAAGTCCAGAGTATCCTTGTGCGACAGCAACGACTCCTTCCGCTGCTGCCCAACCCAACCCAGCCCACCATATACGAATGAAGGCAGGATCATGCCAAGTTGGTTGCTTGTATTTTGCGTAAGATTGGATAAGGAGGAAGCATAGTGAGATGAGGCGCGCAAAAGTTGAGAGGATGCTGGTTAGAACCGTGGATATCAAGGTAGCGGTGAGCGATTCGGAAATGAGCAAGTTGGGTATGGCAGAAAGAGTGGGTCGTAAGAGATGTGTGAGCGCAAAGAGGGCTGCGGGGAGAAGAATCTCTGGTATTGGGTAGGGCAAGAGGGCCGGGTATGGATAGTCGTTGTCCTTTTTGTGGTCGTGGTAGGCAATTTGGGGTAGAAAGGCAAGCAGTGCGATGGTCACGATAATTGTCAACGGTGCAAGGGTGTAAAGTAGTACGAGGCGCTTGTAAGAGCCTGAATCTGCATAAGCCTTGAGAAGCAGTGCAAAAAGGCGCAACAGACCGCGATACAATCCCTCCGACTCTAACAAGTCCTCATCAACCCATTCATCATCGTGGTAAGCCGGCTCGTCAACTTCTGGAACCCTATTGAGTGGACCGTCGACACGTATGCGCTCGGGGCTGGATGCTGGAGGTGGGGAAAGCATGGCCAGTGGTCAAGGACGGACGGAGAGGGTCATTTCGGTAGAAAAACAGCACACAATCGCATCATTATGGCGCTGTGTTACAGTCACAGCGCCTCACCGCAACGCGATCACATGCTTTCTTCCAAAGAATTAATTGACCGAACGCAGATCTGGCCAGCACGCGTTTTGGACTGCTTTCCTGAAAATAAATCCATAGTTGGGTTCTTGCCCCATTCTATGCGTGCTAAAGATAAACGTGTTTTAATTTGATCCTGATGCAATGAAGTTGCATTCAGATACGAGTCGCCAGTTGCCTACGCCGGCTATAGACAGCTAGTTAACCTGGTCTGAGTGCTCTGCCCCTTGCAGATGATTCAAGCGAAGAGGGTGGTCATGATGTATCTGGGGAGCGCCAAAGTTGAGAGACGGACGGAAAGTGGTGATCAATAAATATTCAACAAACTACTAGCAATTCAGACAGGAAAGCAATGAGACTGGTAGAAAAGACTATTTAAGAGTGTCAAACAAGAGTTCAACATATCAAGAGCTCAGAGGCGACGAGCGTAGACGGAGTTATAGAGGCCGACTAGACCAGGCAGACTGCGCAACTCAACGCGGGCCCCAGTGTAAACTTGATCAAGGACTGGGGGCTGTAAACCACTCTTTGCATTCAAGAGTGGGCGAACACTCTTCATATACTCTCTGAATACATTGCGGAAGGCACGCCCAATGCGCTGAAGATTGGGCTGTGGATGCCATCCACCGAGGGGTATGATGCTCGTTGCCGGTGTAATTTGGTCGAAGTTCTGGGGTTGAGCAGCAAGCAGAGGAGCGACCAAAGGAGCCGATGCCGGGAGAGGGTTAGGCGGGGCAGTTAAAGCTGCATGGAGAGCTGCAAAGAAGGTATGGAGAAACGGAGCAGTCTGCTGTGAGACTGGGGTGGGGATTGCTGGAGCAGCGGGATTCGGCGCTACCATGGTGAAGAGCATACGAGACCATTCGCCTGCGATAAAAAGACCGTCAGCACGAAGGAGACGAGCGCATTCGGCTAGCACAGCGGGATAGTTGGTGACCTGTCATCTTTCGTTAAAAAAGGGAAAATGTGAGTATCAGCAATGAAGGGCTGACCGCCATCGAAATTGAACGAGCATGGACGAGGTCAAACGTGCCCGCAGCCCATGGCGAAACAGTATTGACATCATGGATCGAGAAGTCCACGTTGGGAAGAGGATAACGAGTGGCGATAGGAACTGTTGAATTCCACGATTAGAAGGTTCTCTCGACGAGTCAGCATTCATACCGATATCAATACCACGAAAAGCAACATGGGGAAAGTCGCGAGCCATGTCCATGACCCACCGACCAGTTCCGGTACAGATATCCAGCGCATAGCGTTGTCGAGCTGGATTTTGCGCCAGAACATTAGGAACTGGGCAATTTACAGGGTAGTTACCCCCCAAAAACTCGAAAAGGATGCGATGCTGAACATTCATCCTCTGAAAATGATGAAAAAATGGTAAGTTGAGACGGAAAGAATGCATACTTCTTGCTCGGGGGTGTCTGCAGGCAACGGATACGCTGCCGTCGGATGGGAATGGAAGAGGCGACCGTCGCGTTCGGTGAAAAAATCTGGAAACTCGTGGCTTCCGATTTCTTCCATATCGGGCTCTCCTGCGGCGGCATCAGAGAACCCACCCGAGCTGACTGACGAGTTGTCGTCATCATCACTTTCGGAGGTGTTGTTGTTGTCGGTGTTCGACATAAGGGTGGTGGTAGCGGCTTCAAGTTTTGACGAGTCCCATGGTAGTACTGACCTTTCGCTTTATACCAGTAGTTGCGCATCGCAGTAGCCAGCAGGGGGTACAACCAGAAGAACTGGGGGCGCTTCAAGAGCAATCGGGAGCAGCCGGCGCCAAAAGCCTCAGTTACGATCGACAAGCACCCACGATAACGACATGAGGCCCATGACGCTTGAGGAAGCTTGCCTATTTCATACACAGTTTCCCAGGGTACGAAGGAGGTTGTATTCCAGGTTGAGAAGATGCTCCTTTCATAAAACTGATACATCTCGAAGATTGAGTCGAGGTTGTGGGTCCGTTGTACATGTGGCTGTGATGTGACACACGAGTCCGCACGAGTCACTATGTGACCCTCTCGTCACGAACAACCTCGACGATATGCAAACGATGGACATCGACGCGTTTTTTCGCGAGCAAGACGAACATATGAACATCCCGGTCAACAGTGACGAGCTTCTGACTCGCTTCAAACCCAAAGGGTAGGCCCTTTAGCCCTGATAACGCGCGGCCATTCACTAATCTTGCCAAGTCCTATGGAGCGACCACATGTGGCATTCGCCTTGCCCACACACAACGACACCGTCGATCCACCGGCGGTTTTGAAGGGTGGTTCTTCAAATGATGAAGTCGAGCCAATAAGGCCAGCCTTCTTCGGACTCACGTTTTGCCCTCACCAATCCAAAAGCAGCATGCCACACTCAGAACGGAGCCCCCGACTCGCTTCAAACCCAGTCAATGTCTTTGCGATGCGCGGAGTCATTGTGGAAGAGACCAAGTGCGACCAACTTCATTAATTCGACCTGGAAGCGAGCCTAACCAACGAATGGACTAGACAACCCATACCTCGGACGACACTCACACGACTCTCGGCTCATCTACCTAATCCCCAAAGCCCTTGTGCTCCAGCGTCTCCCACATCTATTGACCACGACACCCTAAAGCGGAAACAGTCGCCGACCAAGCCAGAGAAACCGGCACCAAAGAAGCGCATTATCGATCCACGGGCCGAGCGGGATTCACCAGAGGGGTCAGTCCTCATGCCATACATACAGCATGCTCTATTAACGATGGACAGCGTGCCTGCTGCGAAACCGTCCTCGAAACAGCTCAAATCCCTAACCAAAGTTCTACCGCCACTCGTATTGAATCTGCCAATAGCACCAATTCCTCCCGCTGCCGATATTTCTTCATCTCCCATTGAAGATGCTAATTTCTCGGTCTTGATCAACAAATTCGAGCCTCAAGAAACCTCAACCCAACCACAGAGAGAAGTTGCACGACAACCCACCGAGTACGAGTTGATGATGATGAGGGTCAAACAACGGCAGCAAGAAAATGCGAACAAGAAACGGCACAAACATAAAGCCGTTGCGAGACAGGCGATCGATCCAGGAACCGCTGGCCCGAGCACGAAGCCAGATGACGATATCATATCGATTTCTTCTTCTCGTCCAGCCTCTCCAGAAATCAATCCGGCACGAAAGCCCAGCAAGCCAAAGAAGGCAACAAACGCGAAGCTGACGGCCAGGGCCAAGCCCAAACCAATCCCTCTCAACCAAACGGTAGCCAAAAAGAAACAAGAAGCTACTCTGAGACCGAGGGAATACGCGGAGATGTTGCTGGAGCGACAAGCTCAAGACCCAGACGATCCCCTCGTCCGGCAGACGAATCATCAATTAGAAGGATGTACTGTCATATACATTGGACCTGAAATGGAGAACATCGCAGCATCTCCCCTCACCAGAGGTCGTTGGAAAAAAGTCCGTCTTCATACCTTCACAGCTCGAGCATCGTTCAAATGGATCACAGCTCATACAATACGGTGCCACTCTATCACCGGTATTTAATCCTGAAACCGTGACCCATATCGTATGCGATGCCGCTGAACCCACTGTCCGGAGATGGCTCAATGTCAAGAAACTCTCCCAAGTCCCAAGCCACATTCCAATAGTTGGCTGGACATGGGCACTCCGAGGTGGTCAGCCCTTTGAACATGCTATTTTCCCCAATCATATGCCTGAGATTGAGGGTTTTGCGCCAAGAAAGGGAAAAGAGAAGGACCTCGCGCAGTTGGTTCGTTGCAGCCGTCTCGCAACCCACTAAGATAACTTCAGGCAACGAAAGAGATCGACTCCAGTCGACTCGGAGGACGAAGAGTCAGATTCTGAACGGAGGCGGCACGAAAGACCTTCCAAGAAGCGCCGTGTATCGTCTCCTGAACAAGACAAACCCCGAGTCCAGATGTTGAATACCTCATTGGATCCTCTTGCAGAGTTTCATGATATCGTGTTAGCAGACCTTCGGGCGGTAAGTGTGCAATTGGATTGGTCCAGAAGCCTCTTCATTAATGTTTGCGTAGGAGGGATTGGCCTCTGACTCGGAAGGCGAAGATTCGAACTCAGCTGTAGGCCATCTTACGCGCAACCATGCCAGATAGTTTTTCCTAAACTCCTTGTCGTCGCAGACTACCCCTGCGAATGCTGTCTCATCCACTGGCAATCCGAACCAGTACATCATGGACAAGGTGCGACATATTTGTTTTCCCGTTCCACCATATGAAGCCACGTTTTCCAGCTCCAAGAACTCATGGAGCTACACGAAGCGAAAGGTGCCGATGGAGACCAATGGCGCGTCATGACGTACAAGAAAGGTATTGTTCTTCATGTTATAGATGGACAATATTCAATGTTGGCAGTTTTGAGGGCGCTTAAAAACGTCCATAGACCCATCAAGACATACGAAGACGCAATGAAAGTCCCTTATGTGGCCGAGAAGACTGCCAAGAAGGCGAGTTTGTCTCGTTCTTATCTTTGGCGAAGTAATGCTGAAGACCCAGGGCAGATCATGGAAATTGTCAATACTGGTGATCTCCAAAGAATCAAATATGAGAATACTCCGGAGTTACGTACTCGGAAGGTATTCCAAGGCGTTTATGGTGTTGGTTAGTGCACCACCGAAGACACAGTCGCACGTTTCCTAACTCACTACAGGACCTATGATTGCGCAGAAGTTCTATAACGCTGGTTGTCGGACGTTGTTGGATTTGGTGGAAGGCAAGGGTGGTATCGTATTGACAGAAGCCCAAAAAGTGGGCATACAATTTTACGACGGTGGGTGTTTCCTTCATGACATGGACGATGTTGACACCGAGCATAGACATCAACTCGCGGATGCCTCGTGAAGAGGCTCAAGCGCTCTTCGACCTTATCAAACCTGTTGGTGAGCGGAAACATATGCCTGTTGTTTGGCGCCATTTGTTGAGTGACTCAAAGCTCTCAAAATCGACCCTAAACTCGAAGTTCACATTATGGGGAGTTTCCGACGGTGCATCCTTATTGCCATCGTTCCCAGTTCTCCTCTGACTTCCCGCTCAGCGGCAAAGCGACCTGCGGCGACATTGATATAATGATTACCCGGGATCCAGCGGATGGGAAGGATCACAGAGGAATTCTTCACCACCTTTTGAAGGCGTTACATAAGAAGGGCATTATCACCGAAGATTTAGCTTTGCCTGAGAACCCATTTGACGAGGAAGCCATATATCGTGGTCTTTGTCGCCTTCCCGACCGGCCGGACTCGAAACGCCGAAGGATCGACTTCCTCACCATCCCATGGAAGTGCCGTGGGGCAGCATTGTTATATTACACGGGAGATGACATTGTGAGTGAAGCAGTTGATGTTGACGCTTCTTGACGTTTCGGCCAGTTCAACCGGAAAATGCGCTACAAGGCAAACAAGATGGGATACTCGTTGAACCAGAAGGGGCTTTATGCTGGTGTAGTGCGCAATCCGAGTAAATGGAGTGAGAAGACTAACACCGGTGAGTCTACACTTCCTCGCTGGTGTCATCGTGCTGATTGGATATTCAGGCAACGTTATTGCCTGCGAAACCGAGGAAGAAATCTTTGCTAAACTTGAGATACCTTTTCTGCCACCATGTGATAGGATGGGTAAGGATGTCTCCGTTTACCCAGGCGGGAGTTGAGTGAGTGACAATGGATGCTCAGCACTGTGGACTTGTAAATCTTTTATGTAAACTAAATTTGTAGCCACTGCCGATTGTTTTGTGTCTGTTGCTGATTGTTGTCGGGTGATCATTTGGATGATGGTTGGAAATTTAGACTTCATCAACTATGCGAGCTCTCGTTGGGGATGTCCGTCCGACGGCGCCGTCCCTCTGAATTTTTGTCCAACCAATTGCGGGCAGCAAGCTGCGTCGTAGATGCGTCGTTCATCGTGTCGATCAGATCATCGCGCAAATCTTAAATTCCCTCTTCGGGAAAGTCGCATCAGTCGCTGACACAACCTGACACCAGCCACTCATGAGCGGCTTCAAAATTACCTTTCGTTTACATAGCACGTCTGGGCGCCGTGTGAACCAGTGGCGGGCCACCACGGGCAGCGGGAATGTAGACTTGGTGGGGCGGAAGGTATGACAATTTGACCCTCGCAGCAGCCATCACTTGTGAATACTTGGCAACTCTTCAACTTGTGGTTAAGGGATGTTTCGTCCCTCGGGTGGAGCGACGACTATATAAGCCGCCGCTTCCCAGGCCTGGACGTCCACCTGCCTTTTCATTAGGCTCGCCCACCACACTCCCTTCCTCGGAACACACCAAACTATAATATTTTGCTATGCCGACCCACTCCTCTCTTTCCAAAGTCATCCTCTCGTCGCTGAGCGCGATGAAATGGTCGGCGACGCCGTTTGATGCCGGCTTCGACATTAACGCTGTGGCCGCGACCGCAAAAGCGCTCCCTTCCCATTCATGGGAGTATGGTACTGCGACCCAAGCTCTGCTCGAGCTATATTCCCCCCTGCACTCCGTCTTTGGACCGGCCCCTTTTCCCGTGCGCGAAGTTGACCCAGCGCTCGTCCCTTCACTCGACTACGCGCGGCAGAAGATTGTCATCGGCACTGGTGCGAATGGACTTAGCAACGGCAAGTTTTTTTTATTGTTCAATATTATTTTCTCACTGATACCATATAGGCGACGGTGCCGTCGGCGATCCCGCGAGTCTGGGTGTCAGTGCTGTCCTGCTGGGCAAAACCAACAAGACTTTTGCAGACGCGGCGGCGAGCGAGATCGAATATATGGTCAACCAAGCTCCGCGCTGGGTAAACGGCGCCATCTCCCAACGGACGGACGTGCCTGAGCTCTGGTGTGTTGTCCTATTCGTGCCTTTATCTGTCTTATTGTCCACTTTAGGGCGGACTTCATGTACATGGCCCCGCCGTTCATTGCCTACTTCGGAGCTGACACCAACAACGAATCACTCGTCGAAACCGCCTATCGCCAATGCGGTTTCCAGCGCGAAGTTCTGCTTTTCCAGAGCGACTCCAAGACTCCGTCTCCCGCAGGCTCTTCTGCCACCAACGGTTTATGGCAACACATTATCGGACCCCAGAGCGCCGACCACGGACTCTGGAGCACGGGAAATGCTTGGGCTGCTGCGGGGATGACCCGTGTTCTCGCAACCGTCATCAAAGCCCCAGTCGCAAAAGGCAAAGCTTGGCAAACCGGCGCCATCTCCGACCTCACCAGCTGGGTGAAAGAAATTCTCGACGGCGCGATGGCCTCTCCCGCCGATAACGGGCTCCTGCGCAACTACCTCAACGACACGACGACTGCCCATGGATTCGGCGAGATCAGCGGATCAAGCCTGCTTGCTGCCGTGGCCTACCGGATGGCCGTGCTTGCCCCTGCCACCATAGGGAGCAAGTATGTTGCCTGGGCGGACGACATCCGCGTCCTGCTCGGCGGAAAGGACGCTGCTGGCCTCCCGCACATCACCACCAACGGGACCGTTACACCCGCTGTCAACCCTCTGGGCTGGCACGACACCAAGCCGTTCACTGCTGGAAGCCCCGAGGGCAACAACTTTGTTGTTCTCCTCTACGCTGCGTGGCGCGATTGCATCTATGCTGGTGTTTGCAAGAAGCCAGAGTAGGGTGGTAGGGGAATTAAGACACATTCGTATATACATACTCTCTTTAGGTAGTTGAACTTAAGTTATCGGGAATGTTGTTGTCTTGACTTGTCCTAGTCGTCCAATCCAATATGCCGCAAACCAGCGCAATCAAGAACTTGTCCCATCTGCCTTAGGGTGCACGGATAGCTTTACCCTGCCCGCAAGTACAGGTCGTACCGACTTCTGGTCGCCAACCCGCTGAAAATGGGAGAAATGAGCGAGTTGTCGAGATTTGATGTTGTGTTGTCTATCCGGTGTCACGTTGTGACACCGGAAAAAAATCTTTTCTTCTCCTCACATCAAGACCCGACTTGTTCTCCAGCGACTTGCCGACATCTCATTGTCTACTCTGTCTTAACATACCCTCCAATACAAACTCTTCCTTCCTTCGAGCTCCTCCCCCAACGCCAACTTCACCCCTGCTATTCGCTCCGCACACGGCCCCTCCCACCGAGTGCAGAGCTGCTAATTCAGGGGAATATGCTGCTCAAGAGCGGCGACATTTATTTCGGTGGCGGCCGTGAGGAGAGGGCCGTTTCGCCTTACGAGGTGTCGTAGATATCAATGTGTCCCTACTTCGTTAATAACGAAGTAGGGACACATATTCTGTACCCTAGTAGACCATAATCGGAATCCCCGTTCCCGTGCGTCTTCGGCCGGCGCCGTGCCCCATGTCTGAGCTTCGACACAAGCAAATGCGATTGGAGGTGAGCAGTGTAGTGGATGCTCGATTTGTTGATTGTTCAACCTGACCCCACCTCAGGCTGTTGAGTCGTAAGCAGGAATGGCGGCCAAGCTTGGAGCCCGAGCTACTGGGCTGTATCTTGCTCATGCGTGAAATCCAAACTTGAGTGCACATAACCGGCGGGCCCGACTTTGCGAATTTTCAGAAGGGTCTGTAAAAGGGAACAACCGGGCGCTTCAAGTTTGTCTCCCACTGCCGCCCAGTACTAAGCACATGCTCACACGCTCTGTTTCGCCAGCTGTACTACTATTATTCACAAGCCCGTGCATAATCCAAACTTGATTCACTGGACTGCCACGAATGTTTGTAAGGGTCTGTCTGTAAAAGAGACAACCATGCTTCTGAATCGAGTTTTCCCACTGTCTTATAGTATACGTACGCTCTGTCTCGACAGCTGTACTCTTCGCAATCCAATCCCACCCCGTTTCACTCTATGCCCTCGTTTTCTGGGCAATCCGCTTCTATCGGCTTAAGCCTTCCCGCTCGCCGCCTTCCAAACGATCGCGTGGTCGCGCCAAGGCTGATCTGCGACTACTGAGCACGACGGAACGCACAACAACATCTGAATCTGACCGGGTCAAAGTCTGCTGTTGCTTCCCAAGTTCTCTTCCAACCGGCAGCAGGAAGGAACAACACAATACCGCCGACAAGTCCTTCGAGAGCAACTGCGGGGATGCTAAAGCAGTCAAAATTCTCAGTCACAGCAAAGCAGAGATGATGATCAGCAATAAAATTCGTGTCTCGGTAGAGTACTTGCAAACTACTGGTATGGATCCAAGCTCTACACCCTAAACTATTTGGTGAGGCAATGGAAAGAAAAAATTATACAGCGGGCTCCGTGCTCTCCTTGTCCTCGACGACCTTCTCCTCGCCACCCTCGTGCACCTTGCCCTTCTCTGCGGCCCAGGTGGTATGCGGCTTCCAGTTGCTCGACGTCCGTGGTGTTGTCTCCACAAGCATCTGGTCAACTTGCTCAAGCGACAACCCCTTGGTCTCAGAGACGAAGAAGTAGGCGAACGTGACCGAGAGGGCAGCGGTGGAGCCCCAGATGAAGAACACCTTGGGGCCGAGGTTGGCCTCGTCGGTGGACACAAAGTAGGGAGTAATGACACCGATGATGCAGTTCCAGAACCAGTTGGACGCGGTCGACATGCCGACACCACGTGACCGGATGGGGAGCGGGAACATCTCACCGACGACGACCCAGGCAGCGGGACCCCAGGTGGTGGCGAAGGAAGCGATGTTGAGACAGATGAAGGCAATTTCCGCACGGACTGCGGGGGGATTGCCGCCGGGGGTCTGAGCGTGGGGGGCGGCGGTACCGATGATGGCAACAATGTATTGGCAGACGACCATCAAAGAGCCACCGATGAGCAGAATGCGGCGACGACCGTACTTCTCGATGATGTAGAAGGAAATTGGGGTGGTCAGCACGTTGACGAGGGTGGTGACGAGCGAGATCAGGAAGGGGTTGCTGATCGTGCCGAGTGTTTGGAAGAAGGAGGTACCCTGAACAAAGCCGCGTTAGAAGCAGTAAACAAGGTCGAACGAGTCAACTCACGAAGTAGAAGATGAAGTTAATACCAGTGAATTGCTGAGCGCACTGGAGACCAGTTCCAACGATGGTGCGACGAAGGTTGGAGCTACCATCAGAGATGGGGCCTTGGAAGCAAGCGAGCCACGAGCCAACGTAGCTGGTCGTGGGGATATGGTCGCGCTCGTATTCCAAGTTGGCGAGAATTTCAGCCAGCTCATCCTGGACGTAGTCCGAGTCACGTGGTTGGTCGCGGACACGCGCAAGGCAGTCGGTGGCCTTCTCGATGTCGCCCTTGCGAGCCCAGAAACGGGGGGACTCTGGCAAGAAGAGCAGACCAACACCGAGAATGATGGCCCACAGGAACTGGACACCGATGGGAATGCGGTAGGAGCCAGTGTCGAGACGGTCTTGAGTGGCGTAGACGACACAGTTAGCAAGCAGGATACCAATGGTGATGCAGAATTGGTAGCCAGAGACCAAGGCACCACGGACCTGACACGGAGATTAGATGACTGACGTGATTGACATGAAAAAGGCAACACACCTTTTTGGGGGCGATTTCCGACATGTACAGAATGATAATGGCGGAGATGAAGCCAACACCGGCACCAGCAATGAGACGACCGATGACGAAGGCGGCAAGGGCGTCCTTGGGGGCGATTTCGAGAATGCAGCCTACGGAGAAGACGATGCAGCCAATGACAATAGTGAGACGACGGCCGATAACGTCAGCGATATCACCCTAGTTGAAGTTCAACGAAAAATTTAAAGCAAGGGATAAAACGCACGGCAACGAGGGCACCAAAGAAAGTTCCGGCCGAAAGGATGGAAGTCATGAGCGACTTCTCCCATGCTATACGGTGTTAGTCAATGCGCGAGGCCGAGGCCGTGGGCGTACCAGGAAGAGCGAAGTCAGCTAAAAAAAAAAAGTGTGTGAGTATGAAGTTGATTGCGATGAGAAAAACCATACGCGGAAGGTGAGCAGCTCGAGGGTCGGCGGGGTATGGCTTGTGGGTGTACATCTGGATGAAGTAGGGCATTCCCAAGACACCACCCATCCAGCCAGTGTCATAACCGAAGAAGATACCACCGAAAGCGGCGAAGACACACATAAAGTATGTCTTCACCGTGACCGGGGCTTCGATCCGACTCGTGTCGGTCGTTCCTAGCACAACTGCACCTCCTGGCATGATGGGCAACTAATGCGAGAGGAGGGTGAGCGGGGAAGTGTGTGGGTGGGACACGAAAGAAAAGGTGAGCCTGGCACTGACTATTTAACGGTTGTGACCTTGGGAAGGTCATTTGACCTTCGAAAATCTCGTAACCTGATGCGGCCGAGTGATGCGCATTTGGCGTGTTCCTCGCCATGCTTCCCGCTTGTTTGACGTACGAAACTTCCGACTTCGCCAAGTCTTTGAGGGCGCGGGAGAGAGAACACAATCCAAAATAAACTGCCGATGGACGAAAGTACGGAGGACTATCCATCTTTCCAGAGTTTCCCCGCATCCTTTGTTCGAGGCAGAGATGGCTCCATACCCCAGTTTTGGGGGCCCGCTGACGTTGGCACAATGATCAAATTGGAAAATGATGATGCACGAGACCTTGCGGGGTTTGACGACTAGACGGTTGATGGGATATGTGCGATGTAATAATTTTTTCCCTGCTCCATTGCCCTTTGAGCGCTTGGAAGTGATCGATGGGTGAAAACAACCCGAAGCTTCGAAGCCACAACAGACACCCGCGCGGCAAGGCCATTCTAGCCTTTGAATGCGTGGGTTTGCTGCCGGAAACAACCATATGCACCGACCAGACATGTGAACCGGCACCGATTGGCGACTGATGGCAGTGCGTTTCGCCTCTTTTCCCGAGTCACAGGTCGTTTTTGCAGCATGTAAACCGATCCATCCGGTCGGAGAGGACGTGGAGACTGAAGAGTGTGAAAAAAGGAGCGTGTGTTTGAGGTGCCTGAGAGAAGGAAAAAAAACGACTGCCAAGCCATTCTCAACCCTGACAAAGCCAAGATCGCCGGGACACGGTCATGTGCTTCTCACATAGTACCTGGGACGCGAGCCGCTCCCACACACTTCCCGAAGTCCGATTCCCAGATTGCTTCTAGAATCCCAAGCTTCCTAAACGCCGCACGAAGTACTCACCTGTGAGCAGAGCTCGGTCCCGTCCGCCAATATGCGATGGCCTTCCAGAATAACCATCGTCCTCTAATAGTCTCTTCGTGGGAGCCTTGAGAATGGGGGTAAACTGCTGTAAACCGATTAACTTACCCCAATCAGCAAGCCACGATCCGGCGGTGAGGGGACCTCACGGGATACTCATCTGACCCGTTGACGGACTCTCCACCCATACCAAGTCAGACTTGGGGAACACGATTTCACTCAGTAATCAGCTAGGGATTCATTATACTCTATTTGTTCGCGAAGAGCAGCATTGCCATATGCACCCGATCTGGTGAAGGGTAATGAGTACACACAGAATAACCATCTAACATAGACACCAACCAATCAGGCCGCAATCATCCAGGGACCCGATGAAGTCGAAGCAGCGCTGGCTGTCTGCGTAGGTGGTATGAGGCGCACCAGACCAGATCTTCTTCGATGGAGGTGCACTTTAGGCTAGACCGTAGGTAGAGACGGACGATGGGCCAAGGTGCTTGGAGGAGTGAAAGCAAGCGAAGGAGCGATGACGTCATGATTATTTTTGCTGCCTTTTTCACCAATGTCTTTATTCATGTAGCTCTACGATTCCACCTGAAGAAGCAGGTTCGTTTTCACGCAAATTTCGACACTGGCTCAATGCCTAGGGGGCAGGTTCAACGACGTCGGCGTTCGGGAAGGTATCCCAGAAGACATACTGTAGGACCTGCTCTGTCTCCTCCTACTTTGCTGGGGTCTTATTGACTCTGAAATTTGTGCTTTTGTCGTCGGACGAAGCTTCGATATGGCGCCTCGTTGTGGGACATCAATTTTCTAGAACGGCGTTTTGCGAGTGGTGGACTACAACACTAGGATGGAACAGCCTGCGCTTCAAGCTTCAGGCCTACTAGTAGCTTCAGAAAGGACTATACGGGGTTGGCCTTGGGTTTGGCGGCCAATGCCGGGAAGCAAATTCAGATTACTTGTGTTGTATAGTAAGCGTTGCCCTCGAACAGCCGACCAGGCCCTACCAAAACAAGGGCGGCGAAGGATAACAATGACGGTAGAGAAGCAACAAGCTTTGCGAGGGGTTTCGATGTTGCCGGGAAACCGGTAGTAACAAGATAGGATAGGCAGAGAAGGGAGACATTGAGAGACAGCAAAGGGAAACCGGAAACCATCGTCGAGTGATTGAATCTTTCCTCATACCCCTCTTCCACCCAGCGAACTTGAACGCAAACGACATGCACGAGACCGACACGAGACCGTCTCAGTCCGGAAGAGTCGCCACCCAGCATTATAGACTTCGCGGTCGTCATGTTCATGACACAGCCTGACGGGCAATATACTGTGAATACATACCATCGACTTGACTCCCAGAACCCTCCCACCACCGACGAGCGCACATGGCGGGAAGCGGCAATAGCAACCATCGCAGTGTCGGGCACAGCGGCGACGTAAATCTTCCGGTGCGCTAATAAAACCTCCGCCACTGTGTGTCGCTTTCTAATCGAATACCCAATTTCATCTCTATTGGGATTTTCTCCCTCCTTCCACTGCCCTGTCGTCTATCACCCCATGTTCCGCGAGAAGCAGGCCACGAGCAATGTCCCTGCCGCTGTTCGCAACCTTTTGACGTCGACAAAACAACTGCCGAGCATACTTTCGAGATGGGCCCGTGGGGAGGCGTCAGAGACTGACGTTTCCAATGTCTATGTCCGTGTTGGAACCGACTTCAACGCTGCTGTCCAGGCTTTTGCGATTCATAGCATCGACTTGAGGCACGTCTCCCCAATCTAACCCCAACTATGATTCGTCTCACATGTCAATCCAGCGACCTTCACTCTATACCCAGCGAACTTCGCACTGTCCTTGAGCAATGCCTGGCAGAAGATCCGTCCCCAGAAATTCTCGCCATGTTTGCGCCTGATCTACGCGCGGTTATCGTCAAACTTCTCCGAGGACTACAGGCAAAACAAGATGCATGGAAGCGCGCCAAAGCGAGCTCGTCCGCCAACGCCAGTCCAATATAATCATGGCGTCAAGGGAGAACTAGTATAGACGACGGACGCCGTATCATCGACTCAATGTACTTTTACCACCCTTCCGCCAAAATGTCACTGTACACTGTACTTGGTTTGTATTGCTATCGATATTCCATCGGCCACTGTTTCCGCCGACGACTGAATGAACGACGGAAAGAAAAAAGTACCCAGACTCCGAATATCAATCAGACCAGCCAGACTCGCAGGCTTATCGAATTTGCTTCCATTGGCATGAGCAAGTCGTCGCCGTCTTCAACTTGAAGGGACTATGGCATTCGAATCGCCAGCATCAGACTAGGCAGCCAATTTCTGGCGAGGCTCTGATTTGAACAAGTCAGAATATCTTGTCAGATTGGGGCAAAACGCGGTTCGAGCTCGAGTGCAAAGGTCGTAACGGGGGCCATAGCTGAACCACGGGATGTGTGGCAGATTCACGACCATAAGCTCAGCACGAATGAGATTGTTAGGCCTCAAATTATTGGAAACAAGTAGCGCTAGTACATCACGTTGTCTCCGAGCAGGAGCGCGACGAGCGAGACCCGCTTCGTCCTGGCCAGCTTGAATGTCGACATCGTCGCTGGATTTGATCCACATCGAATATCAAGAGCGCGATGTTGTAGTATCGGATCTGGTAGGAATAGTTATAGCGAGATACAAGAAGGCAGTGTTACTAGTACCCAAAAGAACATCATCTTGCACAAGAAGGCAGTGTTACTAGTACCCAAAAGAACATCATCTTGCTCATACTCCAGCGTTGTGACTGGCAAGCGATTAACGCAATCCTCAATGCGACTTCACAACACACTCAGCTTCACGGAAGTCATGTTCATGGACATCCGAATACGCAACGTCGCAAAACGCCGCGCCTCATCTTCCAGAGTAAGAACTAACCAAAGTCAATGCAGTTGGGTGGAGACGTCAGAATCAGCGGGAATGGGACTTACGAACAACATACAAAGGAATGAGATTACCCTTCACCAAGTGGATATAAGTACTGTGCCTCACTAACGAGGAGAACGTCAGGAGATGGCCCAAAACTGGGGGGAAACGGCGGTGAGGAGGCCTCCTCCATGGCCTGCAAATAGCAAGGGAGGCTGCTCCCCAGACCCAGGACAGAGTACAAATCTCGTGTCGTTGGCGGTTTTGCAAACGGAAGTGGGTCTAAGTTAGGTGATACTGTGGCAGAGGCGAACTTGAATGAAGCGGTCTCTTCACCGTTGTGCTAATCATTAGCCTGAGTCGAAGCTGTGTAGCGTTTCCGGATCCGAGTCTCTGTCGACGATTTGTTGCGTCAAAATTTTCGAAGAATATCTTGGAGCTTGTGAGTTGGTGTTGGTTGGTGAACTCGAAGCAACGCCCGATAATGCCGTGATCGGACTGAGAGTCATGTCTGGATCATCTCTTGACAAGAACCTCTCTTCGAGCATTGGCCAAAGCTGAACGCTATCAATACAACTAATAGCCTTGACACTTGCGGCGTACCTTTACCGATGGATTTCATGACTCTAGGGCTCGCGATCAGACATCGACGCGACATTCACTGCCTTGGCGTCCACCTGGACAAGGACGACGAGTGAGGTGGGCTCCCAACTCCTCGTGTTCCCTCGGATCCCCCACCTTCAAGCTTCAGCAACACCTATCACGCTCCGAATTCAAGGCTTTCCGCACTCGGGACCTGACCTGGGATCGTTCAGACCATCGATATATCAGTGCCAAGTTGGCTTCGTTCCTCTTTCGACAAGTCCAGCCTCATCCCATCTACACTTGATCCTCTCGGCAATACACACTCCATCTTTCACCACTGTAACGTCGCCACCAATATAATGAACTACAGTCGAGAAATTTATTCGACACGGCAAGCATCTGGCGGTGAAGCTGCGCCGTCTTTGTGGGGGTATAAAAGCATAGTTAATTGTCGATGCTCTCCAGTGCATTTAGTATGCTCTTCTCCATCGCATTCGTTGCTGCAAGTATTTCCATGGCTGCTTCTGCAGCCACTCTTTCGACCAGACAGCTCAGCGGCTGTACTCCGTCGTTCCAAGGCCATCCTGTCAGCATTATCTATGGTAGCTCGCCTGGTGTCGATGAATTGGCCCCCACAAGCGATACGTCTGGCGCCAATATCGTTACTCGGCCAATGAGTGCCCGCACTCCCGAGTGGTTAGTCGAAAACTCCGGGAACTGGCCTACAAGTTATATCCTCAAGTCCATCTGTTCCACCTTGCGCATTCTTGTTTACTGATGTGTGCGATTTCAGAGATCAGAATGATCATTCTCTCGTCGCACATGCTGCTGGCACTCCGCATTCCGACGCAGCCATCAAGCTGAAAGCGATTGATTATTCTGGACAAGACAGGTTTGTAGCTATTGCAGCTTTCCATTGCATTACTCACAAGCACAAACTACTTAGTCGTCAATTCTGGTACCTTTCGTGCGCTACCTGCGCCGATACCTCGGTTGAAGTTCCCCCTGGCGGTGTTTTCGGGACTTCCTGCCAGATTGCGACTGTGGCGCTGGGAACACTGTGCATTCAGCACACCAATGCTGTGGGAAACCCGCCGGTTCTCGCTCCATGCAATTCCAATGAACCCAACCAGTCCTTTAACCTCCTGCGAGAATATTTGTGATACGTATTGGGACATTAGCGAATTTCGAGGATAGGGTAGATAAGATAAGATAATTTTTTGCTGTGACTCAGTATTGTGACTGCCAATGGTCGATTTCAACCCATGTTCATTGTTCTGCGTCTGACGCTAATGGGGGAACCTCTCACGCAGATACCCCACTTCTCCGCAGCTCAATTTCCGCACTTTCCGACGATTATGCATCCTCACGGCGGGTTTCGGGCATGCTCAACATCGAAGATGGTTCTTGGGAATTCTGAGTGGCTTGAACCGGGGAGTGGTCTTGATGTCCGAAGAGGCTTACGGTTTCGTCCACCGACCCTATAAATGCGGCGCAGGGAGATTTCGAGCCCTCAATTCCAACGCACAAACAATCACAGACACAATGAAGTCAGCAAATCTCTTCGAGCGAAGCACGCTTCATGCTGACGTTCAAGCGGTTAGAGTCGCTACAGTTCAAGCCGAGCCTGCATGGTGGGACCTTAAGGCAGGAGTCAGCAAGACTATCTCGATAATCAAAGAGGCAGCCGCCAACGGTGCCGAGGTCATTGGGTTCCCTGAATCGTTCATTCCAGGCTACCCTATGGTCATCTGGACCCATGGGTTCAATCCTGAATTCTTGGCAAAGTTCAAGGCAAACGCGCTCGATGTCAGGTCGGACGAGTTCAAGAGCATACTTGAGGCCGCAAAGAATGCGGGAATTTGGTCAGTGTTTGGTGTGATCATTCGAAACAACGCGACTGAGGGCTTCAGGGTCGTGTTAGGATTTACCGAGCGCGAGGCAGGGACGATGTATGGCGCACAAGTCATCATCAACGCCCAAGGCGTCGTTGTCTTGCACCGACGAAAAATCAAGGTTGTTTTCATCAAATGATAGTATGTTCCTGACCGTTTCTTTCCTTCAGGCGACAGGCCAGGAGCGTACGATTTGGGGTGATGGTCCGGGTGCGTGACTGCGCGCCGCATTACTACCTTACTGATTGTCCTTTTAGCGGACTCCATCCAGAGTGTGGTCTCGGGTCCAGATGGAATCAAGCTCGGAGCCTTGAACTGCTGGTATTCTTGTTTTGACAGTAGTTTGTCAAACCAGGTCACTCACCGTTTGTAGGGAGCATCTCCAACCCCTGCTTCGATATTATGGATACCATCAAGGCGTTCAACTCCAGATTTCCAGTTGGCCGCTCTTCCTTTCAATGAAGCAAGATGGACATACCGATTTCCAGTCCTCTGGTGAAGGCAATGCGCTGCAGGCGCAATTCACCGCTTTGGAAGGCCAAACCTTTGTCATTTCGAGCACTCAGATCCTCCGTCCCGAGAATGTGGAGATTTGTGGGTAGGTCAATGCTGTTTATAACAGCTATATAGTGATATCACAACTCCTTGTAGTCTTACTGGGGTATCTGGCTGGGAAAAGGTGTGTCGTTGTTCAAATATGTACATTGCTTCGATTGACACTGCGGGCCTCTTAGGGTGGTGGCGGCTTCGCTGCGATCTACGGCCCCGACGGCAAGCAACTGACCCCGCCAACCCAGCCTGACGAAGAGACAATATTGTATGCGGAAGTGGACACCAACCAAGTGCTTGTGGCGAAATTGTTGGCAGATCCCGTTGGGCATTAGTTGAGTGCTCACTGGCCCAAAGAATTCCTGCTCATCGATAGTTTCTCGCTGAGCAGTTCTCGTCCCGATCTGCTTTCTCTGAAAGCGAATCCGCGGCCGCATCCATTTGTAACCGAGGGCGAACCTGAAGCAGACGCCACGCTCCTCCGTCGACTACACAATATTCCAGTTGAAATTCCTTTGTAAGCTTGCGGCGGTGGAGAAACACGCGACCTAGAATGCACCCGATCCTGGTTCCACGAGAAAGAAAGGAAGATAAATTACAGTGTAAGTTAACCAGGACTACCGCCGGAAAGCCTGCTTTGAGTTCCTGACACGAAAACGAAGGTGATAACGAGGCCAGCCAATGCATATGACGATCTACAAGCTGGAAAAGTGGAGCCAGTCGTTGAAGTTTGTGTAAGGGATCGTGTCGCCGGTTTTGGCCCAGTTGAGAATGGGCTTGAGGAAGGAATCGGTGACCTCCTCGACCGTCCTAGAAAGTGAGGTTAGGAGCGATTTCTTAAGATGGATGAGACGTGCTTGGGCCATTCGGTAACGCCTGCTGCGGACATTTGGCCGTAGAGAAAGTCAATGAAATTCTGCTTAGTCATTGGGCAGCCAGAAGGTGCACATGAACCGACGATGCTGGTGTAGACCTGGCCAAAAAGTTAAGAATTGACCAAGTTCGATGCGATGGCAACACACGGCGAAAGAAAGATTGGGGATTGAGGCGGCGTCTTTGACTTCAGGATTCTGGCACTGGTTGAGGCCAATGATGGATTTGGTCTACATGATAATGAGCAGAGGATCGAGCGAAGAGTTCTATGACGCACGCCTTGGCAAGCTGCTGCAGCAACGCAGGACTCGTGGCTCCAAATACTAGTACCGCGCTCACTTAGACATGTCTTTGTCTGCCATCATAAGAGATTAAGTGGTCTAAACCACAGTGGGCGTAATCACGAACGATGTTAGCACAAGCAGGACTGAATTTTCCTGCAAGAACTCCGATGGCGTGATTAAGTTGGATGCATTGGATGGCCTCTGGGGCACGGGACTCGAGCTCGCGGGTCGGAAGTTGGAATCGAGGTAGGGCGGTAACGGAGACGACCAGACTAGCGGCGATGGCGAAGGAGAAAGAAGAGAAACGCATGGCGGATAAAACGAAAGTGGGTACAGAGACGGAAAAGAACTGAAGAAACTAGAATCGGGCGGAGGGGAAAGCCTGGACAAGATCTAGGTGGGCATTTATATGCGTCAGGTCATCAGACGGAGATTGTCGTCTTGCTCGTGATGTTTCAGTGATCTTATCCACGCATGCCAAACTTGAAGTATCTCTTGGCATTGGAAGGTAGAAAATGAGTCCTAGTAGGAGGAGTGTTGAGTGGCCTGAGTATAGAACAGTTCAAGATGTTACGGCGAACGGCGACCTTTGACGACTCGGAATACCAGTGATTGTCACCGTGACAGCCTTGAGGCGCTTTTGCCGCGACTCTGAGCAACTCTGAGTAGCCAGGAGTAGCCGCGCCCGCGCCTCGCAAGCTGCCTCCTTGCTTGCAATTCCTTCTACACGTGGCCTCCGTGCCAGTGAATGACTCCCATCTTTCCAAATCCGCTCCGACACGTTTTCTACGGCCTACTTATCAGAAGACCCCTTGCCGTAGTCGCTACCTCCCACCACTAGCAGAGTTAAACGGATAAGGGACGCAAGCCCAGCGGCCCTAGATGGCGTCTCGCCCGCCTCGTCAACAGCAACAACTTCAGCCAGTCGCTCGTAATGTGCAGGTTATCACCAACTCATTCCCATTCAAAAGGTTTTCTAGTTTCGTATTGCTAAAGTGCTGCGCTGAATACCGCCTTTTAGCCTACCCAAACTCACCTACTATCAATATGACAGTCAGTAATTCGTTCCTACTAGATACTGGTTTACTGACGTTTGCAATAGTTTGTGCTTGCCAACTCTTGAGCTTCATCTGTAAATTCTTATTCTCAGGACAGTGTTCAGCCCTACCGAAAAGCGACCGCAAAAACGACAACGCCTGATACATGCCCTCCAAGTTCATTATTTCACCAAGGCATTACAACATCGCATTGTCTACGACGGCGGTTTTGTCTTGTACTGTCCAGGGCCGGACACAGTCCCTTCCCAAAAGGTCTGCAACATTGAAAGTCATGATTCTCCTCCTAAGACTGCGGGCAGTTCCGCATCCATGATACCAATCAAGGTGCTCCAGCCTCCTCGCCTGGCTGGTATGAAATCACTATAACCAGAACAGTCGGAGAAGACATTACGCCCGCGTGAGTTGTAGCAACCGCTGAGATTCGTGTCGGGCTAAAAGTTCTCAGCGACTTTCAAACTGCGCACTTGGGTCAATCGCCAAGGGCTGTCAATCTTTTGCAGCTCCTCCTGTGCCAGACGCAAAACCAGGATCAGCCCATGTCACGTAACAAAAGGGCATATTTCTTCGCTGCCCACAATCAACTGCTGTCTTCGCTACCCGTAGAGCTTTGGTATGGTTACTATCAAGCCGTTCGTCCGACTATCCACGGTCTGGTTGTCACCATCGACACAACGATAACCGCGATGTATATGAGTGGAAATCTTGTGGATGTCTGCATGCACATACTGGGCAGCAAGGACGTGCGAGACACCTACATCAAGGACAAGAGGGATCCCAGGTTTGGGAAACTAGCCAACTTTCTCGTAGGCAGGAGTATCCATGTCAAGACTTCTGGGACACGTATCCGAATGATTCGCGGCCTTGTTGTCGGTCCAGTCGGTCTAATTGAGTTTTCATCTGACGAAGCTATTGGGCGCAATGGGATGATGACCATAGAGGCAAGGCTGATACATATACCTCCTTCACCATCAACTAACATCCGTCAAGGAGCATTATAAAAATGTGCACGGTCTGATATTAAGACATTCGCGGACCATCGGTGTGGTTGTGAAGACTACTCCGAATCTAATAATCATTCCCCTGGAACTTTGCAAAATGGTGGCAGGCCAATCGTACAAGAAGAGGCTTCCTCCCTCTGCTATCCCAGCTATCAACAAATTAGCGGTGCTGAAGCCCAAGGATAAACTATCTCGAATCACGGGGAAAACGCTAACTGTAGAATCACCTATCAGGACGTATGGACAGTCTGAAGTCCTTGTTGAAGCAGGTTGGGGACCAGTCAAGTTTTCCTCCAAACCTGATCCTCTTTCAGGCGTTGCTGTAGGCACTATGCCTCTCACCGTCCCAGGACGGATGCTTTTGTCACTGCCCGTTGAATATGCCAACGCAGTAGTGGTGTGTATGTCACGTTTGTCATTACTCCAGGCTTACTGCCAGTCTGCGGGTAGACCCCTCGAGATGGCACTTGGAACGTTTTGGACAAGAAGTTTCGCACGGCAATGGAGATGCCAAGATGGGCGGTGGCTTGCTTTGCCCCATCAATGTCGATGGATGACATCGTGAGGACTATGCGTGAGTTGGCCCAGTGCTGCGCCAAACTAGGTAAGCCCATCCTTCCTGGCTTGCATTGCATACTGAGACAATTTCACAGGAATGGGTCAGTGAGCTTTTTTAGGCTTCCGCTTGTTGATACGACGACCGCAGTTTTCGGACATCCCGACCCCCAAAGAAGCTTTGTACAAGGAAGCGGACAAAATGTTCGAAGAGTGGGTATCTTGCCTGATATCACGTTTTTGTCTACTGATCACATGAACCAAGAAACTTTACGATATCTGTGGCGAAAACAACAAAAACTCGGTTGACATGATTTTCGTCATCCTTCCCGGAAATGCAGCAGACATACGACGCGAGGTCAAATATTTGGGCGATGTGGAACTTGGAGTGCGCACTCAGTGCTTGCTGGTCGACAAACTGCCTCGACCAGGCGACCGCAATGCCTCTCAGTATTATAATAACGTTGCCTTGAAGTAGGTAACCGAACATTTGACGTCATCCAATTTCTGATTAGTGCTTCAGGCTGAACACGCGACTGGGTGGCTGCAATGCTACGGTTGGGGGACCTATTCTCACCGGTCTCAAGAGCGATCCATTTATGATCGTGGGCGCGGACGTCTCGCACCCGTCACCGGGCTCGTCGCGACCGTCTGTGGCCAGCCTGTTGTGGTCGCACAACAAGTATGCGACAGCCTATGGTTGCATCCGGCGTTTGCAGCCTTCTCGACAAGAGATCATCCAAGATCTAGAGGCAATGTTTGTGCACGCTCTCGACAGTTTTTTGCAAGGAAATGCTCTCAAGAGGGAAAACGGCCACATCTACCTCCCTCCCAAGCGTATATTCTTCTACCGCGATGGTGTGTCGGAAGGCCAGTTTGCGATCGTCAAAGACTTCGAGATTGCCGCAGTTAAAGGTATGTTTTGTGATAATCACCAAAAACACTGCATTAAAGGAGTACTTTCTAAGCTGCCATCGCACAAGTTTGGAACCAGAGAGGATTTAATGGACGCCCATTCCCTCTCTTGACATTTCTCATTGTCGGCAAAAGGCATCACGTGACGTTCTTTCCAGATGGACACTATGAGTCAGTTGCCTGCTTGTGTAACCCTGATACAAGTAACTCATGGCTGCATGAACAGAATAGTTGAGGATAGGAAAACTGGGAACTGCAAGCCTGGTCTGGTGGTCGACGATGCCCTCGCGAATCCTCAATATAAGGACTTTTATTTGCTGTCGCACGCCGCTATACTAGGAAGTGAGTCGCTCCAGTTATGACTGACTATAGCAGTGTTGACCGTCTTTCGTAGCATCTCGATGCGCTCATTACACTGTCTTACTTGACGAAAACTTCCAAGAGGACGTGGCAAAGTAAGCAGTTGCACGACTGCTTGTCTGCAATTCGACTGACACAATCAAAGGCTGGAAGAGTTGTCTTATGCGCTCTGTCATGCATATGCTAGAGCGACGCGGTCGGTTTCCATTCCTGCGCCAGTGTACTGTGAGCCTCTTCCGCTTCGTAAATGTCTCTTCTTCTCAACTGCTCTTCAGATGCCGATGTAAGTGTCGCTTTCGGAAAAGCTCGTGATGTCTGCAGCTTTGACGCTTTTGTGCCAGCTTGCTTGTGACCATGCCAAGTTCCATATGGATCCCAATGCGATGTTTGACCTCGAGAGCGATGCTTCGAGCACGACGGGAAGTGTGGCTGATGCGAGCTTGGAAGAGTGGAACAAGGCATTCCATGATGTTCATAAGAATTTGGCGCATACGATGTACTTTTTGTAGCACTTTTCTCACTGTAGCAGTCTGTTTTGTATGCTGTGTATCTGTAGTAGTCTGTTTTGCATGAACCCTCAATCCACGTGACCGTGTCTTTTTTTTTTTTTTGAATCACATTTATATACCGCGTACAAGTATGCGTGTGCTACTAAGGCGCGGTGCTCGGAGAGCAAGGGCCGGGTTGGGTTGGGTGTCATTTCTTGTCCTGTGGGGGTTGACCGTGTCGATGTGACCAAGAACTTTGCCACCTTAAACTTGCACCACACCTTTGCCTCTTTGCGGTTCTTAAATAGCACGATTCACAAGGATGCCAGCAATGACGCCTCGAGCTACCGACCCCGCTATACTTGCATCAACACCCACATCACGGCAAGTTGTTGTTCTTCTTTGGGTATTCGCCGTCGTTGCTGAACGATACCAAGTTCATGCGAAAGGGACGGTATGTCAGTTATGCTGCTCCCTTGTTCTTGCTTAGCATGCGTTGCAACAGAGGTGCTGGGAATGCCCTTCACTTCTTCAGGTCTCGGGCGGAAAATACTGTGGGCGTAGCAAAATTCACGGTCTGCCACCCCAACTACAACTCTTGAATGCTGCTGCCAACATCAACAAGTTACGGAAGGAGCGCAAATGATACATCCGCGAGAACAAGGATCCCGGCTAGAGGGGAACTTGTTGTTCTTTGTCGGCACTTGTCCGCCCATTGGGATAGGATATAAAAGACACGGCGACATTTTCATGGCCGATACGTCTTGTGGCTGGTCCTTTTCTCCCTCCTCTCGCCTTCTTCCCGCACTGGATGCATCCAACGCAACCTTGGAATCAGCAAATGGCTCGGGACACGTCTGCATTCCGATGTTGGTGTGGTACGACTTCTGGTCGGCACAGTCACGACTGCATTCTGGCTGCGGGGACTGAACATCGACAAACGCATAGTGCGGGGCGAGGGCGAGGGAGGGGTCCACAACTGCTGGGATGGACGGCGCCGAATGAGCAAGGAATGGTCGATGTTGAACCAACTTTCAGCCAAGGCTCCACCTCGGTACGTGAAGATTGGCAAAGCCTAAGCATGGCTAACTTTGCGTTAGACACAGTATCATCAGCCAACGCCCACAATTCAGGAAGAATATGGGTCATACCAGGAAGAATATGGATCCTACACGATGCCTATGACCATCGACCACGATTCATCGTATCCGCACCCTCCTTTCACCTACAGTACTGCTGGGCCATCGAACTCGGGTTTTGTCGACCAAGACCCAATGGCCAACACTCAGCATATTTCGTGGGATGTTGATGACACGCCCTTTACTCCCGCTCCCTCCCCTCCAGCCAACCTGATTGACGCGACTCCGACATATGAATTTGGCCTTGTCGATGGAGGCTACCCAGAGCTTGCGGCTTTTAAACAAAACCCACGTGGCTTTGACGACTCGACTATGTTTAATCCGATCGGTGCCAGTTCAAGCAGCTCCGCTGTCGGTTACGCCGAACACAGCCAAACACCGGACTACCATTCAGAGAATTACTTCCCCGTTGAGCAGCATGCCTTCTCCGAAGCGCCGGGACTCGTTTTACCACCTGGGACGATACAGGGCGGCGGTGGACCTATGACAACTTGGGAGCTTTTCCAGGCACCTTCTGAGTCGGACCCCTCATTCTCTCAACAACAACAACAACAACAACAACAACAACAACAGCCACAACATCCATCTAATGCGACACTCCAACATCTGTTGGATTTCTCCGCCCACCTAAGCACACCAGAAGACAAAGGCAGACCCAAGGCTAACAAGATTGCATGCCGCGCCTGTCGTCAACTGAAAATCAGATGTGAAGCTGCTGCGTCTGGCGGGGACTGCAGGTACATACATAATTTTCTTGGCTCATGTTGGACCACTGAACTCAAGCTTTCCTGTAGAAGGTGCCAAAAGAATAGCCTCGAATGCGTGTATAGTGAAGATCGAAAACGCGGCGGATATCACCCTAGAATTGGCATGGGGCGGTTTTGATGACCTGAAACGAAGATTCTCGGACATGAAAGCATGTAGCATAGTCTCCGGTCACTCTTTTGAAGTCTTTTCATGATCTATACCTGTAGCGTTAGTCTCTGTACCACATACTACATTCTGTATAATCCTACTACAACTCTACTATTTTTTTCAACTGACCTCCCACCGCGATCACAGCTAGTAATGGCCGGTACACGGAACAACCGACAACACTCCCAATAACCCCCCCTAAGTGGAAAGGCTTTGCCAGGACGACTGACACACACCGGTGACTGCTTTCATGAGCGCCGCGCCGTAGTAGCAGTAGCGTGCTTGCCCGCGGTATAAAAATGTGATTTAAAAAAACCGCGATCACCTGATGATGGCTGCGACATCAACGACTTTGTCATCGCGTGTTCCTTTCCTTAGCAATCCATGGCTCCAGTGACGAATGGTCGTGCTCTCTTTGCTGCCGTGCCCATAGGCAGGCTTTCGCTCGTGCTGTATGACTCTTCATTCAAGGCGACAAACAACAGGCTACCCAGTCGTTGATCAAACCATTGTCTACGACAACACGCAAACCATCGATCTCGCTAATGCTCCTCTAAACGGCGGGTTCCTCGTCAAGGTCTTGGTACTTTCTGTTGACCCGTATATGCGCGGGAGAATGCGCGAGCCGGATATTCCTTCTTACATGGTTTGTCTTTTGTTGTAGCTGTTGTTGACCACTGGCAGGCTTATTATTGGCGCAGCCTCCCTTCGCGTTGGGAAAACCGTAACTTTTGTTCTGCTTACTCTTTTCTTTGGAATCTGAATCCTTGTGCAGTCTAGCCAGCGGCGGCATCGGGGTTGTTCTGCGATCTGAACTTGCCGGAGTTGAGGTTGGGAGTCACATCCGCGGCATCGTCCGTATGCCTGGTTTATTTGCCTTTGTCAAAATCAGGCGTTCAGAGCTATGGCAGCGCACCAAGAATATTTTATCGCACCGAATCTTGAAGGGCTGGAATTAATCGAGCGCGACGCGCGCCTTCCGTGGTCGGTTTATGTTGGTGCAGCGGGGATGCCTGGTGAGGCTAGAGGGGAAAATACATCATTCGACTCAAAATGCACAGGCGAAACCGCGTATATGGCATGGAAGGAATACTCAAAAGCTAAGAAGGTCGCTTTCCGAGCTTTTGCTGCGGATGCGTTGGTCTGACTTTTAGGCGCAAGGGCGAGATTGTTTTCGTTACGACTGGCGCAGGGCCTGTTGGCTCGTAAGTGCTCTGTCGTATATTGTCACTTTGCTGATATCCTCATCAGGCTGGTGATCCAGATAGCGAAGCAGGATGGCCTGAAGGTCATCGCGTCTGCTGGTTCAGATGACAAGGTCGCGTTCATGGAGGGTATCGGCGCGGACGTGGCGTTCAACTACAAGACCACTGATGTCCGCGCGGTGTTGAAGAAGGAAGGGCCGATTGATATGTGCGTCGGCCCTGTTTTCCTTCTGGTCCATGCTTAGGTTTTTTTCCAGTTATTGGGACAACGTTGGCGGAGACACGCTAGACGCGGCGATGGAACACGCCAATATGTTCGCAAGGTTTATTGAATGTGGCCAGATCAGCGGTAGGAACACCAATTCGACCTATATCGTCGACAACTGAGCACTGAATCAGGCTACAACGATAACCCACAGCCTATGAAGGTACTAGTCGATCTTGGGAATCACCGGCTGACATGAAGCGACAGAATCCGCTCCTTATAGTCGCGAAGTGCCTCACATTCAACGGGTTTCTGGTCGGTTTTCTCCGCCCAAAGCATAAGGAGGCTTTCCGCGCGGAGGTTGTGCCAAAGATCGCAGATGGGTCGTTCCATTATACCGAGGACATCGTTCGGGGCATTGATAAAGTTGGGCATGCGCTCCTGGGCGTACTGAAAGGGACGAACACGGGCAAGGCGGTGGTTGTGGTTGCTGATGAGTGAAAAAGAGCTTGCACTGTGTAGGCAGCAACTAGTATCAAGCCGATTTACACTCCGTTTGTTTTCTATCTATGAGCAGACATATCTTCCAGCCACGTGACGACGGGTGATTCCCACTGAATCCCACAACAAAAACACTCATGGGTTGGCGCACCCAAAATATTAATACATTGCTAGCTATTGTGTTGCTGTCCCATTTACACAGAGTGGTCCGTATGCAGGCGATAGGTTACTCGAAATATAGTAGACACAAGGGAGACAGAGTACGTGTGTGGTTCTGAATCTGCAAAAAGAGTGTTGATTGAAAGAGCGTCAAGAAGGACCCAGCCATAGCCCACGAGAAAAAAATCACGCCCCAGTGCAAAGCGCGGCAGGCGCTTGTAGCGTCAATGCTTCCCAAGCATTAGGATAAACACAGCCTGCAACGGCCGTCATCGCTGGAGTCTTATCTCCCGCATTCTTCCAGCCATTCCCCAGCCCAACAGACGGCGAGGGAACAGCAACCTTGGCCGTCGGTGTTACGTAAGTGAGCGTGGTTATGCTCGCCGTTGGGGTGTAAGTCGGCATGACCTTCATTGACGCAGCTTCGACATTGGCGATGGAGACAGGCGGCCAGGAACCAAACTTGGCGGACGCTGAGGGGGCAATGGTGCCGGCGCCTGCTCCACCAGTCTGCCAAGCGCTGTATGTTCCATCGAAAGACTCCGCTTTGCTCACTCCCAGTCCCGCACAGACACCGATGGACTTTCTGGGGTCCGTAGGCATCCACCCGTTCTCGAGACCCAGTTTATATGACCAAAGTGGGGCGCCAACGATTCCATTGGAGGCCGCACCAATCTACCATACACTCAGTGTCCAAATCAAAGAAAAGAGCCAAAAGATGTACCTTCCAAGTCCAGAAGAACCAATTCTGGGTAGCATCCATACTCGCAAGCGAGAACTGCATCAAGCCCGCTTTCATCGACGCGTTCCAGTTGGTCGAATCAAGGAATAATGTGCAGTCTCCACCGTAGTGCTGGCTCCCATTGACACCCGTCACATACAGCCCACAGTCATTGTAGCCGTTGCTAAACTCGCCCGCAACGGTTACACCAAAAGCAGTCTGACTAGTGCTGATACTCGGGCCCCATGAGTCGCAAGCTTGTTTTGGCCAAACACCGCCAGCAGTCGCAGGGTCTGAAGACAGTCCAATTGGCGCGTTGTTAGGTTGTTGGTCGAAGGCAAAGTAGGGATGGGTATCGAGAATAATGCGGTCCGAGCCAGGCAGGAAACCCTCCCATGAAGAAACACCATCGAACCCATCATGAATGCTGATATATGGTCCGTTCCCAGTGCCATAGCCAGTGATTCCGCGGATCATATCATGGGCCCTAAGGTAACTGAAAGAAACTGTTAGCACAGGAACTTGAACTAGGGAAGTTGACGCACAAAGAGGTAAGTTGATCCCTGCCAATGGTGCTAAGCAGAGCTATAAAACATCAACAGGAATCAGACGAAAGAACGATAACACGCACCCTCGTTGATAATCCCAACCATCGGAATCAAGTCTTTATACTCGTCTTGTGAAACGAACTCGATAACAATGCGGATGTAGTCCAGCATTCGTTGTGCATTCGCAACACCCATTGGCCCATTCAACTGTGGTTTAAGTTGTTAGCCACAGAGAAGAAGCAGTGAAATCACGTACGAAGTTGACTTGACCCAGTTTCCCTGAGTGATTGTAGCCATTCTGTGACCCAGGGGCAGTGTGGATATCGAGATTGACACGTAGACCGTATTTCCTTGCCCAGTTCAAAGCGCGGACAATGTATTTCCAACAGACTGTTTGGAGGAAGGGCTCGGCGACTGTGGCTCCAGTCGCATCTTTACCAACGTCTGCCCAGGTACTATGAACTATTCAGGTATGGCCATCAGAGTAGAGGAATAACCAACCTGATAGCCCAGAACGGTATAGGAATTCTCACCCAATTGAGTCCAGCACCAGCAATCTCCGCGAAATCTTGCTCAGTCTATGGTCTCGTCAAATAAAATTAACTGTAAAGAACGTGAAACGCACGATAAAGGTGTCGTAATGATTTTCCATAGTACTCTCTAGTGTACCGTCGGCGCGCATCATAGTTGACAAGGTCCACTCGTCCGCAGCTGATGGATATTTCTGGAATAAGGCCGGAGCAATAACTGTTGATGCGTGTGAGGCCGATGAGTGCCAAATGGAAGAGGAAACCCACAAGGCTCTAGCACGAACCATCCTCCTAGATTGACACCGTATACCTTGTCCTTCCCCCACGTCCAAGACTGATTCAATGGCGGCGTCCAAGAATTGGGTGCTGCAGAGTTGAGGAATGGATTACCTGGGTCATCAACCCCTGCCGACGATATCAGCGAGTCCAAACATTTGCGATTGAATATGCACGCACAGAAACCACCGAACTGATTCTTGTAAAGGAACGAGGTCCCATCCGCAGTGAGCACCGTGCTTCCATCGGCGCCAGTTATAGCACCTGTTGGCTTTTTACCACCGCCAGAGTCCCCACTGCTGCCAGTGGTGCTGCCACTACTGGGACTGGAAGATGTCGACGAAGTAGCCTTGGTGTTGTTTTTCTTGATGACAGCGAAATAGACCGGCACGATTACTGCTACTGCCACGATAATAAGGCCCACAACTGCAGCCAATCCAATGAGTCGCCGTTTCCTTCGTTGATCGGTTGAGGCACGACCAGGGACATATGGACTGTCTGCTCCATTGTACCCGCTTGCGTACGCGTTTTGAGGCTGAGGGTTGCCTGGGTAGACGCTGTAGCCCGCCTGGCTGGCAGCTCCTCCTGGTAATAAGAGGCCAGAGGCGGCTGGCGAGGCTGGAGGGTAACCAGCATTCTCTGGTTCATCACGATACGAATCGAGCGAGCTGCCCTGTCGCTGGCCGGAAGCTTGGTAAGGGTGTGGTGCAAGTCGTGGAGAAGAGACATCCGAGTAGGGAGTTGCATACGACGATGCGGAAGGAGTGGTGAATGGGTCGCGTTCTTGCATCATGGTGGCGAGGAAGCAAGACTAATGCGTCTAAGACGGGAAGGTCAAAGACAGAAAAGTCGACTCGGGCTAATGTCGAGGTGGCAAGGAAGGAAGGAATGTGAGATGACGGAGTGTTATTACTGACCCCCAAGTCAACAGAGCACACGGATGTCAGCCTGTTGCTTTGGACAGAAAGTCACACGGCGATCTGCGACGGATTGGAGCGACCATCCTGAGTGTCAGACAGATACTGAGTTCTGACCGCATATACCGGGCAGAGACTTCGCTGTGAGTGAAGAACAAGTCAACAGGAGTTGCCTGAATTAAGTTGTCATTTATCGCATCACTTCTCTCAACAACCACCATGGACGACGAGACCGCCGAGATTGAGCTTGTAGGCTCTCTATGTGTGTCTCCGTCTTGTGCTGATGTCTCTAGTTGGAGCAAAATCTCAATAAAACGCGTCAAATATCTCAGCGAATGACCAGTATGCCATCCACGTCCTTTAGACCTGCTAACATTTGCAGCAATTCTCAACAGCTTTGATACACGAATTGCAAAGCTCGAAAAATCAATCCTCCCCCTCTACACTTCAACACAGATCCTCAATCGCCGTGCCAGCAGTGAGTGTTTCACCGTCGTTTCCCAAATATCTCTGAACGCAACTGCCAGACATCGAGAAAGCTCTCATAAAAATTGATGAGGTGGCCAGCAACCAGGAAGGAATCGCCGCAGAAGAAGCCCTCATTTTGCGCGGGTCCGTGTGTTATCCTTCACATTCTTTCTTCGGTTGTTTACAAGTCTCACCAGTCCCCAAACGGGTCAATTTACCGTATATCAAGAAGCGCTAGAGCGTCTCAATGCTTCGATCGCGTTCAAGTCTGGGGATCGAGATTTACTGGATACTGCGCGTTTAGTTGAGACCGGAGCGAAGAAGGTTACCCTGCTCTTCACCAAACTAGTGGCTGAAGCGTCGACGGGACCCACCCCATCACCCAATGCAGACATAACATCCGCCTCATTCTCTTCCAATGTCTTCGGCACCCTCAAGCCGGTCGTAGCCTTCATACGTACCCTCCCGCTACCAGCCTCCCACCCATCGCATCCTGCAGCGCCTGCCATCATGTCAACTCTAAAGGACACTCAGAAAGGATACGCTGAAATGAGAGGAGTTTGGGCCAAAAAATGCCTAGAGGCGCAAGGGAAGCGCGTTGTTGACAGAGCAGACACGATCGACGCAACTACCGCGGGGAAAGAGTTTGGTCGTTGGGTTGAGTCGTTGCTCAGTGTTGCAGATGTGCGTTGTCATTCCCCAACATATAATCTCCTCCTAAAGCCCTTGCAAGGAAGAATACAGATACTTGAAGGAGCTGAGCCCTCTCACCAGTCCAAACGTCATCGCCTCCACCTACAACTCTCTTCTCAATCCCATTCTAGCACTTTTCAGCAACACTTTGACGTCTCTTGTCGGCTTCATCAAGCAATCTCTCCACAAACACTCGTTCCTTGCCCTCGCATCATATGAAGCGTTACTTGCCATCCAACCGCGATGGGACACGCTTCTCACCCGACGTGGGTCAGAGAACGCGAAAGCGAACGAGCTCAAAGACGGTCTCACGACATTGCGTTCCGTGTGCCTGCGTTCCTTCCCTGAGTTTTTGGCTGACATCAAGATGGCAACTCTGACCAAAGTTGCCCCAGGCGGAGACCTAAGCACTATCGTTGCCGACTTTGTCGTTTCGATGGTGAAATACCTCGATCGCTTGCCAGAAGTACATGGTGCCGCTGGCGCTGCTTTGTTGCAACTGGGAGATGGGAACTGGAAAATGGGAGAGGGTGTGCAAGTCCAGAAAGGCCCTAAATTAGGCGATGGCGATGAGCAAGTGATCCTAGAGCACTTCATTTGTGTGTTGTCTTTTCCTTGGTGGGATTCGGTCTAATCTCGGTCTAGACGATGTTGTGTCTACTGCTCTTGCCAGTCTCAACACTATTTCCCGAACCCAACGCCGCCCGGCGCATGGGTCTATATACCTCCTCAACAACGTGTGCTATCTTCGACATAACCTTGTCATGTCTCCGGCACACGACGAGCTTCTGGACTTCCTAAGCCGACCCACACAGGAACTACTAAACCAGAATTTCCGCACTGCCAAAGCGGCTTACTTCGACGCCAATTTCTCGCCATTACTACAAACTCTGACGGACGATCCGGGAAAGAGTGGAGGCAGCAGCGGACGAACAGCGGTGAAGGAAAAGTTCACTAAATTCTATGACCTTTTGGAGGAAGTCGTTGAACGCCATCGTTCCGCCAAAATGCTGGAAGACGATCCGGAAGCGAGAGAGGGAATCGGGGAAGATGTCGTTAAGCTGGTTGTGCCGAGCTTAATTCGCTTCACGAACAAATATCAACAGAAGGAATTCAGCAAGAGTGAGTTTTCTTGAATGTTTTTGATATCGTTCTTGCTGACAAATCCGTCTAGATCCCTCGAAATGCACGATTTTTCACCTCTTTCCTTGTCCGTTGTTACTGATTCAATTCGGCAGACATCAAACAATCCGCCGAGTCTGTTGAAGCACAATTACGAGCAATTTATAGATGACCGACAGTCCCAGTATATTTGTAGAATAGTTGTAAGTTATGGGACTTGAAATGCTAAGGAGTGTGAAGCGACAACAGTGATAGTACAGATAGAGATAAATCTACAAAAAGGTCAGGAGCGGCCATAACAACCAGGTATATACTTACCCAAATGCTCAAGTCGTCTCTTCCTGTTGTTCGGGCACTGGTCGTGAGCCCGCTTCGCTGGACCCCAGCATGAGGGCCGCCGCCTGACTCTCCCGAGGGCGTGCGGCCATAGCAGCATCGACCTGGACATCCAAAGTCAACCCCTCATTGTCATCGTCGTAGTCATCTTCTAGGAAAGCACTGGCAGGCGGCCCGTCTTCACTCAGCCGTATCGCACCACTCGAGTTGGTGAGCGTCTTCAGTCTGTCGCGCAATGTCAGCTGCCGCAACGGATCGGTGAAGAACGCAACTGGTGAGAAATGACAGAGCGGAGGGCGCTTGCGCGTCGCCAGAGGATGAACAGGAAGCAAAGCGTGCAGGTGGTGAAGAGGAATATCATCGGCATGTTGCCGCCCATGGGCTGGGGCTTCGGGGAGGGCTTGGGCTCGCCGGGAGCTACTGGCGCCATGATCTGAAGTGGTGAAAGGGATCGTAAGCAACTTGAATGTCAGATGCCATAAGTCAGCCAAGGCGTCACGTCGTGACACGTGGTGACATATCTTTTTTCCTCCTCCATGTCGCATGGTGAGTTCGTCGTCCATCCCAAAACACACCATGATGCATACACGATATAAACCATACTTTACCACATTCCGAACCGTCATGTGGAATACCTTAATCGATTTCAGCCTTGTCTGACCTCTTTTTTCTCCTTCCCTCATATGGCTCTATTCGTTTGCTGACGGGACTTTCTCTCGCATAGGCTACCCGGCTCTACATCTCGTCTTCTGTACTGGTGAGCCCTGTTCTCTCTTCCTTCCATGATGAAAACCTTCGACGGGCGGACAATAAATGTCTTGTTTATCCCAAACTCTCCCAGTGTACAAAGCGGAGGGGAACGAGGCGCCTGTTGATATCCGTCGATACCTGACTCTTTGCTCATCCAAGTCACTCCTCCTCATCACAAAACTGACTGTTTTATGCAGACTGGTACGAATTCTCCAAGTTGCGTTGCGTCCTTTCCTGTACCATGTGTGTGCCGTATAAGACAAATCCATTTGCTTATGATCCTGCACCTTTGCCCATCGCGAAAGGCAACTGTCTGTATAGCCGTCGCCCCACCAATTTATTTTCCATTCATAAAATCAGGTCAACCGTTGTTTGCATTTGGAAGTCTTAGCTTTACCACTCTGCTAGCTTGGTCTAGCCAAGTAAGAGCATTCTGTCTTGCCATGGCTTGAGCTTGAAGTTCATGTTCAGGATCTTCCGCAGAAGGTTCGCAGCGTTCTCTTTCGAGCAGCGTACCCTCTGGAGATATCATGAATAATAATGTAGGTATAAGAAGGCTGCTTCGACAGACTGAGAGACATGCGTCCCTCCTAGTTGAACATCCTATCGAGCATCCACAAATCCCGAGCTTTCGTTATCAATTCGTAGGGACCCACACCCGAAGCCCAGTCTGTGTGGGGATTCATCCGAACAGAATATCTTGCCTCACCCTCCCCGGCCGCCCTTGCCTGCCCAATCAAAGTCGATGAACTGCATGCACCTTTCTATTTTGGCCACTCGAACAAGACCTAACTTGTCCATTTTCAAATTCAATTCGGTTCTTGACTCCGTGGCTCTGAATGCGCGATCCACCTGGGTCCTTTCCCGTGTGTACTGTACGATAAAAATACTTGCTCATAACACGACACCCTGGCTCCTCGCCAACTCCGAAAAGCGGCTGTCCCTTTGAGCCAGTAGCGCCTGGGGTGTCCCTCTCTCCACCACCGATCCATTCTCCATCACCAACACCAAGTCATAGTCAACAATCGTTTCTGCTTTCGTCAGACAAGAGTGACACCAAGCACAATCTGCTCACCGATCCGATGTGCGACGGCAATGATGGTCGACGATGAAAGATCGGTGCGAATGATATCCCTCATTCGCCGGTCGGTATCGACGTCCAAGCTATTGGCAGCATTTGAGAGCAGAACATAATTGTTTGACAGGAACAAACCTGCTGCTCGCCTCGTCCAACGCGATGACCTTACCCCCCCTCAGCAATATGCGAGCCAGGCACAGTAGTTGGCGCTGAATGACCAAGATTAATCCTCCATGCCTGATGAGACGATCTCAACTTACCTGACCACCCGATAACGACCCCCCATCATCGAGCACCGTTTCCAGCTTGTTTGGAAGTTGCCCGACGGCGTCGGCAAGTCCAACTCGCTCAAGAGAGAGCCAAATATCCTTGTCGGTCAGCTTTTCGTAGGGATCCAAATTGTGTCTCAAGGGGGCGTTCCATATCAGCGGACTTTGCGAAACCAGGCTACGGAGAAATGAGCAAGGAGTATGGAAAGAACAAAAGCATACCTTAATGCGCTTCGTAATGTTGCCAAAGACATCGACCTCGTGTCTACGTCATCGAACAAGACAGATCCTTCAAGCAAGGACGAGTCGACGCCACGGAATAACGCCATGAGCAAACTACTTTTGCCGGATCTATCTTCTCGATTAGTGTATTCTGCTGAGCAGGCAATCTAAAACTAACCCCGTCCGTCCACAAATTCCGATACGCTGCCCAGCCTCAGCTCTGAATGAAACATCTTTGACAACCTGAGGGAGGTCATCTCTGTCGGTCGCAATCAGCACTTCCGCTGCCCAAAAGGAGATCAATCGTACCCATATTTCAAGCTCACATTCTTGAACTCGATCCTTCCACGTTCCGGCTTTGTTTCGGACTTGTTGCTTTTCTCGTGAAATGGGTCAGGCTCGGCTGGAAGAGTAGCAATTTCGTGGATCCGGGAGAGTGCCACTGAAGCATTCTCGAGACCAGTCAGATTCTACAGAAGGAACTGCGTCAGACAAGCTTAGCTCTGCGTAAAAAAACTACCAAAAGTAAGTTGTTTAGTTGCGCAGTCATGTTGGTTACGCTGGCCAATGCCAACCCCAAGCTTCAGGTGTGGTGAGAATATGTTGTGCAACCAACAACATTACACAAACGTAGAGGGATTTGTTGAGTGCCGGAGTCCGATAGCGAGAACGGAAAGACCCGTCGCGATCAAGAACGAAATGAAGGACAAAAAGGTTCGCCTACCCGTGGTTTAGCCCAAAGATATAGCAGTCTAAATATGCTCACAAGAATCGCACACCCGCAAATCGATAGAAAAATGGAATTTGACTTTGGTCCAGGATACCGTCGTTCTGCTTCTGGAAGTAGGCCTCAGCGCAGAGGGCACGAATAGTGACGATCCCAGAAATAGTTGTGGAGAACTGGGTGTATAGAGGTGATTTGCTAGCTGCCCCGAGCGCTTGAAATTGCTTGGAAGTTCTCTGAGGACCCCAATTCAGCTGTGGTCATCGGGAAATTCAAGGTACTTGCGATATAGAACGAAATCATCAGGTAGTATAGCCCACCAATGAATGGTATCGTCAATGCCAGCCACGGTGTCTAATTCAACTTGAGTGCATGTCAACAACCGATCAAAAGCCCTTACCGGTATGCACAAAAAGACAACAAAACCCACTATAAGGGATGAAAATGAGATTGAGCCAACTAAAAGCTTCAAACTCACCGAGAACGACTGCAGGCATGATGACATTGGTCACGTTCCACGGGATCTCCAAGTCGCTCATAAAGATGTCCTGAGAAAACCGATTGACGATGCGGCCAGGCGTCGTGGTTGTCATGAATGTAGGGACTGTGCCAAGCACTCCATTGAGCTCGGTTGCGTGAATTCCTGGATGTTGCATTAAATTAGAGATCGGTGAGAAAACAGGGCTATCGCACTGTGTCCAAGGTGCCTGCAAAATGTCAGTTTATGGTAGCAACAGATATTTGAATTGTCTACCTGCTGATAACGAGGGTGTATCCCCACATTCCACCGCCAACTGCGATGAAGTAAACCACCACAAGTCCGGCATAACCGCCGATCCATGCACCAACATGTCGACCCCCACTATCTGACCATTGTTGTTGATAAATCTAAGACGTCATGGTCAAAACATGAAGAATCAAAGAACACAAAACGAACGAATAAGCCAAGTCGAGTCAAGCCTGTTGCTGCCAGGAAAAACTGTGGACTATGTTAGCGGTTGCATGCCAGAAAGGCCGATTGCAATATACTCACCACCACAGCGAACGAGCCTGTCCAGCCCGCCATCTGCATGTAAAATATGTAGGGCGTCCATCCAAGCGAGGACTGCGCAATAGGTTTCTCGGGTGGCTCCTTTTGCGCAACGTGACCCTTGGGCGGTGCGGGATCCGTCTTCTCTTTGACGGTAGTTTCAGGCACGAGTGTGGGAGAGTTGTCGATGTTGACGCGAGTGTACTGATAGCCAGATGCTATAACTTCATCGAGAGACCCTTGGTACTGAATTTTGCCAGCATCGAACACAAGCACGAAATCGGCGCTGCTTAGATGCAGACCTGCAGGTATGGCATCAACCAACGACAATACAGCAGAGAACGGGTAAGACGCACTATTGTGAGTTACAAGAAGCACGCTTTTCTGCCTCAGTAGCCCGTTTTGCCCGAAAAGCGCGTGGAAGACTGGGAGGTATTAGTCAACGGATGTGTTCCAGACGCAAAGACATGTATATACTATGTCGTTCAGTATGAGAATCAAGGGAGCTGAACGGATCATCCAGGAAAGTCCATGGTGCTCGAGAATACACAGCTCGTGCCAGTGACTGCCAAATAAAAAAATGAGTTGGTGAGATTATTTATCAAGTAGCCATACCACGCGTTGTCGCTGCCCACCACTCAGACTTGCGCCTTTCTCGCCCAGATAAACACCATCACCGCCATTTAGTCTCTCCAGATCCGGAGCTAACGCGCAGGCCTCGATTACAGTGTCGTACCAGTTCTGTTCAAAATCATTGCCGAAGAGGATATTTTCGCGAAGGGTCCCAGGGATGATAAGCGGGTCTTGGGCCGAGAAGGCGACGCGTTTATGCAAGCCTGGCGTATATAAAGTTCCACCAGAGAGGTGGGCTTCGTGCAGGAGTGAGAGCAAGAACAATGTTTTACCCTATGTCCGTCAGAAGATAGATCATTGAGACATCGAAGTACACACCGAAGCGACAGGGCCAACGCAAACATTAAGTTGTTCTTGATACAAGGTCGTCGTTAGGGGGCCAAGGAATGTATCTTTGTCTGCAGCCCACGAAAATGACGCGTCTTGGAGGGTAAAAGTGCTCGTCCTTTCCGGATCCTTCGCCTCACTCGGAGCGATATCGCGCTCATCGAGAAGCAAGTATTTCTGGATCCTCTGGAACGATGTCCATGCAGCAAGCATTTGAGGCAAACCGCTTCCCAGCAGGGTCAATGGTGGGGACATGATATTGACGATGCTGACGATTGTGAAGAGACGACTTGGATCGAGAGCAGAATGACCATGAGCAGCGAGTGCCGCATATGGGCCAAGCACCACAAGGGTGCAAGCGGCCCAAGAAGTCGAGGTCAAGGCGCCAGTGAAAGAGATATTGGCACTTGGGTATAACATCAGACCTACACAATGCATGACGAAGTACTAGACTTACTAGAATTTACTGGCGCCCTTCATTTCTTGAGCACGTAGATACTCTGCGCGTTGAGATACAGCGTCCTCATAATGTGAAAGCTTCATCGGCAGAAAGTTTTGGAAGACCGATGTGAGGAATTTGACCCGCTTGTCCGTTGATCCAAGCCACTGTTTCTGAGCGGCACCAACACCCTTGCTAAAGCGCCCAGCTGTGGTGACGAGCATAACAGTAATGACGAGTGGTAGAATCGCAGGCCAAGTTGCCTCAGACCACAGTAGAGCAACAGCGAGTACAATTTGGACGGCGGCCGCCCACATCTCGTGCATCGTTTCGAGTCCAAGGGAGACACGTTCGACATCCACGGACCTAGATTAAAGACATAAATCCACGCGCAATGAGGACAGGCATAACAAACATGTATGTGCTCGCTACACCGCCGCCAACTTCCCGAGATGAAGCAGATGAAAGTCGCAGCGTTTTGCTGTAGATGTTGCCAACTAAGGCCCCACGATAACGGACAGTCGAGTCGAAGACCTTGAAATCATCAACACATTCTTTTTCGGGGTCACGTGATCATACCTTCTCCCAATATATCGATGTCATGAGGAAAATGAGCGCATAGGTTGCTATAAACCCACCAACCAAGGCCCAACCACGCTCGGATGATTGTGAATTGTCAGAAATATACGTGATCATGCGGGTAATGAGGAGCGGCTGAGCAAAGGTCGCAAGAATCAGAAGAATTCTGGGAGGGATGGGCGAGAGGAACAAAAGGGGCAAGGCCTTGAAAGATGCTCGAACGAGGTAGTATTTTCCAGTGCGTCTAGGATTTGTGAGGTAAGCATAAGACATCAAGTATGATACTGACGGAGTAGATAGTAGAACCTCCCTAAGAGGTTCTGTACTCTCATAGGCCCCCATCTCCGATGGTATTGACCCACAATCAGCAATGGTCAACTTCTTTTCGCGTCCAGTCCACAGGAGGGGCAGTAACCAATGGAACATAGTTCGGGATACGAAGCTGGTGGCAGAAACTTGGGTAACGTCCTGTTGACCATTCAGTCTTGAAAAATTAGCAAGGAAACACGCACTTTGCCCACAACAGCTCTTCCTTTCCCAAGAATTTCGGCAAGACAAACGGTGAAGTACGACGCCGTAACGAGGGCCAGAAGAACTATGGTCGTGTGTGGGTCGGCAATTCGCAACGCGGACCGCATTATAGCCGCGCTGAAAAGGCCTTTAACGAATGTGTAGACGATAATGAGTGTGCTGGGTGTGATTGCCTTGAAATGTTCGACGACCACGACTAAAAGCAAAATGGCCTATAAAAGAGTTGAACGGAGAGTTGGAAGGGTGATCAACAACGCACAACACTGAGGATTTGGACGATGGGCGCAGCCAAGCTGAGCGATGCGGAAAGGATTTGTTTATGGCGCGCCAATACAAGAAATGCGATCGTGGTGCCCAACACGAAGCAAGTTGCAACGCATTTCAGCGCCAACAGGGTATAACTCCACGCAGACGACGCTACTTTGCGGGATTGTGTGCTTAGGTATGCGAGCCGAAGGACGCAAAGCACGATGAAGACGACATCCGGGGACAGTGAAAGGATTCTGAGTGACGAATGAGCGAGAGTTGTTTAGCTGATGGGAGGGCTACACACGTCTGTTCAAAGTAAAGGCTGAAGTCAAGGTCGCGGCAGGTTGAAGCAGGGCCAAAGGACTTGTCCTGAGAGCAGGCCATAGTGGAGGCGCGAGGCAGGCTCTGAGCGCTGACCCTGCATTCTCATCCAGCACAGTATCCACGCGAACCGAGCCAAACTGATTGGAGAGAACAAAACCGTGACAAACGGAGCGTGACTTCGATGATGAAGAATCCCGCGCTATTGGAGCCGTTTGCGCTGCGATAACGGCGCTTCGAACTCGGCCGCAGGGGACATCATGTGCTTGCATCTTGGAAGGTAACCCCCGTCTCCGCGCTTCCCGATACTCCACCATCCGGGTTTCGAAATAACAGATCATCAAGTGAGTGGAAATTTGGTAGTCTAATATTATATGTCGCTCGGGTGGCTCTGCCCTCGGCGACGCATGTACTTAGGCTGAGAATAGGCGTAAGATAGAGCTTCGATTGGCGTGGATGCATCAATAGCATCCGTGGCCGATAATCAGATGGCGGTGATGTGTAAATGTCATGATTCTCAACATCCACCCTTTCAGACAAGCATTTGGTACTCTTCCAGGTACAGTACGACAGAGGTGTGTATGCGTATCTACAGCAGCAAATACATAGATAAATAAGGGGCTTCGCGTATGCTTAACAGGACAGAAAGAGTGGTAAGATGCAAAAGAGCGCTAGGTCGGATGTAACGACGGGGAGTGACGGAGTTAAACGGAGCTGGCGTCGTCCCCTTTGACGTGGACTTCTCGGGTCTGAAGCACAAAATGAGCAACTAGCAGAGCAATAATGCAGTTTGAAGAGCGTACCATCGCAATGCCACCATTCGGATTGGGGGCGAAAGCCATCGGCTCTGGGTAGGCATACGACGCCTTCTCGGGCCCAGTCGTACCATGGCCCCCAGAATTGGCTGTAGTGGACATGCCAAAGGACGAGACAGTGTAGCTCCCGCCGAGGTATTTCTCGCGCAGGTACACACGCGAGTTGAGAATGGCGACTAAACAAATGCTCAGCAGCAATCACGAAACGCTCAAGAAAAGCGCACAGAAAGTGTTGACATAGAGCTTGGTGAGGAGCATATGAGGAGCAAGCCAATACTGGGGGTTCTCGAAGGCAAAGAACATGACGAAGGTGAAAACTTGGATGATCATGACTGCGGCACCACGGTTCATGAAAATCGTCGTGAGCGCATCGAGGAGATCAGCCGTCGATTTGATCGAGCCTTTAGAATTCGAGAGATACTTGCAAAGCATGAACGTCGCGATAATGTCACAAAGAGCGTTGGCGCCTTTCGAACCGCCGAATACAATCTCGAGTTTGTGGCTGTAGTGAGGCGCGGTAGGGTTGAGGAGCATGACCGTAGCGCAACCCATCGAGAAGGTCAAGCCAATAAAAGCGAGGCCGACAATAGCGCCGAGTGCAATCTTCGGGAGCAGACCGTTGGGCTTGACGTAGTAGATCTGGTGAACAAAGTACATTTGGGCCCTATGATTCTAAGTTGGAACTCGAGCGTAAAACGTCAAGTTACGACTTACAAGAAAGCAATGAAGCCAGAAATGTAACACTCCGCAGAAATTTGCCTCAAGACCAAGTCAGCATGGCTAATGGATTTGGGGGAATATCTACTTGTTGGTGACCAAGTACTGGGCAAGACCACCGTAGTGCAAAATGAGATCGTCCCAGAAAATCGACATAATAAGGGCGCTTGAAGCGATATCCATGACACTAATTTGAATGTGAGTGAAAGAGCAGGGTTCAAGAACGCCGGCGCACATCATTGCTAATGCCTAGAAAGTGTTGTTAAACTACGGGAAAAAGCCTGAGGGGAATTGACAAGAACGCACACTAAGCTTGACAATTAACCGGTCGTTGGTCGCGGCGCGGAAGTAGTTGAGTGCTTGTATCAGACTCGCGCCGAACATTCTGTAGGACAAAATGCCCAGTCAAAACTCTTTCTGCAACAAGGAAGAAAAACAACTTGCGTCAAATTGAGGGCATATCCCCACCAACCGGGGCCCATGAGGGAGGCCAAGGAGAAACTAGACGCGTAAGTCGTGTTGGCAATTGGACTTCGTAACCAGTAGGGTAGCTCACCCAACAGGGATTGCGTCTGGGGAGGCCATTATCGAAACTACGGGGAAGGAGTCGATACCAGCGAGTCAAGTCCCGTGGTCAAGGTTTATATCCACTTGTCTGCGCCCGGGTAGAAACACGCGTTTCACCGTCTGAGAGACTTGATTGAGTCACTAGAACCAAAACATTTGCCATTGACAGATCAATCTCTGCAATCTCAGTTTGCGTTGTCGGTATTGGTGAATTTTGTTGGCTGCTTGAAGCTTCCTTCCTTCAAGTTAGCAATCAGAGGAACTGTCTGCGGGTGAATATCAGAAGGCGAGTATACTTAGATATCATTTCTGTTAGTGCGAGATTCGGCGAAACTGACATGTGGTTGTAGTTCCGCTCCAAGAGGCACAGTAAGTTCATCATTGCATCTGCCAACGCAAGAAGCCACGGATACAAACGGGGGGAACTTGCCGAAAAAAAGCGGGTGGAAGGAAAGACCCTGCCCGATTTCACACGAATCTGATGAGCTGGCTTGCTTCGGTATTCGCCTGTCAAACAGTCCTTAAGTTTGAGACATGGCCTCCCCAGCGCTAACTCCTCTTGTTCGAATCCATGGCGGCACCCAATCCATACTACAGGTGTGTACTGGATAGCATTCGTCTTTCTGGCTTAATTTCTCCACAGAGAACCTGACTTCGAGACCCTCCAACTACATGCTGGCTTCAGCGGCGATTCCGCAACGAATGCGGCTGCTGTCCCCATATACCAGTCCACATCGTTCAAATTCAACAGTGTCGAGGTTAAACATAGGCTCTCATCGTGATTTTTCTCATCACTAACGGTTTCGACAGCACGCACAGAGACTGAATGCACTCCAGTACGCTGTCCTTTCGACTCATCGAGAACATCGGGCTTCAACTGAGTAAAATTAGAGAGTTTGGAAACATTTACTCGCGAGTGGCGAATCCAACGGTGGTATGTTGTTTCTCTCGCGCTCTCCTGCGTGTTGCTCAAGTAAATGCTCTGGAGGACGTATTGGAAAAACGGGTTGCAGCGCTGGAAGGCGGGATGGCTGCTGTCGCTACCGCATCTGGACAAGCTGCAACTGCACTGACGATTACTTCGCTGGCCGGGGCGGGGGATAATATTGTCGCCTCGTATGTTCAACGCCCGCGCTCGCTTTTACATTCTAAATATTTCAAGGGCGCGTTTGTATGGAGGAGTGCGTTCTTTCCCCTCAAGAGCCGTCGAGCACGTACTTACCTTTGACTTTAGACCTATAATCAGTTCAAAGGTTGTCCACACTCCTGCACCGCGAATCGATTGAGGAACTGAACGACCGTTTGCAGTCACGTTCAAGCGTCTTGGGATTGAAACGAAATTCGTCAAATCGGAAGACCCAGCCGACTTTGCTGCTGCCATCGACGACAAAACCAAATGTATCTTCATCGAAACCATCTCCAACTCGGATACCGTTCTGCTTGACATTGCCGCCCTCTCCAAGGTACCATTTGCACTCTCCATTCTTATTACTGTATTGAAGCCAGCATGGATTAGGTCGCACACGACAAGGGTATTCCGCTGGTGGTTGATAACACCCTTGGCATGGGTGGCTATCTGGTTCGGCCAATTTCGCTTGGTGCAGACATTATAGGTTGGTGCTCTCAGGCTCTCTCTTTTGTACATCGAGAGTTTTAACTTCCGTTGGTAGTACACAGCGCAACGAAGTGGATTGGCGGTCATGGCACAACTATGGCTGGTGTTATCGTTGACTCAGGTTTGTGAATCAGGATTGAATGACCCGAAACTGGAAACCTTCATTAGGCCGTTTTGACTGGCGTAACTCTGACAAGTTCCCGAATCTAACGGGTCCTTCTCCTGCGTACGGAGGTGCATCCCTTGGCACGATATTCTACCCATTTGGCTTTGCCATTCAAGTCCGCATCGAGGTCAGCCTGTCCCCAACTTTGCCCAGATCCGTCAAATAAATTTCATCGATAGAGTTTGCGTGATTTTGGCCCGTGTCTGAGCGCTCAGGCTGCTTTCAATGTGCTTCAAGGCATCGAGACACTTAGTTTGCGGGCCCAACGCCATTGTGACAATGCTCTTGCCCTTGCCAAGTGGGTTTTCGCTGATTCAAACGACTTTTTCGCTCATCTTCTTCAGATGGCTCGAGGGTCATCCTAAAGTTACCTCTGTAACATACCTCGGACTGCCGTCTCACCCGTCTCATCAACTAGCCCAAAGCACATTGCGCTCGGGAGCGTTTGGCGGCATGCTCACCTTCCGTGTCGAAGGCGGGTTTGAAAAAGTCAAGAAAATCATCGACAACCTTAAGCTAGCGTCACACCTTGCCAACCTTGGAGACACGAAGACGCTCGTCATCGCGCCCTTCGTGACTATTCAGTCGCAGCTTTCGCCAGAGGAGCGTGAATTAACAGGAATCACTGAGGACACCATCAGGGTATGGTTTCTCGGCCATGTGCACTCTTGCGAAGACTAAATTAATGTCTAGTTCTCCGTCGGTATCGAGAGTGCTGCGGATATCATCGCTGATGTGGAGGGTGCATTCAAAGTGGCCTACGATGAGTAGATAGTCAGCTGAGCCATATTTTTAAATATAAACCAATCAACTTCTTGCGTGTCGCATGATGTCATCACACGATCGGCGCGCGCATCAGTGTTTGCCTTCGTCGTCGGATCGACATTTGATGCCCGAGCTAATTATGAACATCAAGCGCTCGTTGCAGATCATTTAGAAGTCTCTTCCTGTGCCAATTAAGTGCTATTCAAAGCGCCACCCGATTGGTGTTTGCCTGCAATACATTCGCAACGTGGAAATCTGCGTGGCGCACTGGGGAAAATACCGAGTGAGCCTACCCGGGTCCCGGGCCGCCGCCGCCATTCTCCAACTTGAAGTTGGAATCCCCCACCTTCGCTCGACGCCAATGCCTGCCAGTGTCGACCGAGTGCGCCTGCAATCCACCACGGCTCGGTTTATCAATGGCTTTGTACTCTGCAGCTTTGGGTTGGTCATTGTACTCGCCCTCATCCAGACGACAATAAATTTGGGCCGCTACCTGCATCCTGCCACTCCTCGGGCAGTCCAACTCTATCGTGAGCACCAGTAGATTCGCTTCTCGAAGACTCCTAAACAGTTACAGCGGGTACTTCACCAGTGTGGGACATCGGAGCCCTCCCTCTTGTGCAAATGTCGGTGGAAGACACAGTGAACTACCAGCTAAACGACAGTCTTGCCGATGCGCAATGGGCGAGCCTTACGCCCAACAACGGCATCGTCTACGTTGGGGCAGAGAAAAGCCCATATTTGCTCTCGCTGTTCCACCAGCTCAAATGTCTCGATATTATTCGACGAATGCACCTTGCTGTGAAGTCAAAGGATCACTCGTACGACGCTCTCGGGCGGCATTGTTTGAATTATCTTCGGTTCGTTCAGGCCCACTGCCTTGTTTGTGTTCTCCCGAGAAAGTCGGCCACTGAAGACTTTGTACAGACAGACACTGCTATGTCGCGCTGACCTTCATCTTGAACCTTTACAAGATCCTGATGGCCCTCATGCGGTTGATCAATGGAGTGAGATGACTTGTCGCGATTGGAGGATAGTGTATGCGCGGGTCGACGAAAACTTGTCAATATAATCAGTGTAGAGGCCAGATGAGCTTCTGATAGTTTCAGGATAGCTAACTTGAACTTGATTCAGTTCCGCATCGCAGGCAAAAGGCCTGAGATTATACCGCTCTAGGTTCCTTCTGCGACTCGAATTCCGGCATAAGCGGCGCTCGTGTCAATGTTCATAGCGCTTCAGAAGGTTGCAAGTCTGGCATCATCAAACTTGAATCGCAGTTGAGATATCGACTCTCCCTCGCGCCAAGCCCAGCCAATCTAGAGGCCTGTTACTGCGATGCTCCGACGTTCGACTGGTTCAATGTTTGCGGGAATGCGGCGATTGACGGGAGACTTCTTGAAGTTGGACCGTGGTATATGTTGTTACGCGCCGTGATTTGCTTCTGCCCTAAACAGACTTGCAACTGATCACAAGCGGGTTCAAAGCTGTTCAAAGAGATCTTCTGATCATCTGACAAATAACCGCGCAAGATAACCGTCGAAGCGCTCCGAGGAACCCCGCAACAGCCGGATTCCCACGGTTTAGTCCCTTGATGATTCATTTAAGAATATATACTTTCTCTTTTGGGAAGCTGGGGAACGCACTGATAGCACCACGCGGAGTGGGTATACCTCGAAGTCCAGTAGAGAATGCGGTTTGCTTGCTTTCAAAAATGGATCCAGAACGAACCGGGAACTCGGTTTGTCCGACTCTCGCTTGATCAAAGCTGAGGGGGTCGAACGCGTATAAAAGACCAGTTCAGCCCTGAATGAAGCCTCAGAGTTCTTCTCTGTCTGCCATCCGCTGCTCGCTTACCCACTTCTCCTGTCCAACAATGAAGTTCTTTTCCACCATCATCGCCCTCTTCACCGTCGTTCTTGCCGCCAACGCCCTTGTTGTCGAGCAGCGCACCCCCTGCGATGTCCGCCGCAGTCAGTATATGCCATTGTCGTTGTCAACTTGATGCTAACTCGTCTTGTCTACTAGCTGAGGTTGATGGTGGTTTCGACGGCGAGTCGCGTTGCCTCTGAGCAAGCAGTGGCACGACAGGTAGCCGCAGTCCCCTTAGATTCAATCAAGCCCGAGTACTGACTACAGCTTTCAGTGCTGTGCCCAGAATGACATGCACATGTTTTGTATCATCTTGAAGAATGCTTGATTTGGTTGGTTAGACTTGAGCTCTTGTTGTTGTAGTTGTGTTTTAAAGTTGAAAATTGTTGTTGTGGAGAACCTTTTACCAGTGATCATGACCCTGGTTTGATAACTTCGACATGGAGTCAATATCAATTCGCGCTAGGCATTGCAGTCCGGCCCACGCTTCTCAATAAGTCACCATGATAGAACATTGGCGTCTTGAAGCTTCGATAACTTAGGACCAATGAACGTTCATGTGAAACCACTGATATCGAGACGTTTGTACTTGAGATTCGTGGAGCGTGGCGACGTCCGACTGCAGACCGAAGACATAGCGAGGTGACAAAGTACATTGGTGGCTCAAGACAACAGACGAAAGGCAATAAGCTCATCTTAACTTGAAGTTAATACAACGAGGAGCGTTGGATCAAAAACAGGGCTGGAATTCAAAAACTCAGATCCAAGTGGAAGCCGGGATGGAAGCGGAACGCATACCTGAGTGCGGCTGCTCTCTGGGCTGGGCGAATTCGAGATGACAGCTTGGATTTCCGGCAGCGCAGGCCAACTCAAATGTAAGAATTTCCGTGCTGGGACACAAAAACTCGGTAGTTCGGAACGACGCTGTCGGTTGGCCCTGCATCTCGGCAAGGTCCCAAGTCGCAAAAAGATGTCGACGTGAAGGCCGGTTGTTCCACGAGAGGTGTTCCGGATCAAGACGATGGGCTTGGTCGAGTTGCCAAACATCAATGGACCCTGTGGCCATTGCAGATTCAGAAAGTGACCGACCGTGGTGATGCCCGCTTGTCGGTGGCGGCGCGATTCCCATTGACAATGTCAGGGTGCATTTCTCCATGCCGAAATCGCGCACACGAAATTGGACGACTGTAGACACCTTTGATATATGTACATAGTCAGACTTGAAATTTGAAGAGAGAAAGAAAGAACACACGTCCAGCGCTATCCGAAATTTCCTGTCGGTCGGATAAGCTGTCCCGAAGTACGTAAAATGGCGATCTACTTGGTGCAACACCATGCTAGGTGATGATTCAGCTATTTGTTCCGCGAAGTCAGGCCAGGCTGATATTGGTTTGGGTGGGACGGGAGGGGATGTGGTGTTGTGGACGACTTTGTCGAGGCCGATATATGAGCTTGGATTTTCGAGACGAATACGCGAGCTCTTGATGTTATTGGAAAGATTCTCTTTTTGGAGTAGGAGGAAGGATAAGTTGAGTAAAGTGCACGTTATTGACGCTATGAAAGCGAGCACCGCCCAACGCGCGGGCTTTCCAGTCCAATAGCTACCTAGATGCCAGCTGAGAGACCAGGACGGAAAGAACTGTGGTAATCACCATCGCTTTTCGTCTGCTTGCACTCGCAAAGGATGATAGAGTCTCGGGGTTTGTCCAACTCCTCATCTTGAGGCAGGGGGGTGTAGAACGACATGGCGGAGCGAAGTCAACGGAATCCAAAAGATGCATCAGCGCTGCTGTTGTCACAGTTTGGTTCGGTTCAGATCTCAAAGTGCGGTGGGATTCAGAATGCTATCTTCAATGCACTTTCCATCTCAGCTACGTCTGAACCCAACTTCAGTACTGGCAAGTCTAGCTGTGGTGCTCACCATCGGCAACACCTTGCTCAGTTTACATCTTTGGCAACCCAAGGAACCCGTCACGACCTATTGTACGTTGACTATGAGGATAGAGTGTCAGTACAATACTCAAAAGTTACAGCATATGTTGGAAACGACTTTCCTGAATTTTTCGTTCCTCAGCGGGGGCCTCTCGCCTCAGTCGCGATGACCATGGAGGAGTCTCGCCACTATGCCGTCTTTGGGCCAGAGGCTCTGGCAGAGTGGGTGTCAAACAGTCCCAAAGGCTTCGACTACGTCCGCCTCGGCTCTGAATATCGGGGTTTTGCAGTCGCAATGTGGCATGAGCTGCACTGTCTCCATGTTATCCGCGTCGTTCTCGACGGAGCTAACAGTCCGATGGCAGTGGGTCATCTCCACCACTGCCTCAACTATCTTCGCCAGTACATCCTTTGCAACCCCAATCTCACTCTTGAACCCGCTGATCTGCTGACACGAGACTTTGAGAATGATTTGACCGAACGGGAAGGAGCGACGCATGTTTGTGTTGATTGGGCGCAGATGTATGGCGAGATGGAGGATAACTGGGCTGAATGGGAGCCGATTCGGGCATTGTATAGGTCCAATGGCACTGTGCCGATGTAGATCTCTCAAGGTGGTTGACTCGGATTTGGGAGTTGTCACACGTGACAAATAATAATATCGAAGCCCGAAAGTAACCACCACCTCATAGCTGATCTTGCAGTCTGATGACTGCGGGAGAAAATCAAGAAGAACTATTGGTACGATCAACAGAAGTCCCCCGCAACCGACTGCAAGGCGCTCGAAGGAGATGGGGGCTTGGTTCGGTTCAGCTCACTCTGATTCCAGCCCAGGTACATAGTCTACATGCTAATCTTTGCTTACGGTCCAACTTATGGCTCTTAGCGTCACCCGTTCTTTTGTCTTTGCCAGTGGTGCTTATGCCGTCTACCGACTGGGTAGCATGTTGAAGGAGGCATTATGGCCCACATGCGATATTCCGGGACCCCATAATCCTAGTCTTTTCTGGGGCAACTTCAGAGAAATGCGGGTAACAAGAATTATTCATCTTTCCAAGTTGGTGGATGTGCATGCTGACAATTGTAGGATGACCCCCAGACGCTCAACTCGTGGCATACTGCCTACGGTCGTATCTTCAAATTCAGAAGCCTCTTTAGCGTGCGTAGCGTTCGCTGTATACTTCCCAATCTCAGCATTCTCTAGTTCTCTCAACTTTATACGACGGATACTCGGGCTTTGACCCACATCCTTTTCAAGACTGAGATTTACCAAAAATCCCCCAGTTTTCGTGAGAATGCGGAACGATATACCGGAGTCAGTGCGTCGTACTATTCTTCCACCACTCAAAGATGCTAAAAGACGTCGGAAGGCGTAAACTCGTTAGAAGGCGAGGAACACGAGCGTCATGTGCGTCCTTGCAGCTTTAAACATTATCTGCTCAACAACTTGACATACAGCGGAAAATACTGGTCTGTCCGTTCTTCATCATGGAAATCCGAGACAACTCCGCAGGTAGACGCCTATATTCAGTATGTCGCAAATACGACAGCTCAACACTGTCTTCCTTGACAAGGCTGCACAGGTTAAGTCCCAATTGGTTGGTCAGGTTTAATGCCAACGCTATTCCAGCTTCGCGATCTATGGACAGAGCAGGTTACTCAAGGGAAGGCAGGCGTCGTGATCGATGTCTATCCTTGGATGCGGAGGTTTGCGACCGATGTCGTGGGGCAAGCCGGTGAGCCTGAGCATTATGTGTCCTGGCCAATGAGTTGTGTGTTGACCATCACCAAGGTTTCGATTACAACTTTCATTTGTTGGACGGCACGGGCGAAACAAACGAGTTTTATGTGGCCATTAAAGCCATGCTCCATTCCCCTAACTACTTCTACCATTACGTTTTCCGCTCTGCACAGGACAACTTTCCTATCTTGCGTTGGATTGTAAGCATCCCAATCTCGCAAAAGATATAGCGGTTGAGCTTTTACCCAGCGGCTTCCAGGTGGAAAGCAATTCGACGCGGCTCGAGAAAGCATGTTTGCGATTGCCACTAAGATTATGGAAGAGCGCAAGGAACTCATTCGTTCCAGTTCGGAGAAACACACATCCAAGGACCTATTGTCTGTTCTTATCAAAGCGAATCTTGGCATTGATGCAGCAGAAGACCGACGGTTCAGCGACCACGAAGTTGTTTGTCGTAAATTCACATTTTGTTTTGCTCCCATTTACTGAATCTACTCTGCAGAGATTCCTGCACTCATAACCGGCGCAACAGAATCCTCAAGGTTTGCTTTGTCCGTCCGATACCTTTCCTTGACTCATTCTATCAAGTATTGGCATGTCTTGGTTGTGGTATGTTCTTGCGGCATACCCTGAAATCCAAAAGAAACTGCGTGAAGAGCTGCAAGGTCTCTCAGCGCGAACATCACAACCTACAATGGACGAGTTAAACGGACTCCCCTATCTTGAATCCGTCATAAGAGAAACTATGCGCCTCCACTCTCCTGTCTCTTACAGTTGGCGGATGGCCTATTCGGACGATTTAATTCCCTTGAGCACACCTTTTATAGACCAACGGGGGAGGATATTCGAAGCACTGCCGTCTGTTGTTTCCTGCTTCGACATCCATTCAAAAAGGCTGATAGTTTCCCAGTGTGAAGAAGGGTCAACGAGTGTACGTCCCCGTATCTCATGTAAACACGGACAAAGCACTGTGGGGCGATGATGCGCTTGAGTTCAAGTGAGGTCCACCCTTAATAAACACTTCAGGGTTGACTCCATCTGATAGACCTGAACGATGGGCTGCTATTCCTGACGCAGCGAATGGCATTCCAGGTGTCTACGCAAACAATCTCGTTTTCTGGGCCGGTCCACACGGGTGTATCGGTATGCATTCCTTACATTTCGCGTAACTTGGGTTCTTAACGAGTCCCCCCAGGCTACCGTTTCGCACTTGCTGAGTCCGCTCTTTCCCTTCTTCGTACCCTCTTTTTCTCAGCCGTTGTTTTACAGGATTAAAGCACTCATTTTCACGATTTTGTTGGCCTTTGAATTTGAGTTGTCGGTGCCGAAGGAGGATGTCGGCAAGACGACTGCGTTGGCGTTGGCCAGGCCTTTGGTGCTTAGTCAGCGCGCTCAAGGACCGCAAATGCCTCTGCGAATCAAACCATACAACTCTTGAAGCACCTTCTATGCAACTTTGTTATGGGATGGACGGGTTAGAGGCCTAGGAGACAGTGGCTATTCGTACAATGATATCCAAACTTTTACAGCTTATTCGTCGCGTGACCAAACGTTAATGACCTCTGCTCTTCCTCCCTTCTCGCTGCGGCCCCTTCTAGATCAACTAGCGACAACCACTTGGGGCTTTGTAGCATTTCTTCCCAGGCATCAAGCACTTCACCCAGCGACCCGTCAGACTGACGGTTCAACTTCAAAGATAGCGAGAGACTGAAAGGAAGTGTGTCGCAGGAAGAGTCTGATAGAACCAGCGACGAATTGGAGGCGGATAGCTGGAGGTATGCGAGCTCGGAGTCGCATTCCGATTCTTGAGAAAGAGAGGATGTTGATTTGCCGACGTGATTCATCATCTCCGAGGGTGTATCGACGGCGAAGGTCCGGTCGGATTGCATCGAGAGCTCGCGATCGTCAGAGAGAGCAATCATAGTCATATCATATTCTTCGACGCTCTCATTTCGGGCAACGCGGTCCATACTGGTGTAGACGTCGACGAAGTTGGAGACTGTGAACGACAAATTAGGAGCTTGGTCAAAAGTTGGTGCGACGGGGACAAGGTGGGTGTCTAGACTTGCTGGGGCAGATATTGGACGAGCGGAGGTTTGCTGAGTTGTTTGCTGGATTGGAAGTGACATTCTCTTGCTTTGCACACCTTTGCTCCATCTTCGCACTTCTACCAGCTTGTTTTCTTTGTCTGCATACCAACTTGCCGATGCCGGGGCTGTTTCTCGTCTGCCACCATCCGGTGAGCTGAAACACGACTCGAAACGGAGGTTGGTAGATGGTTGGATGCGCTTGAGCGACTGGTGTCTGTGAGGGGAGAAAAGTCGAGCTTGGTCGATCCCTTGCCCGTGAGTGTTGCTGATGGAACTGAGAGATTGGTGGGTTTGAGGATGGATGATATGTTCGAATGGATGGACGTGTATAGAAGAAGCCTGTCGGCTGATTGAATTGGGATTACAGGCAGCGGATTTCGCCTCTTTGCTTCATGAATTACGGTCAGAACAGACACGGCGAGACCTACCCAAAGGTTCGTGAAAGGTTGGTATCTCATACTTCTCCTCGTCAGAGTCTTGGCGAGAGACAATCATTCGACCTTCAACGTCGGTGGGAGCAGCAATTTTGCGAGTCTTTCGGCGCGAGCAAGTGAGAATCGAGCGGAGCTTCATGTAGAGATAGAATATTGTGGCGGTAATGACGGTCGCAAAACGAAAGAGGAAGGGTAGCATATTCTGTTGCCGCAACTTGAGGGGTAGGATGTGGATGAAAAGAGAGAGAGAGACTCTGAGAGTGATGGGAAGCCACGTGAGATCACCACTTCTTCCCGAGAACCAACGAACGAAGTTTGTCAGTCCAACACTACAAGTCTTTTCTCCTTGGAATAATATGCGGTCTAGGAGCGGTAGCCATTCTACCAGCGCTGTTCCGAAGAGCACCTTATTGACGACAATCCCGACGATCCTTGACAAGCTTGTAACAACGTTTGGACCCTTCCATTGACGATTCACGTCCGGTTGGCCATTCTATCCTCAAAGGCGTACTGGAGCCTGCTCATGGCCTAAAGATTTCGGGCAATTGCTTTCCGCATCAAACCATTGGCGGTGGCGACAACGGCTTCTGCCAATTGCATTGAAGAAAGAGAAATAATTCTCGGTGCGTGTTGAAATCTGCCCCAGTCGAACCTCTCTACAATGTGTGTTTGAAGGAAGTAACCGCTCAAGGCTATGACGGAACCATCTCTTGATGCGTTTCCCGCCCTCGTACCCACACATATATCTTTCCCCGCCTCAAATATAAACAGTCAGAAGAATCGCGAGGCCGAGGAAGCGTTGGACAAGTTCGCTAATCTGTTTTTACCGCCAACACCGCGCGCTTCGCCAGTTCCAAGTCTGGCCCCACTCTTCGTCCCGCCTTTGCCGTCTTCCCAGCCCGTGACCGCCTCTCCAGACTCAGACTTTGGCTCATTTGTTTCGGTTTCCGCTGATGAGGACCCCCTCTCCACATCACTCGTTGAATTCAACCCATTCACACCGATTGAAACAGAGTCATCAGGGCCTGGACCATCAACGGGATTCGAAAAGTTTTCTCAGAGCGTCAAGGACAGGGCGGAGACAAATCGCGGACTACTGGACGAGTTGTTGATGCACGAGGATGAACCGATGTATTGGTTGAACGATATGGAGCAGTCATCACCGCAGTCTAGTAGTGCTGCGACGCAGCCTCAAACATCTTCCTCACCAGGATTGGCTGATGAGCCAGACGACATCCTGCCCTCTCAAAAGCCAAACAAGTGGATGACCGAGTCGCTTTCTGACCTTGACTTTGACTTTTTTACCTCTCCACAAAGTCAAACCCCACCAAAGTCGATCCCACATCGACGATCATCGTCACATTCGTCATCTTCCATTCTATCTCCAACGCTTTCGCCTACCCTGACGACTGCACGGACATTGGCTCCACCATTAGCTTCCAAACTAAGTTGGGAGGATGCACCTGGGTTCGACCACCGGCAATCAAGTAAAATGCCGCTACCGACGCCCACCAGAAGCGGGAGCTATGCCGCTCTTGCTTCGTCCCTGTCCAAATCAGCCGGTGCTAAATGGGTTACCTCTTTTCTTCCAACGACACTTTCACCTCCAGCTGCCGCTGTACCCAACCCCAACCTATTACCTCCATCGCATCATCATACATCTTCCACCACCTCCTCCAACTCCCCGTCCCCCTCATCTTCGCTGGCCAACTCATTAGTTCTGTCCTCACATTCCCATCCCACGCTACCGAAAGCTCCAGTGCCCGATTTGTCTCATTTTACTCCGTTTGCGCCATCACACACAAACAACTCACATGTGCCTTTCAGCGGTGCTCCTGGTTTTCGTGGAGATGCCTACGATTGGGATAAGGGCTTTTCGCACGCGCTGGAACACGAGCTGGGTCACTCCTCAGAGACCCCTTCAACCCAACTTGATTGGGATGATGATGAAGATATCCTTATTTTGGACGGCAAAGGAAACGCAACGCGCGTCGGCGGGCCGAGTCGTAATCCTAGTAGCAGCCACTTAAGTAACGGGACTATCTCCAAGGCGAAGGAAGGCGTTGGTGTGCTACTGGAGAAGAAGATGACACTTTCGATTAGTCTTGAGGGCAGGAAGGCATTGACTACGGTGGTGTTAACAAACGAACTGGTCGCGATGGTATGTGCTCCATCGCGGCAACCGTTTAACTTTACAACTGACATTTTAGATTCATCCCCACCTTTCCGCATTACTGCGTTTGCCACATAAGTGGACGCTCCTCTACTCACTCGATCAACATGGTATCTCTCTCAAGACCCTCTATTCGCGCTCTACGCCACAGCCAGCGACGTCCAGGACGCCTCAGCCTAAAGGGGGACTGTTAGTGATTCAAGACTCTGATGGTGCCATATTTGGCGCTTGGGTCCCCGAAGGACTTCGACGGAGCGCTGGAGGTGGATACTATGGCGGTGGGGAGTCGTACGTGGCCTTCTTTCACCAAAGACCCCATTTGACCACTGCCATAGCTTTCTCTGGCGATATTTATCATCCACGGGGAAGTTCGATGTATTCAAATGGACGGGCAAGAACGAATATGTAGCGTTCTGTGAGGAGGGATTCATCTCATTTGGTGGAGGGTGAGCAACCTATTATCTCTTTGTTTAATACTAATAACCCGCTCCAGAGAGGGCCATTATGGTCTTTACCTTGACGACTCACTACTCGATGGGACCTCCGCGCACTGTCCGACATTCAACAACGAGCCGCTCTGCTCGCCTGGGGCATCACAAGGCGGGAAGGCCACCATAAAGTTTGAGTGTGTAGGGTTGGAAGTCTGGGGCATTGGGCCATAAGCAGGCAGCACCGTCCCGTCCACAGTTTCCACGTCGTTAACGTTTTCGCATTGCTACCATTCACCTTCTCCCGCCTCCGCTGATGTGTGCTAGACGACAATACTTCTCCCAGCAAACAAAAAGCCACAAAAAATCTGTTGTGCACTTTCTGCCGGCGCACCCAGACTCGTTTTACTGTCCGAAATCAGCGTACGCCAACCAGAGTGCAAGCATTTTATATGTGGCGTTAAAGGAAGTGAAACGCGTCTTGTATGCTGTAAAATGCCGGTGGGCCACTTCGAAAGTCGATTTGCGCGATACCTTCAAATCAATGACCCATATCAACAAAGAACCCTGCGTGCCCCTTTTCTAAACAGAAGGAGTGCTTCATGCGCTTCGGCGTCCCTTCAGGGCCACGAATAATTCAGTCTTATCGTCATGGGCGGCTCAGTACCCAGCCAAAGTCCAAAAACTCGTCGACGTTCCCGCGCAACTGCAAACCAAACCAGGCGATATGGCCCATGCAGTCCGCCAGACATTCGGAGTATGAATTTTCCTGGCATTCGTCTCGAGTAAAATGCAGAAACGAAGCAAACAGATTCAACATTATGGCTGCGTCATAATGGCTTTTTGATTGGAGTCTTGACACTTCAGGGTCGCAAAGACATGCGAACGAATTAATCAGGGTGCCCAACCTTCCCTTTCCAGGCAAAGTGTTCAACGTCGCTTACCCGCGATGGTATGTTTCCCGTTCTGGCTTGTCTTCAAGTTGTTCATATTGATGCTTTCGTTGAGCGAAGTTTTGGGCCCCTTCCTCACGACCGATCCACCAACTAGACGGCTGCTTTGGTCGCCCGGCGGTGCGCCTATACGGATGAACTTGAAGTTGAACCGGAACATCACCGAGTCGTTTGACATCAATTATCAAGCGGTGGGGAACAAGCCGCGCATCCTGGTGCTCAACTTTTCGAATGGAAAACATGCGCAATAAAATTTTCTTTGGCATGGGGCGTGTCAACCAACAAAACGCCCAGAGTCATTTCATCTATTCCGGGGGGTCCGCCAACGATGTGTTACAGAGTTGGAGTCGGGTTCACACTGAAGGTCCAAGTTGAGTCTGTCCTCGTTGCTGAAGCGCGCATTGAAGAGTAAGTAGAGCATCCTTGTCAGCGAGCAAAATTGAACGGATCAGGTCTAGGGTATAGCCCGAAGGTTATTTCGTGAGACTCGGGAAGGCAGGTTAGGTGAGTGATTTGCTTTTCGTATTTTCGGAATAAAGCGAACGAGGATGGCGTTGGGCACACGAGGAAGAGAAGCGCTTTGGCGATGGGACGAGTGCGCGACTTTGGAAGTCCGGTTCGGACGAAGGCAACTATTGATGGGTGTGTGGTTTGGTAACAAACAAACAAAATGGACGAACAGCGATGTGGGCTGCATTTGCAGAGTCAGGGTTCGAAGCCACATGCAAACGGCGCTGCGACAGCAGGCGCATGGAGCCCCCATAGCCTTTCCCGGGAGGGTTTTCAAGACTCGATTATTGCACGTCGAGAAACCTTTTTGGGGAGGTAGGCGCTTCCGCGACGTTTATAAGCCCAGCGTGAATTGAATGACAACTCAATCTCGAGCCTTCATCTCTTCTACACTCTCCAACAACTCCTCCGTCCAAGAAAATCATGTCTGCTACCACTGTTCGTCGTCTACGGCGCCTTGACGTGACTTGATTATCTTCCAGACCAACAACAACAACGGCCAAGGCGTCGGGTACTATTATGATCCTCTTGATGGGCCACGCACCTCTCGTCGAACCCCGATGGCTTGCCAATTCTGTCGAGGTACGTAGGCTCGATCTTGCTTTGCAGAGCCGAGTCACTGAGTCTGACAACTAATTACCTCCAGCCCGCAAGCTCAAGTGTGGTGCGTGGGACAACGTAAATGGTGCTGTTTTATCTCATGCTCGAATAGACGGCCTCCGCCCTCAGTGTACCAACTGCGCCCGTCGTAACTGTGCTTGCAACTACATCCCAGTGTTAGCGTTCATCTCCTCCCATCAATCCCCGCTTTCTGACGTCTCCCAACCGAAACAGCTCTCAGACCACCAAATAGAAACCTTGCGATTGCCTGTAAGGGCCTCAATTCCTAGCCAGAACGACTCGGACCATAGATTTCACTTTGTAGAACTTAACTTCTCCCAATATACTAGTATCCGCGAGCATCTATTTCGCTGGTTTTCTTTTGTCTTCTTCCGCGATGGCCCCAGGACAGGGATCTTCCGAGTGCAGATGCGGCCCTAAATTGCTTGACCTTGCCATTGAGCTTACATATTACGCTCTCACTTCATCTTTTTTTTGATTGTCAGTGCCACTGGCAGTGCAGCCAGTGTCTACAACGCACTAGCAGCCTGCATGCGTACCGGTACTTAGTCTGCGGCAGGTGATACGTAACAGGATTGAGTGTATTTGGCCCCCTCTTAGTAGCGTTGCGTGGCTCGAAATCGGCTGAGAGCTAGTCGTCCATGAGACGCGTTCAAATCGCCGCATCCGACCCATCAATCAGTAACGTGACCGTATCCGAGTCCTGTGACTTTCTGTGACTCTGTTCACTTGGACCCGCGACCCATGCACAAGCCCACGACAGATACTGGTCTATCCACTGCGACAGCCCTAAGTCTTTCGGATTTCCATATTGCTGGACCCCCCACTGTCTATTACATACCCAATTTTATTACGGCACGCACAACTGCCTTCGTTCTGTTCAAGGAGTCGCCGATCTTATTCTCGCTAGATGGAGGAGGAGCAATATCTCGTTGAAAAGGTATGGTAGAAACCGTGTAACATATAGCACAGGCCTCAGCTCCCGCCGTAGATTCAAGCTACCCCTCAACAGCGATGGAAGCAGTTGGCCAATCGGCGGTGTGTGGATATAGCCGGACTTGCGGGGCTCTGCAACTTTACTAACATCTCTGAATCAACGGTCTTAGACTGCAACTTTGGGGTTGGCACCCTCTCCTCTGGCACGGAAAAATCCGACTTACTCCTCCCTTTAAACAGGTGGCGAGTTGACGTCAAAAAACACACTCATCGCACAGGCCATGCCGCCGTTTGTCGAGAGCTAGTAGGTCCGGCAACGTAACTGCGAGCCAGTGCTCAACAACCATAGTCCCGATATTATCGCGCGTCTACGAGCTACTGGCGCGTTCACGCGCTCTCCGCACGGCCAACCCAATCATATCATTATGTAATTACCCATGTTTTCATGGTAAACGACCTTCTGAGTCAAGCCTAGGAACGAGGTTTGGTTTCGCCGATCTCCTGAAGTCTCTTATTCTTGTTTAGTATCGGTCAGGACAGGGTGAGCATGTTGCACTCTATTCAACAGGCGTCCGACCTTCAAGGAATTATGGTGGGGACAATCTTCCTATTGAAAACGTCTGTTCCAATTTATCCACAGCCGCATGAAGATGGACCAGCATACTTTCCCGTCGTAGCCACCATCTCGCTGAATTCCCATTCTATGTTCCATTATTATCGATATCAGGAAGACGGCCGCACAATCGATTCGACACCAGTAATGTCGGTGCTACTCGAGCCGCGCTCAGTCGTCATCTCGCAGGACTCACTTTACTCGTCACATCTCCACGCGTTCGGATTTTTCTGATTATAGTCTCAACGCAGACCTGATGGATGGCTTTGCAGGATTCAAGAGGTCGAAAAAGATGTCGTGGTTTTGCCGACGGAGACCAAACAACCACTCGTTCAAATCGACTCACTATCACTTCCAATCGCTAATTGGGACCGAGTGACTTCCCCTTCCATCTTGGAGGTCTTGAACAACGGAGGGATGTTGGAGCGGGAGACGAGGTATAGCTTGACATGCCGAGACGTGGAGAAAGTCGTGCAGCTCAAGACATTAGTCAACAGACGATAAAATTAGTTCAATCGAGCGTCTGTTAGGGTCTCGTAGTTGTCGTCTGCCCCAAACGCCTCCCCAACCTTCAAGCAAACAAAACGTTGCTCAAGAAGACTCCAGTGAAATATTCGCTTGATCCCTGCCCACGCACACCACTCGATACTAGGTGATTATCGGTCAGTGATAAAATTATGGGGAGGGAAGCAACTGACCAACGCCAACAAGGTTTTGAACAAGCCAGCTGGCCGGACCGGGTCACCCGGCAAACGTAGAGGTCCGCTCCGTTGAGCTTCGCCAAGCGTGGCCGCCTGCCAAGCGCCATCCTCTTGTGCCAACTCCGACTACCCTCCCACACTCCCTTCCGTCTCCTCTCCTGCTCATACCCGTACTCTGTTTCGTGATGATGATGATGATGATGATAAAGTCGATGGGGTTCTCGGTAAGCCTGCTGCTGCCGCATTGTCGGAACCGCATAAGGAGCACGACACGGATTTGGCCGCGAATCTAAATCCTTGCTTGCTGCCAACCCGTGCTGCTCGTCGTAGGTGTTGTAGGTGTTGTAGTTGGGGGGGTGTTCGTGCTTTATATTGTTCTGCTTTTTCTTTTTCTTCTCTGTGTCCTGATTCTCCTCCACAGCAAGATGTGCCTGTTGTCGTCGCGGTGATGTTGGCCATGCCCGGTTGAACCTGCTGCTTGAGCGTGGGAGCAAGGCCACGAGTAGCGTTGAAGATGCTGGCCATTTCAGCGTGCATAGACAACGGCTTCCCGCCCCCCGGCGTGTCATAGTTCGGTCGCTGATGATTGTAGCCGGTCGAGATCACCTTCCCGCCTTTGACCTACTTCAATGAGAAGCTACTTGAGCAAGCTGGGGGAATCTTACTATAACAGACCCAAGCGTATAGTACATCGTAGACTGAGCATCTTTCAGCGGAACCACCAATTACGCATGAACTTAAACACACCTTTGACGCGGCCTCGATACACTGCGACTTATAAAACTGCGACTTGTTCATGGTAGATCGGTTTAGATTCTTTTGGAAGAATAAGGTTTAGAACGAGGAAGGCTAAGCGCTGAGCGTTGCGAAACGGTAGTGCAAGTTCGAAAGAAGCTGCAAGAGTGACTCGACTTTTTTTTTTTTTTTTTTTTTTTTTTTTTTGAATCACATTTATATTCCGCGGGCAAGTACGCTACTGCTACTAAGGCGCGGTGCTCGTAAAAGCAGCCATCGTGGGTGCGTCGGACAACAGGGCAGAGCCGTTCCACTTTGGGGGTTTATGGTGTAGGTGTCATTGTGGTGGTTCCGTATGCCAGCGCTTGCTGGCTGTAACGGTTGGGTGTTGTCAGTCATAGGCATGAATGCATGAGTTTTGGGGATCATAATGGCGTGTTTTCCGGGTATGTCGTTTGTCTGCGGGGTTCTCCTCTTCGATGCCTTCCAATCTAACCATGATCGTCGTCGCCCACGTCGTCTTCGTCGTCAGAAAGGTCTGGTTCCGGTTCTTCTTCCCAGGTAGGAAGTTTGTCTTCCTTCCGTTTGTGTCTTTGTGAACGAGTGACTCGACTCTCATCACTCCCAAAATGCCTTGATTTCTAACCTCGACAACCGAGATTTTACCGTCCCTCAACTTTCTATGCAGTTTAGAGTGCGAAGGCTGCGCTTCGATGAGAGTTTCAGGCCCATAAACATGCATTTTTCTCCTCAGAGCTTATGTGTTCAATACAATCTTATCGTTGTGAACTTGAACATGTTATCACAACAACTTCTCAGCCATTTAAAAAGTTCAAAGTCTCTCAGATTTCTGTCAAACGCTCATTGAGCTAGTAGCAGCTAGGCCTTGGTCGTATACAAGTATTTACAGGACAGACTGAGTGACTATAGCCAGTGAGGAAATATTTGGGGATGTCAAACCTGTGAAAAATGAAATTGCCGAACGTCTGTGACGACCACGACTTCGTTCTTGCCACCATGGCTGGCCTCCGCCAACGACGAACGAGCAGCTCAGTATCAGATTTGACCCATAACGAACCCATTGTTGAAGAGACGAGAATCCACAATGAAGAAGTTGTATGGGGCAAAACCCCGGGAGGCGAAGGTCAGTCGGTTGGCACACACACAGATGGAGTTTTCAACCTCTTCGTAGTTTTCAGAGTTCCTACCACACATGATGTGCTTACCCTTTTCCATCCGGGCTATCCTAAAAGCCACTTTGACCTGCTTAATCTGGCGCTTCTCGGTCTCCAGCTCGTGCTTTTTGCCGTTCTCCCACGCTCAACTGCACGCGTCTTTTTCCTTCTCTATTTTGCATTCTGGCGCGGGGCTTATGATGCCGGACTGGGTTGGATACTCACAAAGCAGAGCAAAAAAAAGTGGATTGTCCGCGAGGTACAGCGACGAGGCTGGCTTGACGCGGAACGTCGTCCCGGAATGAAGGCTTGGATTAGGAAGCAGCTCGTGGGCAAAATGGGGGAGGACTATTCATTTGACGTGCCCGCTTTTGCTCTCCGGCGTTTTCCAGACTGAAGCAATGCAGGAACTCCCACTCGAGTACAACACATGGCTATTGTTCCGGCAAGTGGTCGATGTCATCCTTCTCAAGTATGTGCGCGTTTCTATCCCCCGATGCGCGTTATTTTTATGTCCGTTTAGCGACTTCGTGGCCTATTGCATGTTCGGGTTTTCTTGCTTCCGCGTCCCATCGGACCTGTCATTTTTTGTCCATGTCTTGAGGTATATTCGAAACACACAGTTCCGCATAATCTCTGACTTTTTGGAGATGGGTGGCTGGAATTCTGATGATTGCTTTCAACCTGTGGGTCAAAACTGAGGCTCACAACGTCGTCAAAGATTATGGATGGTACTGGGGCGATGTGTTTTTCCAACGAGGAGCTCTTATTTTCGACGGAGTATTTGAGCTGGCCCCCCATCCCATGTATTCCGTCGGTAAGCATCTAACTGAACTATCCTGGCATGCTCACTGACATAAATAGGCTATGCTGGATATTACGGCCTTTCTCTCATTTGCGGAAGCTACGCAGTCTTGTTTGTCAGTCTTGCTGGCCACGCAGCACAATTCGCTTTCTTAGTTTTCTTCGAAAACCCCCGTATGTCTTGCTTCTGTCCTTTCTTGACCTTTTCACTAATTACTTGAGACAGATATCGAACGCATGTATGGGCAGCGCAAAGCAATCGCCAAGCGAACACCTGTGCGACCTCGTCGTGGGCAGAGCACCAGCAATACCGCGACTCCAACAACTAGTGCTGATACCAGTCCTGAACTCGACGGTTATGCTTCTTCCACCCCATCCATCACCGAAGGAGAAACCGCAACGGAAACCGATCTGGAAACCGAAATGGAAGGCGAATTAGGTGCTGCTCCCCTCCCAGCTGGTCGTATCAAACGCCATCAGCCAACGGTTTCTATCGCCAGTTCATCTTCTTTCGATGCTACGCAAGACATGAGGAACAAGGAGAAGCCGATATCCCAACACGATCTCTTCAATAAGTACTTCAGGAGAGACACGATCATCCTGAAAAACATCGATTTGTTCAGGTCCGTGCCACCGACTTGGTGTTTTTTGTCTCACCGAGTTGATCATCTAGAGCGAACGACGCGACTCTTGTGCTCATCATCATTTACTCGCTCACTATGTCGCTCCTCCCTCAATTCTCAGGCTTCCAGTCATTAACATTGCACTTTGTCCACGCTCTTTCGTGGTGCCTCTTCAGCTGCTTTGGGCTTGGATTAATTCTTCGAGCTCAAGGACAAAACAAGTTCCTTGTTCGGCATTTCATGAAGAATTACCATTATCCGACCGGCGACGCACGTGGTGCTACCATCGAGGCGTTCACCAACTGGAAGTCCTTGTACAATTTGACGTTGTGCATGTCATATGGTTCGTACAATTATTTCCTGTTTTCTAACGTTGAACGATGGTTAGTTTCATTCATCGGCCTCGTTTGGCAGACTTACACGATTCCAAACGACTGGACGGTTGGGGTAGAGCTACTCAGGCATACCATCGGCGCTGTAAGAGCCTATTTTTCCGCGCGAATTTGAGATTAATCCATCACAGCTCCTCGTCGGACTCCATATTTGGGCCGCGCTTGAGTGTTTTGAAGTTCTTGGGCCATTCGGTTAGCAACACTATGTCGATCAATTCATGCGCTCATTGCATTCAGGCTGGTTCTTTGGAGACTTCTTCATGGAGGATTTCCCGACTCATGTTGAATATACGGGAATCTATCGGTATCTCAATAACCCAGAGGTGATGGGTGGCGCTTCTTGGTTTGGCCTTGCGCTCGTCACAGGCCATGGGCTCGTTCTCGCACTTGCGGTCATCCGGCACCTGTCGCACTGGTGGTTCCTCAGTGCCGTCGAAAAGTGAGTGCATATATTACTTGATTGACACAGCTGATGAATTGAATTCTAGTCCTCACATGCAAAAACTTTACGGCGACTCATTACGCAAAGATGCTGGTTTTGTCAAAGTCATCAAAAGCGTCGCGACCAAGAACGCTCGGGCGCTTGAGAAGCGTGCCGGAAAGCACGCCCCTGAACTCAAACGTGTCGCAGCAGAAGTCGCCAGGGAAGTCAAGGGGACATTCGACAAAGTTTACGAAGAAACAGCTGATGTGGTGGAAGAGTTCCTCGCGAAATGTGGGTTTCAATCCAAACAAGTGAAGCGCGCTAATCATGATGTAGCGCGACCTGTTATCTCGGAAGTGATGCAGGATACTAAAGTGCTCTTGCAACAATCGAGGGAGCGTCTGGTCATCACGTAAGCTCCCTTGGTTGCTTGCCATAGTCTCTAATTTCCTATAGTCGCATCGCCAATGATATCTCCTCTCTCGATGCGACCAAATACAAGCTCAGCGCTATCCCTGCCTCTGATGGACACCTCCGGTACCAACTCGGTGAACCAATCCGACTGAAATGGGAGGCCCCCCAGAATCATTCGCGTAAAGATTGGATCGGAATCTATCGAGTATGTTCTGCCTGGTGTTTATTTACTCCCCCTACACCTTTTTAGATTGGGGCAAACAAATCGACTCTTGTTACGCGCACAAGTTCGTTGGGAATGTGGGTGCCTGTCCATGACGAGGAATGGGATGGCGATGTTCCTTTGGGTCTTGGGTTGGGTCTTGGACTGGGAGCTGCAGCAGGGAGCAGCAAAAATGCAGACACGGCCTCCGGAACGGTCACATTCAAGAGTAACACCTTGCCGTGGATTTCTGGGAAATACGAGGTGTGTCTCGCTGCAAGCGTTAGGCCCTGTGTCGACCTCCCCTAGATTCGATACCATCATGATGGCAAGTACAACGTCATGGCTCTGGTTTCGCCGATCGAGATTTGCGGTTTGCTACACTCTATGCAAAGTCTCTTCATTAATTGACCTTAATTTTAGTCGAAAAACCAGCCGAGCTGACTTTCGCCTCTGTGCGGGAGAATCTTAAGCGTGTTGTACCCCTCTGCCTCGACTCGGATCCGTCTCTCATTCCGGATTCGTGTAAGACTCCGGACATGCCAGCGACGCCAAGGCCCAAGATCAACTCGATTGATGGCTCCGGGTTGGCTGAGGAGGAGGAACGAGACCCAGACGATTTCGCGTTCTGGTCTGAACAACAGGCGAAACGTATCTGTAGCGCGATAAAGCAGACGTTTGATGTGGAGTATGCGCCGGAGGTGGTGGTGGCGGATGCCAATCTGTCAGCGTTGGCGAGGAGGATTATGGACTCGAAGGAAGTGTTGTCGGTGAGAGGGAGTGCGGGTTCTTGAAGACGCTTTGGATGATTTTACGATTGGGTTTACTTTGGTTCATGTGGAAGTAGAGCAATAGAATTTGGTCTGCAAATGGTGCAAGGAAAGGTGATCTGTACAGGCAAAAGTGGCAAATGGTCGTGCGTAAGTTAAATGTCTTGTACTTTGATGATAACCTTCCCCATCGCATGCCTTTCTGTGATTCGGTCGTATGCCTTCAACGGGTTATATCAAATGTGATTCAGACAGCAAGGAAGGATAATAATAACCTTCAATGCATCTTCAAACGCGAATACCTCATCCACAACAACTTTCACTGTCCCCTCTTCCGCCACCCGCGCCAAGACAGTAGCTTTCTCCGCGTTTGGCGTCGTACTGACCATGAGATATCGCCTGGGTACCCCGCCAAAGAGTTTAGGAAGGTATGAGTTGCGCATGGCATTCCAGATGGCGGTCCCGAACCCCTCAAAGTTGCCAACATTTATATAGAGACCTGAGGGCAAGAGGTACGACGGAGACCCTTCAAAAAGCGCTTGAGTCCCGATGGTGTCGAATATATAAGTGAATGGAGCGTAATTTTGGGCGAGGAAAGAGGGGAGGGGACAGTGGGTGCGGTAGTCCACTACTTCGTCGGCGCCTAGGGATTTTACCAAGGCTTTTGTCCGCGGGGAGCAGGTTGCGACAATGTAGGCGCCTTGGGCTTTTGCGAGCTGGAGGAGCATTGTCCCGACACCTCCAGACGCACCATTGATGAAGATGCGAGTGCCAGGAGTGATATTTGCTTCTTGAAGCATGCAAACGGCGGTCAATCCACCACCAGAAAGTCCCGACGCCTCGGCCCAATTTAACGATGATGGAACGACAGCAACAACATTGGCCGGCAGTCGAATGTACTCTGCGAGGGTCCCTTGGCCAGAGAACAGCGTAGATACCGGCAAAGAGCCAAACACACGGGTCCCAGGCTGGAGATGACTTGGTGCAGCAGGCCCTGCTCGTATTCAGTGTTTGAGACTGGATCTAGACGAATAAATCGCACCAGCAAGATGCACAACACCAGAGAACTCTCCTTCGGGAACATAGACAGTCTTCCCTGAGATAAGACGCCTCACAAAAGGCGGTATAGCGTTCATGGTGATGTAGCAGCCGGGGTTTAGGCTAACGTGAGAAACGCGTATAATGAGGTCGGCCTTCGCTGGCGGACTGGGCACTTCAAACTGGTCGGCCAGGGTCAAGATTTGACGAGGCATTCCCCATGTCGTGTATGTCCAAGCGCGTTGGCAGGGTGGAAGAGTGAAGGCCATAGTTCAAACAATTGTCGCTGCATCCTGCAAAAGACAGAGATAAGTGATGTGACTGTCACACCATCAACTTGACCACTACTTGACCCAAACCAGCATCGGTTAAATTCAGGTTTCCAGCTGAAAACCTCGGCCAAAGTCTCTTTTCCCGTCAACTCTCTTGGATACCCGAACTACTTGTCTGGGTCGCAACCCCCGCTCGCAACTCGCCAACTACTCGCTGTCGTCAGTCTCGTTTGAAACTTTTGATGGTGGAGCTGGAAGATTTGGATAGTACGTTTTGGTCAGCTCTTCACCAACAACTTTTTTTACAATGAATAAAGGATCAATAATTAATGCCGATTTGGGGATGTTCTGTTGCACTACTTCGCCCTCTTTCCGCTGAAATCAGAGAATCAAAACCGTTGGCGCTTGGTGAAGACCAGCTTTGCTGTTGGGTTGGGGACCGTGAATATGTTGAACGAGAACGGTTTTGGTGCATGCGACGCGCCCTCTGGGAAGGAGAAATCGTAATTCAGCAGCAATTCGGCCAGAACAACCTTGATCTTCAGCGCCGCACTACAAGAATATCGTCACCATTTTCGGAACTGTACACACAGTTCACTTACAAGAATCTGCCAGGGCATCCGTGTTTGCCGATACCGAAAACAATATAGTCGTTGCTCAGCGTTGTAAACGACTGTTGGATATCTGCTGCAGTTCCGGCGCCGGTGCGGAGTTTGGTGAAGCGGAAAGGGTCGAACGTCTCCGGATCGGAGTACGTTTTGGGGTTATTATGCATCGGCTTTGGAGCCAAGGCAACAACACTGCCTGGTGGAAGTACAGTTCCGTCCGAGATGACAGCCTCTTTGAGCGTCACCCGCGACGACCCCACGGCAAACAAGGAGTGGAACCGCCCGATCTCCTTCAACAGGGAGTCGAGGAGGTAGAACTTTCCGACCGCGGTTTTGTTTAACACGCCTCCCTCGGACGCGATCGCCGCAGCAATCTCTGTTCGAACCATTTCGACCTGCTCCGGAGGCAGACGAGCGAGCTCGAAGAGGGCGTGGGTAGTGAAAATTCCGGAGGTATGCGTCGCAGCCATATTGAGATGGACAACACGTGCTGCAAGCATGGGAAGATTCTTGATTTCCTCTTCTGGAGCATAACGAAGAAGCAAGTCCACAATCGTACTGGGGTTATCCTGTTGAATCGTGAGCAATGTTGTTAATTAAGGGTTGCCACTGACTTGTTGGGCATAGTCTATCCGCGCCTTGACATACGGACCAATCAACTTCACAGCGCGATCTTTGGCGCCAAGTGTTACGCAAAAAAGCTTCCAAACTACCCTGCCTATCGATTGAGCATCCCGGCGCTAGCTTCAAGGAAACGTACGGTCGTAACGCGGCAGGAAACCAGTTCAAAATCTGACTCATTGGGATAACCTCCTCCGCAACGGATACCTGATACTGGAGGAACTTTTCGTCTCGGCATCCTGGGGCACCGATCATTGCACGATTAGATACCCTCGCGATCAGGTGGACCATCGTCGAGAAGAGAGGAATCGTCGCAGATGTTTGGCCGCTGATGATTGGAATATGGTCCGGAATTGCAAGCTGCGCCTCTTCGTGCATTTCTGGCACCAGAGAATGGAGCGACTTGGTCAGGTCGGAACGGATAATTGTCTCGAGATGGTATGGATGGTCGGTTAGGTGGTTTCCAAACATTGTGTTGGGGAGGAAGAGGGCTTTGGCGCGTTCCGGCGCGTTGAACTGGTCGCGAAGAGGTTGTTAAAAGCGGTGAAACGCGTTGAACCATATGGCCTCACCACTGTGTCGTCCGACCGCCGAAGTTGCTCGATGTCGTCGGGGCCCAGTACAATCCACTCCCCGCTCATTGACGGCAACACAAAGGGTTTTCCGCCATACTTGGCCCAACCCTCTTCAACTAGTCCGTCACTATCCAGGACAGAGCGAAGCACGGTCCAAGCATAACCAAAGGGCCCCGCCCGACCAACACGGGGTAGTTTGGCGCGCTTCCGCTGGTTTGTCGCGAAGCCCAGCCCTGCATAGAGGAGTACGAGGACTGTGGCCACAGTTGCATTATTCATCATTTCTGGGGCAACTTGTCAGCACATCGCGAGCATTTGAGAGAAACGGGAGATCATCAGAAAAGCAACCCGCGACAGCCGTTGGACAGCCGCTTCGATGTGGACAGAAACAGCCTTTCATTACGTTGGGCAGATTGCAACTGCCACATCATTGCTCAACGTCCGACAACTTCCGTCCAGCCTCAGTGGCAAAGATGAGACGCCATCCGTTGTAATGGGACCATGGAGAGTATTTGGTTGTCAAGACTCACTCAAAGATTATGGATGACTCTCAACGCGTTCTTTGCTTCCGATGACAGTGTGGTCCGAATTCGCCTAGGACATTGATGGTTGAAACTTCAAAATGCTATGTCTGTTCAATGCGTTTCTTCTATACGTGGCCAATCACCTCCAAACTCGACACAACAAAGGCTGGTCTCATTGATCGTTGATCTTTGATGTGTTTGCTTCAATGGGACACTAGCTGATGCCCTTGCAACTACGCACTTACCGAGCAGCAAACATAAATATGTGACGCCTATTCCTACCCAACAACCGTTTACCGTCCTCTTCCAGAATGCTTAGCTCTGATTTGCCCTCCGTTTCGTCATTCGTCACCCTTGCTCTTTCCGCAGTTTGCGGCCCACTCGTCTTTCTATTCATCTTTTTGTTCTTCGTCTCCGACCTCAAGGCACGCAAGGAACACGCTCGAGTAGCTGGACTCGAATGGATGGGCAAGGACCCAAACCAGTTCTTCTCGGCTATTCGTGCCAATTATCGTGGTCTTGTTGACTCGGTCGCCCTGTACAGGGCGGGCTACAAGAAGGTAAATTATTTCGTTCGTCTTATGTACCATCTTTACACTCATTTCGACGCAGTATTCGAAGGTCGACCGATTGTTTATTGCGCCAACGTGGACAAAGGGGCCGCAAATTATCCTTCCACCAAGCATGGGGAGTTGGCTTGCGTCTCATCCGGATGAAATACTCAATGCGAAAGATTGCACGTTTGACACTGGTAACAGTCGAGATCCTTTTTCCATGACATTTCTAATGGATTCAAGCACAATTCACTTACACTGTGGGCCATGAATCGTAAGCCGTACTTGAATTCAAATGTCTCCATATCTAACTCCACATTGTAGGATCACTTCCAATGATATGATTGACCTGCTCATCAAACGTGAATTAACCCGCACCATTGGTACTCTAAATGATCTGCTCGTCGAGGAGATCGTCAGCTCCATTGAAACGCTCTATGGCCTTGATGGCGAGTGGCGCGAAGTCCCTGTGTTTGATTCGTTGACTCGCACCGTCGGCCGTGTCGCCAATCGCATATTTGTTGGCAAGGAACTATGTGCGTACTCGTTCTGATTTGTTGACCACTGGGAGCTCAACCATGCTTACTTAGGTGGGAATATGGACTTTGTGATGGCAGGCACTCGATTTGCGAGGGATATATCTGTCAGCAGCTACATCCTCCACCTCTTCCCTAAGTTTATGAAGCCGTGTGTCCTCCATACCCCCCTCAAATCGCCTGAATTGATGACATCTCCTCCGCAGAGCTGTAGCTTGGTTTGCGACCATTCCCAATCGGCGGCATTCTGGGATTGCTATGAAGTATTTAAAACCGCTGATCAAACAGGTCCGTGTCATGGCCCATACTATATATATTGGTAACCTGACTGTTTTCCTAGAGAATCGATGATATGAAGAAGAAGCAAGCCGATCCAACCTATGCGTGGGAGGAACCTGTAAGTTGTATATTCCCATATTTGGTGACAACTAACTGTATCCAGAATGACTTCATCACATGGATGGTTCGTGAATCGTTCAAACGCAACACAGAAGACGAGACGTCTGTGTATGCACTTGCCTATAGAATTGTGCTGCTTAACTTTGCTGGTATGTTGCTCTCTGAACATTGTCGGTTTCCCATTCATGCCTATTCAGCAATCACGACGACTACGATAATGTCGACCAATGCTTTGCTAGATATTTGGTCCGCTCCAAATGCTGAAGAGATTGTTTCCTCACTACGAGAGGAAGCCCAAAAGGTGCTGTTTGAGAGCGAAGGTGTTTGGACTAAAGCGGCGGTAAACAAGCTCCATCGGCTGGACAGCGCCATTCGGGAGTCGAGTCGTATTTCTGGTGTGGGTGGTACTTCCATGGCGCGGCGCGTTCGCGCCGAGAACGGGATCACCCTCCCGAATGGCTTTGTTGTACCCAAGAACTCCACTTTAGGCGTTGCGATGGACGGATTGCACTTTGACGAGCAATATTATAACCAGCCGAACGAGTTTGACCCCTTCCGTTTCAGTCGCCCCAGAGAGGAAGCCGCAGAGAGCCAGAAAGCGCAGGTTCATGCGCCGAAGCTCGTTGACACCTCCGTCCACTTCTTGCCCTTCTCTACCGGCATCCATGCTTGGTAACTTCGACCGCTTTCAACTTGTGATGTACTGATAACTCTCCCAGTCCTGGACGATTCTTCGCTGCCAACAACATCAAGCTGATACTCGCACATATACTTCTCCATTACGAGATCCAACCCTTTGCGAAAAGGGAGCCGAATATTTCGTTGGGCGACATCTCGGTTGTGCCCGTCCACGCGAAAATGATGATTCGTCGTCGGGTCAAGGCATAAATGAGAATGAAAGACGCCAAGGATGTCATTGCAATGTGCTAGCACCTTGGACTCATTTACTAGTACTATTACTAGTAGTTTTCTGACTGGTTTCCACCTATCAGGCTGTGTTACTTGTAATACTTAAATAAGATATTATATCTATATACTTACTTGAGGATGAATATAAGCTGCATATATACAGTTATATGTTTTCAAGTGTCTTGGGATCATAATAGGATGAATCAAATACCGATGACGCTCGTGACCGTGTCGTTACGTAATCATATCCGTTTCGACGCTGGCAACACTGCAGTTTCGTTGTTCAATTAACTCTCTGCAACACTGTTACTTACAGTCGCTCATTAGACCTCCCTTCGTGTTCGTGATTGTCAATTGTCCAGACTTCGGAGTCCAGAATATTTGCTGGGTACTTCCTACCACTTTCTCTGGGACGAGATCCGTATGAGACATATACGCGTCACTATAAATTCCTGAAGGCGAGGTACTGGTATAACGACACGGGGACGTCGGTGAGATGGTTTTCAAGTCATAGTTGGTGCTGGCTCATCCACATCAGCAGTGGGCCTCGTTGTCTTCATGTTCATGTACCCGCACTTTGAGGCTTTGTCAACGGTGAATAGACTTGGCTCTCCGAGACATCGTGGACTTGGAGGAGAATATGACGGCCGCAGGCTGGTGTTTCCAGCAGGCAAGGCCATGCTCCGTTGCTTCAGCGAGCCTTGTGACGACATCCATGTGCGTTCTGTGTTTATTCAGCTGTCAAGCTGATTATAGAGCACAGCGGAGTTGGCTGTGTCGTAGACCATGCTGACGATGTTCCACCAACCGGACGAGTCAACTCTCCTCATGGCATTGTTTGCAGTCGACTTCAATTGGATGCCGAGCTCCCCTCCAACATTGCTTCAGGGCTGGATGGCATTACAGTTGCTTCGAGCTTCCCGAACGTCGAAGATGGTCTTTTCTTCGCGCGTGGCGCGACGCCCATGCGGGGCTTTCGCTGAACATAGAATTTACCTGCAGACCGTCGCTCAAACACCCGACGCGTGCAAACAGTCCTCGACATCACAACAATTAACTCTCCCTTCACTCCGTTTGATATCTTATCAAAGCAGTCAAGACTTAATGAACCAAGGCCCTCCGCCTACACGTAACATTGTCATGCTCTTGGTTCTTATCTTTCGTGGATCCCTCCGTTGAATGTTTTCGCCTCAGCAATGACGCACACTCTTGCTATCTTCGAATCCAGCTGGCTTCTGTTGCCTCCAGCCTTTGAAACGGGGAACTCGCTCGCCAAGGGTATTGGGCAAGCACGCTAGGTCGGCTGCTGTGCCGGAAATATCTATTGGCTATCTGCCTCGTTGTGTCTTGTGGGTCCGTCCGGCGCCCGTGGTCGGCCAGATAATGCATGAACACAACCGTGACGAAGACTTAGTTGGTCGATTACCGCACTAGCCGCTGTATGGTGAGTGTTATGCCTTGTCACAGACGCCGCCTATGGCTGGGTATATAAGAAGGCCTCAGTGCGAACTTACCCCCATCTTCAACCCCCCCAACAATGTCCACGAATCTGACTTCGATCGTATTAGGCTCGAGATAACTGCTACGTAGCCGTGTATTCCGCATCTATTGTGCCCAATACCCGACAGCGTAGCTTTATATCCAGGTCACGAAGCAGAGATGTCGATTTTGTACAAATACCGTCTTCCACGCGGTCACGTGCTCGGGCTCATGGCTGTCCACAATCAACATCGCCTCGAGGCTTCTGGCGAACTGCGGGAAGCACAGCTATGTAGCTAGACACTCCGCAGCTCCAACCAATAGCGATTACACGCCAGACCGACTTCCCGCGATCACCGTGAAGCATCATCTGAACGTGGTATAAAGGCATGCTCTCTGCTGCGACCATCCAATTCCCTCTCACCATCCACCTTTCGGTTTCTCTTGTCCCTTTTCATCCACGAACGTGATCTATGTCCGCCAACGACTATTACAAGCCACAACCTCAGTATTCGGGCTCCCCGCAAGGAAACCAGGGAGGGTATTATCCTCAAGTATGTTCCATTCATTTGGTACTACTGGCCTCAACTCATTGAACACTCTGTTAGCAACCACCAAATGCCTACCAAGGCGGCTACAACCAGCAACAACCATATGGACAGTACCCGCAGGGCGGGTACCAACAACCTCAAACAATATATGTGTATGTCGTCGTGTCGAAGTTCGCTGTAGCAGGCCATTCATTCTCGGGACAGACAACAACCCGCGCAACAGTCGAGTGGTGCCGGTGGCGGTCTAATGGCGTGTCTTGCTGGTGTTTTGTGTTGTTGTTGCGCGGAAGAACTATGCTTGGATTGTTGTTTCTAAGGGCAGAAATAACCCAGTTGCATCTCTTGATACCAGCAACTTGTAGCGATCATGGACAACCTATTGTAGTATTTAGAGATCATGGATGTATTTTTTCATCGTTCGTTCGATTGGATGCACCCCGACGAACTGTCGTAGATGAGCGGCAGAAATCGGGTGGAGTTAAGTAGGCCTTGAGGGCAGCCTGAGAAAGTTGATGTGCACGTGCTCTCCAGGGTGCTTGCCTTGGACATAATCGACCACTTCCATTACTCCCCCATGTAGAAGAGAACATCGCACTCAGCATCTCCTTCTACCTCATCTCAACACGGCTTCTACATCGTTGGAGCTTTCGTCAACCGTCAGATTGCGGCCTACCATATTCCCGTCATATGGCCCCTAGCGGCTCGTAGGCGTCTTGTCTTGTTCAGAGGTGAATATTATTCAGTATTATCACCGAAGAGTTTCTTAGAACATCATATTAAGACTGTTCTGTTCAGTGGGCATTGCAAATCGGCACAGGCGACACATCGCAAAAGCACCAGTAACTTGGGCTTCTGACCCAAAGATTCACCATGGCTTGCGCCTTGTGTTCCTTCCATGGAAAGGCATCCCCGCGGATAGGATAGGTTCGATTGAGGTTCAGGAGCCCGAGTCTGTCCGGCGTTGTCTTCTTCGTGAGCAACTGTGATCATGAAGTAAACCATACTCTGCTCTTTTGCTTGTGAGTGAGTTGCCCGCCAAATACATGCTTAGGCACTGACCACAGTTCAATAATGATCAGGCGTCGCCCCGACCTCTTGAGCCACGTTTATGGGGTTACCGCCATAGGAGACGTCGACGCTTTGTCAGCGCCATTCTCTTCTCGATTAAGTAGCCGATGGCTTGGAGCTAACAAAGCAACCGGCGCGTAGATAATAAGCAATCGACATCTCGGCGGTCAGGGTATAAGAACTCGTCACCCTCCTTGACCGAGTGGACAGTCTGCTTCCCTTCCACACAATCCACGATGGACAACACTCCTGGTCCCAGTCGACGGAAACGAACGAACTCTGATGTCGACAGCCCCGTCCAGCGCACCCCCAAACGAAGCCGTACAATGATGCCACCACCCGCAGTATGGACTCCTTCAACACGCGACCCCAGCAAGTACTTCTCCCTCAACCCCGACAGCCCTCCTCGTCGTCCCCCCAGTTCGGTCGCGTCTTCGTCTGCTTCGGGCACGAGTCGGAGCTCGGTCCCTGCATCGACGCGTGGGCTCGTAAGAAGCGCCTCTTACTCGTCTTTCCACTCAACGGGCCAGGATTCGCTCGCTGCGTTCCATGCCACCCTTCCCGAAGGTTCCGCGTATTATAACCTTCGGGCTACACGCCTTGCAATCGACTTTTCGCTACCCCTTGCTACCGGTTCCAACTCCGAGTCGACTACTACAGAGCCTACTCCTCCAGCCAGTCGACGATCTTTGCCATTGGCGTATTCTGCCCAACAGATCCTTTATTTTGGTCGGGGAAATCGCGTTCACTATCGCTCCATGGTCAACATTCCGAACAACGCGGAGGTCGGGCAACTATGCCGAATCCAAGACAAACACGGGGATCTGGCGCTTCTCGAGGCTGGTGGTATCGAGCAGCGCGATGGCACTGTTGCACTTGCGACAACAACAGGAAATATCCAGCTCTGGGACACGGAGGCGAAGAAGCTGGTTGTAGGGTGGACTACCAAAGAAGCCTCTGCTCTTTCTTGCTACGGCAATATTGTCACCGTCGGCACAGCTAAAGGTGGCATCCGACACTACGACATTCGCATTCAACCGACAAAGAAGATGAAGGAACAGGCCACAAAAGTTACACGGCATGAAGCCCGCATTGGCGCTCTGCAATGGAATATTGATGGCCGTTTGATTGCTAGTGGCGACGATAATGGCGTCGTGTTCACTTGGGATACCCGCACTAAAACTCCTTTGGATGTTGGCGAGTTTTACCAACGACGGAAGAAGATGCAACACGAGGGAAAGATTTCGGTGCGCCGCTCCCCGTGAATAGTTCTTCCTCTGAAGGTTATGTAGGCGCTTGCTTGGTGTCCCTGGCAGCCGAGGCTCTTAGCCACAGGCGATACGCAGGGCTCAGTTAGGCTTTGGAACGTGGACGCCATCTCAGGCTCAAATGCCACCACTCCTTCGCAATTCCAGACAGGCAGCGAACTGGTCGGATTGCATTTCTCGGCCAATTTCAAGGAACTACTCACGACTGTTGGTCCTGCTGTTCCTCCTCAGACCATCAACCATAGCAATATCCTCTGGCCGTTAGGCCCAACTCTTGCATCAACAAACGCAGTGGCCGTATATTCGCTGCCGGCTTTTCGTCCGATTACCCGAGAAAGTGTGCTTCTGGCCTCAGAAACCAGCTTCGTTGCTGGCAGTGTTTTAAGTCCGATGAACACCAACGCGCCGCAGAAGCTTGTGGTAGCGCTCCCAGAAGAAGGAAAACTCAAGGTTTACGATATATGGGGAAGGCGGAAAGAAGTCAAGCGTCAAGCAAGTTGGCTAGGGCCGATTATTAGATGACACATCTACGAATGACATGACTTAGGATTTTGTTTGTTGTGTGGGTTGATCTTTCAGTATACAGCTTTCCCTTTACTTCACCAAGGGTCCGAAGTTTTCGCAATCGGTCATCCGAAGAAGATTCAAATTATTTAGCTAGCGGGGTAATCGACAGGACCACTTCCAAATTGGAGGACCGAAGCGACCAAGGTATATCTACATCTGAAAGGGAAGCGAGAACTCGGTCTGCGGTGCCTCTATAAGGCCGGCATCCCATGCCACACAGTCATTTGTGTACTCCCACTGGCATCACCCTACCGCTATGGATGTCAACAAGAATCCAGCTGAGGCTGAGTGGGTGCACTCGTTTTGAATTCATTTGAGCGTTGATGGCATATGTCCAGTCATGGCCCAATGTTCTTGGGGTACCGGGTATCACTCGCCTCTCTGTTTGTTCCAACATTTTCCTAGACTTGCTGCGAATATCATGCTGTTCGGGGTTATGACCACACAATTATACCTCTACATGACCACTTACAAGCGGCTCGTTGTTCTATCACCACAGATTCACTTTGCTTACCTCCTTCCCATTAGTGATTCCATATTCATCAAATCCTACGTTCGTATCATCAATAATGCCTCAAGCTGTTTCTCAAGTGGATAGGTCGCTGTCCTCATGATAGCAGACACTCTTAACACGGGGTTTATGACGGCCTACCTCTATCAGTCACTCATCGTTCATTTTAGTATGCGTCAGCTTATTTTGGAGATGCATTGTAAAGATTCTTCCTAGACGACCCAGTGTATCTCTCCCAGGCGAATTGGGGTACGTTCAAGTTGCTTAGAGGCTCCTCGACTGTTCTCAAATTCAATACAGTCTTTGCTACCGACCCTGCTATGACGGTTGCTCTTCTGTGGTGTTAACTTTCAAGTACTGACCATATTCTAGGGCATTATTGGCTGCATGGTTCAACTTTTCTACGGGTGGCGAATTCATACTCTCACCGGCAACCTGTGGATTCTGGTCATCGTGGTCCTATGTGCATTAACTAATGCTTGTGCGCAGTCCCTTCATACGTGCATCGTCAACCTGAATGCCTAACATGTCGCTAGTTGGCGGACTCGCATCCGCCGCCGCTATCGCTTTCGTTCCAGATTTTTCGCATTTCCAGAGGTTCCAGGTTCCGGTCATTTGCTGGTTGCTCAGCGCAGCGGTATGCTCACCCACTATCTATCGAAATCTGAGTAAATCACGTCTCACAAGGTTGGAGACGTAGTCATTACCACTACCTTGGGTAGGTCTGCAAGATACTTTTCTCTCCACCAGAGCTAATGAACTCACCAGTTTTCTTTTTCGTTTGTTATTTCGTCAAGCATTAGCTGGGCTTTTGTGAACAACAGCCCAACAGAGAAAACATCGGACTGGCTTGTCTACGACGGACACCCGCGTCGATCGCATTATTCGGCGTGAGTGCGGTTCTTCTTCGCTGCATTGTCAAGTGCGCCGCTCATAGGTTCGGGTGTAGTGACGATACAGGTTCAACCAACGGCTTGTTTGCATCAGGAGCTCCACTGATTCGTTGGAAAAGACAGGCATGATGACCTCCATCGTTTCCGTCATCGACCTCGGCCTCTTTCTGGGCGATGTGGGCATTGTTATGCAAAGTCGCCGTTCCAGTTAACACTTTACCCAGACCAGCGGACTGCATTTGCTCTTTAACATTCCATTGGCTAAATTGTATAGCAACTCTTTGATGAGCAGCCTCAACTCGCGGGGTGGATGGCGGCGGTTTGAGCTTGAAGACGATTCTGGTGAAAACAAAACGGTTCCCTTGCATTTAACAGTTCGTCGTGTCCCCTCTATTCAACACTGCACTACTTACGCGTTCAAACAAGTACGATCTGAGTGCCTTTTCTGTCGCCCGAAGGACGACCTCGACACAAATAACGACTGTGCCTAAATCTTCTGTAGAGGAGTGTACTGTGTAGAACGATGACCATATCACCCTGTCACGTGAATGTAAAGCAATGTTTTATGAGCTCTCTCCCTTTCTCTCCAACGATGCCTCGGAAGATTTCCGGGTGGGATAATTAACGGGTGCCAAGCAAGCGGAGGCACTTCATCCATCCTCGGTCACTTGATTTGTCTTCGGGTAACCCTCGCTGCTTTGGTTAATTCTCGGTTCCGCACCACATACAGTTGCTGGTGCATGCGCTGAACAAGGTCACGTCCATGGTCATTTGCTGCTGGTTTAAAAGGGCGCGTCATTGCTGAGTGAGGCCTCGAACGGTATACCACGCCATGGTCTCATTCAAGAGCCTCCTCGCTGTTGCTGTTGCGGCTACCAGCGCAGCTGCCTTCCCATTCGCTAACCTGACAGAGCGATCTGGCACGGCCTCTAGCACTGGTACCAACAACGGGTTCTACTACTCGTTCTGGACAGACGGAGCTGGGGCTGTCACCTATACCAACGGTGCTGGCGGTCAATACAGCGTCCAATGGAGCGGAAACGCCGGCAACTTTGTCGGTGGAAAAGGATGGAACCCGGTCAGCATCGCCGTTTCTCTTGCTTCGATGTCTAAAACTCATGCTTTGTAGGGTGCTGCACGGTTCGTTTCTAGCACTTCAAGTTATGTCTCCCGACACTTCCTAAAAACCTATCAGGGCCATCTCCTTCAGCGGAACATACAGCCCCAACGGCAACAGGCAAGTCAAAGTATTCTCAAGTCAATTCGCGTAGCATTGAATACGACCTCGCGCAGTTATTTGAGCGTCTACGGATGGACCACCAACCCTCTGATCGAGTACTACATCCTGGAAGATTTCGGTATACACTTTCCCTCCATATGCACCCCTCAATGGGCTGAGCTCAATGCGCAGGCACATACAACCCAGGAAGCGGTCTTTCTGCCAAAGGAACCGTCACATCTGACGGTGGAACATACAACATCTACCAAACGCAACGAGTCAACCAGCCTTCCATCCAGGGCACTGCCACCTTCTACCAATACTGGAGTATCCGGTGCGCGTTTCCAGACTTGTTGTTTTTTCAGTAGGGACTGAGATGTCCCTTATTCTAGCCAGAGCAAACGTGGCAGCGGTACTGTCACGACTTCGAACCACTTCAACGCCTGGTCTAAGGCCGGAATGAACCTGGGAAGCCACAACTACCAAATTGTCGCTACCGAAGGCTACCAGAGCAGCGGCTCTGCCTCGATTACGGTGTCCGAGGGCACAAGCAGCGGAGGCGGAGGTGGCGGAGGCGGAACGACCACCACTACTACATCGACCCCTCCCTCTGGCACTGGAGGAGCAGTAAGCCATGTTGCTATTGCCACGCACCCTTTCTGAAAACAGCATAGTGTGCCGCGCTTTACGGACAGTGCGGAGGCCAGGGATGGACGGGAGCAACCTGCTGTGCCTCTGGTTCAACCTGCAAAGTTTCCAACGCCTACTACTCGCAGGTTTGTGCTAGACACTTGATGCCGGACCAAGCTCACGGTTGTTTAGTGCCTCTGAGATTGCAGACTGGGTGCAAGTACAGTGATAAAATAGCAACATTGAATGCCATGACTTCAGGATTGCCTCTTTTGCCTGCGCTCGTAAACGATTTTCTTGAGGGCGGACAAGCCAAATTCCCACGAGAAGATCCAGTCCTGAAGTCGAATCATCAGAGTGAGGAGGGAATGTTTGGTTGACTCACGAAGCCTCTCTTGGGGAGAAATGTGTCGATAAACCAGCACCAATATGAGAAGTTTCCAGTCCAAAACCATGGTTTTATACTGCGGCGGAGGGACTGTGCAACGACCGCGCGTGCATAGGCTTCTGTTGGCATCGCATTCTCTGCAGAGTTGGTTAGAGGAGAGGATGAGGTGTAGTTGCGAGGGTACTCTGGGAGCGGTTCATGCGGGTCTTGACAAAGATGTTGGCGATGGGGGCATAGAGAGATGTCGGAGAAATGGGCAGCGTTCTGTTTGAGATGCCGCTCTTGACTCCGCCGGTGACGATGGTGATAACTTGGATACTAGCGCCAAGATGAGGAGAGTATACGGATAGTTGGAAGACGCACTTGAATGGTGCAAGTTCTAGTCGGAGGTTATCGCCATAAGCATGCAGCGCAGCCTTCGAGGCGTTATAAACTGCGCCAAATGGGTAAGGCATGACTCCGGCAATGGACCCGATGTTGACTATGCGCCCATCGCCGCTCGCGATGAGTAGAGGGACGAATTCTTGTACCATCCGCATTACTCCGAAAAGGTTGGTATCAAATACCTCATGGACGTCGCTCATCTGGACGTCCGTCGCAGGGACAGTACAAGCTGCCGATTGAGAAATTCGCAAGGAGGACAAGACGAAAACTCACAACGGCCTCTGAGGAATAGAGTGAGAGGCAGTACAGAAACATGAGCTGAAGAAACACACGCATTATTGACGAGTACGTCTAAAGTACCGCCAGTCAACTGCGACACTTTGTCGCGTAAAGCGTGGACGGATTCAATTTTGGTCACATCGACTTCCAACGCCTCGAAGCCCAGCGAGATGAGCTCTGAGCAGACCTCGGCCTTTCGTGCAGTGGCTAGCACTCGTAGGCCTATTTCCCAATTCCATTGTCGTCAATTTTGACCGATTTATTGAGGCGGACCTCTTGATTGGTATTCCTTTGCCAGCTGGAACCCGATACCCCCAGGTGTACAACTGGTCTCATTTAGAGTGCGATTGTTTGGTGGACTGAGAGCCTACCCTGTGATGAGGACGCTTTGCTGGTTCACAGACATGGTGGGTTGAAGAAGTGTGTGTGATTCGGCCCGGTTTATGCCGGGAGAACGCTGATTTCACAGCCTGACTGTAGGAGACAAGGGAGAACAAGATATCGCGCTGGCAAGATACATGAACAGAGAAAGGAGTCGACCAATCCCTCTGCGTCACGACCCATCTCCATCCTCCATATCTATCTCAGCGCCAGCACCAACTTCAACTGCATTCTTCTTCGCTCTTTTCTTTGCTCGGGATTTCGCGGATTTGGACAACTTTCGCTTGAGCGGCTCCTGGGCTCTGAGTAGCGTGATCAGAGGGGAAAGGATGTAGTTAGTGGACTCACGTAGCGCTTCCAATGTCAGGAAGCTGTGAACGACTCAGAGTAATCTTCATGTATGGCGTCTGCTTCGCTTTGAGGCTACAAAATCCTAATTTAAAGAAAGGAAAAAGTAAAAAGAAAGCGCAGGCATACTGGTTTTTCCCGCTCAACTTTTCCGCAATCATCTGAGCGCGCGCCTCTTCTGGGTCTGCGGATTGTCTGGCCGCCGCATAGTCGGGAAGGTCTTCGAGAATCCCCACCTCGTTGTATTGGTAAAGGCCGGTTATTTTGTCCGCAGCCATTGCCTTAAGGTACTCTCTCTTGACGATCTCGACGACGGAGATGAGACGAGGGGCAAGCAGGGACGTCGGAGAGAGGCCATTTGAGTCACGGTCAGGTCTTGAGCTGGTTCCAACATTGCTTTGCTCGGCACTCTTAGATGAAGACGCAGGAAGGGTATGGAAGACAAGCGGCACGCTGTCGTGTTTCTAGCCGATTGTAATTCCATTCAATCGACAACTTGCTAACGAACCTGAAAAAATTGTAGTGCAAAAGTTACGAAGCTGTTCATCTTGCCATGTGACGTTATACGGACGAGGTACGGGTTGGATGGTTCATCTGGCACAGGAATGACACGCTCTTCGCGTGCTTTGCCCTTCCCTTTTGAGATGGAGTCGACCATAATGGAGGTTCGTAAAGAAGAACGTGGGAATGCAGAACGCGATCACGAGGACGTTTGCTAAACTGACACGGATACAGTACATTATCATTTTTAACACTGATAAGCTTCCCTCTCAAGGACAACCAAGTTAGCCCCAGTCAGTACGATTCCAAAGTCGCAGCGTAGCAATGATGGCACATTCTTTCCTGTGGCCCCCGTCCTTCCAATCCTTGGCTTGACATGACTGACGAGAGAGTTAGAACGGATCCAGCGAGACTATGATATCCCTGGCTACCTGTCCACAATACCTGACTTGACACTTCTTGCACCTCAATTCAGCCTGCTTCTTGCACGCAATGCACTTTCCCATCTCTCCGTCGTCATTGATTTGCCGCAAACGCGAGTTGATTTGCTGAAGTTGTGCCATCGAACACGGCAACATCTACGACTGTTGTAGGGACCACAGTTTTTCAACAAATTGAAGCTCACGAAGGTTGTGGTGGGGTCTTCAATGCGATAACCGCTCTGGCCATCGAAGAATCTATGGCGCATCCCATTGCGAATGCACATGACGTGCCCGACTCTGCACTTCATGGCTTCCACATCTCCCATCGGGTTGTCAGTGTAGAAGGCCACGATAAACTCGGAGCCAATCTTATCGCGGGTGAGAAAGACAGGCCGAAATGCCGAAACATCTTGTATTATCTGTGTGGCTTTCAATGAGCGTCTGACCTCATGTTCAGAATGCTACCTCAGCGAGAATGATCCAGCTCTCTCCGGGTTGCGGGGGGAGGACAGGGACGTGCGCAGAGTCGGGAAAGGCAATGATTTCATTGAGGTCAAGCTTGTAAACATCGTCTGTGCCGACAGCCATGAGAAAACTCCAGTGTGGAAAGAACCGAGGTAGGAGACCCAATGATACTCACGTGACGCCCACAACCCTCTTCCCGATCATCCATTTTTCAGGCCATCTTCCGGGCGGCAGAACACCAGTAACCGAATTCAATTCACGAAGATGGAGCGCTCCTTCACCCGGAGGAAAAAACTTCTATATCAGAGCTCTCTGTCTCGATAAACACTCAGTTCACGCTAGATTCGGGCTGGTATGTGCGCCGATGGGGTAGCATGGAATCTTTATATGGACTTCCTTTTGGCATCCGAGAGTCTAGCGCTAAATGTCTAGCCACGCAATTGTGAGTCTTGTCTCAGTGTCTGCCCTATATCTGTTTTTTGGCTGAATAAATCTAGCCCGCTAAGACGACTGTCCTGGTGATCGGTGGAGGTCCCGGGGGAAGCTATGCGTCGACAGTACTTGCTAGAGAGGGCATATCCGTTGTCCTACTCGAGGCTGCGAAGCATCCCCGGTTTGCCAAATAATTTGTGTCAATGATCAATAACTCACCGACTTACTCTAGAGACCATATTGGCGAGAGCATGCTCCCGTCCCTCAGACACTATCTGCGCTTTATTGGACTCGAAGAAACATTTGAGGCGCATGGTTTTCAACATAAGGTCGGTGGAACACAACTGGCGAATACTCTGCTCACTCAATACACAGCCCGGCGCCTGCTTTCGATTCGCCCAAGATGATGTAGACTATTGTAAGCAATCAGTCAACACCTATCAGTATATAACAGACTCAGTATCTCCCCAGACACCGACTTCTCAACCTTGGGCCCTGGCCGCACAACCTGGAATGTTGTACGGTCGGAGGCGGATGAGCTTCTTCTTCGTTATGCTACCTCCCAATCCGCTCAAGTCTTTGAGGAGACCCGTGTCGAATGGCTTGATTTCGATGGATCGCGTCCCATACGTGCTCACTGGACTCGCAAATCTGGCTCGCGCGGCTCAATTGAGTTCGACTGGCTAATTGACGCCTCTGGGCGCCAGAGCATCATGGCCACCAAATACCTGAAGAACCGGATTGTTCGAGACGCACTTCGCAACGTTGCTGTCTACGGCTATTGGAGAGGCGCAGCTATCTTCAACGAAGGTGGGCCGCGACATGGGGCGCCGTTATTTGAATGCCTGTCAGGTATATTTTCTCAAAGTACACGTTATCTCTCCTTCTCACGAGCACGCAGACAAACTTGGCTGGGCGTGGTTCATCCCGCTCCACAATGGGACTACCTCTGTAGGCGTTGTCATGCATCAAGACAACTCAACGAGCAAGAAGAAAGACAGTGGACTCGCGCTTGAGGCACACTATCTCGATCAGCTCAAATTGGCTCCTGGAATTCTGGAGCTTCTCAAGGATGGGGAATTTGTCGTGGGAAGTGTAAAGAGTGTAGGAGACTCGAGCTATTACGCGTCGTCTTATGCGGGTGACCACTATCGACTGGTGGGTGATGCTGCAGGTATGTTTCTTGTAGCGGAATATCGATGGTCTTTGACCGTCTACAGCGTTTATCGACCCACTCTTCTCATCTGGCTTCCATATGGCGCTGACAGGCGGACTCTCTGCCGCTGCTACAATCCTCGCGTCCTCAAAAGGACAGGTCAGCGAGGTCGAGACCCAGCATTGGCATACGACCAAGATCGCAATCGCCCAGACGAGGTGATTCCCCATCACACAAAACCCGTTGATTTTAATGCTCGCTATAGATTCCTGATGGTTGTACTCATTGCGTATCGTCAAATGCAGAGCAACCCAAGGATGCTGGGGGCGTTGCGTATGGAACAATATGGGGAAGCCTATGACGTGTTCAGACCAGGCACGAAAGTCTTCAAGCTGCTCTTCACGAACGCTAATCACATTGAAATAGTGTACCAAGGCGAAAAAGACACCTCCAACGACCTCCTCAATACGGAAGAAAGCATCATCGCAGACTCGCAACTGAGCAATCTCGTCGACTTTTCACGACAATTTTTCCAGATCTCGTCGGATGAGGTTAAAGAGAAGCCTCAGCACATTGTAGACATGCAAGAGCTCAACCATCTCATTGATTCGGAGGATGACGACGCAAGAGAGCTTTTGCGGCGATTGAAGATGACTGCTTTGAGGAATGACACGAGCGAAGATACGCATGATACTATCAATGGCCTGTCAATTCGATTTGAGCGAGGACATCTGGGGTTGATACGTACTGAGTAGATGAATACACGATCGGGCTCGGAACACGAAAATATGCGAACGCGATCATGTGATCGTGATACCAGTAAACCCTGTCATTTGGAACCACATTCAAACCGACCATATCGTGCGATCCGCCGATAAGTCGGAAAGATATCAAGTCAAATGCTGTGCCCCACGCTCACCCGGCTTGACTCTAAAGCGATGAGGATCCAAGAATTACGAGTTGAGGAGATTTATCAACTCGCCGACAAGGCGTCTTCTATAGCAGACCCTTTCTCTCACTGCCACCATTGACCTATGGCGGATACCCTCCCCACGATGAATCTTGACGAGCCGCTTCCAGAGCACTTCCTTCGCACAGCGCGTGCTGGGAACGGTGAAAACGACCTTGGTTATATCATCAACGAGGGCACAACCACTGAAATAACTCGCATTACCTGGCGACGTGGGCTGCGGGATATTCGTTGCCGTGCTAAACAGCTTAGCGATTCCGCTCATCGCCCAGCCCGCAAGGCCGGAGACAGCCAACTCTTTGTGGTTGGCCTGCTGCACCGGACGGGCTACAACTACTTTGTGACTTTATGCGCGATATTGATGCTTCGATGGACGGTAATATGTGCTGTTGCTGCCAGAGCTGTTCTGACAACACAAAGCCTCTCGTTCTCTCCCCACGAAATTCACCCAGTGGGACAGTCCACCTCCTTAAAGCCGCTCAAGCTTCCCATCTCATCTCTGACTCTGACCTATTCCAATTTTCCCAGTCCCTTAAAAGCGATGAACCGCTGCTTGAAGTGATTAAAGCACCAGATTTGGGTCCGGACGACGACGACGATTTATGGAGCGGTTATGCAGTTGAATCGCCAGAGGCACTTGTCGCTGAAGTTAGAAACGCTACGTCGCTTTATATGCACACATCGGGATCCACAGGTCAGTCAAGTCCTAAATCATAGCTTGGAAGGACTTGAACATCAATCTCGGAAGGTCATCCAAAGCTGATCCCCATACCTCATCGTTGGTTCCTGGGCATAAGCGCGGCGATGCGCCGCCAGAGCCCCACATTTCTCGAATGCACCTACTATACTATGATGCCCTTCTTCCACGTATGTTCCCTCGATCCACCAAATATCATACTGACCAAAATAGGCCATCGGAGTCCTTCTCTCCATCAGCTTGACGGTCGGCTCTGGTGCACGAATAAGCTTTTTGAATCTCCGTCAGCCACCGAGCGCAACAATTGTACTACGCCACATCTCTGTGGTCACCAAGTTGGCAGAGGAGGCAAAATCCAAGTTGCAGATTTTGCTGGCACCAAGCATCTTGGAAGATATTGTGGACGGGCGGGAGAACATAGATGTCCTCAAGTCAGCGATCATGGTGATGTTTGGTGGAGCGCCATTGCGGCAAGACGTGGGAGACGCCCTCCGAAAAGCGGGAGTGCCAATCCAGTCGGTTGTGGGGATGTAAGCTTCATGTTTCTATCATCGACCATGAGATTAACTTCGTTTCAGGACTGAAGTGGGGCCATTAGGAATGCTGGAGCTCTCAGACGACGCCAACTGGAACTACATGCGGCTGAATGACATGTACGAATACTATTTCCGCGGGGTTGATGGAGAGCCAAAGGAAATGATTGTTCTGGTGCGGAATCTTGTTTCGCTGGGAGCCACAAGCTAACCTTCTGGAAAGCCCAAGGAGAACATTCCAGCCATAATTAACCATCACCAACCGAAGGGATTCGCCACTGGTGATCTATGGATCCAGCATCCACAAGATCCAGAGTTGTGGAGGATCGTGGGGAGAGCAGGAGATATCGTGAGTTGTCCCGACTGCGACGGGGACACTGATTCGACGTTGTAGACCGTGCTGAGCAATGGCGAAAAAACGGATAACAAACAGCTTGGTATAGTTCTTGCCGCGGTATTTTGCAGAATTGACTGACGAATGCAACACAAGAAACCCTTCTTTGCACATCTCCTTTGATTCAAAACGCAACAGTGTTTGGTGCTGGCCGTTTCCTCAATGGCGTCATCATTAGTCCGGCCAAGCCACTTCCTTCTGACGAGTTCCTCGATGCTGTTTGGCCACATATTGTCACGAATGTCAACTCGATCGTCCCACAACACTCCCGTCTCATCCGTCCCTTGGTGCTTGCTACAGATCAGGAACGCCCATTTATCCTCACCGACAAGCAAACGGTCAATCGCAAATTGACTTTACAACAATACGAGCAAGAAATCGCGGCTGCCTATACGATTGCAGAGGACGGCGGATATGAAGAAGTCGCCGTATTGGATGGTGGATTTGCTGCCAATGATCTCGAAGGAATCACAGCGTATATGGGGAGTGTAATCCGAACGGTACTCCAAAGGACGGACGACATTCCGTTGGACAAAGACCTGTTCGAATTGGGTCTGGATTCGTTGATGGCCATGCGTGTCCGTGCCGCTATTCTGGCAGCGTTGAAGAAGTCGGGAAATGAAACTGCAGTTCCTCGGAATGTGGTGTATATGCTTCCAACATTATCACGGCTGATAGGGTTCTTGAGTATCGGACTGGAAAGGAGGATTGAACAAGGACAAGTTGATGTTAGGACGGCGATTTCCGAGACTATTGTCCACTACACCAAGGACCTCCCTGTTCACCGACCATCATCGGAAGCAAGCGTATCCAAAGTCACTGGTGACACGTATGCGGTCACTGGGACGACTGGCTCGCTTGGTTCGTTCTTCGTAGCTGCCCTCCTCGGAAAGCCCGAGGTCCGCAAGGTTTACTTGCTCAACCGCAAAAACGGGAGCAGAACTATCGAGCAACGCCATGAATCCGGCTTCCAGGATCGAGGACTCGATTACAGTGTTCTATCGGTTGCCGTAGAGTGCGGACGGGCGGTATATCTTGATGTTACCCTGGGAGAACCTAAACTGGGACTAGATGACGAGGTCTACCAAGAGGTACGTTCGAAGTCTGATTTGCAGATTTTGTCACCAAGGAATGCAGTTGACAACAGAGATAACTCACATCGTGCATTGCGCCTGGATGGTCAACTTCAACCTTATCCTTCCCTCATTCAAAGCCCATATCGCGGGTGTTCGTAATCTGCTTGACCTCTCTCTGTCTTCGGCTCTGGAAAAACCTGCCCATCTGACTTTCCTCTCATCCATTGGGGTTGTGGGAGGCTGGAGCAATGGCCCTGCCCCTGAAAAATCGTTGGAATCGCCTGCGACGTGTCTCGACCAAGGCTACGCACACTCCAAATATGTGGCGGAAAAACTGATCGAATATGCAGCGCAAGAGCGACCAGGACTGGAAGCAACGATTGTGAGAAGCGGGCAGCTTGCAGGGGCGGAAGGAAGTGGGGCGTGGCCGAGGAGCGAGTTCATCCCGACACTAATGAGGTCGTGCAAGGAGTTGAAGATTGTTCCTGGTGGTCTTCAGGTAGTTTTTTCTTTCAGGTTGGAATGGTTCTAACGACCACAGGATGTGCGTTGGCTGCCCGTCAACATCGCCGCTGAAGTGCTCTATCAGCAAATTCATTTCCCCAGCAAATCGCAACCCGCGTTCTACGGCCTGGAGAATGGTGTTACGACACCATGGTCACTGGTAGCGGAGACGTTGTCGGCCTTATATGATGCTCCAATAGTCCCCGCAAAAGCATGGTTGGATCAGATTCGGGCAAGAACGGACCTGTCGGCACACAAGCTCCTCTCCTTCTTTGAAGACTATGTCCATGGTGGAGAAATGGCGCGCCTGCAGATTGACCACGCGAGGGAAGCGGCGGGTAGCTTGCTGGAATACGAGGTCACTGGTCAACTCGTCAATACCTATGCAGAGTATGCGAGTTAGAAATGAGTACTCCAAATAGATATCAAACTGCAACGTTATGGAAAGAGAAGAAGGCCATTTGTGACATCTTCCGATTCTTTTGGAATGGCTCAAGGATTGGCTTCAAGTTGAATACAAAAAGTTCTTTTATCCAATCCTAGAGAAATACAAATGCATATAAACTAATACAGCCTATGCTTCAGCCACAGCGCTAGCGAAGTCCAAAAAAAACTGCGACCCAGGCGTGATTGACTTGGAATCATGACCTTGGTCTTTCATTTGCGGTTAGGGTTGACGCAAAGAAGTCTCTGGCGCGAGGTGGATTGGCGTACGTGATAAAAAAGTTCTTCCGAATTGGGTAGCACAGGACTAAATCTTCAGAACCAAAACCAGTAGTGCAATCTCCACCACCGCAACAACAGCCGCGACTGCGACCACGATCCATCCAGCTGTAATGAAAGGCCGTCCAAACAGCCGGGCGTGTTCCTGCCCTTTGGTCTTGATGATTTCTCGCGAGCGCACTCTGAGCGAACCCCATTCATGTTGACGGTCATTTCCGGCAGCCGCATTGGGGCTCTCGGGCTTGTCAAAGTCAGCAAAATCGTGGCGCGAGTGCCGGGCCCGAAGGAAAGCCAGGACGTAAAGGGCGGCACCAAGAATAGCGAAGAGGAGACCAACTGGATCGGTGTTGGAGTAATTATGCAGAAGCTACTAATGCCTTACTAGCATAGAATCTGTGGTCGAATAAACGAAGAATCGCGAGAGCGTATCCCAGATTTCCGAGAGCAGTGCGTGTGTAAGCCCCATGGAAAGTTCGTTGTCTAGCCCGAAGTTCAACGAGTTCAGTCATGTCAGTCGCGGTGAATGACAGCGCACGATGGCCACTATCAGCTGCATTAGTTTTGCTGCAGCAGAAGAAACGACGAAACCACGAACTGATAACGATGGCTCATGGCCTGGGCCAAGAGAAGTACTAGTACTAGTGCTGAAGTGGTGCTCGTGACGCCGCGGTGTGACGGCGGTGTGACGCGTCACTTCTTTTTTCGGCGACGCGACTTGGGTCAGTGCTGGACCCATCCTTTCTGAAGCTGCATAAGTAGCGGTCATGAACCCTACTCTTTGGACTAGTAGATTTGGACTGGCCGCTGCGCGACGGTCTATTTCAACGAACCAGTCCAACTTTTTGTTGCTGCATACGCGACCGAGGCTGGTTTCTACCCTAGTCCTCACCCAAAGACTATCGGTGAGTAACTCTTCACAAGTATAATTCCTGCTCATTCGATAAGAAACCAGTGGACCCACGATGGCGCGGCAGTCGATGGAATTCGACAAATAGCGCCGCAACTGCCGCTGCAACAACAACAGAAACGATTCCTGAAGCAGCTTCAACGTCCATAGATGCACTCGCTGAATCTTTAGCGCCGACTATTGGGTCTGTTCCTCCGCTCCAAGCAGGAGACTTGGCTGCTCTTGGGTTATGTCATTGGACCCCAGCGGGAATGGTGCAATACTCGCTCGAGGCAGTCCACCTGCTTACCGGACTCCCTTGGTTCTGGACATTCGTTGCCACAAGCGTGCTTTGGCGCTTCGTCGTCTTTCCTTTCTCGGTCAACGGAGCTCGACAGACCGCTCGAATGCGGCCCGTCCAATCTCAGCTCAATGAGCTTGTCGACAAGATGAAGGAGGCACGTCGGGTTGGCGATACTGTCTCCATGCAACGAGCTAGCATGGAGATGAAAAAGGTTCGCAAGGATGCTGGTGTGTCTATGCTGGGGGCAGCGTCAGGCATGTTGGTTCAATTGCCAGTGTCGCTTGGGTTGTTCTTCGGAATCAAGCGCATGTGTGAATTACCGGTCATTCAACTGACCCAGAGCGGGTTCGACTGGCTTCCGGACCTCACACAACCGTCGCACTATATCCTGCCACTTCTGGTTACAGCTACGGGAAATGCAATGTTTGTGGTGTGTTTGGTGATCTTGTACTTTACCTCTCCATATTGATGGTTTCTAGCTAACCGCGCGCGATATGGATAACAGCAATCCAAGTATGGGTCATATACTGAATGCTTTCCGACTGCTCTCCGTTGTTGGACTCTACTGGCTCATGACATTCCCCTCCGGGCTCACACTTTCCCTCTTTGTAACAACTCTCTTGACGGCAGGGCAAATTATGGCCCTCCGCAACGCCGCTATCCGCCGTGTTCTAAGAATACCGCCCCTCTTCACTCCTCCTGGTGGCGAACTCGTTATACCCACATTCCGCGAATCGTTCCGGTACTTCCTCAATATCGGCAACTCCCCAAGCAAACAGTCCTTCGCGAAGGCTGCAAGCCCAAAAGTAGCACCCTACATTCCGCCCAAAGCAATGCCAACGCTGCAAGGCCCTCCTAGGACGCTCGATGAGCTTGCCCGCCAGGCGCAATCAACCTCAAGAATGACAGCAAACTCGTCTGGGCTTTTTGAAACTGAGCCTATTGCTGCGCCGAGGAGGAAAAAGACAACGAAGCCGAAAGCGAAGGTTAGCAAAAAGTAGATAAAAAGCATAAGTAGTGTATCAATTAATGTCTACCCACTCCATTCAACAGACTGAAGATTACTTGACGCTCAGTGCTCAGTAGCGCTCTTGGTGATGGTTTCGGCTCGGCAAGCGCCGGCTTCTGTTGAATACAAACAGCATTGTTGGCGACTCAATCTACAGCTTTGTGTTTTCTCGTGGCGTGCGGCAGGCTATGCCGTCCTCAACTGGCACAGCAATGACGGAATTGGGCCGATCTGCCTACAAAACAAAAGCATCTTCGCCCTTACACACATTCTTATCTGCTCTTCCTGCCACGAACGATGGACGCTGCTGCCTCAGTCCGCCAGAATGCGGCTTACCACGCCCAGCTGCTCGCCGCGATTGCTGAACTGGACTACGTTCCGCCCGCGTTGGAGGAGCAGAGGAAGATGATTACGAGTTTGGCGGCCCAGGCGAGGGAGACGTTGCAGACCATCCAAGTGCTGGAGAAGAAGACGAAAAAGGAGAGGAAGGAGCACGAGGCACTTAGGGACTCGACGACGAGACGGTTTGCGGCAAAGATCACTGGGCGGAAGGAGAAATTCGACGCCAAGGCGAGCAAAGAAGAACGGTGAGTTGTTGTTCATGTTTTTTGTCGCTTGCTAAGGCATGAAAGGGAATACATCGAAGCACTAGAACGCGAGACGCAAGAGAAACGCAGGAAAGAATCGCTCGATAAGCTCATTTCTGACGCTCAGGCTGTCGTATGTTTGCTATCTCGTTCAGATTCTCACCTGACTGGCCCGTAGAAACTTGATTTGGAGAATAAGTTGCAGCGATATAATCTGACCAAGCAAGATCTCGCGGAGCTGTACAGTAAAGTCTTTGATGGACCCACACAAGCATATCCTGAAGATGACCGACTGGAATACGACCTTTCGAATGCACAAGGACGTTACAACGAGATCCAAGGCTATCTAAATCGTGAATCACAAGCTGTCCATCTGCTCAAGGCGGCAAACAGTGCGCTGCGAGGTTGTAGCAGCAAGATCCAAGAAGCGCTAAGCTATTCTACCTGGGGTATGAATATTCTTCGCTATCCCCTCCTTATGTCCTCATATTATTTACAGACATGTTTGGTGGTGGAGGAGTCAGTGACTGGATGGAGAGGAACGCGTTGAGCTCAGCGGAGGGTTTGGCGACCCAGGCAGCGACATACGTCCAGCAAGCCATGCTTGCGTCCCCGCAGGTGAAACCAATAGGTCAAATCACTGTGGCCCATGGGTAAGCGCATTGTTCCACTATGCTCGTTCAAACAACACTACAGTTCAATAATGTCGGACGTTATCTTTGACAACATCTTCACTGACATGATGTTCCACGGTGTGCTCAAGCCCCAAAGAGAGAATCATCGAACTGACTAAATATCAGACAAGATCAAGGCCTCCCAGCGTAACGTTGAGGCCGTGCAGTACAATGCAAGTCCTTAAATCCCTTGATACGTATCACTCATGTGCTTCCTATTAGTTGACAAATGAGTTGGCTGACGCAACTGCTCGTTTGTCTGTAATTGGTTCAGACTTGAGTGCGGCAGCAGACATTCTGGCGACTGCGCGTCGGGCACTGGATTCCTATCGACGGGGTGTATTTGAGAGCGCCTCTGGTGGTATGGACATCCCGCCGCTACCGTCCTATGATGGAGGGTCATCAGGTCTATCTCATTCTCATCGTTATACTCCTCTAATCTGGCGATTTAGGGGATCGCGGACCATTCATAATGCCACAGGCGGAATTTCCACCACCAGCTGGGCCGCCACCAACAGGTAAACACTTCCTTGAGATTTTGTATCTCTTTCTAATTACCTCTAGCTTCTCCCGGAATTTTCTCTCCGCCTCCTGGACCGCCGCCAACTTCAAGTATGGCCCCACCGACCAAGAATTACGAGCCACCGATGAACCCTCCCCCAAGTGGTATGAAGACACTTGGAATCATGACTTTCTAACTCACTCGGCCTCAGGCTCATCTAACACCTCCAAGTGGGGAAGCCGTATGTTGTTTTATGTTTAGTAATTCTCCTTGCTGACTGTGTCCAGGCAATCCTTATGCAGCAGCGTTGGTTGCATCCCCTCCGAAAATCCCGGAGCCCTTACCCGACAAGCAGTAGTTGTACATGTACCATATGTTGTGCCAATAGCAATAGCGATACTTGTGTAAAAAAAATTGGGGTATGACTGAATCCGGAACTTGTGATTGGAAATGTCACACCGTGTGACTCACTCCCATCAGACCCCTTCTCCTCAACGCTGCAACGTTGTAGACACGCCGTTGTCGTCCTCCCGACACTAAAAAGTTGTCCACTCTTTCTGCAACTTCCACCATGATCCACACCATCACATTTATCCTCGTTACTGCGGCTGCAGCTCAAGCCGTACGCCAATTTCAGACTCCCCTTTGACCTTGACGACTAACCTTTGTATCTCTTTCTTTGAAGGCTTCGTCGTCGAACCCCTACATTCCCACCGACATCAGCTCTGGCTGCTCGTCCTTCCTCTCCTCCCTCAATACCGACACGGATCTCGCTTCTTGCACGACATCGCTCATCTCTGCATCGTCGTCATTTGGTCCCGGAGGAAACTACTCGAATGGAGCCAGCAAGGCCGCGGTCAGCTCGGCTCTCAGTTCAATTTGCTCGAGCGCAACAGCGTCAGCCTGCCCACAAAGCCTCATCACTGGCAAACTGGCCTCTTTCTACACCTCCTGCGGCGCCGAATTGACCTCTTCACCCAGCGCAGGGGTCAAGATCATCTACGACACATTCTACAGCCTCCTCCCCCTTCTGTCATCTGTTTGTGCCAAAGACGACAGTGGTGATTGGTGTGTCCTGGCCAGCAATGCAACCACCGACGCCAAGCTCGCGCCTGCCGTCAACATCGCCTCAGTTTCCCGTCGCGCCGAATCGGGATCACAAACTGCCTATATGCCCAACGCCAAAACCATCAACGACAACAACCTCCTATTCCTCCTCCTCAAAGGCTCGTTGCCGAAAGCCCAGCTATGCACGACCTGCACTCGTAATGTCCTTACCAACTACATTTCTTTCGAAGGAAGCACCAACTACGCCCCCGGCATTGCCCAGAGCAGTTTGATGTCTGGCCAGTCAGAGCTCTATCAGGGTGTCGTTGCCACATGTGGCGCTGACTTCTTGACGAGTGCTGTCAAAGCTGCTGGAGGACTTGGACAAGGCAGTTCGAAAGGCCAGAGCGGTGCTCTCTCTCTCCGCGCCGGTGGCCTCTTTGCTTCACTTGGTGCTTTGGGCGTTGCTGTCTTCATGCTCTAGAGGAGCCTTTAGCGTATATTTAGAGGATTTTACCGGGCATTTATTCTCTTTTTTATTCCTTACATATCGACCCAACGTTCAAATAGTTGCCTAGTGCCCAACGTGTGGTGATATCTCGCAGTCATAATCTCCTTTTGATACCCATGCACCTCCTTCGTGTAATTGCCCTGGTGTATTCTCAGTCTGGCCAGATTCTGGCAAACCTGTCGTTGTCGGCATCACCGTAGCAACCGTCGATCAATGCTTTGTCATCGCACCTATGTTGAATCCGAAGTTTACAGATTCGTCGAGTGTCCAGTTCGAGACTGCTGAGTGGCTAGGAGTCGTCCTTGTGGCTCACACTGGTTTCAGTCGTCCATGATCAGCGCCTCAGCCGAGTTGAGCGATCTAGTGAACATCGGCGAAGCTAAGACTACAAGAATTTCCGAGGTGACTATGTCTAAAGCATTGGCCTCACAGATGGACCCTATAGAACCCCACGCGGACATGGCGTGAGCCATTCAATTCTATGCTGCTCAAGCGCTTATCCTCAATCGGTTCGAAGGAAATATGCCCTCAGGTGCAGAATATTCAATCCAGATCTTCCCGAGGGCGACCATCGCGAATTCCTCATGTCTCTCCAGCGGCGGCGCCACCGTTATCCTCCCTGCAGACTCCAGTTGGACATATCCGAGTTTGTCGAGTTTCTCTCAGAGGCAGCGACTCTACCACATACACCTTTTTCGACATTCTTGAACTCTCAACGCCACCGTCAGTGCCGCTCGGCAAATAACAGGCCAACAGTCAGAGCGACGACGCCGATCCAGTGAAATCGCCGCTCGAGTCTTCTCCGTCAAGCTCGCAGCCAATCCGAGTTGGCGTGCTCTCCCCCCGGCCAAGTATAAGGCTTCCAACACCCACCCACACACACATTTTATTGAAGGGTGTTGTTTGATTGCTCTCTCATATACTCGTGAAATCCAAGGCACCGTTCATTCGCAAAATCAGCCGATGGATGCCGAACTCGCAATTGGCGCTGTCGATTGGTCGGCAGCCAGCCCGAGCCCAAGCTGAGCTGTTCTTCCCCGGTTTCCATTCTCAAAGTATCCGAGTCATTCACGGCATTGGCACTGTTCAAAATTCTTCCTACGGGAGCACAAACATCTGCCTGCTCACCTCCGCAATCTGCTATGGACCTGTGCTATTCTTATCTGGGCTACAGTCATGCACTATCCGAAAGCTCTGTGGCCAAATACGCGCCAAAATAATACGATTATCGGCTCTGCACTGGCTTGGGTCAGTGGCCCAACGGCCATCAACGTCTTCTCCCCGCGCCTCCGAGGAGGTCTTTCCGTATTGGTGGACTTGTAATCAACTTGCTGTTCTCGTTGTGTATCTGTTGACGCCCAGCGAGGGGGCAGATACGCGGGAAGTAGAACATATCAACTTCTTCAGTCAAACGAGAGCAGATCTTCGACAGTTGAATCGAAGTATGCTTGGATAACAACGAGAAGCAGTCATCTGGGATCCAGTGTTGTCTCAATAGCGTGCTCTATGCTTATGGATGCATGGGCTTTCACGCTCCCTGGCGCTACTCCAACGCAAGGCAAAACATTGATTTAGAAGGTACAATCGAATTACCATATAGGCGGCACCTCAGGACGGCTCTGACTCGAATTCGAACTTGACAAGTTGTGTGGATGTTGGATTAAATCCCTTGTACCCCCACGGTTGCCAGGCTCGCCCCAAAAGGCGTATCATTCAGGTTCGGATTGATTCGAATGTTCTAACCACTGTGAAAAATTCGAAAGCTCTCTATAATGGCGTGCTAGTATACAAAGCGGACTTCAAGTTGCCTCTAATTCTGCCTCATCTCTACCAAAGCTTGTTTAGGCTAAGTACTCGACTCAGCGCATCAAGGGTCAAGGCTTGTAAGCAGGCATCGGAAGCCGGAACTATCCAGAATCGCGTCTATCGGCTCCACAGTTCGTTGGAACAAGCTGTCCGACTGTAAATATTTTCCATCGCCGGCTTCCATTAGTTCTACTGATTCGTCACATTCGAGTTGCGACCCGACCATAAAGTTCCGCCCTGCCAATAGTCACCCAGGCGAACTGGGTCTTTGACGCGATGCCGCCCGCCTACCGCTGCTCCGATTCATTTGTTTGTGTGTCCGTGGCGCGTTCTCTGTGACGATCTCCGGGCTGATACAGGTACTTGCGTTTTCACGAAACTTTCTACCAAGTTTCTCCGAAGCGATTACGCCAGCCTGATCACGGAGCGAAGCCCTTTCCTTGTCGTCCCGGGCCCTTTGCCGAAGGTTTACCCAACATCTGCGGGGGTGCGGAATTGCGAACAACGTTGACTGCTGGTTTCTTACTGCGTCCGCAAGATATCGGTGCATGTCAGCTAGAGCATGCATCTCACTTGCAAGAAGCGCCATTGACGTTCAAGGTCCTATTAGGCGAGGTGAACGCAAACTATGGGGTTCAAGAATTTTGATGCGCTTGGAATATATTGCGTTTTCCCCGCCGCCATAGCCTTACCAATACGACGTCAAGACCCCGTCTCGCTCACCAAGAAGTGGGATCATATAATAGCTGCCCTCTCCTTAGCTATACTCTGTGCTGATTTCTTATTCATTGACCTCGGGCTCCGATAAGCTGTACTCAGGCTGACACTTGGTTCTACGATATATTCACAACACGCTAATCCGAGTCCTTTTTGTTGGAAAACTGAAGGAGGGTTGAACCTTATCACAACAGCACCTGGCATGGAAGAACTGGGGCTTGAACAATGGCATTGATGATCTATCAGGCTGAGTGTAAAATATGCTGATCCGTCGCGCAGTTACTCGTAAAAAAGTTACAGATCCCAGATGAATTCATATCAGAGATTGGGTCATCATTCGCAGGACGGAGAGCAAACTTCATATTTGTGGCACTCAACTCGATCGTCCGACCCAAGGGTAGCGCTCGTGCCAGTGGTTTCGAGCAGCCACCAAAACGCTGAGACCCGACGGAGACGGGAGCTATTCGCGCACCTGGTTTCACGCCCGTGGCGCAGTTGAGATGTAGAATTCTTGAAGGATAAATTTAGCAGCAACTGGCGTTGTGACCACCCGGGCCGTAATCATGATTAACCTGGACTCGGACTACAACGCGGCCGAGTAAAATAATTTTATTCAGGCGTGGTTTTCTTGATCACCGGGCTCGGGAGTGTGGGGCCATAGCTGGGGCTATGATACTGGCGCCTCTTTGATTACCTTTTTAGAGCCCTTCTAAGTTTTGAAATCCGTCTATCACACGCAACGAACTCATCTCGTGGGGGGGGAGATTCGCCTAGGAGCCCACGCATGCCGGCCTCCGAGATCTGTCTGTCTCTGCCAGTGCGAAAGCTATTTTTGGGATTCATCCAGCCTGCTTCGAGCAGCCGAACTCGATATCAACTGATCATTATGTTCCGAGAGCGAACAAGCAAGTATTTCATTGATCGCATCTCGGCGATCAAAATACTTGTTGCGCAGATCACTGCAACGCGACTCGAACTCGTGAATCACTTGTCGTGAGTGAGGTTCTGGTTACAGATACTCAGCATTCCTGTCCGTTGAACTTATCGCTCACTACCCCGAAACTTGAACGTTTGATGGTGGCGTGTTTTTGTCTCTCGGAGATTGCAAGTTCAGTTTTCAACATGCCGGACTACCTGGCTAGCTGGGCTCAAGACTCAGCCTCAACACGCGTGGTGGCCCGGCACCGGCGAAAACAATACACGTCATACCAGTGCAACACGCATGTTTTGATCGGACAGCTTCTTGACCTAAACAACCACCATGGCCCAGAGTAAGTAATCATCTCAATCTGCGACTTTCTCTACTTGCAACATACTTAGACGGAAATGAGACCCTCTCGCGTTACGTTTAGTAGCTCGGGCAGGAGGACATTGTCACCGTCAGCAGTACCTGCCGTTCGAGTCCGAGTCGTCGGTCTGTCTTCTTTTCCGCCGCAATTGCAAGCCAAAACTTCCAGTCAGTTGTTACTACTATAGATGTGCCGAGCAGATGAGAATTCACTGGATTTAGCCTCGCCTCTTGCCGTTCTCAGCGGTATGCCGATCTCCCGCCTTCTTTCTTCACGAGAAGCGGGTTGGCATCTCTTTCGTTCCGACTCGGCGTCACATTGCTATCTAATTCTTCCGGCTGGCGGTGCTCAGTTCAGTGCTGTATACAGTATTGCTCGAAGACCACGCCCTGTTGGCCGCACACCCGATACTGGCACCGGTGCTTCCAGCAACTCATGCCAATGAAATCACGGTGGTTGCATCCATTGACCGCGTCGACTTGAGCGCTCGTCTGCCACTGGCAGAAACTAAAGCGATCGTGAAAGCGGCCTAATAAGGCTATGTTCGACTGTCGTTACTTATGCGAGCGGTGATAGGTCGCTAAGCCAGACAGCGGACAGCGGGGACTGTCGTTTGCGTTTGCTTGCCCTACTTACCCGGTGAGAAAGCCACAATTAAACGTCAAACACTCACGCTATTAGGCACTCTGCGAGGACATTTTTGTCTTTTCACCCCCTGGCTGGCACTAGTTCTCTTCTGACTTGTCCCACTCCGACGGAAACTCGAGATCTAGACGGTCTAGGCACCCACTGGCATAAAAATAACGGCCCTCTCAAACAACTTGAAGTGAAGTTGGGTCATGCCGTTGAGACTCGAGGTGCTGAGAGCAGATGCTTGCACTGGCATTCACACTCATGCTGGTCCGTCGTCCCTATTTACGGCCTCAGAGTGGCACTACGACGGCGAAGAGAGCGGCGAACGCTCGCTGTAGCTAATAATGAGGCAGGGTCTTGTCATGACGGTTGCGGTACTCCGGCGAGACATGATTACAGGTTGGCCACGGCCAAGACTCAACCGACATCGAGTACTGACACAGCCTGGCATCGATGACAGAATAGTACGGGACTCCCCAGCTCGGGTGCGCATGTCAGTACACTAATCGAGGTTTTCCCAGTGGGTGTTAGGAAATACTTAGAGTAGATTGTAGTATAACTGATTAAGTACATATGATACTTAGGTGTTCTAGCAACTTACTAAGCTCTATTCAGGCGCTGCATTGGGACTTGGGGTCTGCTTGCGTAGACTGAAAATTCCGCACACACTACATGCGTCATCGACTGCCGACGATCGAAAGGTGCCAACAAGTGCATTTCCATAACATAGACGGCCGATGAAGAGCCATGCTTCCGAAGTTTGGTTTGCCGGTTGTTTCTTGATATGAGCGTGAGAAATCATGAGTTGGGCCAAGATGAAGATGGACGTACTGGTCTGCGAGTAAACACGATCTCTCCATTTTTGTGCGCCCTTCCCGCGAAAGTGAAACCATCGGAGCCCCACGCCTCCTCATGTTGGGGCAGCGTCTGCCCGACGGTCAACGAGGAGCGGCGCAATTCGCAGTGTTTCACATACCTGCCCGACTAACGCGATACAAGCCTCCACGTCCGGTCTCATCAAAATGTTCGGACAGTTCCCGCTTTGTGTCTAAAAAAAGCGGGAAAAGGTTCAACAAACAGAAAGATAGTGGTTATTCAAATAATCATACCTCGCGGTGATCCCAATCCGGAGGCGACTCGTGTTGTTGCTCGACGAATTCACACTGCATTGGCGTGCGACAGAGAAAGTCGGGGGGCTCGGAATCTTCCGATAGTCCACAGGAGGAGATCTAATAGAGATGGGTTAAAACACGAATGCTGCGAGGCAAGAAGAAAAACATCATTACCATCATCGCGCCTTCCCAGACGCCGGCAATCGAGCCTGCTCCAATGAGCGCACGTTGGTCAGCGGCTTCTGGTTCAGGCAGAGTGTTGACCACCCATGCACGAGTCGTGGCCAAACGAGATTGCGTCAGCATTTCGGTTTGGCGGATATCAGAAAACAAAGGCGTAAGGGTTGACTGGAAAGTAGTGTAGTCCTCGGCTGTGGGCCCACCACGACTTTCGGAAATCGCCAATGCGCGGGTTGCTGGGAGGTGATATGGTGCTTGTAGTGGAACAGCTTCCTTGAGCGCAAAAATCAGGATAACAGCAGCGTCCGATACGGGTGGGAGGTCGAGAAATACACGCTTGTTGTAGAAAAGAAGCCCTGCTTCATCATTGACAGCCTGAGGGCGCGACCGCGGAGTTGAACAGGGTGGGAGCCAACATAGCTTGTCTTGTGAGTCGGTAGCAGAAAAGGGAGATAGTGAGGTAAGATATAGAGACGCGTCGGTCGAGACGAAGGGACGTAATGAGATCACGAGCTCGTCTCGAACTTCTTCTGGGATCTGCGAGAGAATGTCGTCTAAAACACGGTGTCAGAGGCAATCTGCTATGTACTGCGCCGAGGGAGCAACGCACTTCTCGACAGGGCCAGACACAAGAGCCAAACGACCAACTGGATGTTATTCTTGTCTCCCTTTCTGTCGCTCAACAGATTCCGAGCGAGTTGAACAACAAATGACGAAAAGCCGACTTGAGAGAGGGCATCGCATTGGCTCCCATGCTCGAGCACCATCCAAAATAGTGTCGACATATCCTGCCGTAAACGATGAACGCCCAGGTCAATACGGCGACAGCGCCCAAGAGCATCGCATCGTTGGTGGAGTTCAGCAGAAAGAGAGGAGTCAGTCCTATTGCGCAAGTCGGGTCCATACTGGTGTCGGAAAATGGCAGCATAGAGATGAGGATTAGAGGACACATTCAAGGCGCGATAAAGAGTTCGACAAGTTGCAAGCAGAGCATAGAGGTCGGATGGCGGGGTCGCGACAGGGGTGGTGGTGAGAAGAGCGATGTGCTGAAGAATATCGTGTGGGGTGAATTCTAACATGCTTGCCTACCTGGTAGCGCCAATGGTTTAAAAAGGAGTGCCATCCCGGTGTCCACGACGAACAGGTTATTTGCTCGGGCCTGAAAAGATCGCCGTATTCAGCAAGCTCCGTTTCCCATTTGGGCAAGCTATACAACCTGATCGAAATCTTGCACAAATGTGGTTGTTAGGAACATGACGCTAAATTCGGTTTATCACCGAAAGAAGAAACCTTGTTGACTTCAAACATTAACCACGCGCGTCGGAATGGACCCACTCAAGATTCACTCTTGGACCAATCATAGTTAGCGCCGACTGGACATTAAGCCCAATGATCGTTTCTGGGAGGATGTGGCGTCTAGCTGGTACGCCGTCGGTCCTCTGCTCGAATACTGTTACAACGGGTCTTAACTCCGCCAAACGACACAGAGTGCTTCGGAAATGAAGTCGAAAAAGTTGGCCGTTGATGGAGAACCACATATATCTCGTCTACTCGATCGACACCTCATACACGACTTAATTTTATGTGTTTTCAGAGCTCTGTCATTGCATCAATCAGATGAGAATGAGTCTAAAAGGGCCGATAACATACTCTGCATCGCAGCCACGTCCGTGCTCTGAACATAGTCCTCGAACTCTTGGATTTGTTCCTGTAACTCATCGAGCGAAATCTTGTCATCCTCTATCATTAGACTAAGTATCCATTTAGGCGGGACTAGACGAAGAACATACCGACAACGAGCGTGATCTAGCCCAAGAAGATTCGGTATAGAAGAAAATGTGGCAAAGAGGGAGCGTACCTGGAGCTTCTTGATACCTTCAAATGGGTCAGACGAGAAGTTGAATGCACAACTAGTATATCACGCACCATAGCCAATGGAAACTAACTTGCTGCTACCCCAAACCAGACCATCCTTCTCGATGGAACGCACGGAAGTTTCAAGCGCGGCCATGTCGGTCTCATCGTCCCAGGGCTTAACTTCCAGCGTAACAACGGACTGAACCCAAAATGAAATCGCGATGCAAGGTACGTTAGATCAAACTCACCTTGGCGATGACTTTGGGTTTGTTGGCTTTTTTGGCGGCATAGGCAGCAACACGCTCAGCCTTGATGCGTTCCGCCTCAGCATCCTCCTCATCGTCACTCCCGAAAAGATCGACCTCGTCGTCGTCATCTGCGGCGGCAGCGGGAGCGGCAGCAGCGGGTGCAGCCGCCTCCGACTCTCCGAGGAAAGCATCTCCCGCCGTGCTGGAGCCAGAGAGGGTGCCGAACTCGGCCTCGTATGATTTGATGTGGGTGTACCAACGAGCGATGTGGGGGTGGGAGTCGGCACTCGGCGCCGATGAGATCGCTTTGAAAACCACTACATCAGCTTGCGATGGAGTGTATCTTGGGGAGTAAATCAGAGGCAATCCGAAGGACAAAGAAAAAGAGAGTCAGAAAGCTAGGTATAGAAAACTCGGCATGCTGGGACAGCGGTGTCTAGTCGCTTCTTGGTAACACGGACCAAAGCATGGTCATCCCAAAAGAAAAGAGGGAAATAAGCTTACCCCTCGATATAGGAGCGCGTCGCGAGGTGCTCTGAGAGTTTGGTGAGGTTGGCCATGGATCGATTTGGAGTGGAGAGAAAAAGATCGATTTGCGGATGAAGGAGAGAAGGAAAGATCGATTTAAGAAAGTCACGGTCACGTTGTCACGAGATCATCGAAACTTGGACCAAAAACGCGTTCAAGTGCCAACGTTGAGCTGTCCTGGACGCAGACATATTGTTTGCGGTCGTTTTGTGGGCTTGATTAAGCGACAAGCGACGCGCAATCCCGCCTCGCGTGCTCTCACCGATGGAGCAGTGCCTCCTGCTTTAATGTCCGTCAGTCCTCAAGTCAAGTTGCTAGTCTGTGTTGACTTAGAGTATTGCAAACGCATTGCCCAGTCATCACAGCCATGGCATTGATCTGGCCTATCGAACCTCAGCCTGGGTCACAAGGCTTTATCTTCTCTCTCAAGTTATCAGTGTGCGTGGCTTTCATATTGGTTTACAACCTACCATTTGACAGCCCCCACGTCACCGTCCGTGCGCGGCGCGTATAAGGAACCAAAAAACACAGGTTTATCGCTCGACGGACTGCACGTAACTCAACTCGATGTGATTCGCGAGCATGCAACCGACCATTTCCGCAGGTCGCTCACCCTCCACAGTGCTTCCGGGCACTTGGCGCAAGCTGGGGAAAAGTTGGGAAAAAAGAACGAGATATGGCTTACGGAGGAGCGGAGATCAGACCAGACTCCATTCGGATTGTTGGCAGCCTTTACGGCTTTGACTTGATCGAACGGCCGGAGTACAAATACCACAATCCCAAAATACGGTAAGCGCTTCCCTCCATGTCCGTGTCTATACACTCTCTTTCCGCTGAAGTACTCCAGAACATCACTCTCCTGGCCTCCGACACCCTCGGTCCTCCTTGTGAATGGTCTGCCCTCACTCGGTGCTGTCACTCTTTTCGTCGCAAGTTGGATGTACCGGCTATGCACGCTCGCTTGTTCTCTCAAAAGTTCCAAGTGCCAGCAGAGGCCCATCATCTCCTACCAATACATGCTCGAGACGAGTTGCAACGGAGGTTTGCTGCGTTGAATTTCTTTCGAAAAGTTGAAAGCCTCGGATCGGCCCCCGCGTTTACGGATGCGCTCTGGGTCGCCTACGTCATGCTCAAGGCCGAAGCGCCGCGGCAAATGAACGTGGACCAACTATTGTGGGCTGGTCTTCCTAGCCTGTTACTTCGCTACGTGCAACACCATTTGGTGGGCCAGAGTCATGGCTGGCCTGCTGTCAACGAGACTACCTCACTTGTCGTCGCTCTCTTGTGGCTGCTGTCCTCTGAAGGTGGTCTTCGCGTTCATCTGATGAACTCCATGCTCATCTCCCTCAGAGTCTGTTGCAACAGAATCAGCAACCACTAGGGAGGCAGTTATGGAGCGGATAAGACCTTACGTGCTGGCTGCATTCAAGGTGGTTCTCGAGCCTTCCTTCCCAGCTTCCCTGTACTTAACTTGAGAACAGTATCCTGTGTCGAGCACGCCATGGCGTTCAACTTCGGAGTCGGCTTCTTCGCAGGGTAATTTCACTAGCCAACTCGAAGAGGAAGAACTGACGGTCTGGCATGCATCGGCAGGCACAATCGTTATCGCTCCCACACGCCAGGTGCATTACTTTGGCCAGCGGACGGTCCACGTCCCCGCGGTTCCGATCTACTCCATTTTATGCTACTTCACGAGGCTGGACATGCTCAGTCCCATGTTTCCTGTCCATCTCAGCGCAGCTTCTCCGCCAAAAGGCCCTCGTCGAGAGGACGTAGAACACTTCATCAAAGAATGTCGTACTCCCTTCGAGCCGTGGAACTCAAAACCAATGATGAACACAAGCAACGACGCGCTTAGTCGATCGTTGAATCAACCATATTTTCCTGGCTCGCTGTCTGGGAGATGGAAAGGATCGTCGATCGTAAGCTAATCATCTAATCTTATCAAATGTCCTCAATGGATCAATGCAGATTCCAAATATAAACGACTATATGCACTGGAAAGAGGAATCAGAAGCACCGGAGGCAATGGAGACATTTTGTCGCCAACCGTTATACTTGACGCTTCAGGAACACTTTTGTTATGAGCCCGTGCAGCAGGAACATTGTTTACCGGAAACGTGGGTGGAGTGGGAGGTAAGGAGATGCAACTTTTTGATCATGCAGGCAGCCTCATTTTCTTTCAGGATGAAATTCAAGTGGAGAGTTGGTCTAGAACATACAAGACACATCGGGGGGAGCGTCCACCGCAGAAAGAGATCTTCGATGTCCTTGTAACTGGACAGGTTCGTGGTTGAGCTGAATGATATCACTCCATACAAACTTGGGCACGAACAGACTGATGATCCATATGCCACTGCCTGGGGTCATTTCAAATTCGTGGGTCGAATTCGCATGTCTGATGGGCTGGTCGTTCTTCGTCGCGAATCGGTGCGTTGGTTTGTTGCAAGTCGATTGCCCAACTTTTTGATATGAAGTCAGGTTGCTGGTCTAGGAACCACGATACTTCGTGGCTACAGTAAGTTGTGTTTTCTTTGCAGTTACTGGTGTCATTATCTTACAATGGATTCAGTGTCCTCTCGTCAGAATTTCTGTGGAAGATATCGTGCTATCGATAATGGGAACTCGGCGCTAGAATGGGAGGCTGCCTTTAGCTTGTGTAAAATGTTGGACTGAATTCGATCTACGTCATTAGAACCAGGGGATCGCTGATTGGTCAACGGCCCAACGCAGCAAATCCTTTTGAGTCCGTAGTCCATCGCGCTAGTTACAAGCAAAGGCCTGAAATCCACCTTTGTTCTCTTGCTTGCTCCTCAAGCTGTCGCATTGTCGTACAATGGCGGTGGACCTTTGGCTCTGAATCCTTGTCACAAGGTGTTACTGTGACTTGACCACGCAGTCTTCGGACAGCGACCGCTCATAATTCAATCCACGCACCCCCCATGGCTTATCTCGAGACCGTCCCACATGAAATACTTGAACGTATTGCCTACCTTGTGGCCACGGAACGAGTCATTGGACCGCCCTCATCCCTCATATCTCTGCTCTGCACTAATCGCCAAATCCACTCACAACTCTCTCTCACTAATAACCAATACCTTTATGCAAGAATATATCAGGCCAAGTTTGACTTTGGTCGACTTGCTTCAAAGCTGTCGCCAAATGTTTTGGCGCACGAGCTAGTACATCGTTGTCGAATTCTCACACGGATTCGCGCTCAGACGGACTCGACAGTCAGACCGCGCTCGACAGAACCGGGCGACACTGTCTACGAACTACTATTCCATGCATACCTAATGATGCTGGAGAATGCTGGAAATAACGAGCGTCAGCTGCGCGACTATGCCAACATAGGGAACTGGTTGCGTAATTATTTATTCGACGAGCATCTCCCACTGCTGCGGGGTACCAATCGCGTAGAAAACTGGCCACTGCAGAACGAGCACACCTCGCTGGCGATGTGGTTGTTTTGGTTCCTACTCCGGCCAGGTAAGCCTTGTTGACTACAACTCTGCCAGTCTTCAGACGATTTGCCAGATGATTACACTGGCGACGATGACTTAACTTGGAATGTTCTGAATTTTCTCAAAGTATATGCCCTCGGCGCGCATAAAGTGTGTGGCAGTCTAACTGTGTGTTTTCGCACCTGATCACAAACTTCTCAGTACCAACTAACTGATCCATCCTGGGTGAAATTCCTACCTGAACCTCCAGAACGCACTACTCCCGTCATGCACTATTCGGAACCCCACCAATTTTGCACGCCTCCGCTTGCAACTCCCGCGATCCTCGCATTCCTCACTCTCGTTAACCTCAAAACGAAGCAAATCGACTTCTCCTCGCATATCGACCTTCCCATGAAATCAGAGAGTAACGAATGGGAGCATGAGCTTGGTCGATGTCTAAGTCTGAGTCGCCCGGATTTTGGGAACACCCTCACGGAGTGCTTCCAATCCGGCAGGTAAGCTTTGTGCCTCAGATTTGGTTCGCTATTCATTATCGTTTAGCGTCGAAGGAACCTGGGAAGGAATCTTCACGGTTATTAGTTTTATTTGCTCACTCGGACGCCCCATTGACGTGCTTTTCGGTTTAGTATACCGAGTTTACTGCTTATGCTGCCCTGCTCCAAGGCGCACCACCACCTATTCTCCAGAAGAGTGTTATTGTGCGGCACCGGCAAACGTGGAAGCTCCGGGAACATCACTTCGTTGACCGATTTGAAGGAGACACGCGACAGCCATTGTCTGCTGGAGATCCTCTGCGGGCCTATTTACCCAACGGCACGCGCTTACTGGAAAAACCAGACTGTCTCCTTGTACAAGACCCCCTTACAAAGAAGGAGCTGCGCTATACGCGGCCGGTCCTCGGAGAAGCAGACGAGGAAGAGGATGAAAAGCCTCAAATGGTTGTTCGTGACGTAATTATAACTGGAGAGGTGTGTGCTGAAGGCTCCATTTTTGCTCGATTTTTTTATCTGCGGACCCGACAGGGACATTCTGCATGGGGTCAATTTAATCTCATCGGGCGTGGTATGTGGGCCTCGACTGCATGCGACGTTGCCTAATCCCACTCCAGTCCGCCCTTGCGATGGCTTCATCAGTCTTTGTAAAGAATATGTGCGTCCCTTATTTTACTTGCCGTCGTCGTTTATCAACGTGTATAGATTGAACCGGATCGCGGCAAGTGGATTTACCGGGGCTACCTGGTTGGCAACGTCAACAGCAACTTAGCTGGTCGTTGGCGAGATACCCTTAGCCCAGCCGCGGTGCCAGGATACGAGGGTTGTTTTCTCATGACAAGGAGGCGCTAATTGGTAATCAACTGCTGAACTCTTTCACTTGTTTTCGCTTGGCTTTCTTTTGCAACTTAATATCTATCTGCTCCGGAACATTGTAACTGGTATTTGCTGTAGCTTCATTGTCGTTGTATGTATCGTTAACTGCCTGAATAATAACATAGAGAACCTTTACGTTATCGTAACAGTGAGCAACACGGTGACCCCATCTGTCGCAATACCTAGAAAATGTTTAGTCCTAGCGCTGAAAACCGTGCATAGGTACCATGATTGACACTGGTGAAGTTATCTGACGATTGGTCATACCATGAGCCGGATTATGCTTACCCCTCAGACCCAGCAGGAAGCAGATTGGTAATGTTCTGCGCCGTCGTCCGATACTTCACCCGATGATGGGTTGTCTTCCCCACAGCTGCTGCAACTAGAAGGTCACGGCCCTTCGTATATCCATCGACCACAATCGTATGTCCGTCAAACACATCCTGGAGGTTGGATTGAGACGGGGCTTCTCATTAGCCACAATGGACATGGCAAACCTCTTCTTGAGAAACCCTGCCCAATGAAACATATAGATTAGACGCATATTCACCGATTGTAAGAGAGGGGCCCTACGCAAGGAAAAGGAGCGCCGCTGTTTGCAAGCGTGCCATTTTGGCGAAATACCCTACATGGTCGGCGTGAGATACTTTGTTCGCTGGATCCAAGCCAAGTAGAGCCTCGCCTAAAATGGTTTCCCCCGACGAGCGATTCCAAGCAGGTGCCTATGTCCGCGCTGCCGAAGTCCCAGCGAAGCTCGATCTGGAGAAATTGAGATAGAGTTTGTGTGTGTAGATAGAGCGGCGCAACTGTTTGGTTGACCCAGCCATTGCCGTCGCCGAGATTGGCGGATTGAGGGTCCCCTGACGAGTAAAACGTGTCAAATTACGTTTCAGCGGAAGGAGAATGCGAAGTTGCGAACCGAGGTGTTGGTGAAGACATTCAAATGAACTACCTCAAGATGTGAGCGAGAAAGATCCGCAAGACTCTAAGAGCCCTCCGTACAAGCCAATTGCTTGGGCATAATTGAGGAACCCGTCGTCGGTTAGCACCTCGGGGGAGCTGTGTCCAGATATGATGACCTATGAAGTGCCAAAGCCATCAGTCTTAACCATGTAAAGCATCGTTGTTGGACGTGCTGCAACCCACACGCACGTTCAAAGGCTCGCCGCCACCGCTTCCGGCTGTTAACCAACACCAATTGGCGAACTCGGTGTTATCTTCTTGGTTCACGACATACCGTTGTCTAACATCGACCCTCCATTGACCTTGGGATCGTAATACGCCACTTCGAGATCAGATTCCGCCTTGGGTTTGCTCGAAAAGATGCTTGAAGTCGACTGCAGTGCGAGCGAGAGCAGTTTGAACGCCAGCATGGTGGGGGTGGAATGGTGAGACCCGACGACGCGTCACAGGAAGGTTGTGATACGATCCATCGTTGGTTAATATGTAGAAGGTTCTCCGATATGTCATGGTTGGAGGAGACGGCGTCGCCTGAAAAAGGAAAAGCACATGCCCATGACGGGGGTCCCATTGATAGACTGGTGTATGTGCGATCAAGAGATCTCTGCGCCGTTTTTCAGGTACTTACAATAAGTACATGGCGAATGTTATTGTCGAGGTGTTGGTTGAGGACATAACGCCGGCGATAAACGGCGAATTGATCGCTTCGGCCGACAGGCTAACCAACTAGGGTTTCTATATTTGGAAATTCTTCCATTTGGCCAATATATGCCCAGCTACAGTCCAAATATCCTCAGACTGTATGGGTGGTGCGTTCATATTGGTCTCGGCTCGCAACAGCCAGGTTTGGGAGCTTATCCCCTGGGGCCATATCCATTACTCTCAAGCTGGCAAAATTAATCAATTCGGTGACAAAGTGTGACGGTGACACATACCACTTCACTAAAACCTCCATTTGTCGGTGAAGGCAAACTTGTGGCAAACCAAGAACAGCACATCCGTCAACAATTATACTCTGGGCCACCTCAACTGAGGCCTCGTTGCTTTCCTCTTTCCCGTATTTGACATAGAAACCCAAGTCAAACACATTCCGCGACAACACCAGAGTCTTATTCACGTCAAAGTACGTGCAGGCTCCTCCAACGGCAAGATAAACATACCCAACCTGTTTCTAGTCCTATATTGATTAATTTCCTGATCTTGGACAACTAACACCCAATGGCGGACGATAGTGCTTCAATCGACGAAATCTCAGATGATGCGCCATCCGCGCCTAACAGTGCTGGTGGACCCTCGAGTGCTGATACCTCATGGACTTCAAGAAGAGGGAAAGCGCGCTGCGACTCTTGTCGGCTTCGCAATCTAAAGGCATGTCCAGCAGAAAAATGAAAGCTCATCCAATTTAACCCAGTCATCAGTGTGACCGTGTATTACCTATTTGTAATCAATGTCGCTGGACTCCGGGCCCGGCTGGGTCAAGTTGTACATATACGCCATTGCCTACTCCAGGTGTGCGCAGGCTGTCAACTTTTGCTCTCTCGGGAGGCTCATATGTACCTTCAGCCCATCGAGGTGTCCCACGATGCGACCGGTGCGTATTTTAACCAGCTCAATGAGGACTTTTTGTTCAATTTCCTCTAGCTGTCGAGAATCCAACCTAAAGGTACATCAGCCTGGTTGCCTCTCACACGACATCTGACTGTCTTAGTGCGATAGAGCCTCTCCAGTCTGTCAATATTGTCGCGAAAGCAACATCACAGACTGTCGGTATACCCCCAAGAAACGCGCTCGGCTTCCACTTGAGCAACACTCACAAGCTCCGCGAGTCCCTTACAATGAAGGGGAAAGTGCCTCTTTCATGTTCACGAACATTTCCGGACCAAATAGCTCCTATAATCGCCCCTTCGTAAACGAAGGCAGCTCTTCCCAACCAGACAGCATGGATGTAGATCGCCCAATGCCTCCATATCCGTCTAGTTCAGCCTACGAGAAACAGGGTCTTGGACCCCCTCTGGCTCTCCTACCTGCACCTTCAGGGCCGTCCAATCTTCCAGCTCAGCAACCTTTTATTTCCCACTCTTTCCCCGAACCTCCACGAAATCAGTTCCGGGCTTGGACACATAATGCCTTCGCCCCTCTTCCCAACTACGTTCTTCGGCGCCTAACAACCATCGCCCGCGAAGACATGCCTGCTCGCGAAACCTTCGACGTTGCGCTGCAAAGATTTCGTGACCGCCTTGAAATTGAACTGCGGGAAACCGCATATCTGGCTGCGGAAGACTACGCCACAGTAGCAAACTGTCTTGCAAAGGGAAATATTAATCGCCTTTCTCCGCGCATTCGCCAATGGGCGCTGTCTCATCGCGTCTCGTCAGGCTCTAATCGATACAACCTCCTTGTTATCCCCCGCGATGCGACATTCCAGCTTTCCTCAGACAAAGAGAAAGAGCTTCTTCACGAGTATCGGGCCGAGCTTGACGACCAGCCATCCACCTCTGACAAACAAGACGACGAGCTCGCGTTCGAGCGCGTGCCTGTCGTTAATCAAATATACGACTGCTTAGTTTACGCTCACCGGGGGCACGCCTCCTCGGTCGCCGCTATCATGGAGATTCACCGTCTGGGTTTTGTGAGTTGTCTTTTCTACTCATACCGTGTTAGTCTATGTTTGCTGAGGCTAGCTATCCGACTGGGTATTTCTAGGCGACAATTACTTGGTCGATGGCGGAGATTTTCGTAAATTTGTGTCCTCTGTGCTCCAAGATCAAGGCGGCGTCGAGTCTGGCTACGAAGGTCGCGCCGACGGCTTCGACTAGCGGTGGAGGGAGCGCAAGATAGGCGAGCTGATGACTACAGAGCGGCGCACATATGGCTGATATGCTACAGGGCGTGGAATGGGACGTGAGAAACGAAAGTGATAAAAAGAAACGGAAATAGTGATGAAGCATTTGGTGAGGCTTGCATTCTTTTTCCGGCATGGCCTGTTCATGAGCAGCTTTAGGGCTTGATTGTCGGACACGCAAATGGCGGATATCTTCAGCTACTAGTTCCACCCTGATCAGTCGCTGCAAGTGGTGGGAAATGGAGTGAAACCTCATCGTACTGTCGGTGCGCAACTGTCGCACGTTCTTGGCGTTGGTTTCTGGGGAATGACATTCGCTGACGCACACCAACCTGACGAAAATCGTAAGGAGGGACAACTGGCGCGCTGGTCTTTAAGGTGCCATTTCTTCCCGCATTTTCCACACTCGAATGGGAGGAGGACGCACATATAATCCCTTCACCTCTTAGAATGGCCACATCGCTTAAAAAACGGCGTATCTCAACTCGATAATTCCAAACTCTTATGCCGCCCCATCGAGAATGTCTGTTCAAGTATCATGCAAGGCAAAGCTACACGTTGATTATTTGCCCAAATCCAGTCACCGAGTGCTTTCTCTGACTCTTGCAACCTAGAAAGGCAAGTGGGAATGGAGTCGTTTCGCTGTTGCATGCGCGCTCATCATAAATTCAACGGCATGTTGGTTGTCTGTGGGCGCAAGTCGAACAGAAGTTGAATTGGCACGTCATTCGATGACGTTTCACTTGAGCTTTCCTGCAAATCGCCGAACAAGGGTGATTCCCGTGCAACTGCACGGTGAAGTTTTGACTCTACGGGGTCAACATGGCGGCGATTTGAGAATGTTATTAGTCATGGTCAATCCCTGAATGATACAGTGTGTAGACAAAGCCAGTACACGCACAAATATTCCGCACATCGTGAAAAGCTTGCTGTATTTCATGATCGTGCCTCGTTTCTCTTATGTCAGCACATCAACGAGTACTTGTCTATCGACAGCCACGTTGCTTTTTGTGTGCGCGCAAACATGAAGGCTTCCAGCGATGTTATCATCTATGTTGGTATGATACCGGTGTCCGCAAACTATAAACAGTATCTCATTCACGTCCGATGTGACCAGATACGATGTTCTGGGATGGCACATGCTATATTACACTTTGGAATGCCACAAAGCGCCGAGTCCTCACAGTGGAGATCGTGGAGGCCTCTCGGTCATCTAATGTTGAATTTTGGAGCAGTGCAGAATTTGTGCCGGGATATATTGAGAGACTCGTCAGTAATTTGCTACTGACTTGGTACTCGATATTCATCAGTGATATAGCAGCAACAAACCGAGCTGCTCGCATCGCTAGATTTCCATCCAGGCACCAAAGCATTTCTTCTTGAAGGCAAACATGGACTACAAATCATACAGCGTCCACTTTCAAAGAAGCTTTCACTCGATTTTAAGCCACTCTGGGCTCCAGTAATACATATCAACAGTATTGAGCTTCAGTCCATCACTTGTCATAATCCACTGAAAGGCTATGGAAAATGGAAGGGAAAGGATGTGAAGCTGACTATAGCTGAAAATGGTAAGAAAAGATCCCTATTTGCATATATATTTCAATGATCAATCCAGAACGAGTAGTTGGGATGATTGAACGTGAACTTAAAGGTCATTACCTTGTCAAGGACCTTGACATATCCTTTCCCATCATTGCTCATATTTCTGATGGGGAGTCTATTATTGGATTTCTACAAGAGTTAGACCTGAGCCGGTGTCGAGTAGCTGATAAGGTGAGAGTTACAATAAATATTCTAATAAACTCATTATCAAATTATGCCTCTAGCGTGATCGTACTGCAGTGTATGCTGCTCTAGCCACACTTGAACGACATAGGATTGTGTATCCACTACAGCCTCCTATTCTCTGCCCTGAAATTGTTATCAACAAAGAAGGAAAAATTCGCTTCCGGCATGCAACATTTTTTAGGTCTTTTGCTGGGTATGATGATGAAGCTTTTGAAGCAGCTTGCCAAAAATATCATTGGAATAATATTTCATATCACTTTGACAAAATTCCAGTTGATCTTAGATCTTTCAATCATATGATTGACCTTGCTTGGGATAGCAGCACTGTTCGTGTGATTGAAATTCCACATATTTCAACACATATTTCAGTTAAACTGCCTTATACAATACGCAAGGCATTGATGAAATCACCCTCAGTCTCAGCTGAAAATCAGGGCAATTTGAAATCACGACATTATCATTATGATGCCTCTGCTAAGAAAAAGGCTAATGATGTCCCTCTTTCAAAACCAAATATCCCAGTATCTATTAGCTCAAAGTCCTTGAAGTTGGTGAGCCAGAGTGTTATATCCGGGAATGAGTGCTTTAGAGAGGAAATAACAGCATCAATAACTGAAGTATAGCCCTGTAGATATGTATTCTGATATGCTTCAACATGCTTATCAGTTATGAGTTGAATGAATATACTACTCAATGGCAGTGCTTACAGTGGTTTTGCAGAGGCACTACTTAATTGTAAGTCTATTCATGGCATATAGTAGTAACAAGCCACCCCTAGCTATACCTAAAGTTAGTCTCATACTTGTGGTAGCTCACACTAGGGGCATGGCCCATGGTGGTAACCTGGCTACCACCACTGTTGTGGTAGCCAGGTGCCACATGTCAAACATGAGGTGGATGATGGCCTCGGCATATGATAATGACTCGTTGATAAGATTATCTCAATCTATTCTCTGTAAAAGAAGTGTAGCAAGGTTCTATGGCTAATGATTATTGGAGAGAAAGCCCCACATCCTTAAGATTTATCCTTATAGCTTCTCTCTGATAAATAATCAGGTTGTGAGAAGCTTTTCCCTGCTTTTTACAAGGTAACTAATGCTTAAAATAATGCAGAAAGACTGTGATCCTACTGGTAGGGAGCTTGGGGGAGGTGGGGAGCATGTATTTGACCTAGAATATGAAGATCTTCCTACTAGAGGTTTCTGTATTGGTTGTAGAGTAAAATAATATGATATTATCATCAAAATACATAGAATTGATAACTACAATACATCCCTTTCTATAATAAATCCTCACAACATCATAACAGCTCTGGAATCTGAAGCATGAAAGCCATCAGACATAAAGCTGAGTATAAATTATTTGATCTTCTCAGCCTAGTCATTGTATGACATGTTTTCACACGACTGACATGAGGTGAAGGGTTGGTACACTGTCAGCACTATGGTGGTGGTAACCTGTGTAGAAGACTCAGTCGTGGATGGGAAACGACTCTATAGGAAGCTACCTGTAGAAGACTACAATGATAAGTAGGTAGCTACAGAATGAATGGAACGGCATACCTCAGTCGTGGATGGGAAACGACTGAGGAGCACGTGACATCGGTCCGGAATATCTCCTGCCCGGCATATCCCATGCACGGGCCACCCATACTGCATCGCGCCTATATCGCGCTCTCCAACAACCTGGTTACAACCATGGACTATGCCCCCAGTGTCATCTGCTGGTGGCTGGACCATGTGACTGTGGGGACCACTGCCAAAATAGGCAAATGTCACACATGTCACGGTTGGTCAGTCCATCCCTTAAAAAATTTAGTGTATATGTTCCTTAAATAATTTTTTTTCTTTCTTCCCCCTGGGCTATATGACAACTTGCTAACTGACTGGGATATCTACATAAGTATCGTTCTTAAATTTCTGATTGTCTCGTATATCCTGAATCCAGCCAAGATATGCTTGATGAGATCCAAATTCTGAATCTCCTCCTACTAGCAACCAGCTCACAACCTGCTGGTGCATATACGAGTCGCAGCCATTCTGGGCCACCCAGACACGTCAGTTGACTCAGAGGAGTTGGCGGAATCAACCACTGGCATGTGGATGAAGTACTGAGGAGCTATTCAAACGCGGGAAGTACCTACAGAAAAACTGCCCCATAGTGTCCAATTCACCACAGAAGCGGGAGCGCACATGGGCGGCTCCTGCATATCTCTTCTTTGATGACCCTCTACAGACTGTCGACATTGGCAACTGCCTTTGTGATGGAGACGGTAGAATACAGCCCCCGTGCCCACAATTGCCCATTCCGAGACGAAATGACAAGCGGCCGCGCGGCTCCGCGCGGAGGGGGACCACTACCAAGCCGCAACCCTAGTAAGTTCAGTTTGAGTCAGACTCAAAGGCCGTAATGCATATGAGTCGATGCATATTTTAGGGTAAGCAGGCTCGACTGAATGGTGTCCCTACAGATAATTTCGGACTTGATTATCGAGCCGCTAAAAACCTACATTCTTGTGGCGCGTGGTAGTCACATGATCGCTCATCTTCGCTCATCCGTCGTTCCATCATGACCCAATCTGCTCGTCCACCGTCAAGACTCGTCCCCCCTGCGCCTCTCGGTCCTCTGACGTCGTCCATATGTCAGTAGATTCATGCTCTGGTCGCCCGTGGCTCCATTATTCTTGCCGAGCATCCGGCTGGCAGCAACTTCTCTCAAGATCAATTGTTTTGGTGCAAGAAACCTGCGAAAGCGACTGAGGCGATTTGCCCAGTAACAGAGTCCAAGATCCCCCGAACGACAGCAAGCTTACCTATGTCCAGGAGGAATACTTGTTCCACTATATCAAGGAGGGCGGGTTGACGTCCTTGGTCATGGCGGATGATTCGGCAGGATGGTGAATGCCTTGCTGATGATTTCTGCTAGATTATCCACAATCCTGGATCCTTTGCTGATATGATTATATGTGCTTGCCGGGACCCATTCCACTCCACTTTCAGTGCGCAATAACCCTGCCACTATTTCGGTGATTTAACGTTGCTTTCCAGGTCCCTGCGTTTAAATTGACTGGCGCATTCACTTTACCAACCTCAGTTCCTGTTACTGCTACTCTCGTAGTTTTCAGCAAACAAATCAAGAGAGATTCCTCCCGACGGACAATCCCAACGCAGTTATTGACGGTATCAATAAAGTTTACGGGCTGGAAGGCGCCCTCTTTGGTGCTGGCGTCTCCTCTTCCATCATCCCACTGATTCTACCAGAACGCTGTCTCCCAACAAGGGGAGCCTGAGCCTGAGCAATACAGCATCTGGCTCTACTACGAGCCAGTCGAACAGCGCTACTTCATCTCAACGAGTAGTGTCAACCTCCAACTGGATATTCGACGCGTCGGTGCTGCCAGTGCTAGACCCTGGTGGCTGTGGAATGGTAACCCATCTACCTGCACCATATCATACCCGTAGCGTCTCGCAGAAAACTGCAGATACTATTCACGACTGTTGAATGATGTACTTATTCTTTGTACTTTCACGATCTTCGACTGTACTACTAGTAGTAACGAACGTCGAATCTGGTCTTGCCCTGATTGAATATTCTTTTCCCGTCGATCATCGTGACACGTGAAAGTACTTCTTGCTCTCTCTCCCACCGTCCTTAATCCCGTTCTCAAAATTGTTCTCGCCCTCTATTATATAACGGTTATACTTGCCTCGATGACGCGTCGTTTTACGTGCAAGTTATCGACAAAGCCAACTCGGCAGCCTACGTGGCGACGCTGCACCAGTCGTCAAGGCCGAAATCCTCTACTCTTTGCCGATCTGGATGATGTGTTCAAGTCGTCTTCGGCGCCCAGGACTAGCAGCGTGGCACGTGTCCCTCGAGATATAAAGCTCTGCAGTGATTCTCAATGAGGTTCACGGCCCAGCATCATGATGTCTACTATTGATTCCCTCCTCAGCCAGCTGCGCACAGCCATCGCTGCTGGCGAAGCCGCGGCGCGAAACGAAGCGCTTGACGCCCTCCGTAGCCTACAGCTATCGCTCGAAACACCGCAGGACACGCTCTTCCGGTTGACGAACACGCATTTGGAGATCGCGATGACGCGGATCGGCCAAGACCTGGGCGTCTACGAATCGCTTGTCGAGGCTGGAGCACAAGGACTCGGCGTGAAGGGTCTGGCGGAAAAGACTGGCGGTGCCCCCGTTCTGCTTGGTACACATGTTTCTTTATCCGAAAACGAGCACAAATGCTGATTCGGTGTAGCTCGAATCTTGCGGTATCTTGCCTCGGTCGGCCAGATTTCACAGCTCTCCTCCGAAATATTCGGTGCCAACGACATGACGCGTATGCTTGCCGCGCCAGGCTATCGCGGCGCAGTCTACCACCAATTTAACAACATCGGTCCCGTCCTCCAGGCGCTGCCCGACTTCCTCAAAGAGACCAAATACGCCGATGTCGACGATGCTGCGAAAACGGCTGCCCAGAAGGCCTACGACACTGATCTCCCGATGTTCCAGTACCTGCCACGCTTCCCTGAACGATTTGGTCCTTTGCAGCAGGCGATGTCTGTGTTGCCGCAGGGCCAGACCCAATGGTTCAAGATTTTTGATTTCGAGAAGGAACTATCCTTGAGTGGCGGAGCAAACGACAGCGCGCCAGCCCTGGTCGATGTTGGCGGAGGCTTCGGACAACAATGCCTTGCGCTTCTCAAAGCATTCCCGCAACTTGACGGGAAACTTGTGTTGCAGGATCTCCCACAGACATTGGGCCATCTTCCACCTGGCGCTCTACCAGCTGGCTTGAAGACGATGGCCCATAACTTCTTCGAGGCTCAGCCTGAAACGACGCGCAACGCACGCTTTTACTACCTGCGTGCAATTATGCACGACTGGCCAGACGACAAATGCGTGGAGATCCTCGGTCATCTCAAAGATGCTTTTGGCCCCGGGTCGAAAATTCTGATCGACGAAGCGGTTTTGCCTGACATTGGCGCCCATTGGTACGCTACCTCGGCCGATATGACCATGATGTCGTCATTGGGGGCAAGAGAGCGGACGAAAACCGAGTGGGAGGCGCTGATCTCGAAGGCTGGGTTAAAGATACTGGGTTTAACGACGTATTTCCCAAGGCTCGAGTCGAGTATCATCGTGGTTGGTATTTAACTTCTGCTAAACGGATAGATAAGGCCATATTGGATATAAGAACTGAAACCTACCGTTATAGCTTCAGACGATTTGACGACTCAGTTACCTCTTCTACACCCCGAGCCAACGCCTGCTGCTGCTCCTGTTCTGCGTATATCTGCATCGTCTGCAAAGATTGTTAACAAACTTGAAGCTTTTGAAATGAAAAATACTTGCATGTTGATACACTGCCCACGCATAACGAACCACGTTCGCTTCATGGTCCGAGCCTGGTCCAAGTTTTTCAAGAACTTGTTCAACGGTCAGTAGATACGACTCGTAGTTGACCTCGTCTGGCATTCCGGTTCCCTCTTCTCGGACCTAGCTATACAGTTCAGGTTCAAGAGTAAAGTCCAGAGAGATCAGCGCACCGCGTCAATGGGAATCCAGCCTGCGTACCAGAACGAAAGATACTCCCCCGGCGGACTCAGTGTGTTGTTGTGGAATGATTTACGCCTAGCGTATGCGTGCGTGGTGATCATAAGGGGCTCGCAGTTCGGACGGTTGCGACTTTCTGGATCGGACGGCGGACTCGGCGCGTGCGTTCCTGTGTAGAGCGGCAAAGACTTGACACGGAAACCTGACTGAAAGTGGTTGAATCGGATTTCAAGGGGATTGGGGGTAAGGTAGGGATTTACCTCTTCATATGCTTCTCTCAGTGCGGCTTGCTCGAGCGATTCGCCGACATCTTTTCTAGGTCTTGGGTCACCAATTGTCGGGGAAAAACGACGACCCGGTAACGTACCTCCCGCGTGGCAAGAACCAGTACTTCTTCTCCTTCTCGTGGCAGAGGACGATTTTGTTTGTTTCCTCCTGGAAGATCACCATCCCGGCGCCGAGCAGCAAGTTCATGCTGGCAAACGCGCTGTTTGGCACTGCTGCCGTCGACCACTCAGACATGGGAGGAGCAGCATTTCCAGCTGAATGATGAGTTGTGCTATGGCGGGCCCCGCCGGCGCGACGGCGATTGAAGAAAAACATTGTGGTGGTCAAGGACGGAACCGTCGCGGAGTCAAATCCAGTACCGTGACGTCATGTCAATCAACCGGCCCGCTGCACAAACAAGTTGCCAGCGAGAGCCATCGAGCGACGATGTGAGCGTGAGGTGTGTAAACGCGCAAATTCAAGTCGAAGGGGAGCTATCGAGAATTAGCCTTCGTCGCAAAAGGTTGGCAAAAGGTCGCAAATGACTGGGATGTTGCCAATAAGCGACGGTGTGTCACAGTCTGTCTGGACTCTCGAGACTCTGAATATGAATCTGTCAATGCCAACTCACTCACGCCGCCGCCCAGAGCGCCTACGGCTGAACGGGCAAGATACCGAGGAACAGCACCAAAGAACAGCGGGAAAAGGAGTATATTACGCGCAATGTAATGGCTACCATACAATAATGTAAAGGCCAAATAACGGGGAAAAAAAAAAAAAAAATGCCAACTCACCACACCGTTACTTGTTGTTCTTACACATAGTAAAGCATTCAATCTGGTCCAGGACCGTCCAGGTAATACTCAAGTCATGCACGACGAATTGCCTCGGCACGCTTGATTGGCTTCACGCGGCGTCAAGGCTAAATTTGAGCCAGCCGAGCCGACATGTCATTGCTCGTGACCAAATGCAACGCTTCCTATTGGCTGACGCATTTGTGTTGCCTCTGATCAGGCTATTCTTATTTTTGTACTTAAAGTCCATGACGCGTAGCGGCATGGCTCCTCGAGACTCGTTGTTGGATGCACTTTTTCAAGTTTTTCCACCCGCCACCTGCGCCTCCAGCATTTGGCAAAGGGAAAACTGTCCCAGAGCGCTCATCGTCGTGCGTGCAGCCATTTTTGCAGCCCTATCATACAAGACCGCTGAAAATCTCTGTGAAGGTTCCTAAACCAACTTGTCGTTCATTGGATTGGCCCTTTTCTCGATGTTGGATTCTCCCGTCCCTTAGAGAAAGATGGTGTGTGACCAATCAATCCCAATCCTTTACAAGGCCAGCTAATGCGCTGAAGATTTATGGGAGCTACCTACGGATCGTCTTACTGGCGCCACAGCCGACGTACTCGAGGCCCGGTTCTATTCGCGCTGCCCACCTGAACAACGACCGAGCGCCTTCCGCGACACACCGGAGGAATCACGGCACAGTCACGAGAGCGAGGCCGCTTCGACGACCGTCGAGGACAAGGAAAAGCAGACACCGTCCACGGAAAATGAGAAAACTTCGGCCCCAACGAAGCCACGGCGCTTCTGGCAACGCAAGCCCAGAAAACTTCATGACTCCTCACTGTTCCGTGCCGTCCACCACACCTTCCTCGTTCGTATCTGGGCCGGAGGAATGCTCAAACTTATTGCGGATACATTACGAACTACTTCACCGCTCGTGAACAAGGCGCTATTAACATGGCTTGCCGAGTCATACGTTTACCACCGTGCAACCGACGAGCAAAAAGCGCTGTTTCCCAAGCCGCCTAGAGGCATTGGTTATGGAATTGGTTTGGGCATTGTGCTGTTTGCAATGCAAGGTATGTCCTTCTCAACCTTTTTTTTGATGCGCAGCCGCTGACTGGATCTAAAGAAATAGCGAGCTTGATGACAAACCATTCCCAGCAAAGTATGTGTGCATGCGGTAGGCGCTGTTATCTCTGACACTCAAACAATCTCCAGCCATGATGGCGGTCGGACTTTCGGTACGAACAGGTATAATTGGCGCGGTCTTCCGCAAATCCCTTCGACTTTCTGGGAGAGCGCGTCTTGAACATTCTGTTGGCCAAACTACAACAATCATTTCGACAGACGCATCACGGTTGGACCGGTTCTGTCAATTCGGCCACAAGTAAGTCATTTGATGTGTACAGATTACCAGTTTGACCTCGAATAGTGTTTGGGTGTCCCCGATCCAAGTACTTCATTCCCTTGGCCCTATTTCGAGTTTGATGAGCCTATAGATCATCGTTGGGGTTGGTCTCCTGCTCGGGAATGTCAGAATCTTCCCGCTGCTATGCTTCATTTTACCAATATTTTTCGTAGCTCGGCTATTCTGCCCTTGTCGGACTCGGGGTGCTCCTCCTCGGATTCCCCCTGCAAGTCATACTTGTCCGAATCATGTTCAAACAGCGCACGAAGGGCGTCAAAATCACCGACACTCGCGTCCGTTTGACCAACGAGGTGTTGCAAGGCATTCGTCTTATCAAGTACTATGCCTGGGAGGGTTTCTATACTCAGCAGATTGGTTCCCTGCGAGAACGAGAGATCGCAACTGTTCGAAAGATGGCGTACGTTGGGTATTTTTTTTGTTGTTTTGGTGCTTATCGCCTCGATTAACTAGGATTGCTCGCGCAGCCATGATTGGTATCATAACTGTCATTCCTGTGTTAGCTTCCGTTTTGTCATTTGTGCGTATATTCCATCTTGATCCCCAGACCCCCATCTGAAGAGGATGTAGATTACGTATGCGCTGAGTGGCCACAATCTCGACATTGCCATCATCTTCAGTTCACTCCAATTCTTCAATGTGGGCTTACTTCTTGTCCTCGAGAGGTGTCTCAAAGCTATAACTGACAGATTATCCGCATGCCGCTCGCATTCATCCCTTTCGTCCTGTCCGCCTTGTCTGATGCACTGGTGGCCTTCAGGCGAATAGGCGCCTTCCTTACCGCAGAGGAGCTACCCGAGCCATACCTCATCGCAGACACTCAAACAAACGCAGTCGATGTTGACGCTAGTTTTACTTGGGAGACAGTAGAGAAGCTTGATGGATCCAAGTTCGGTGCAAAGAAGGGCAAAGGCCCCGGAGGTGGCAAGGGGAAGAAGAGTGGCAAGGACATCAAGAAGAGCAGATCAGTGCTTCCAACTACGAGTTCTGATCCTGCCAGCGGCGCAGTCACCCCTGCCGAAGAGGAAAAGCCTTTCGAACTGAAGAATTTAAAGATGACCGTCCCTCGAGGTGCATTTATCGCGATCGTTGGACGCGTCGGTTCTGGCAAGGTCGTCCAGTCCTCCGTTTATGGAAATCCAAACTAAACTCTCGGAACAGAGCTCTATTCTACAAGCACTGATTGGCGAAATGCGCAAAACGGAGGGAACTGTCCGATTTGGTGGGTCCATCGCATATGTGCCGCAGACAGCATGGATTCGGAATGCAACCCTGCGACAGAATATTGTGTTTGGGCAAAAAGACGACGAAGACAAGTAAGCTGGAATCACCGATATAACTTGACTGGGTATTGACAAGCCTAATTAAGGTTCCGTGAAGTTGTCGCTGCATGTAGCTTGGAACATGACTTAGAAGTGTTGCCACACGGAGAAGACACCGAGATCGGAGAGAGAGGTATCAATCTCTCTGGTGGCCAAAAGGTTATTTTTTTTGATTTAGTATTCACCAAAATTTTCCTCACCGCCGTTTCAGGCCAGAGTTTCGCTCGCTCGCGCTTCTTACTCGCCTGCCGAGATAATCCTTCTTGATGATCCGCTTAGTGCCGTCGGTATGATGACATCCAAGTAAAACTCGAAGTCAGGTATTGATAGTACTTGACAGACTCTTATGTTGGTAAGGCCATCCTCGACAGATGCATTCTGCATGGCCCTCTTGCGAACCGCACCCGTGTTCTTGTCACTCATGCCTTGCACGTTCTCGATAAGGCAGACTACATATATGCAAGTGTCTCGAATTCGTCTTCTCCCAAGCTAACAATATCTAGGTCATGGATAATGGAACTATCAAAGAACAAGGAACTTACCAAGTAGAAATCATCCATCGCTGTTGTCCCGAGCTCATTTTGCCCAGACCCTGCTCAAGGATGGTATCGTATTTTCGAAACTGATGGAAGAATACGGCAGTTTGGAAGCCGAGAAAGAAAAGGAGGCGGCCAAAGGAAAGAAGGCCACCACCGAATCCGAACAGGACGACCCCAAAAAAGAGCAAGCGGCGTTGATGCAAACCGAAGAACGTAATACTGGTGCAGTTTCATGGGCAACCTATGGACAGTATCTCAAATACGGAGGGGGTCTTACATGGGCCCCTCTCATTTTGGGCTTGCTTACGCTTTCCCAAGGGGCACAAGGTCTGTTTTTCGTTTCAGCTCCAGTTCTCCTTCGCTCATCACATGTCCAGTGTTGAACACGCTCTGGCTGGGATTTTGGACCGGCGGGACTATATCTGGTTTCACTCAAGGCCAATACATTGCCGTCTATGCTGGTATGGGAGCTGCAATGGGTGTCTTCAGTTTCCTGCTTTCATTTGCTTTCGCGTGCGTGATCTGATTTGTCCGCATCATCATGTGATCTGATTGCACCGTCATTATAGTCTCGTCAGTTTGATGGCGAGTTTGCGGCTCTTCAAAGCAGCTTTAGCTCATGTTCTACGCTCGCCGACTTCTTTCTTCGATACCACACCTATGGGTAAGTCACTCAAACATGCCGCTGTTGATTGACTGAGTCGTGTTTGTTAGGACGCATCCTTTCTCGACTTGTGAAAGATCAAGACACTTTAGACAACGAATTGTCCATGAATACATTCCAAGTATGGCTTCAGTTTGTCTCCCTGAGTGGTACTGAATGTTATATAGCTATTAACAACGTTTAGCTCTGTCCTCGGGACAGTCGCCTTGGTGTTTTATACCTTCCCCTACTTGGGCATCATCTTTGCGCCGATGATTGTGCTCTACTATATGATCTCATCATATTACCGGCGTTCTTCGGTTGAAACAAAACGTTTGGATTCGTTGATGCGTTCTGCTCTTTACGCGTCCTATACTGGTGCGTCCATGCACGCGATGGCTAGTGCGCGGTTGACAACGATTGGTAGAAACTTTGACGGGTTTATCGACGATTCGCGCATACAGGGACCAATCCGACTCCATTAAACACGCAGAGCAGGGTCTAGACATGGAAAATAGGGCATACTACATGACCATCACTTGTGTGTGATTTTGTTCCTTCTCTTCTCCACCTCTAATCTCCGGTAGTGCAAATGTGGCTCGGGTTGCGTCTCGATGTGTTTGGGAACGTTCTTATCCTTGGTATCGCTCTATTTGCCGCTGGATTGCAAGTCGCTTCTTTCGTCTTCAATGTCCGTTAACCAAGTAAATCCCAGCCGGACTTCCGTTGATCCTAGCAAGATCGGTGTTGTGCTATCGTACAGTCTCAGCAGTAAGTATAGTTAGCTTTGTTGGGCCAGACCGACTTAAACGATATTGTAGTCACTCAGGTCTTCTGTTGGTTCATCGCTGGATCATACCGCCGCATTCTAACCCTCTTGTAGCCCAAATGGTCGCTCTATTTGCGACAAATGAGCAAAATATGAACTCTGTCGAGCGTCTCGTCACATACGCCGAACTCCCCGCAGAGGGTGCTGCCACAACACCGAACGATCCACCTGCGACATGGCCTGACCAAGGCGAAATCATGTTCAAAAATGTCAAAATGGCGTATCGCGAGGGCCTCCCCCTGGTATTGAAGGGCATCAGTTTCGATATCAAACCTGGGGAAAAGGTGGGGATCGTTGGTCGGACCGGCGCAGGTCAGATCGTTAGTTTTATAAGCAAGTCATTTTCTAAGACTATTTCAGGGAAGAGCTCTCTCCTCCAAGTACTCTTCAGGATGGTCGAGGTCCAATCTGGTCAAGTTGATATTGATGGACGCAACATTCGAGACGTCGGACTTGATACGCTGCGAGGAAGACTTGCTTTGGTCCCGCAAGACTCGGTTTTATTCCTTGGGACCCTCCGGGAAAACTTGTATGTTCAATGCTACCATTGAGGGCCGGCTGCTTAACTGATTTCTTTCCCAGAGACCCACAAAACTCTAAAACGGATACTGAGCTGATATCCGTCCTCCAGCGAGCTTGGCTGTTACCCCGGCCTGGCGAAGCCCCAGACCCAATTGCTGAGGCCAAATTTAGTTTAGACTCTAAAATTGGCGATGAGGGTGTGTTTTCATCTCGTCTGTCTGTACGCATGCTGATGTCTTACCTACAGGCTCAAATTACAGCGCTGGTGAAAAACAACTTCTCGCGCTGTGCCGAGCCCTCGTCAAAAACAGCCCCATCATTATACTTGACGAGGCCACGAGCAGTGTTGATGTCGAGACCGACGCTAAGCTCCAGCGGACAATCCGCACCGAGTTTGCGTCCTCGACGCTCCTTTGCATTGCTCATCGGCTTAATACCATCGGTGAGTTGGGCAGCGTTGTTTTTTATCCCATCAACTGATAAGATCCCCGAAGCTTATTACGATCGTATCTTGGTCATGGACCAGGGCCAAGTTGTGGAGTTTGACACGGTGCTCAATCTGTTTGACAGAGAAGAGTCTATTTTCCGTTCGCTTTGTGACGAAGCCAACCTTTCAAGGGCAGATATTCTTCGGATAAGGGCTGAGGAAGTTAGTCCTTAGCTCGGTTATCAAGGAAGTTAGAGTAAGGTATTGTACGATCATAATGAGTAATGTAGTTCGTAGATACATGCATCGAATTGCTCTGAGAATACAACACTAAGAAACCGAAATCAATGCTAAAGGGCGAAGCCGCCATCAGACTTCGCTGAGTCAGCCGTGGACTGTGGCCTAGGCTCCCTCTCGTAGTCTCTATCTTCGCTACCAGACACCTCTACAAATCTCGAAACGCTGACGCCAGACGTCGGAAAGCGCGTGCTATAGGGACTGGTTGGCGATAGTGGAAGCGCCAGTGGGCCTCTGCTAAACGCGCTGAACCGACGGCGACCCCCCTGAGACTCCGTGGGAGAATAGTCGTCTCTCAGAAGAATAGCATCACTCTGCATGGCGACTCGAAGCAGGATCATGGTAAACGTTATTCCCTAAGCAGTCATATTAGTTTCAGCTTGTTTGTGAGCGTGTCACTTTTGCCCACAATGAGTGAACTCGTCTGCAAATACCAATGAGTGAAAGGGCATTTTTAGTTGAATAAACAATACACACCAAATCCAGGAGGATGAACTGGGTATTCAATCCGAGCTCATATACGACAAACAGAACAAAGAAAGCCGTCGAATAAGTTGCTGCAGATTCCAGGAAAGTGATCTTGTGCAACAATGAGAAACGGGTGACCGGGAAGCATAGAAATTTTTGTACCAATGCCGAATAGACGCGACTTTTTTGGGACAATATGATATCTGGTGGTCGCGACCTCACTTGCGCGCGCAGGACCCGGAATGCGATAAATCCTAGCGAGAGCTGGTCAGCCGAGTTGCTCCACAACGCTGGGTCATATTCACCAGTGCAATAGAGGTTCGCAGCAAGCGAAGAAGCAAAAAAGCCACTTATCCACGGAGAGAGCCCCTGGAAAAATATTCCTCCAGTGCCAAAGCGATTTTCGGCCCACACTGAGCCATAGCCACCGACTATTTTGAGCTGAGCTTTTCGGACAAGTGCGAAAATCGAAAGGAACCAACCTCCTGCCCCCATCCAGCAAAGGATTGGCAAGATGACGAAAACTATTCGACGATCCCCCACAATGTAACAGCGGTATATCTGGCTGTGAAGTCAGCCTAATACTTAACCCGTATAAGCCGACACTTACTAGGAAAAAGTCTCCCGTGAGTGTGAGACTGATGTAGACCGCGGTCTTGGCAGCTTCAAGAGGACTGGACACGTCTTCGTAGTACGCTATGGGACCCTCGCGGTACATGAAGAAGGCAACGATAACTCGGGCGATGTCGATACCCCAGTGCTATGACATGCTGAGGCCACGAATACGACCCAAGGAGAGAACATTTACTGCAACTGAAAGTATCCAGATGAGACAAAGTGTTGGGAGCAACAGCTCGTTCGACGTGTTGATCTGCTTTCTAAAAAGCAACCACAGAGTGACCCCAAACAAAGTGGTAAATATTCCTGGAGGCATTGAATTATGAGAAGGACAGAATTTGACCTCGTCCGCACCGATATTGAAGGTCTCCATGATCAATGCTATAATCTGTTATTCATTAGTGGAGGGAGAGAATGAGGCAGAAGAAAACCCTACGGAGGCCTTGTCTAGCTGAATGTCGATGTTTTTCATCACCACCGCCATGATTCAGAGGAGGGAAAGGGCGGATGTGGGAGGTTCTCCAAAATAATTTTATAACAGCATGCAGTCCTGAGAGGCGTCCGGGCGACCGGTGAATGACGAGGGGGTGGTAGTGTGAGACGCTTGAGCCATGGCTCTCAACCCCGGCTTCTCGGTGAGAGACATTGTGCGACGGAATGCAGTTCCGTCGTGGCGGGCCAATGGGTGATCGCTAAAGGCGAAATAGAGTTGGTCCCGTGAGCCACTTTCGAGCACACGCCCCAAGAACAAACAAGCCACTCACCTAATAAGTCCGAGTCTGAGACCGAAACACTCGCCGTCGGACTACACAGCACAGGCCTTTTGGCGCTAGTTCAGCGTTCAATGGTTGCAAGTGCATCATCTGGACTGATGCCTTCGGAAGGCTGATCGTATCATAGATTGAGGTGTGATCCGACAGAGTTCCGACAGAGTTCAAGTAAAATTCCTTCTAAAATTATTGTCCCTTGCAAGGAATCATCTACTGAGATCGGCCGATGCCTCTTTCGCAGCAGCGTCCAACTCTTCGAAGTACCCGCTCTTCCGACACATTTCCCGGAAAATCCCACCCTCTTTCCGAATCAGGACATGTGGTGTGTCGAACTCTACTATCCTGCCCTTGTCGAGGACCAGCAGTCTGTCGTAGTCAATTATGGTTTTGAGCCGATGGGCAACTAGTGTACGGTGAGCGTCACATGGAAGAGAAGAACAAAATGCACTTGTAAGAAGTAACGACTGCGTGAATTCTTCACGAATGGTCATCTGGATTTTGCCATCGGTCTATCGGTTTCGGGTCAGCGTCTCGGAGTCTCCGAAATGCCAAGCGGGTACCTCGAAGTCGACACTGCTTGTCGCCTCATCCAGCAAAACGATTGCACTCTTCCTCAGTAATGCTCGTGCCATCGCAATAAGCTGTCGCTGCCCCTGCGAGAAGTTTGTCCCGCCAACCGAAATGGGAGTGTCAAGGGACAGGTGTACTTTGGAATCCTCCTCTGTTGTCGCTGTGCTGAATGCCGGATGCTCACCAGTAGCAACTCCATGAATAGGTTGAGAGGATGCTGTTGTAAGGTGGACACGGTGAAGAACCTCCTGACAAGCTGCATCCGTATGCTCGCCTATAACGAGAAAACGCTGTGAGTCTATTTATAGAGCTAGCACAATCCAACACACCGAAAGGATCGAGGTTCTCTCTGAGGCTTCCTGAAAAGAGTGCTGCATCTTGAGGAATGTATGTCTACTTAGCAATCAGTTCCATTCCGACGGATGCACTCAGCATTCGTACCAATCTAGACCGCAAATCCTCTACTCCGATCTTGGTGATATCGATGCCTGTTCGGTCACGGTGTGAGCTCCCAAGTACATTGCCGCAAGATCACATGACATGCCGTCGATGATGATGCGTCCGCTGGAAGGGTCCGTCTACAAGATATTAAGACAACACCTCGAGATCTGATCGTACGCACGAAACGAAGGATGCTCATGGCAAGTGTAGATTTTCCGCTGCCAGTCCTCCCCAGAATGCCGATGCGTTCACCAGCTCTCAGACAAAACGACGCGTCTTTGATAACCGCAGGAAGGTCTGGTGCATACTTGACAGTCAGGTTGTCGGCAATTAGGAGAGCATCATTGCCGGTGGTTGAGGGCCAATACGCTGGCGGACGGCTTGATTCTATGATCGCAGGTGGCTCTTGGGGCAGTTCTAGATATTCCGAGACTCTTTCTACGGAGCTTTAGACCATGTCAATTCGCTGAAACAGAAAAGTGATATGGAGTACTTCAAGTCTACAAACCATTGATTTAAGATTTTTTACGATGGCGAACACTGACCTAGCTCGAGCTGAGTCCAGAAGTAACAGGTCCAGAAGACTGATGATGTAATATTGAGGGCAGACTGAAAGATATGTAAGAGTCGCAAGGAGAGGTGGGCAGACGAACCGTGATCGCCAAACCAGTAAGACCCGCATCGCGCGATAAATAATGTATGGAGAATAGCGCAGCCAGGAGAACCGCCTATCCATATCATTGAGTTGACCAAAAAATAACGGTGTTGACATCGAGCTGACCAAACTGCCCAAGAAGTCAAAATTGAGCTGGAGCCATGCGTTTGTCATCCTGCTCTTCCGGTAAGTAGAAGACATAGAAGAAGCTCAATGCAGACCAGAAAGTGTACCACATCTTTGTAGTCATGTCAATCCGATTGTGGATATTGTCAAGAAATCTTTTCTCGGCACCAAACGCTGATCGATGTTGGAGACACTCATAATAATTCCAAACGAGTTGACAATACCTCTGATGGTAACCAAGCCCTGTAAGACCTCTGCAAAATCAGAGAATATGGGGGAACGAGAATTGGATTCCATTCGACGGAGATCGCGTCCGGTTGAAAGGTAGCCAACAGCGAGGTGATAGTAACAATATCCAATAAAGAGAGCGCTGTCCGCAGATAATGAGCACGGTTTTCGCAACAAAAAAGGTATATTCACGGGAATATGAATGTTGGAGCCACGAAACTGAGTGATCAACACGGTAAGGACAACAAATTTGGGTGAATGATGAAGTCTCACGTGATCGTGATGAAGGCAGCGAGAAAAGTGCCCAGATATTGGTTGACTCGTTGAAGTGCAGTAGCGATGGATAAATCTATAGTTTCCATGTCTTTCCCGCTAAAAAAAAGTGTGGGCAGCAGCGAGGATAAGAACAGGACCGTTACAACTGACAAGCGATTAAGAAGTCTGCCTTGCGGAGTTGTATCATGAAAGCTACCAACTGGTGAGAATGAACTGATTTAAGTGCTGAGATTGACTTACCGAAATGGCGCGCGAACTATACCGACGACCAACGCATTGAAAAAGGTTTGGCCAGCTCGATATGCACCAGTCATCTGAGCTGCAGATGAGATGACAGTGACGAGGACAGTCACCAAGCCGATGGCGGAGTATATGCTGATGTAGAAAAGGGGATGCTCTTGCGCAGTAGGCCATCGGAAGCTGGACGAATCTCCGTTTGGCAGCGCTGTTTCGACCTCGAGTGCGCTGTCCTGGTAGGCTTCGCCCCAGATCTACGACATTTCAGTTGAACAAATCATCGAAATGCAATCGCAACCTTAATCCACAACTAGACTGCATCAGTTTTATGTAGAGGGCAACAGGAAGACAGCGCACCTTCTCTGCGACACCTAGTAACTGTAAGCCAACGACCGAAAGGACCATGAAACCCCATATCCAATACGACATGGCTTGTAGATATCGTTTATAGACTTGGCGCTTTACACCTCCAGTCGCACGGTGCTCGTCCTCGATGAACTTTCGAGGGACCTTCTTCGGACCGCCATCTGAATTGTAGTTGCTTCCCATTGCTGCACTGGTTTCCTGTTCTTCGACGACACCTTCCCGCTCAGCCTCAACCGCGGCGTCATGCGTAATTTGATCGAGCTTCCTCTGCGCTCGCAACTCAGAAACTGACCCCTGCGTCTCGATTTGGCCATTGGACATTCGGACCAAATAGTTAGCAGCGGGGAGAACAAGCTTGACGTGATGAGTGACCAGCACAACCGTCCTATGGGCCAAAATAGGACCGCAAAGGCATTTCTCGTATAAGACACGGGATGTATGGCTGTCCTGTTTACAGACTTCAGAATGAGCCGTTTACCATAACCGATGACGACATACCACAGCGCTCAAGGGGTCATCCAGAAGCACATATCGAGTCTTAGCATACACTGCACGTGCGAGGGCAACTCTGTGAGGTCGATGATCAACAGAATAACACTGCAATAACAAACGGCTTACCTTGCTTTTTGTCCGCCCGACAGACTGACGCCTTTTTCGCCAATTTCTGTATCATCTCTGTCTTCGAGCAGGTCGAGGTCTGGATGTAGCGCACAACAGTCGATGACCGCGTTGTATCGCTTTTCGTCGTAGGGATAACCGAATAGAATATTGTCTTTGATTGACTGGGGCTTTTATAAGCGATATACGATGATAATGGGGGGATAAAATTACTTGATGACGAAGCCACGGAGATTGTGCGGCGTATGAAAAGCCATACACATGCCCCCAGTCGTCGATTTTGTTGGGATTTTTCGACATCATCAAACGGCCACCGGGAAGGGCAGTCATTTCACCCAATAAGGCCATAAGTAATGCAGTCTTTCCACTGGAATATATGTTAGCAGAGTAAGTCACAGTTGGGATATTTACCTTGCAGTCGGACCAGTTACCACAGTAATTTTTCCCTCCGGAAATGACACTGATAGATTTCTGAGTTCGAATTGGCGTTCTGAAATCCCATCAATGGTAAAATTGGAGTCTGTTTCTGAGTTGGTGGTCTCGACATTCTGGTCTCGCGTGTTTTCGTTCCACTTGAACGAGGAATTATCGAAGCCAAGCCCACGAGCCCAAGCCGATTCCTGGAGTGGGGTTGAGCGAACGTTCTTGAGCTCTACCTCCGGTTCGTTTAGGAAAGCGTCGATGCGGTCGACAGAGAGCCGCGTTTGTAAAATCTGGACGACAAAAGTAGGAATTACTGTGATGCAATTCAGTCAAACTTTGAGCAGACTCCAAAGTTATCAACCTACTGTTCAGGGGCTGCCGAATCATCCCAAACAAAGCAATCGCCGTGAAGGCTTTTCCCACCGTTAATTCATTGCCTAACAGGACGAAAGTCGTGAACGAAATGACAGAAACCAAGATCGGTGTAAGTGTCCATAGGCTATGTTTTGATCAGAGAAGGGGATTGAGATAGTGCTGGAGCTGACCCAAGGAACCCGATCCCATTGACCCGCGCCTGAACAAGCCATCCCAGTTCGATGTTACGAGCAGCAAACACACGATCCACCCATCGTTTTTCCCACGCAAAGAACTTGACGAACTTAATAGCACTGATGAGCTCCGTCACAGACGCCATTCGGGCATCGCGAGCTTTGAGCATGCCTTTCTGAATGCGTTCGTTGTTTCGCGTGAAAGCGCTATTCAAAGGCGAGCCAAGTATGAGAGCAACGAAGCCCGTGAACGCGGAAAACCCAAGGAGTTGATACAGCATGATGAAGCCGACGAGTATCTCCATCGGCGCACCGTAAATCATGTACCAGTTGATGACTTGAGTGGAGATTCGGGTGGCGTCGCTTGACATGAGGTTGACGATCTTGCCGGTGTCTGCGCCAGGACTCGATTGCTCTTGTTTGTCGTTGGAGACTGCACCACTGAGGTCAACTCGCCTAAGGGCCTTATCATAAATGGCAGCCATGAGTTCGGAGCGCAGGCGAGTGCCTGCGCGGCGCCCGAACCAAAAATGGTTGAGATCACATTGGGACTGTGGCACGATTAACAATATGCAATGACTGGGAGACGAAAGACTTGTTCCTTGACAACGGAAGCAACAAACATGAGAACGGCGTAGAGGTAGACAACTTGCTTGTTACTTTGAGATTCAAATGCGTCAAGAATACGCCTATTGCGTTGCATATCAGTGCGACTGACGATTGATGGAAACAACTCACTTGAGGAAAAATGGACCAGCGTAACTGAGTATGACGCTCAGCAAGGTCAACAGAAAGTCCATGCTAGAACTCTGTCAATTGAAATGGTGAGGGCTGACGAGCTGGATCACCTCATATCGAACGAGTTGGCAGCCCATAATCGACCAAGCAACGACTTCTGACTGGGTCAAGTCAGAAAAAAGAAACAAAATATCGAAGAATACAAACGGAAGAGCACTGAATGCTAGAAACAGTGGATGACTACTGAAAGTCGGCGAAAGATTCCACACATCCGACTCGTTGATAGTCACCCGAAGACCGCGCTGTATTATTGGGTAGATCCAGGAGAAGGTGACCCAGCGCCAAAGTGACGTGTAGTCTTCGGGTGAGATACTCCGGCCTATCTCGTCTCTTCTGGTAGATTTAGAAGGTATAGCCATAGGCATTCGCACGATAGTAACCAGCAGGACAGTTATGCAGCTCAAGTTGACGAGAGTTAACCATCCGTTGGCCTGCAATAAGCCTCCACAGAAATGGATAACATAGAGTGCAAGAAGACGATAAGGTGGCGTTGCTGTGGCTTGCATGGTTGAGAAAGTAAAGGCATAGAGCCATGTCGTGGAAATGAGGAAATGGTGGATGGCGCGCCAGCCAAGCTGCTCAAGCCCCACACTAAATGCTCCACTTGCCAGCCAAGCCACACACTCGAGCAGAGCGATTGACGAGAGCACCAAATGTTGCCAGGGAGGTGTCCGACTATCAATTTCGATGTCCTCTTCAACCCCTTGAGCCAGATCCTCCGCCTGAGCCAGAGCCTCCGCCTCAGGAAGTGGAAGGAATGGCGTAAACTGACGCTTCAGCGCCAAAAGACTAGGTCGCAACTGTTGGGGGACAGGAAAGGTGAATTGTGTGGCCAAGGTGACCAAAACAAACACGCTCGGGATGATAGCTGCCCAGGAGGAACGCACACACGCATTCGATAGGTCGAAAATGTCGAAGTCTGGACAGAGTGCCATGACGCGCGTCTTTCAGTCGAACAACATCCCACACGGCTAAAAAGTCCCGTCCGGCGTCAAGTCGCTATAGCATTGTCATTAGATCGGGGTGTCGGTATCGCTCAGTCCCGACCCACATATGGCCTCTAGGAAAATGCTGGCATCATGCATTTGGTTCGTGTCGGGCGCCGTCATGTTTGACTGCAAGTCGACATCTTCGACTTCCGCTAACTCAGCGAAGCCTATGAAAGTTGAGGGTGCCGAGTTGTTGCTCTTCCCACAGTTGGTCGAGAAGATAGTTTGGGAGCAAACTAGGAGCCTGGCCACGTGCTGGTTTGGTACTTGGCATCCGGATCTTTTTCATCACAACCATCATCACTGGGTGATTCGCAATCGATGGCGACGTGCGTGGAGAGCCTCGTTGGCCGCTGTTTGAAAATAACCGGGCCGCCGGCTGTGTACTGATTTGGGTTTCCCTTCTTCCAGGTCAACTGTCCCTCCAGTTTCCCTTGTTGAGCTCAACAAGCCCGCAAGTACCCACGAGAAAAACGTCGAAAAAGACGAACTTGTGGACGAGGATAACAACGAGGACAAAGCCACCAACAAACAGGAGAAAGAGCAAACCGTCAAAGAAAAAGGAGCAGAACAGATGTCCCATCGAGCCAACTTTGACGGTCAACAGGCGCAACAAGCGTCCTCGCCAGCTCCGCCAGCAGCAACTGCGACCCCGCCGCCTGCGCCGCCCCCGCATCAACACTACCCGTATCCACCAGGCCCGTATCTATACCCACCCTCACCCTTTGGGCCGCCTTATGGCCACCCGCACCCTCATGACGACAGAAACCCGCCCCCTCCTCCTGGCCATTACGACCCGGCTCATGGCTACGCGCCAATGCCCTACCCTCTGCCTGGTGGCGTACAGTCGTACATGCCCTATCCGATACAATTAATGGGCCATCAACCTCATGCCCAACCACCCCCGGCCCCCGTCCTTGATCCAGCGAACTATTCGTACACAGACGATGCAGGGACAAAGCTATCCGACAAAATCAGACGCAAATGTTTCAATTGTGCGTTACCTTGTCTTTTTTCGTCAGACCTTTGACCTTGTTCAGGCTGTACAACTGAGACGAGCACCTGGAGACGAAGCAATCTGAATGCTGGAAAAGTGGTCCGTGGTGTCTATTTTTTGTCTATAAGCTACGACTTATTCTGCTCAAAAAGCTCTGCAACAAATGTGGCTTGTTTGAGCGAACCCATAACCGTTCGCGACCCGAAGCGTTCCCCCACAAGAGAGCTCCCATTACTGGAGCCACGTCGAGGCTTCAGGTCTGTTTTCTCGTTGCAATTTCCTTCGCTTGTTGACACAGTTCCTAGCCATACCCTCCATCCAACCCTCGTCCCGCTGCATCCGCTTCCGAGTCGGCTCCCTTATCCACTCCTGCCCACCCAAATTCCTCTACGCCAGCTGCAGAACAGCCTGTTCCTGTTACAACTCAATCCTACCAACCCCCGGTAGTACCAACTGCACCACCAATTTACCAAGTCCCGCCACCATTGCCAGGTCCTCATTCAGCAGCCGCTGAGCAGGGACAACAGGCTGAAGTAGGTGGCCCAGTCTACCTTCCATCGATCACCGCCCTCGTTTCGCAACATTCCACTCCGAACGGACAAGCCAAGACGGGAGAAGACACTCCTAAGAAGGCGCGTGGTCGACCCAAAGGGTCTCCGAACAAAGACAAGAAAGCAACCCCTCCAAAGGTCGTTTACAGAGAAGACCCCGTGGATTCCCCCGAAGAGAGGGTTGATGGTGACGATGGTGAATGGAATGGGCGAGATTAACTATTTTTTTTTCATATCCTTCATGCGATACCTTGACTCTAAATGTGCTACTTATGCAAATTACTGATCTATATTGTACCCTTACTGAACTCCGATTCATGACGGATGCATATGTCTACTCTTGGCCCTCAATGTCGTGCCCCAGCGCAGAAATATAAACGGAATTGGCGCAAGTAGACTGGCCAAACCGGCCAGCAAGCATGTTGCGCCTTGCACTGTCATCCCTCGATACATTTGAAGGGCGAACAACGGGAAGACGCTCCCAACGAGAGCACGACTGGCCATCCCAGCTGCGAGAGCACTCGCAGCAGTGAGTGTGTAGCAGTCGACGAGAAATGGGACCTAAACACAGAATTTGAGTCTGGTGTCTACGGCTGGACGCTGATGCTCACAAATCCGGTGAATATGAGGAGCATGCTGCAGGAGAAGAGGAACTCGGCAATGCAGGGAGCTATCCAGTGAACGTGCTTGAATGGCGCAGTCCATGCGAAGATAAACAGAGAACTGTGTAAGGTTTGGCGGTATTCAAGGTCCCAGAGTAATCTTACATCGGACTGACGATGGCGCCATAATACCCCAACGAGAGCCTCGCTTCAGGGCGGACAAGTTCTCCACGAGCTAGATCCTTGCGTGCACTTCGTTCATATAGCGATTCTAAGATCATGGAAACTCGTGGCTTGGACTTGTGCAAAACAAAACTCACGACCAGCCGTCCATAACAGAACGCAACCACAACAAAATCCAAGGCCAAGAGCAATATATGTCAACCCGTACTGTGTCGCCGAAAATCCTCGTATGTCCCGGTAGACAATGCCAAATGCTTCGAAGAAGCCGTAGAGGATGCCATATAATGTGCTGAGGTAAATAGAAACCAGTGCGACCACGGGTTCTGCGAATGGATTAGTGTTAAATCATCTCGGTTTGGTGTCGCATATACCTGTGAAGAGGTAGATGATGGGCCGAGCAAGGGCACGTTTGAACAGGGTTATTTGAGCTCTGAACGGGATACGTGGCGAAGAGGATCCTAGTCGTCGTTGTTCTCGCCATTGTAGAAGTGTCGGTCCATGGGTTTCCGGGACAAGAGCGACCAGGATACTGATGACGCAAGAGAAGATGGCCATGACAAGCAGATTCCATCTGACAAAGCAGTCAAGGGGTGTATTAGGCGACTTCATACTAGTACTCCGCACCGGAAACCTGCGTTGTGCTGAATGAAAGCCGACACTAGCGGTCCCAATGAGGGCCCGCCGAACGCCATAAGAGCGTCTAAGCTTAATCAGTAGCTAGCACCACAGAGGGATTTCTTTTCATACAAAAAGTTGTGTATGTCAACCTTTGCTGGGTATTAGTGATGTCGCCGATACTCGCTGGGCAATTATTTATGGACGCAGATCCAAAGAACCCAACGAAGAAGCGGAAGACGAGAAGGCTAGCTGCATTCGAGGAGAAGGCCATACCAAAGCTGAAACCTATTCCCCCCTCAATAAACCATAACGGGCATTTGTAAATTCAGCGTACCGCTATAGCCAACAGCACATAACCTATAAACGGCCTGTCGGCCATATATTTCGGAGGCGGGTCCGAAAAGAAGGGGACCAGCAGCAAAACCGAGTCTGAAATACCATTGAGTTCGCGTTACAGTGCAAATTGAGGCAGTTACACGGTGAAAGTGACGCCAATCAACGCGACTGTAAAGCGTTAAGAAATGCTGAGAGGACAAAACGCGGTCCAACCTTCTTCAGAGATGCCAAAGCGGTTTATGAGAGCGGGGATACTAGCGACCTGTAGGCAGATTGTCAATTGCATCATGAAGTTGGAAAAAAAAGTGCGCGAACGTAGGCAGTCGAGGAGTATGTCAGGGTGAGAACCCAAGTGCATAAGATGGAATTGACGGTCTGGTAATTATATCAACTTGCGCGGAGTGCTCAACAGGTCCCTCTTACAATTTTGCGTAGACTGCTCCAATTTCGAGGGTTTTCGGGATCATCTGCCGCCAGCGTTGCCGGTAACCGTGGGTTTAGGTCCTCTACTTTGCCCTTTTCTGTCGTATCCTTGGACGAAAACGCGCTTTCTTCGATCAAGGTGGCTGAACGACGCGCTTGGCCTTCTAAATCGAGGTCTCCAGCCAGATCAAGTGTCTCTCGACTTGTTGTGAGGTTCAAGTTGTGCATTGTGCCAGGGGAAAGGGACAGCAAAGGAAGGTATGCTATCTCTCCGCTTTAAGAGGACGCGGCATTGATTTGCTGCTCATCTTTGGACCGGTTCATGCTTTCGGTTAACCGAAAGGGTTGCAATGATTATTGATACTCCGGGAAAATATGGACGATTGGATGCGTAAAGCGCTGTTTTCGAGGTCCCTTGTTGCAGGGATTAGTGTGCCATTGGAAGCAGGGGCATATAAGTCGTCTGCGGTAAAATTACAAGCTGTTTCCGTGCAACTTAGGTTCGAGAGACGGAAGAAGATTGACGCTAATAGGTCAGGCTGACCAATGGCCGATGTGTGACCCGTGACACCAAACAAGCGTTGTCATTGTACGGCGACGGGCCTTGGTCTCTCAAACTTCAACTTGGTACTGGACAGATGGATTGCGTACAAGCGCAGATAGAACTCCAACCTTATCGAGATTCCCAATGATAGTGTCAGGTGATCGCGTTTCGGCAACACTCAGTTGCCTCTCAAGAGTCAATTTCATCGAAATGGCTACATAATAAAATACAGTTTATAGTACAATACTTTCGGCTTTATGGTAACATCGAAAGTTCCTGTGAAGGCCCTTTAAAGCTCGCCGCTGGCTTTCGTCTTGATGTTCTCCTTGCCCTTCTTCACATCTGCCTTGGCTTGCTTTGCGTCCGCTTTCAAGTCATCCTTCGTCTTCTCTCCTTCACCCTTCAAAATCTCCAATACGCTGCTCAGCTTGTCTTCGGCTGCTCCAATGCCTGAATTCACGATCTCCCGAATGCGCTCGAAGGTGGTCATGGTTTGCACCCAGCGAATACGAGTCTCCTCTGCGAAGACAAATGAGAGATGGGAATTATGAGAAGAAAAGACATACGTAAGAGTCCAGGACGAGAAGTTGGTAGAGCAGACTCGTCAATACCGTGATTACGAAGATAGGCACGGAGTCTGGCGTCTGGCCAGGTGAGATAAGATGCGGTGAGACCAGCAGCATCGTCGTATTTCTTTTGCATGAGCTTGATCAATTCGTCACGTTTGGCGGGAATGGTATTTTCTCCATGCTCCACAAGCCATTCGCGCATTTGACTATCGCTCCAGGCCTCCCATAGTGTGTCTTGTGCGTTCACGTAGTTGTCTTGGATAAGTTTAACGAGTTTGTCACGTTTAGCCTGAGCATCGCTCTTGATGACACCATGGGCAACAAGCCACGCCTTCATATCGCTGTCGGACCAGGTACTCCAAACACTGTCGTTCACGTCGTAGTAATACTGAGACATTTTCGCTTGCAGGACTTCTGTAGTCGATGGCGGAGAGCCAGGTGCGACTATGTCGTGAGCTACCAGCCATTCGCGCTACAAACAATAAGCACGAAGAATTAAACTACACCCGTAGCTCACCATATAGGAATCTGACCACGCCTTCCAGACGGGGTCGGTAAAGCGGGCATAAACATCGCGCATCATCGTCAATAACTCGACGCGCTTTTTCTCAGCGGCGTCGCGCGCAAGAGCACCCTTCTCTGAAGAGGGGGAGAAAACATGAGCTGGTGATATACGAGTCACAAGGCAACTCACCAACGAGATAGTCTCGAAGTCGGTTGTCTTCCCAAGTCGAATATACATAATCTTTCGTGTCATCCATCTGGCGCGCAGCCTCACGTGTTGCTTGAGCGACCACACTCGAGACGGTTTTCGACATTTGATATCGCGTATCACCATAAACGGCCGTACTTGCCTGAGCACCCAGGCTGGATGCTGCTTTGGTATACGCCGCGTATTGACTCTTCGCAAGGAGAACAAGTTGTTCTCTGGGACCGCTGGGTGCAACAACACCCTGCTGAAGAAGAAAGTCACGGAGACGAGACTCATCCCATGCGTCAAACGAAGAATCACGAAGGTCGGCGAAAGATTTCTGTGCGTTGGTATATTGTTCGTGGGTCCAGGCAGTGGCTGCGTTCCAGTTGGCTTGGACAAGGGCTTGGAGTTGTTCTTGAGAGAAAGAAGCATCGGGAACGTTGATGTTGTGTTCCCCGAGCCATTTCTTCAGCTCAGTCGTCGACCACGAAGAGTACGCTGTGGCATGTAAGGGAAAAGCGAATGCTGTCAATGTATGGAGGGCACACACCTGGTGGATCGTCTGAGCCAAACCACGATGTCGCAGAGGCACCAGCAGCAAGATAAAACACGAAAAGTGAGGGTTTCATGGTTGTTTGAGAAGAACGAGCACCACCAAGTGACTTTAAATATGCCACCACTGTGATGTCATGGGTGATGCAAATTTGCGCGACTCCTTTCAACTTGGAGCCTGTCAGCACCAAACCGCACTAATGACGCTGGAATGGGCGAATGCATGCGTGAACAAGTCGTGAACTTCACAAGTCCATGATGGCGGAGGAAGATGTGAATTTCCTGATTCGGATGCCTTGATCGTCGTGTCACGCCGCGTTTGTCAGCTGTCAAAATTTTATGGTTTCGAGCCTCGCTGCTCAGCTCGCCAAGGGCGCGTCCCTCAACACCAATGCTCTCGTTGAAGGCTCGCGAAGGAAGGCAACCGAGTCATACCTCTTCACGGGCCGCGATGCCGACCAGCATGATCTCGACACTCTTCATGCACTCAGTTTCAATGCCTTTCGCCAACTTCGCTCATTGAGCCCGAGCCTCCATGAATACGAGGGCCAACTATTTTCGGACGCTGCAAGAGCGACTGACAGGACGTTGTTGACGCAGGACGAGGTCGCTCGGTTGGATACTACAATCGACTCGCTGCTACCACTACTTGGGCCATATCTACCAGAAGGTCCAACAGGAAAGGTACTGGAGTGGTTAGTACGACGATTCAGGTGCGTTGACACCTGATACTGGGTTACCCATGCTCAACATTAACAGAATAAATGAGTTCAATGTCGACGGTGTCCTGGCACTTTTCCTGCCATACCACGAATCCCCGCATTTCGCCAAGATGCTGTCGATTCTCCATATCAAGTGCGGCTTTGAAATGAATGCTCAAACCCAATGACTTATCCATCCACAGACCCAATTCCATGTGGTCATTTCTCATTCCCTTTCAATCTGCTGCACAACCTGTCCCGCGCCCACCGCTGGTCACGGAGCTGCTGAAGCGTGAAAACTCGGATGCAAGGAGATTCATCATTGGGCTCCTACCAACTGCTATCAAGCGAAATTACGTGCACCACACCCTTCTTGCTTTCAACGCAGCCACCCTTCACGACTACCTTGTTCGTGGCAAATCAGTCGACGAGGGCACTCTCGCACACCTTCTCCCGGCTCTTATAGAGCCGCTACAAAACCGCACAGATGCAGTGGGACGAGATGCCATCGTATGTCCATTCGCGGACGCTGCCCCGCGAATACTGACTGCATCTTTTAGCTCGGCAGCTACATCCTACTCTCCGCTCTATCGCAAACTTGTAAACTTCAGCCTCAGGCCCTTAGGACTATTGTTCATCTAATGAGCAACTGCGCGCGGCGTGTCGAGACTAAACAATTCGTCAATGCTGTCATCTCTGTCTGCGATGCCCAAGACCAGCTCGACACCTTCAACGAGACGACATGCAAGAATGTATTAAAACTTCCGTATGATTTTTTGGTTCAGATCCACAATAAAGAAATTAAAATGACGCTGTAGGAACATTGACGAAGAGTTGCGAATCGCTGAGAAGTGGGCTGGTATCGACAAATTCTACAACCCCTTGATTTCAATCGCATGTACTCGACTCGAGGCAGACGAATCCGCCTACTCCGTCCTGGAATGCATCGTCGGCTCCCCGACAGTCCCCACAACTAGTGTTGGTCACCTAACGGCTCTTCTCTTGGGAAAAGCCGTCGAGTCAACGGAATCAAGCATTCCCGTTCGTCGCCTGCTATCTCATATCGCACAAATACACCCGGATACTCTCAAAGCGATCGCTGATGCTCAAGACGACCAAGAACAAATTGACAATCTAATCCTGACACTGTCGGCCCCTCAAACTTCAGCATTGCTCCAAAGCGACGAAGGAAATGTTGTGGACTCACTGAGTGCTGACGAGCGTGTTCGTGCCGCTGCCGTAAAGGAGCTGCTCAAGACTGCGAAGTCAAAAGAACTGGAAGATCCTGACCTCGTATGTTTTTGTTTTGTTTTTTGAGCAGCATACAAATTCTCATCCTGATAAACAGAACTCCCTCTACGCTGCTCTACTTACCCGTGTTCAAGACAATAGTCAGACCGTTCTGAAAGCACTTTACGCCGATGAAGGGGTTGATAGTGTCATGGTTCGCGCCGCCTTGTCAGATCCACAAAGTTACATCACCAATCTTGCTCTCGCTTTGCAAGGGAAGCCAAAGCGCCAGACTCTGCAGTTACAGATGCGCTTGCTCAGCTTAGTCACGCCGCGCTATGGGGCTCCGTTTCAGGAGGATATCTTCCATCGACTCGTGTTCCCGTTCCTGCTGTTTTCCAAAACGAGACAACATTCTGCGGAGGTTGTGTGGTCTTCGACAGCTAATGCGTTCGAACTGCTGAAGGGTTGTGACGCAGTCAAGCAGCGGGCTCAGGAAGCCGAAACAGGTCAGGACAACAAGATGGAGCGGATAAATCAGGCCATCGCAATCAAGCTCGCAGGTTTGTTCCGATCCTGCTATCTACTTCGCGCTGATGTTCTCTCTCAGAAAACATCATCGCTTCCAATCATTTCAGCACTCACCTCAATGCGCTCACCAGGAAACTTCAAGACTCTGATCCACACGTTCGCGTTCTTGCATATCTGATCGTTCGGGAATTGCTTCCACGTTTGGAGGGTAAACACCAAATAGACGCGGCTAACCAGGTGATAGAGGCCATCAATGTGCAGAAACTCCCCGAACTTGATGAGTCCAAGCTTCAGGGTCAGAGTATTGAAGAGGTTTGATGTCTTTATTACGATTGGCAACTCAATTCTAACTGTTGTAGTATTTGAGCGACGCAAACTTGCACCGCATGGCTGTCCACAAAACCACCAGCAAAACTACCACACATTGGTTACAGGTTTCTGCTCTTGCTCTTATACCGACTATCTCGCGACCGGCGGATCAAACCATTGACTGGTTCGCGGAAGATGCAGACACCGTATGTGCTCGATAATTTTCTTTCTCTATCTTACGAGTAAACCGTGAAGCTTCCCGCCCTCTACGTGAAACTGCAAAGAGTTGTATACAAAGCCACCAGTTCGACATCTCGTCTTCCTCACGTGACCATTGGCCTGTTGTCTTTACTTTTCGTCCATCTCAAAGATGATGCTCTTGCATTCCTCGCTGGCCTCTGTGTCACTGACCGCGACGTCGATGGCGCCATCTCTGTCGTTGCTTTGCGACACGCTTTGGCATTCCTCCAGGCACACAAGGCGGAGTCGGATGGTGTTGATTTCCAGACGATAGTCCCTGCGCTTATCGTGTGTCTTCAACATCCTGTCGCTGCTGTGCGAATAGCCACGCTTGACTGTGTCGAAATCTTGAATGGACTGGCAGAGAACAAGTTCTCGACTGTATATGCGTTTGACGTCATTTACGGGACTGAGAGTGAAGGTTCTTCATTTGACTTTTCTTTGTAACGAGAGCTCAAGCTGACGGATTTCAACAGCGCAGTTACAATATCTGTCGCAGGCCGACCTCAAACGATATCTGGCCGCTCTCGTGGATCACAAAGACCACATTATGCTTGATGCTGGTTTTGTCCAGGTATTCCATAGCCAACACCTAAAGCGGTCGACCGCGGATAAAAGGAAGGAAATTGAGTCAGTTGTCTCGTTTTGCGTTTCTCTATTCTCTAACTGGTGTTCTGCAGGTACAAGCAGCGCATCTTGTGCTATCTCTTGTCTCACGTTTCTGTGCTTGGTCTTCTCTCCATGAGAATCTCGCTTCTAGAGTCGTTGCGCGATGTGTCCGACAGCGCCAGAACCGAAGTAATTGCTGAATTATTGGCATCATTGGGCGACGGCGGTGTTGCAATTCCAGTTGGCACTCCAATGGAACGATTTGCTGCTCTAGCGTTATCGTCTTTCGATGCGTCCGCTGCGTCGAACTTGAACGACACCAAATCAACGCTTTGGGACATCTTTGTATCGGCGCTTAAGAGACATCTTCAATCGGGTATGTACCACTACAGCACGATATAGCAACCTATCTCATTTCTAACCAACAGATGGCTATTCTCCAGCCTGTCGAACCATGCTTCTCGCGGGTCTGGAACGCAACCTGCTTGCCAGTCTCTCGATTGATCGAAAACTTGTTGTTTGCACTTTATTGCTTGATGCTGGCATCGCCGATACGGACATGGTATGTGTGAAACTAAAACCGGACTGGACAATCTCATCTGATAGCGTACCAGTATCTCCCTTCCAAGAGAGTCCTTGCGATTGCTTTCAGCGATATATCTCTGGTTCATCGACTTTTGACTTCGATCAAACCTAATGCGGCCTCAAGTCCCAGAGCCAGTAAACGTGTTAAGCTGACAGAGTCTGTCTCCCATTGGCATCTTACGTCACCAATGCTGACTGCTTTCCAGGCCGTCTGATGATCCATTGCCTCGTCTCAGTCTCTTGGCGGAAGTTCTTGCTGGTATATCGCTCCCTGGCTCAATCGAACTTGTCTCGCGACTGCTTGAGACGCTGCATAGCATTGTCCAATCTCCTGCGGAGACAGATATCGACATAAGCTACATTGAACAGTCCCTTATGTCCGCTGTCGAACATGTCGCAGATAAAATCACGGTAGGAGTCAATTTTCACAATACGCAGACCTTTGGGCTCAAGATTGACAGGAAATACCCAATCTTTCTCCAGGCACCATACATCTAGATATACTGGTGGAGCTTATCCGCGGTAGGTGCCTTCCATTACTTGCACTAGACTGACTAGGCAAACAGTGGCGGACAATCCCCAAACGTTCAATCAAGCTTTGCTGTTGATGGCGACGCTCGCACGGCTGGCACCAGACTCGGTTCTTCACAATGTCATGCCGGTGTTCACATTCATGGGCTCAAATGTCTTTCACCGCGATGATTCGTATAGTTTCAAAGTTGTGCAAAAGGTTGATTTGGCGTTTTCTTTTCCTTCGTTGTACTGATTGCCTTACTAGACTATTGACAGCATTGTTCCAGTCATGGTGTCCTCACTGAAGCAGTCGTATTCCGCTCGCCTGGATCTATATATCGCCTCACGTGACTTCCTTCGGGTGTTTACGGATGCCTCAAACCATATTCCGCGACATCGACGAACACAGTATGGCGCCTTCTCCTCTGACTCAATTTCCATTCATATTCTGCAGTTTCTTTGGACATCTTGTTGATGTCCTGGGTCCCGTCGACTTCCTTGCGCCGTTATGCATGCTTCTAACCGATAAATCAGCAAACCGCATCGCTCGTCAAAGTCCTGATGAGACGCAAAATCTATTGTCTTTACCGATATCCGTTCTCCATCGACATCCTGCGACTGTGCAGACGTTTGTATGTTCTGCGCCAACACTTCTTTGCTTCACCACTAATTGGCTGTGGCAGGTACTGACCGAGATATTACGTGAAGCACAGCGACTGGTTGCGCGATCTCTCGACTCGGAAAACCTAGAACCTTGTGTACTGGACACAACATTGTAGGTTACGAGTCAAATACTCACCATGTTCTAACTATTCATTTAGGGACGATGAACAGCAACAACCAAGCGCCACAGTGTTTAGAAAAAGGGCTCATGCGCTTGTAGTACTTGCTGGACATGCAGTCAAGACACTTACCTCGGACGTTGAAGGCCTCGTGGATGGTACAATCAGCAATCTAGTGTCGCTCCTTATAGCGTTGTCGGCGACTGGGGGCGTTGAAGAAATTACATCAGCAGCCCGTATGACACTCAAAAAGGCACTGTCCTGTATGCCGGTGGCAGATTTCGTTGATGCGGTTCTCTCCATCTTGAAATCGCAAGAAAGCGAGGTATGTCCATCACGCGATGGGTGTTGTGGCCTGCTTAGCTTTCTCGCTAGGTGCAAATCGGCGTACTTGTGCTATTTAGCGAACGCCTCGATCAAGTAGCAAAGGGCGCCCGAATCAAAGTCTCATCGAGAATTAATGAAATCATCGGCGAGATACGCAAGCATCTGCTTGTGCATTCTGAAGGACCACTCGCAGCATCGAGCTTCCAAGCCATTCGGTCGATCGCATTGACCATGGCCCCTGGTGAAGAGGGTCAGCTGACATCTGTTGTACCCTTTATTTTGTCGGCCTTGAAGAGCCAAAGAACAGCAGAACCCGCACTTGGTGCTCTAGCTCCCTTGTGGTATGATTCATTCCAGTGGCGGTCAACAGTCAGCTTACTACCACACAGCGTCCAATTGGGACCTCGTTTAATTCCATCCTTCCGCGACATTGTCACGCAATGCACTGCTCTTCTGCGGGAGGGCTTTGCAAGTCAAGGGCCATTAGAAGTCTTCCATGGGCTCCTGACCTCAATCCCCAAATTCTGGAGCACCGCCGAACTAGGGCTGGTGTTGAGACTGTACATTGACAAGCACACATCATCGTCCTTGAGTGCTTTTATGAAAACGGTCACCAAACGCGCACCGACACCAGTACTTTTGACAGCACTATCAGAGCTCTGGCCCTCCGTTCAATCGGACCCCCACATTGTATTTTTTTCCCCACCTTAGCTGAAAAGTACTCACGTGACATTATCACAGGACCGCGTTGTGGGGTACTTTGACCTGCTAAAGCGAGCGCTACGGGGCGGGGCTAGACCTGCAGTGCAAGATAACGTGCGATTGTTGTTCAAAATCTTCCAGGAAGGCTTCGATCTCGATGTTGTTATTCCTCACGGCGAGGTCAGCAACCATTTCTCCTTTATTTGATCCCATTGCTCAAGGTGGAAACACAGGCCAAGAAGCAGTCGATAACGGCGTTTGTCGAGCTTGTGGTGAAGCTCAACGAGGCCTCTTTCCGGCCCCTCTTCCGGAAACTTTACGATTGGGCATTCGCGGACGAAACATGTATGTTGCTGCAACTGGGGTTTGTTTATGGCACTGACTTGAAACCGTCTAGCACAAACAAAACGCAAACTTACGTTCTGCAACGTCTATACGGGCCTGTTGGACTACTTCAAGGTTCTTTCATTTCATTTTCACGCTTGACATGGGAATAACAATGCCTGGTAGGGCCTTATGAACCCATATATGTCCTTCCTCCTCCCATCATTTGTTTCCACGCTGAAGGGCTACTCGAACAACAAATCGTCCGAGTCCGCGCTATGGCAAGGTATCCTGGAGATTTTTGCGAAGAGTCTCGTCTCGGATGACGGGGCGTTCTGGCGGGACGACAAGCTCCGCCTAGTCACGCCCTCGCTGATCGAGCAGGTCCCTGTGTGTGTGCGGTTAGGAACTGATAAGGACAGAGAACTGCTGAGCGAGTGCCTGGTTGCCCTGGCTGATAGTGCCACGGATGACACCCTACTCAAGTCGCTCAATCTTGACCTGTTGATGCTGACACGCTCGGAAGACGTCCGCTTGCGGATATTCGCGCTCGAATGTGCAACTGGCTTGTGGACCGCCCATGGCGGCAAGTTCCTGCGTATGTCAACTTCGGTTCTGCTTTACTCGACACTGAGATACATATTTTACAGCCTTTGTGTCTGAAACGACAACCTTCATTGCGGAATGTAGCGAAGACGAACATGATGTGGTAGTGAGAGAGTCCCTGCGGTTGAAGAACGTGCTAGAGAGCATTGCGGGTAAGATAACCGGACTATAAATCGACCCAAATGGCGAGAGAAAGCAAAGAAAAAATGCGCAGAGATAAATAGAGAAATTATTAATAAATCCGGGTATGGCCTTGCCAATGTCATGAGAAGTCGTCAGTGGTCATCATGAGGGGGAATCAGGTGCACTTTCGCCTTCTTGCAATGCCTGCTCAATGGCCATGCATCTTGAAAGCAGTTGTACAATCACGGTCCGGCCACAAGCCTTTTGGAGGAATGGTGACTTGAGTAAGGCACTCGCAGTCGGCCTTGACGCCGCAGGTTCAGAACATGATGTCAGGAAGTCGTGTAATGCAGGCGGGTAGATGCTTGGGTTGCTTAATGGTGGCCATCGTTCCTCGGGCTGGTCGGTATCAGAGAACGGAGGAGTGGCTTCTGCGATCTCCCAAATTGTCGCGCCGACTGACCAAACGTCGACTTTCAGAGGATCATAGAAGCCACTAGCGATGATATGAGCAATCGTGACTCAAGAAATGAGCAGATCAACACGTACGAAAGGACTTCCGGCGCTTGCCAGTACATGACACCAACCTGTTCGTTGGACATAGGCTGTTGCGGTGTTACCAGCAGCGCATTGGAAAAGTCGGTGAGCTTCAAGACGCCCTCGGAGTTGAGCAACAAGTTGTCCGAACGGAGGTCGCGATGTGCAATCTGGTGCTTTTGCAGGTAGTCAATGGCCAGCAGCATCTTGAAGGGGTTTAAAACGAGAAAAATGCAGGAATGTAGTAACACTTACGTCGCTTGCAAACCTGGCTATTATTCGCGGTTCTTGTAGCCTGAGGCCTTGATCTGCTAACCCAACTACGTCCGCCAGACTCCGCTCCATGAGCTCCATCCTGATCCACAACGCGTCGTCCATCAAATCGACATAAAGCGCATCAAGCCCCAACAACTGCTCGCACATTAGTCCTCTCAATAAAGTGCATTCCCGTTGGAGATCAATCAGCTTCTGTGAGCCACCGGGCACAAGAGCAACGCATTTCATGGCAACAAGAACTTGTTTTCCATGAGCCACGTCGTCGGCATCGCGTGCTTTGATTAGCGGCGGTAGCTTGAGTTTTGCCAACGGTGCTGTCGGCTCGAGAACAGCAGCAAATACACTTCCTGACTCGCCCTCGGCGATTTCTTGCAGGTCCACGTAGAAATCTCGAGGATCGTTTGGCTCGTCAATGAATTCCTCTAGTGGGGAAACGGTAGCTGCGACCCAGCCTGCATATCGATGGGCTGGTGTGATGGGTGTCTGCGCAAAACTAAGCGCCGTTAGAGGGCCTGGAGAGACGTTATCTCGTTTGGAAGTGACTAATTTCGGCACTACCGGCCGTCCGCTATTAGGTGTTTTCCGCGGGCTGGGACGAGCGCTTCCGACAGCCTCTGATTCTAATTCGTCTTCAGAGGGGAAGTCGTAACCGTATTCGTAGTCGTCCTCTTCTTCTTCTTCGGCAGCCCCGAACGTGTCAGCCTGTTGCCTGATCTGAGTTTTCGGCACTGCCGAAGGATTCAAGGGTTGTATCACTGCCGCTTTGACTGGAGGAGGAGGTGAGGGAGCCTTCCTTTCTTTCCATTCCACGTGAGTTCGCTGCATTTCCTCCCATTCTCGTTGTCTCGCCTCTTCCTCCAGGTCCTCCGCACTCGGACCCTGATTCTTCTTCCCGGCCCCAAAGTTGAAGCCATTCTCCTCGAGATAGTGTTTTCCGGTGGAATAATAATCGAGGGTGTCGTCTTCATCTTCGTCTTCAGCAAGTTCAGTCGTTGGCGTTTGATGATCTTGGCTTTCGCTTGAAGATGACGAGCCAAAATGCGAGCTTTGTGGAGAAGCAAGTGGTGGAACAACTAAAGTTTTGATGTTAGAGAACAATAACAATTCGCTCACTGCCACGCACCGGATGTTGCAACAACGTTTGCCACTGCTCTCCTGGCAAAACTGACTTTGCGCACAACACCCGCGCTCGCCGGTACCCCCAGCATTGTCGCATCGCTCATTCCTGAGTCACGATTGTCGCGGACAGTTGGTGATATATCTAATGTGCTCCCAAAGGCAGCCTTGGTCGGGCTGGGACTGGGACTGAGATCGTCATACGCGAGCCCTGAGTCGACCTCTGTCTCCACTTGATTGATGAGTTTAGATTCGGCGGGTGGGGCCGTGACAGTAAAACGTGGAGATTGGGCTGATGCTGACCATGGTGTTGCTGAAAGAATGGCGTCTGACCACGAATCGGCTGACTCTTCAAGAGCCAAATCGAGCTTCAAATTCTTTGGATTAAGAGGCGGACGTCTGTCTGGTTCTGGAGATGGGGGTGGAGATGGCGAGGGCGATGGTGAATACGACTTGGTCTGTTGTCGAGATGGAGGAGAAACAGAGCGTTGCAGGGAGGGTTCTCGTGAAGGGGGTGACGGGGATGAGTAATTTGGACGCTCGTATTGTTGTTGTGGGGAGTATTGACGTGCCGGGGGGTCCTGTTGAGGTGAATACTGCTTGCGAGAGGGTGTTGGCGAGTAATCGCGCTGGTCAAATTGCTGCCTTTGAGTCTCCTGACGTTGTTTTGGGGTGTCCTGCCAGGAACCAGGTGGTGGGCTTGGTCGCTGTTGTTGATCTGGGGCAGGGGATGACCGCGAAGACGAAGCGCTGACTGATGAAGCGCTTAGTGATGAGGCAGGAGTATGTTGAGACTTTGGAAGAGATGTTGTTCGAGGCACTGGCTTCACGACTGAAGGGGGAAACCCTCGGGTTCGATCGACAGGCATCCGACGTTGTTGAATGGCAGCAATTTCGTCCTCTGTAAAACCCGCCTCCTGCAAAGACGTAGACCAGGATGGGGGGAGCCCAGTGAATGCCTCATCAACGTGCATGTTGTGTGAAAAGTTCCATGGCATTGAGATATTCTCGTCGTCTGCGCCTGGGCTATTCTCCGCACTCTTCTGTTTCCCAAACTTGAAAAACCCTCCTCGCTTCCTTGGCGCTGGAGCAGCAGGCGGTAGCGCAAGTGATATGCTTGAGCCACTGGGCCCATATGGGTCACCGGATAGTGGTGAAGTCGGAATGGAGTCGGGTGACAGCGAAGCCATAGACCGATTCCTTGCCTCCAGATAGACTGGGTCCTTTGGCGGCAGTGGGGGAGGCATCGGGGCCGCTTTCTGGTTGAGTTTGAACATCGAGAATCGAGACTGCTTGCCTCCCTCCATGGCACATCAGCTCAGGCAAACGACGTGACAGAGTCACATATGTCACACGCCTTCATCTTGTTGGCAAAATTCCAAGTATGACTTATCGGAGGCAGGAATGGAATAGTCAACGCGTCTTTCGCTTGATTTTCCTGATACCATAGTAAATCTAGGCGAAGACGGCTCGAAAGAATTGTTCGATTTGTGCATTTTCAATGATTTGTGTTTCTGGCGGATCGGGAAGCAGCCAACGTCGAACGCCAAGCTTGAGCTATAGACGCCAATTCAGACCATCAGCTAGTACTACCACCACGACAAGGGTCCTATCTCCCGATGGCCAGTACATACGGAATGTACTGGCATATTAATACATTGCATTCGAAAATCCTGAGGACTGGTATGATTCTAAGTTACAACGCTGTTGAATTGGGAGTCGATGATGCTTTATTTTCGCGCTTACCTTAGCCTTGAATCGAAGGCATCGAATCGTCAGCTGCATTCACACCGCCTCACCGCAGTTGGCGACATCGCCATTGTCTGTTTTGCGTTGGCACGTCAACCAGAACGGTAATTTTTTGATTCTGCTCCGCCAGACCAGCATCTGCCTGCTATAAACGCTCCTCTGACTACTCTCCGCGAGCCTTAGGCCACTGGCCGAATGGAGCCCGAAGTTTCCTAATTCGGTACATGGACGAGTACTATTGTGTGGTCATGTTGTCAGAAACGCGTGACATTTCGCGTGACTCTCATGCAGAGAATCCACCGGCGGTCCTTTTACTCCAATGCAAACTACTACAAGTACCGGAGTCCCGTGCAGCGCCCACGGAAAACTATGGGGCTATGTAACACCATCGTTAAGGTTAGCAACTCTCTGCATCTAGATTTTGTCCTTACCACTGTGGTAGCTCCCGCCCAACGTCCAAACCTTCCACCCTCACCAGATCACCCCCAGGCACTTTATAATACCTAGTCAAATTCCGTCTTTTTGCCCGCATTTCCGACAACTAGCGAGAAGAACGAACCATGACCCACATCCCCTCCAATTTGGCAACCAGCTCGCGACACGGCCCGCCGACTTCCCTGAAGATGCCCGTGGATTCCTATACTACTACTCTCCATCGGACCAGAACCCCATTGCTGGCTCCCTTCGTTTCCGTCTGGCGAAAGAGGCGACGCGAAAAGCATTCATAGAGGGGAGCGACCTCCGAATGGACCACGGAATTCCTTGGGCGTTGCCTATATACGAAATTGCTACTTCGCCATCCTTCGAGAGTTTATGGAAAATTCTTGTGCTGGATGGATTGGCCCCGCCTCATATGCTGAAGGCTTGTGAGGCACTTGGAGTCGTCCCTGACTCCGTTTTCATTGCAGGTCTGGGCGTCCCGTGGGCAGTTGACTTCTCCTATGAATACTCTCGGCTCTACATATGTGTTCCTGGAATGCATCCAATACCACTGATGATACGCCATCCTTGGTTCAACCGCCAAGTAACTCCAGATTCGCCAGTCAGCGGTATGATCCATGTATCACAATTCTTTGCTTGGTCGTTGAATTCTTGTTCAGGACGGGCAGTTCTCTCAATCATACAACTTTCCGATTCTACCTACGGCCTCCGCATTAACAAAATCCTGCGACTCAAACAAGAAATACACGTTCAGGGTGCACTTCTCCCAGAAGAAGGGCAAGTAACCCCTCTCCGCGTTCGAGCTGTTGTGCGGACCACCAAACTCACGGAAGAACGAATCCGTCGTTTAGAGCAGGCGGCAGTCTCACCCGTGTACCGTCTACCTTGGGCCCATGAAAACCCGAGTCCATTGGATATTTATCGACACATGCCCATCTCACTAACCCGCGAAGAACGGCCTCCTCCAAATGGTCGTCACCAAGTTCCACCACATATGGCCAGCGCTAAGCTACTGTCAACAAATAGTCGTCTCTTGGAGATATAGCCCTTACAACTACAGAAATGCTTTCGCGATGTCGACCTGGAAACGCCGGATATAGGCCACGAGCTCCTCATCGGGCAATGCGGAGTGTTCATATGCCTGGACCAATTGTGTTCTCAGCTACTATGTTAAGTACTTGTCATGGAGTTGAGGACGACGGCAAACCCTCAGAAGCGCTTTTCGCCGGATTGCGACCTTGTTACTTTCGCTGTCTTCCTCTTGACGCGCATGCAATGCGGCAAGCTTGGTGGCCACTCGCTTACCTTCAGCTACAACGTCTCTTGGGAAATCTGCGAGTGTTGCTAGTTCCAGGCCTGGATATATTCGGCGTTGGTCTCGCAACTATCGTCCTCGACTGACGCACCATAATGACTCAAGTCTGTTGGAGACCCATCAATGATCTTGTACTGGAATGACATCCCAAAATTTGCGGTCGATTTTGACGTTCGCTGGACGGAGAGGTGCAAGCTGAATAGTATCAGCACTGGAAATTGATACCAAAGAGAGAGAGAGAAACTTGATCACAGATGGTTGACGAGAAAGAGTCGTGGTCAGCTCGTGGAAATGTCTGGAGTATATAAGGACGACTCAGTCGGTCTTTCATCTCACTGACGTTGCGAAGAACACGAAACACTGCGAACAGTTTAAACACCGTTTGATTCCGGGAGGGTATGACGAACCTTGCTCTGAATGAGCCCTTCTGCGATTGCATGCGAAATACCCACTCCTTCTCGTGGAGATGTGCCCCTTCCCAACTCGTCGATAATTACCAGAGAACGCGGAGTAGCGAGTCCCAGAATCATAGCAGATGTCGCCATTTCGCTCGCAAACGTACTTAAACTGCGTTCCAAGTCATCGTCATTGGATAGTCGAGTCAACAAAGCATCGTGCAGTCTGGGGCTGGTCAAGATAAGCATTCCCAGAATACGAATGTGTATACCGGAAACTGGCGTATTCGGCAGGCACAAAGCATCCACACATGGCGAGGACGGTCAAGAGGCCTACTTGGCGGAGATATGTGCTTTTGCCAGACATGCTTTATCAACTTGTCAGGCCAAATATCATACTGTGGGGAAGATATACTTCGGGCCCTGGACAATCTGGAACGAGGAAGAGTCGTCGCAATATACGTCATTTGGGACCAGATTCCCCGCAGAGTTGACAGTCTCGAGGATAGGATGGCGGCCTGACTTGATTGCCAGGGTCCCGGTGAACTCTGGACGAACTGGGTCCCAGTCAAGATGGATTAACTGAGCCTACTGGGACGTACCATAATTGTGCACTAGTTGTGTTCAGTGGTGGAAAGCTATATTCTCCCAAGAACTTACTTATCGACGTATGTGCAAAAGACCACAGCATATCGAGGAGAGCAACCGCTTCAGAGGCCTTGTACAGCGCTCCAACGTCGACCAGAATCTCCGCGACCAGTTCGTCGATGGTTCTAGTGCATCTAAGGGGAGCTGTCAGAGAAAAAAAAGTGGCCTTACTTTTCGCTGAGGATGAGCGACTCATCCAAGGCATCCTTCATACGCGCATTCATCTTCTTCTACGTAACCGCTGAGTTGTCTGACTGGGAAGATTTAAGAGCATGTACCAAATCCATACTCGAAAATATCCATTTATTCCGCTTGAACTGGGCATTGATGAATCCTCGGGGTAACGATTCGCCGTCAGGAAGATCGGTCTTCTTCAACACAAACACGAAGCCGTTTACTTGGTATTCCAATGTCAGTGGAAGTTCATGGGCCTCTGAAAGCTTGGTATTGAGTGCATAAATGTCTTGCACATTTTCTCTATAAGTTTCACGGGCGACATCGAGAAGGCGATTGCAATTCGACTAGAAGAGTTATCAGATTGTGATAAGTATAGAATCAGAGAAATACTTTGACAGCGTAGACTCGTGCGTTTACTGCGCCGATCCCGCCCTAAAATACTCAGAAAGTGATTCTCGCGACTACATGCGGCCGGAACCTTCTTCGTTGCACCGTCTTCGTTCAAATTCGCACAAACAAGACGCTCTATCCTCTCTAGTCGCTCATCCGAGAGCATCTATCAACGACTAAACTGAGTCCACAGACAACGGAAGGCTGTGGTCGTTACCTCATGAATTATTTGCAACAGCTGGGATCGACAACCATCCAACGCGGATCGCAACGGAAGCAGGCTCTTGACCGCGTTTCGCAGACCCAACATTTGAGTGACACGAGACGCAGCTATAGCGGGTTTACCGCTAGAGACTGGCGTCGTGTCCATTGAGGCGAGCTAGAAATGTTGGATGCATCTTGCGCCATAGAAGTGCATACCACGGCGATGAGCTTGTCGAGATCCATTTTGTTTAGAGGTTTGAGCCCCGTTCTAACATCATTGAAGCGCTCTTCGGATTGAACGAGCTCTTGAGGGAGTGTTAGGTTACTAGCACTTGAATGCTCAGGATCTTATTCACCTTCGACGACATCCAGTCGAGCGTCGAGTGTGTTTTGCGCTGGACAACGAGTCAACGGGGAGATTAACAATAGGGAGGCGAAGGAAACCTGTCAATGGAGAGAGGATATTCACGCGCAACAAGCGCGCGGCCATTGAAGTATAAGTATGATTCACAACTCTGTTCAGTCTTCAATTGCTAGCATGAACTTTCACATGACACACACCCATACAGCGAATGCGTCGATTTCCTTCCAAACGACATGTTTCCTACTAGTTCAAGGTTTCTTGCAGTCTCTGGGTCAATCATCATCGTGCCATCAACGGGAACATAGCGGATACGAAGAGAAGCCGCAGCAAAACGGGTGTTTAATTTGATTTCGGCGTATTTGAACAAGGCGCAAGCGGCTGAAAGCGCATAATATCTTGAATTCATTGACATGGGTTGAAACCCTTGTTCGAAGATTCGTAGACATACTTGTTTGTTGTAGCCAACAAAGTACCTGCCCGTTCATCGTCTTCAACACAGAGCTGAGAAACAAATTCGAGACCTGAATTTTACATGAGCAGAAGCTGATCCGAAACTTGCGTGGCGCACCTCCACTCTCGTTCCAACTCCGCCTTCCTACCGGCTCCACGGGGACACCCGGGAACTCTTCAAAGATATACTCGACAAGAACGCAGGCCGGTCTCTTCGCATCGGCAGAAAGAAAGCTATCGGGAACAAGAATGAGGGCTGGGGGGTGGAGATGCATCTGATGCAGTGTTTTTACATAGGTCTGACAGTCTGCAAGCTGAAGAGTGCTTAGCGATTAGTAAAAAAAAACAATCTCCCTCCCTCCCGGTCGACCAACCTGAACTAGCATCACGCGTCCTGTGTCTCGATCAAGCCCCGCCATCCCAACTTCATGGCCAACGCCACGACCTTCAATCAGAGCGATGATGTAACTACCAGTGGTGAAACCAGACGCAGCAGTCGTCGGTCGGGCTGTGCCAGGCCGAGTTTGGGCGGTCCAGGGTCGTGTTTTATTGCTCCTCGACTCATCGAGATCGTTTGTAGTGCTTGGTCGTGATTTCATCGTATATCTAGCAGAGGTAGGACGAGAACTGTAGAATCTGCGATTTCCGTTCATTGAGGTCAAGACGAAAGACGCGTCGCGTCACGTCACGTCACGCATCGTCACACAGCTCATATATTTACGTGTACATCGAAGCGGGTTTACCAACCAAGTCGTTCAGCAGGTATACCCCAGACCAAACCATTTGCATCTGGAAAATTACAGACCCGTTGTCCCCGATCGAGAGCGTCAATCTTTTTGAGATCCTCATCTTCCAATGTTGGGGGGTTGAGGTTTTCTTTTTGGTGCTCGGGGTTTGTGCTTCGTGGAACGACGACGACGTCGCGCGAAAGATGCCACGCAATTATGATTTGAGCAGAGCTGACGCCGTATTTCTCCGCAAGCGCCACGATAACGGGGTCCTTCTGGACGGTACCGTAACCTATGAACGATAACTGAACTTGAATCTAGGAAAGGAGCTCGAATATTTTACGCACCAGTGGGAGTATACGCAACAACAGCGATGTCATTCTTGCGACAGAATTCAAGGAGTTCATTTTGAGCCAAATATGGATGCATTCTAAAGCGATGAAAGTCTAAAGAAAAGAATGGGAAAGGATAGATCCCTTACTCGACCTGATTCATCGCCGGTTTAGCTGTGGAAGATGAGTCCTTAAACGGTAAGCCGATTTGTCGACCCACTCCTTGAATGCTTCAAGATTTGTTCCAGGCTAGATAATCGCATAGGTCTGACGAATCTCGGAACAGACAAATCTTACTTCTTGATCGAGAAGTTGCTGACACCAATAGCCTCGCATTTTGACTGCCGCAACGCATCTTCCATGCCTTGCCAAGTTTCAAGGATGGTCGGGGTGTCAGGACTGTAAAGTTTTCCGTCTTCGGGAAGTCCGCGTGGGCAAAAAGTTTGGGATTTGGAATAAGTTGCACGAACTTTCATCTTCCTGAGTGGGAAACGGCCAATGCATGAGATACTGTCAGCGTATCTTTCGGTTGGAAAGGACGAAGTATGAAGACGGGTAATCGCACCATGTCCAACCATTTGAAGCCAAGGTTGTCGAGAGATTCCTGAACAGACTGCATAACACAATGATGATGGTGGGGTCTAACAACGACGATAAGTAATAGACCAAATCGTTTGTCCAGAGAAAAAACTTACGGGAGTTTCGAGGTTACAAAGACGTCTTCTCTGTCGAGTCCCGCTTCCTTGATTGCCTTGCCTACTGCATTTTCGGTACCTGTAAAGCCTGTCATGAATGTCTTGGAAAGGTCGATATGAAATGTGTTGACCATATCCATGAGCAGTATCGATGTGCCGGTACCCCATCTAGTGTGCCCTTCAGAAGACGCAATGGACGAATAATTCTTTGCTTGCCTTGAGAGCGGCCGTCATCCATTTTATTGCGCCTGTCGTACGTTCTTCGCCAACATCGGGTGCCCAGCCTCCGTGTCTGGTCCTAGCTCAAGTCATTGCAGCAAGTGTTTCGATTATGGCTCACCCAATGATAGGACAGTTTGTGCCACTATTGGGAAGCTTGACCACTCGCTGGCCGTTATACATAGTTGGGGGAGAAGGCACTGGCAGCAGGCCAGCGGGTCCTGATGCACTTAAATATTATCGGGACGGACCGCATACCGCTCTATGTGGGTTTGCCACCACGCGAACCAAGTCGTGCGAGCTCAGTCAGAGAAAGTGGAGTTGCCGGGGGATTGCCGGCTGCCGTTCCCGCCCAATTGTAGGAAAGAGTGGGGGAGATGCACATCTGACATAGTTTGTTTGCGATTACAACTTGCTTGGACAAGTTTAACTTGTGGAAGACATTGATGGTCTGGTGAATATTCATTGGATGGAGCTGGGCAGCAGATGCTTTCCCAGATAGAACCATAGCCGCTTGCACTTCGTTCGTTTGAGGTGAAAAGCAAGTGAAAAGTTGCTGTGACGACCAGTGACTGATGAAGAGCGGCCAGAGCGGCCATCAAACGCTTGACGTTGTCAACGATGAGCATTGAACGTTGAGGAACCTATTTGCGAACTACACCACACGTGTTAACCCTCGCGCCGCAACCAGGCATAAGTCGCGTGGTCACAACTCTCCTCTGAACACTCACGACGGCCATTCTACGTAGTATGAGCACTCGGAAATTCATATGGTTGGCCTCGACCTTGCTCTGGAAACCCTCTGAGGCATACTGGCTAATGGCACCAAGTAAACTCGTGCTTAACCCTCGGGCTTGCTTCTCACCACAATTCTCAGATAATATTCTGACGACTCAACGACTCGATCCAGTTATATCGCCAGGTTCAGTGTCCACCCATGTTCATGCTGGTATGACATCACTGGTCCCCCCTTGATCCCTCTAGACAACATGGACAGTGGTTGGAGGAAGTAACTTTGGCCTGAACACCACAACAGCTAGGCTGCGTGAAAGCGCCTGCACGTCTATACCCATTCCCGAGGACAAATCAAACTACTGGTATCCAGTAAATTACTCTCGGCTTCTGACGCCTCGATCTCACCCTCTATCAGCAACTCTACTTCCAGTTTGTCCTATGTTCTACGTTTCCGCGATGCCTCAATGCCGAGCTAGATGGTCCAATGGATCATTCACAAGGTGTGCGCTAATCGGCGTCGTCTGCCAATGAGCAACCTACTCAATGAACTTTTTCAGTGTCGCTGGGAATCCGGTAATGTATGTTTAGGACCGTGAACTACTTTTGATCTCTGAAATTTATGCAGTTGTAACTTAACTTAGACTCTAGCGTTTTGCTATGTTAGCTCATTCCTCGGTAGATTACCTGTTCAACAATATGCCCGGCGCCACGACCGCGTTTCCGGATGAGGTATCTGGCATGCTTTTGAGCGACTATGCATTAACGGCGCAATAGTTTCGTATGATATCTGGTCAATAGCAACCTCGGATCCCGCGTCTCTTTGCCTCATTCTGCATCAGGAGACTTAACCCTTCGTACCTTAGATGCCTCTTCGTTTGCCCAACAAGCGGTGACATTCCTCTGCCTCGATTTCAATGGGAAATCGGTGAGGTACAATGAGTTACCAGTCGGAAAGCACTGCCCTTCTGGGATTCGTTCGCAAATAGTGAGCTTCAAGTTCATCGATTCATATGCTAGGATAATAAGCCGAAAATCTAGAATTTCCCTAGTTGTTGGAATGGCAAGGTGCATAGCGTCTTGTTCTTCATTGCCGGCCCGAAACTTGCAGGATGTTGACTCACTGGACCACAAATCCCATGTCGCATGGCTCAGTACAGGACCTGACAACGGTACCTGCACGGATGTTAACTTTCCTGTCACACTTCCCAGAATCTTTATGGAGGTAGGCTGCTCCTGCTTGCTATGCTCTATAAATGCCATCTCCCTCCTAAAGGTCTATTGGGTCTCCCAGGACTTTGAAGCTCAACGAAAGCATGCTATGACCCCGAGTCAACCGTTTGTGTAAGCAGATGTGGAATCCCGGCACTCGTTCTCGCTCAGGCTCAGTGTTTGGTAGATTCGCTCATGGCGGTTGGTCGATTCGATAGCGGCTTTAAAGAGCTCTAACCAAGTCATATCGGCCCCGTAGACCCTACAGGATATGGCTATCACGCGGATTTCTTCAATGGGCAAGTCCTTTACAATTGTGGTACCTTGTTGATGACAACTTTGATGATCAGATGGGACTCTGGCGTCCTCCAGCGCGCCCTTGACGGATGTAACTGCAATCCGTATGGTGATTCGACGTGTTGTGTGAACCAAGGAATCTTTGGATTGAATACGTCGGCAACATGCTATATCACGAACACTATCGACGAGCAAAGTAAGTGAACACTGGGAGCAACGTGAAGTACTTATCCGTACAGCGCTAGGAACATTAGATGTACTCCCCGGGAATAACCCAGTACAAGGTTCGATTTCTGAATGTCTTCGACTTATAACCCCGTTCATCTTATTCAGCTCCGTGTAAGCATGACCACCACTCATACGTGGAATTCAACTTGACATTGGATAGGTTATCAGAACTATCTTAACTCAATCACACCTCCCATATTATCCCCAGTCTATACGTACAATGGAACAGCCGGAGGTCCAACAGGCACAACGGCTACCGTGGCTCAGACCGCTCCAGTGATTCAAACAGCAGATGGATCTTGCATTCGGAGGGGCGGCGCCAAGAACCTTAGGCCGCACTGGCGATGGCACGACTGTGGCGCTATCATAGCAATGTTGTTTATGCTCTTATAAACTTACACTAATAATACATGACCGCAAAAAGTCAGGCATCAGAGAGGTACTTCTTCAAATGCTCAAGCACACGCGTGAGATGATCTTCAACGTGTGCGCGCTCTACAAAACCGTGACCCTCTCGCGGGTATATGACCAGCTGCGATCGCTCGCTCACCGTTTCATCAACCTCCCTGACCAGTCCCCGCATGAAACCAATGGCCTGGCTAAGCGGTACGCGCTGGTCCTTCTCACCATGGAGCAAAAGTACCGGAACCTTGACATTCTTGACATCTGCCATCGGACTGCCGTTGAGGTAAGCAGGATTTGGTGTTCGCGGGAACCAGGGAGCGGATCCACCCAAATGTGCCTATGGCAGTCAGCGTTCATAGGTGTATGGAGTGTGGAGGACATACCTCCAAGTCCGGCAAGTCTGATGAGATAGCCATGCTGCCCCAATCAGTTGGCGCAGCACCGATACATGCTGTCTTCCATCTTGCGTTGGGTCTCGTGATTCCCCAGGCGGAAAGAAACCCGCCTTGACTGTAGCCTGCAATCGCAACTTTGTCCGACGAGGCAAGGCCCTGAACAATAGCAGCATCAAGCATGCTTTCGCAATCCGCATAGTCGACAGTGCCCATACCTCCCTGTGCTGCCTTGGTGAAGGCACTGCCACGACCTTGACTACCACGATAGTTCGGGCAGAGAACTAAGAATCCTCTCGATGCGAGAAGACCGGTATAACGCAGACCTGTCCAGTTGTGAGTTGAGAGCATCATTGACCAAACCATCTACCGAGCCGCAGGTTGAGGACGTCGCGGAAATATGGGCCTCCGTGTGGGACGACAACAGTGGGCGAGTTTTCGGGCTGGCGACCACGTCTATGGACAATGATACCTTGCAATGCGGTTCCATCTGAAGCGGTCCAATAAAATGGGGCACTTTGCGGTGTTTCATTGGGCACTAGCCACTCGTGATGCGAAGAAAGCTGGGTTTGGAGAACACCCCGAGCCATTTTATCGATTGTCGTCGACCATACGTTTTCTACCTCGCCGGTTACTCCCGAGCTCCTGACAGCGACAAAAACATATTTGTTGCCAACCTTCTTCATGTCCCACGAGGAGATCCCTTCTTCAAAAGTGTGGAAAGCAGTGAAAAGCTTTTTGCCATCCTCGATTATATCAATTGAAGTTTCGAGCCCACAAGCGACCGAAACAGCAGCTCCAGAGCCGACAGTTACAACATGCATGGCGTCGTCAGTGTCACCATAATGAAGGCGAGTGGGGGACGAGTCAGCGGAGATTGAGCAGGAGTATAGCGAGGGAGAATCGAATAAGTTTGCCTTCCCGAGATAGTAGAATGATTTCTTGCTTGGCCAGACGCTGGGACGCGGCAGAAATTCGTGGGTTACAACATGAATAGAGGTAAACTGCCCATTGTCTCCGATCGAGACGACATGTTCGGACGCAGGGAAGTAGTTATCCTCAAGCTCGGGTGAGCGAGTGAGCCGATATATAATCTGAGTGCTGTCTGGTGACCAAGCCATTGAGGAGACATGCTTATCGACAGCGACTGCGGTCCGAGCGCTTCCAAATGATCGGAAGATGATAGGACAAGAGCCATTTGCTCACCCTTGAACTTTGCCACTCAAGTCCAAGATTCGGAGGCGACAGTGCTTTTTGACCGTTCGCCAGATGGTTACATATGATTCCTTTTTCTCTTCGTCCTTATCCTCTGGCTCGTCAGCCGATGCGTAGGCCAACCAGCGACCATCTGGAGAGATTTCGAATTCGGTCACTCCGCAGACATTTTTCGTGTCCGTGACTGGGATAGGCTCTCCGCTAAACGGTCGGGCGGAAAGACGATAGAGTTGGGGTTTACAGCCGGCCTTGTGGCGGTCGGAAAGAAAGAAGATATCGCCAGTGTTGGGATCGAAGGCTGGACTGGTGTCGTTAAAGGCCCCAGACGTGATTTGGCGAGCACTATTGGGAGTTCCAACGTCCGCAAGCCAGAGTGCACTCGTGCTGTTGGTGTCTTTTACGTGAAAGGCGGGACTGAGGGTGTAGACCACGTGTTCTCCATTGAAGGATAGCTTCACATCACCTATCTCATCGATATTTGCGACCCTGGATGGTGTAATTGGCATGCTGGCGATGCACCAAGGTTTGCGACCGTGACCGTGACGCCGACGATTCGGACCGAGCAGGACCGAGCTTGCTGCCGGAGACCATCACCGAGCCTGAGTCTATATGAATCCGAACTCGGTTGCATCTACTGGCTACACGGTCGGTTCGAAGACACGATTCACCTTGAAACTTGAGGACGACATCATTTTCCCGAGCAACGCTATATCATTCCAGTGCATCCTCCAGCTCCTGACGAGAGCTGGGTTATTATCGGTGAAGTGGTAAGCACGCCGATCAGCCTGACTTATAGACAGTCAAGACTCAAGCGCAAGCTCTATAGATCTCTGAGCCTGGACTACGCGCAGGTGGCTACGGCTTTCTAGTTCGCGACAAAAGGGGGAGACCGATTTCCTGTTGTATTTGCGACTCCAACTGCGGCGAATGATATTCGACGGTACCAAATAGGCACCCTTGTTTGCATCTTTGATGCCAGTATCGTCGACTTTCGCTCCCCACTCGGTCTCTTTGTGAAAGACAAGTCGAAGACCCGGGTATGTTGGCACCTTTTTGTGAGCTAACACCTTTGCGAACAAGTAATGTGCAGATGATTCATTGTAATTTCGAAACTCCGCAGACTCTTCGTTCGCCTCCAAGACCAAAGTCAAGCAGGTGAATTCGGGCAAACGTGCAACACCTGCAAGAAGCGCGAGAATCTACGTCGTTGCGGTCGTTGCGCTACTCGTTATTGTAACAAGGTGCGTCTTTATCCTATCTTGTCGCTCCATCAGCGATGTTGAATGTGCCAGACATGCCAACGCGTGGATTGGAATGAGCGGGATCACTGGGAGGAGTGTCGACCGTTGAAGACGCTTATACGCTGGAACCGAAAGGAATGGTGGGACTAACTTGAATTCGCTAGGCTATTAATTTGCCTGGAACTCTCTGTGTTTATGTTACTGAGGGAAGGTTTATTGTAAAATATCTGGTACAGCATAGGAATCCAAGGGAGGAGAGTAAACTTGGTTGGTGGATGTTCGAGACGAAAGTGCGATTGAAAGTCGGTCTTCATTGACGTACACTTGCCTTTTTGAGATTCCCTCTGATGTCCCATCTTGACTGGCACGATCTTCCACTCGAAATATGGCTCGTCGATATCCTCCCTCGACTCCATTCTGAACAGCTATCACGGCTCGGCTCGACTTGCAAGTCGTTGCTCTCAATTACCAGACCTTTACTATACTGCACCGTCACCCTCAGTGCTGAGCGATATGGCCAGCCTAATGTTGCCCTCGAGTCCGTTCTCAGTCTCTTGGAACGAGATCGTCACTTGGCTAGTTTTGTTGAGGCACTGACGCTCGATGCAAGAGCAAGTGCCGTCGAACGCTATTCGCAGAACTACAACCTCATTCACCCGCCGTCTTTTCGGAATATGACACGCCTCAAAAGGCTCACGATACGGGGCGACATTTCGCGCTCTGCTGGCAGGAAGGATGTTCATACTTTCCTCCAGCTGATCCAAGAACGAAATCTGGACCAATTGGCTTTTCCTACCCCAGAGATTCGGTCATTTCTACTTCCTTTGCACCACAGCGACGACCAACCAGAGAAATTGAGCAACTCAAAGCGACTTGTGTTTAGTCTGACATTTGATTACCATAGTAAGATTTTGTCTCAGTTGTGTGCCTAGTTCAATATTCACTCCTTACAGATCATTTGGGTCCCGTTATTCAGCGCATATTGGGCGCTGCACAACCGATATTAACCTCAATATCCCTCCACGCACCAGAATCTATACTGAACCTCTTCTTCGACCTTCGCTTTCCCCATTTGCAAGCTCTCGAACTCGCCGTTCTTACAAGGCTGAATCCGACAACGCCAGCAGGATTCTACCAATTTCTTGTTCACCATGCGGCGCAGCTGGAAGAACTATCGCTTATACCGGTGGGCTTCGCCCGTGGACGACAATATACAGGGATCTCTTTTGAACCATCAAATGGTTCACAATCTAAGTTGGCACAGGACTTCCTGCCGCGACTTCGCGTGCTCAAAGCAGCCTTCCGCACCGTAGAAGCACTTGCAAGAGCACGCATTGACAGCTTCCAGCGCCTTGAGAAATTGGTCATCGCCGCCCCCAACGACGACGAGGCTGCCACCGCTGCGGACATTCGTCACATGTTTGATTCATTTCATGGTCCACTTCCGGCTCTAGTGGACATAGGCTTCCATTCACAACTCCTCGCGTGGCTGTCGATAGAAGAACGGCTAGCATTCGTGCCTGAAATCATCGAGAGTGTTTCTCGCATCGCAGGATTTACCTTGGAAAAATGGTCTGGTGTGGTTTATTTCCCAAATACCGACCAATTCACTAGCAAGGCCTTTTCTCGACTGCGCTGTATCGTCTTCCCACCCGTCGATCTTCAAGTTAATGCCCTGTCAATCACCGATTTCAGCTCAGTTTTTTGGACTTGTGAGACGCTGGAGGAGATTAGGATACGCAATAAGCATCCCAACTCAATGGATGAGGTCTGGACTGTCAATAGACGCGCAAGGGAGTTGATATGTGTTGGTTCAGAAGAGGCGAGTGGCAGTGCAAACATTGCGTGGTAGGATGAAATTATCGTGGTGATTGACGCATGTATTACTAGTAAAATTATGACCGTGGCGTCGTTTCTATATTCCTTGGTCGTGGAAGTGGACTCTGGTATACCTGAAGGATGTCATATATGTCAGGAGCGAGTGGTAGCCCCAGGATTGTTGTCTCGCATGAAGGGATGAGCTGGAGTAATTTCTTTTCCTTGATCTTGGTTGAGCTGACAATCGGGCGAATTTTCAATGGTGTAATCTGCCCCGTTTCAGGTAAAACATGACGCGGGTCGTGTGAGCGTATGCCCATGCGCACGACTTTGTCGATACTCAAAGATAAGCTGTTGTCGTCGTTCTTGCGAATGGAGAGGACCGCTTTACCTGGATTTGGGGAGGTTGATCGAAATGCAAAAAAAGTGGTCATCAACACGCTTACCAGAGACAGGCGAATGACCGGAGAGTTTGCGGTTGAACCAAGGATGCTCTATCATCAGTGGCAGGGGGAAGCGAGCGGTGTGGGGCTGGCAGATATACAGTCTCGTGTGCCGGAAAGCGAGGTCTGTCACGAAGGGCATCCCGATTGCCGTCAGGAAATTTGAGCCACGCGTGACTTTGAGGGCTTTGCAGGCATTGAGCAGGTCTTGAGGTAGATAACCTTCCCGGCTGATAACCTTCGCGAGTTCTTCGTAGTCCCTCATTGTCGCAATTTCCCAAAGAGGCAGATGCCACGGAAGGCCATAATCGGTATAGAGGTCTTTACCTGCTAAAAACGCGGCGCGGGTCGCTTCTTTCGCACATCGAAACCTGATACCCCCGGCGTATGGATGTTGGTCCGGCGGAGAGAAAAAGTACAGAAACCCGCGCGTATCAGGGGGGAAACGCGTGTCCTTCGTCATGAGTTGGTTGCCGAACTGCATTGGCTGGGGGTGCGTGCGTTGTTGTGGCTTGATTTCCCTGTACTGTCCGCTGAGCGACGACTCAGAGATGTCGAAATAATGTTCGGGCGTGATTTGGTGCGGGTTGAGAGTTTCAATGAAAGGTGGAAGCTGGACAGCAGTCAGACTCGTCAGACGACAGGCAGTTATTGGGTACCGGGACAGGCGGCTTTTGTATACGCTGTTTACCCCAAAGTAATACCGGACTCGTCCATAATGACACACCGCGTCGTTGTATGACTGGAATTCGTTGCATGAAAATTCTGCCAAGAAGCCGATCAACACAACAAAGCCAAACAACGTTCGTCCATGCCCCGGATTAGGAAATATTCACTACATAGGTTCGCAACAGACAATATATTTATGGTAACTGATCCAAGTAGAAGCCTTGTGGCGGCGCAAGTTCACAAGAAACCCCTTCTCTCCCGACGAAAAGTTCCTCCATGGCAGTCTCGAACTTTTCATACAACTCAGAATCGTCTCTCGGCTCAGGTCCTGCAGCGATATCGCGCAATACAAGCACGCAACGAATGGCGCGGGCTGGAATTCCTCCCGAGGCTGATTCAGTGATCGTCCACGCCTTTTCAGCTTTAGGAAAGCGGGGTTCCACAATAAACCGAAGGATAAGTGTCTGCAGGACGGGACATGAGTTGAGTGTGCAGAGGGAAATGGTCGGGAGTAATAAGTCAGGTAGTTTCCGATGACGGTTAACGAAGAGTTTGATGTTGAGTGTATGAAGATGTGAAAAAGTTGGGAAGAGATAAGAGGGTTGACGGGTGAGTTCTACGACATAGTAAGTTGCTAGCAGCTACTGTTTAGATTTGAAGGCAACAAGACGCACCACCAGTATTGATCACTAACTCCTCCAGCGTATCTGAGCACATCTTGAGCAACCGTTTTTCGTAATTATCCTCAGCCTGTGCGAGACGAACTTCCAGCCGTTTCAAAGACGGCGGGGGAGAGGAGAAAAGGGATTGAAGAATGGGGGTAGCACTGTCAGTGACAGAATCTGCAATAATCAGATGCCCCACGCGAGAAGGTGTTTCTCCGGGAACAAACGCAGTATTTCGACGTAGTGAGACCTGGTGGAATGAGACAATAGGTAACCCGAGTGCCGTAGAAAATAGATTTGAAGGAACATTCCGAAGATGCATCAGATGAAGTCGAGTCAATGACGATAGGTTCATGGCGGCGAAAAGTGCCTCGGGGAGGGTAGGTAAAGCTTTGGCGACAATGTTCCACCGCGCTCCTCTGCCGTTGATGACTAATCTCTCCAGCAGTCCATCGGCGACTAATCGATTCAGAATCTTTTCCAGCGCGACACAATCCTCCGTGGCGTCGGATACTTCCAGAACCACGTCCCGAACATAGGCTGAAATGGAAGGTGAAGAATCGAACAACTCCGCTCCTTCTTCAAGCGTGGGTCGTTGTAGCGAGCGAGCTCGGTAGAGACGAAGTGTGTTGAAGAGTTTCCGCCGGCTGGGATCATGAAATGAAGAACAAACAGCAGCTGATGCCTTCAATGTAGACGCATCTGAGGTTGGGATGTGTCCGATAATGGTGTTGATGATTTCTTGTGGGAGGTCGGAAGGCATGGTGCAGAACTGAGTCAGATGAATGGTGGCTGGGCCACCTTGATTTGACGTGACATCGCTGAAGTGGGAGTCCGACCGACATGAACATAAAACAGCGTTCAAGGCTTTGAAGAGAGAGGACATCAGATATTCGGGTCAATCCTGATGGCCACGGTTGTTGACAACGTTGACCTTTTGACGAATACTGTAACTTAGTACCAACTTAGCACAAAAAGATTGCGGCGCAGTGCTCAAAGTTCAGGATCTTATCTTATGACTATGACTATGCACAATGCACACGCGACCGTAGGTAAGGTCATTCCTTGGAGGAGGGGCAGACAAAGAAATGCTTTAGGGGCTCAGCCTCCATTTATGGTATCTTCGATCACATGTCAATCGAAATTTTCGTTCCACTCTGCGACCTAAATGCACACAAGTACACTTCCTAGTGGTCTTTGGGACTTGACTATGGCTCGGTTGGCCACTAGAACCCATACGTTTCGCCTGGGAAGGCTTGGCTCCGTCCACTCCGCACGGCATTATGCCCAGCCAGCCTTTGCTCAGTCAAGTTCACCGTCAGTCTCCCAACCACCACTGCCGATACATCCTGCGGAAGCAGGAATCCAAGGGCGCTCGCTTAGAAGGTATGTGTGTCATGCGAACTTGAACGCAATAAATGAAATGTTATTTTGTAGGCGAAGGACAAATGCTGGAGCTCTAACGCCAAGGACTGGGCGACCTGTTGCCAGCGCATTGGCGGAGCTAGAACAGAGGATTATCGCGTTGAAAGAAGTGGCAGACTCAGAGGTGCGTTTGCGGTCCCTTCCAGTCCATTTCTCACCATCATAGGTACGAGCCGCTGAAGAGCCAATTTACTCGGAAGATGCGCTTTTGGCCTTGTATGAAGACTTACTCGCCAACTCTGAGCCTTCAGCGCCATTACCAGAACTACAAGCTCCCAAGGAATCGACGCGTGCCATAGTCGCGAGACTGGAAGAACAGCTCATGCTGCCTGTGACCACCACCATTGCATCTCGACATTCAGCGCTCTTAGAAAGGCTAGCCGAGAGAGGGTCACCAGCATTAGAAGCCTTTAAGATAGACCCAGGAATGGAGCTACATCGACGCGTTCTACAACTGGCAGATGCCAAGCTGCAACTGCTTGGTGTCCTACCCTCCTCTTCTACGACTGTGGCGATTCCACTGTTCACGACGGACGAATACAGTGCACTAACACGGCTCTGTGTAAGCTCATTGTGCAGTTTTTTTTTTACTCTATCTCATTTTTCTTAGATTCAAGAAGGCGACGTTGATGCGGCAGAGCAAACGTTGGAGTTGATGAAACGAAGTGGCGTTCCCATTCCGGAGGACTCTCTGTCTCTAATCCTACGGCAATACTCTGATATCGGTAATGCGACTGGAGCCGATTACTGCCTGGCCAATTTTCTCACAGGTATGTTGGTCTGGTTTGACTTCAAGAGCTCCTTTTTCTAACGGTTGCATCAAGGCCCACCAACGGAATCTCAAAGACATCTCCACATATCAGCGCACCTGAGAGCAAATCCGCGAGGCCGAATTCCTGAATCAGCTCTGACCATCCTCCACTCTTACGAAACCCAATCTCATCCCGCCCCAATGCAGACCTACAGTAGCATCATTTCGGCCCTTTATGCCACCAACTTGTCTCTGGCCCGTGCTCAGGCGTGGGATATTTTTTCTCATATGCGCTATGTCGCCCATCCAGTGCCAGATGCAGTGCTTTACACCCAGATGATTCGGGCATGTGCTTCGCCGATTGGCAACTCCCGTAGCTCTGAACCCGAACGTGCTCTCGATCTTTGGACCGAAATGACTGTCGAGCAAAAGTTGAAGCCGAGCGTGGGGTCATATAATGCCATCATCTTGGCTTGTGCTCGTTCTGGAGTCAAGATATACGTTGATGAAGCATTCCGGATAGCCAAACAAATGTTGGACTCTAATCGTGATGCATTCGGCCGCTCGCAGTATCTACCTGATCGGGGAACTATCATTGCCTTACTTGAAGGTGCGAAACGCATTGGAGATCTTTCCCGGACACGGTGGATCCTTGCCGATATGGTTCGCGGCGACAACACAAATCCCAGTGAAGCTGTCAACGAAGAAGTTATGATGCACGTCTTTCAAACATATGCTGCCTACATCCCTCCTTTCACGCGTTATCTCGCACAGTTAAAGGTTGTGCAAGGAAAATCCACTGCGGATGTGACTGGCGTACCTACAGCGACCAAGTCTGATAGCGAAAATGCAAATGTCAAGTCTGACCCAACAGCTCGCTTCACTCACATACCGCCCCAGACAGGTCAAGAGGTGTTGCAAGAAGTGGATGCCCTTTTTGCTCGCCTTATGAGCGACACAGGCAAGGATGAAAGCGAGCCGGCTTCCTCTCGTGGTAAATTCAGTCACGTTCAATGGACACCACGCCTGGTCAGTTCGTATCTCTCTGTGCATTACCAACATGCAAGTATCGGAGAAGTCGACAGACTATTTTGGAGCACATTCAAAGCGGTGGGGGTCAAGCCTGATGCGAGGTGTTATGTGGAAGCGATTGAAGCTTGCGCCGGAGGGAAAACCCCTCGTCAGCACCGACTGGATGGACTCCGATTTGCTGAAAGGCTTTGGGAGCAATACCACGGTCTCGAGATGGGTCGCAAAGCAAGTGGAACACCCATTGATGCACGACTCGTTGAACGAGCACATGGTGGTTTCATTCGTGCTCTCGCTTTGTAAGGCCAGGGTCATATTCTTTCGTCTCCGATTTAACGGTTTCTGCAGGAATCACCAGCTTCCGCTTGCCCTCAGCCAACTGAGGATTTTCTTCAATAGATACCCGCCACGTGATCTACGCAAGCCAAGTGCCTTGCAGGCATTCCGCTCAACTCGAACTGTCCTGGTTGGCCCTAAGCCATTGGTCCGTCTCACAACGCCGAGCGAAGTTCCTGACGATGATGTCCCTCCTTTTCTTCTGTTTGACGACGTTGAACTGCTGCACCATCGCCTGGTCGCCAAGATACCTCAACCACAAAAGGAGATTGGATGGCTCAAGTATGTGTGCAAGTCCTATGAGTGGGCCCTACGGCGGAGGAGAGATTCTGCATTGCAAGCAGAGCTGCCAAAACCAGAGAAGAATTCGAAGGCTGTTACTCAATTAGATTGACTAGGCAATCCCTTCTTAGACGCTCGACCAAGCATGGGAGACGCGGTCACCTGACCTAACTCTGTGGGGATACATCTACAGTACAACAGTCCTAAACTCTATGAAACACATTAATCCTTCCTCGTCAACTTTGGGAATCTACTTGCTGCCACAATCCCTCATAGACTTCCACAACGAGCTGATTTACCTCCGACGGAGTCGAACCCTTGAAATCCAGGTGAAGGACACACAGATTGGTCAGGCCGTTGCTTCTACGCGCGCGGGTGATCTTGTCTTCGATGAGGGGGTCGTCTGAAACCAAACTTTGCACAAATTCATCAGTGAGGGGTTTTACAACGGGTTCTTGATCGCCGGTCAGCCCGATTATGGTCACCGAGTCGATGTTCGGAGTGGACGATGGTTCCAGCAAGCTGCGTTGGCGAATGAACCGCGAATGCGCTACAAAACGCAAGAAAGCGATTTCACGCCGACCGAATGCGCTATGCAAATCTAGATTTCGTCAACACCAGTACCATGAATGGCGAATGACCGCGTACCCTCGCGGAGACCCTTATATGCCATACAGTTATGCTTGTGACCACGTCGCCCCCAGTCCTCCTTCTGGCACTCGACGGAGCAGTATTTTAGTGAGCGACACTTGCCACATCGTCGAAGGCATGATTTGTCTCGAATCTTCCAGCACTAGACGCTTCGTTAGACCAAACACAGTATAGGTAGACGAATCATACATTGTCGCAGACGGCTTGCGTCGGATCTCGTTGCTCGAACTGGCGCTTCAAGACAGAGCGTTCTTCTACAGCTGCAATGAAACGTTGCCAGGATAAGCGGAAGTGAGGATTATGGAACTTTTCCAACGCGAGACGGTCGGCTGCCTGCTCTAGGACTTTTTCGACTGATGCCAAAACGGTGTAGTAAGCAGTTGCAGGCGTTAAGACGTCGTCTAACAGTTTGCAAAGTTCCTGCTGCAATGAGTTGCACAAGGGGCCATCGAGCTGTGCGTATTCAAGCATATCCACAAGCATGTCTTCACGAATGCACTCTGCAACGTCGCGGGGATAGAGGAAAGGGGTTGTGAGGAGATCAGCTAAGAAGCCCAATCCTTTCTTCATGGTGCGTTCCTTGTACCCAAGTGGATTCTCGAGAGTACCACGATGTCCGAATTCTGGTATTGTCACCAGTTTGTGAATAACACGAGACAGAGCGGAGGGAAAACCGTTTCGAGTGAGGGATTGATACAACGACGACACCTCAGTCGCAAGTTGAGGCTTTGTCAGTTTGTTGACTCTGCGAACCAGGTCTAGCATCGTGTCGACATAAAGCTCTGATCCGAAGGCTATCATAGCACCGGTCACTGAACGCGCATATTGGACCACAAGTTTCCCTAGCACATCAATGCTTCCGACTCCAGAGAGGATTTCTTCTAATTGAGGTTTGTTTATCTTGCTTGCGGTGAAGAAGCGAGCGAATGATGACGAATAACCCATCTTTATAGGGTCGTCGTACGAGAGTGCGATTAATCGCGGCCATGAACGAAAAAGCAAAGAGAGAAATCCAGGTTGTTCAGCGAAAAAAGGGGGTTGGCGGTCAAGTGAAACGTCATGAGTAAATTTGATGAAGTCAAAAGCGATAATTTCTGCGTCCATTAGGATAGTAGGCTGATTAGGTTGTTCTATCAGCACACGAGAGACAACTTGCTGGTGGTGTGTTGTAAGGAATTTGACCCACGCGAACACTCTATGCCAGACGTCCTCTTCAGTCCCTTCAGGAACACCCAGTCGACGGTTGTAGAAGCCACTGAGGGCTTTGGAAACAACGGGAAGAGTCATGTTGATGTCCTCGAGGATGTGCTCCAGCTCTTCAGATGTGGAAGGAATACGTTCTGGGTCTAAAATTTGAAAGTATACTGCTGGCAAGGCACCTTCTACATCCCGTGAAGGAGGGTGAGCGATTAATCGTGATATTCGATTGACTTCCACTCGTGAACAGTCTAGACGACAAACTGCATTCAAGGTGCTCTGAAAGACGTCTGACTCGAGCATCTGTTAGTGGCGAACATATATACCTACCTGAATATCGCGAGGAAGACTCCTGAGTTTCTCAAGACGAAGGTCGGGGTGGAGAGTGGCCATGATGATGAAAGTAAAGAACAAAAGAACAATCTCCACAACACCTGATTGGCATTGCGTAAATAAGTAGTGTTACAGTTGGACGAATGACTCCCCTTGACTCGTAGCGTGTGGGCGCGCGTGTGTGTGCGTGTGGGTCATTCGAGCTCGAGCTACAGTATACTATCTACCATGCTTTGAATCTCATTCGAGTTGATGATCTACAAGAGTTAACTTGAGCGTGATAACCAGAGGAAGATCCTCCCATACTCAGAATACTTGGTCCTCAGATTCAAATCTTGAATCCGCAGTTACATGGCTCGCCGCCTCACTATATGTGAAAACATTCGCAAACATCCACCGAGAGCCCAAGACCTAGCAGTTCATTCACGACCTGGGAAGAAGAAGTCCAGAATTCGGATGTTGCAGTTACTTGAACCTGCATGCTCGATTGAGGATTCAATGGGGCCCTGCCATCCCCAACTTCCCCAAGAACGTTGAAGTTGGCAGTACTTTGGTTGTTACCAGAACATTTTCAAGGCAGATACAGTTTTAAGAATGATTATTTATTACATTATACCACCAAGGTGAGCTCAAGCTAGCCCTCGAAACATCTCGCATATCTTTGCAGAGCTTGAGCTCGGCACAAGTCCGGCTATCATTACTCATCATCGACCTCGTGACATACTGATGACAGGAGGCCATCAGCGTCACAGCCTGTGTCACGTAGTCACTCCTTAAGTACTCGACGCAAACTCGTGCCCTCTTGATCGCAGTCCCGTGCACCCCCCCACTTGACGCCGAAGCGATACTGGGTTTCGGGCTCATTGCTGGCTATTGCCTCATCAGCCTTTCTACCTGGCCGTCTCTACAGAACGAATATCCCTTTCCCTCCTCCAAAACCCAGTATGTCTTACAACGCTGTCGCCGCCCTTATCGACGTGGAGGCTCATATATTTACCTTAGCGATTTTCGACTGAACTTCCTTGCATAAGCTCCCTGCAAAACCCCCAACCCGCATAAACACTCCCAGATCATCCTCCCTTTTTCCGATGTCGTCCACCACACCCAGCCAAGATTCGGCCCTTCCACCTCCTGCTCCACCTCCAGTCACCCTGCCTGCTGGCGTCGTGGACCTTGCAGCCCTCCAAGCCGGCGGATTTCCCGGTTTCCCTCCGAATGTAGACGGTGCCCAGATAATGCAAATTCTGAAAGCCTTGCCCCAATTCAAGGGCGTGAATGTGAGTTGTCTCTCATACCCCATCATGTTCGCATTCTTTTTCCTCGGGCTTTGATCCTAAGCTGCTCTTTCCCTCTTCATATCCCTCCCTCCACTCCCCGGTCCTTTACTTCTTGTTCTTCACGTCGTCGTTGCCTACACGTGATGGAGCCGCGCTCATCACGCGGCCGCGTCGCTCACGCCCCGCCTCACATGACAATTCGCTGACCACTTTCCCCTCGCATAGCTCGGCCAACACAAGGAAGACGGGACCCCCGCCAACCAACAAGATGCCGCTCAAGCCCTCTCTAACCTCGCCACGTATCAACAAGCCCAAGCTGTTGCCGCTGCTGTTGGAGCCCCGTTCCGTGTCAGTGACCCTGGTCCTTCCTCCCACCCTCATGGACCCCCACCCGCCAACACTTTCCCGCATCCAATTCTGGGCCAGGCTCCAATGACCGCTGGCGGCGGAACTGGCTCTGGCGGTGAAGAAGACGACGAAGGCGACGGCGACTATATGGACAAGTCACCGTTAGCTGATGGATCTCGCAAACCTGGTAGCCGCCGTGGTAGAGGAGGGGCTGCAATGGGCAGCGAAGAATGGACTCGGCAAAGAAAAGACAATCATGTTTGTGATCTTGTTTTGCTGACCGACTTTGGTGCTGAGTTCCCTTTTCTAGAAAGAGGTTGAGCGTCGTCGTCGCGGAAACATCAACGAAGGAATCAACGAGCTTGGGCGAATTGTGCCAAGTGGTTCGGGCGAAAAGGCCAAGGGTGCTATTCTCGCTCGTGCTGTGCAGTATATCCATCATCTCAAGGAAAATGAGGCTCGCAATATTGAGAAATGGACCCTCGAAAAGCTACTCATGGACCAGGCAATGGGTGACCTGCAGGTTCAACTGGATGAGATTCGTCGCATGTGGGAGGAGGAACGGCTAGGCAGACAGCGTGCCGAGGCCGAATTGGAGACGTTACGTGGAAAGAGTGGGACAACAAGTACCGCGGAGAAACGAGCTAGTCCCGAGGGTGACAAAGAGACTGGTGACAACAAGAAAGCTCGCACCGACTCTTGACTTTTTTATTTACTGGTTGTTGTACATACCCTCAGGTCCGACCTTGTACATATATGTACCTAAACCATTATTTGCTCTCAAAAAAATAGGCTCTATAATATATGTAATTACAACTCATCATGGATGGTCGGTATAGGTGCTTGCTGCTCTCCCTCTGGCACGACAACTGTAGGCTCAGTTGTTGGTTTTGGCTCGTCAGATGTTTGACTCTCCCCATCCGCGGGTGAAGTAGCAGTTGTAGTGGGTGCTTCAGTTGCACTCGTTGTCGTCTTCTTCTTCACCGACTTGGGCACCTTCCTTTTTACGAGCTTCATCAAAGCGGTCTCCAACACCTTTGCGCGTGCCTTCATCTCCGTAGTCTCTATTACCGGATCTTCGTTCATCTTGACCGACTTTTGCTTCTCCACCCACTCGTTTAGCCATGTCTCGTGCTCTTTCAGCGTCTTTTCTAAACCTTCTAGCTCTTCTTTCGTCCATTTCGATGGCAGATCAGCAGCAGCTTCCGCGGTCATATTTTCCCGAGCCTCTTGTAGGAAAAGACGTGTGCTCCAATTCCACATTTGGCTGTTGTTCAGCGCTTGCGGGAATTCTTCGATCTCCTTGTAACGGTGTATGATTGGGCGCTCCAGTGTTCTGAATATATAATGAGCTGAACATTCTAGGATGAAAAGTAAGGTTAACGCACTCGAGAGCATTCCGTTTATCCAGGAACTGTGAAGTCTCTGCGACATCTCCTCGGTCATATAACCATGCAAACGACTCGTCGAGCTTGTCAGAGATTGCCTGTCGCTCGGACTCCTGAGAGCATTGCTTAAATGGTGTGTCGCGGTTCTCGGGGTCGAGCAAGTCACGCATTCGGTAAAGATAGCTCTCGAAGGTGTTGCGCGCCTCCTCTTTGCGAGCCACAGCAGCTTCTTCTAGGTCGATAGCTCGTAATCTGGTAGTAGTTAGTCTCATGAATGACCAAGGGCAATGGCTTTGCTGCGTACCTACTCCGAGCGGTCTTCTTTTCCTCGACTGTCATGGGTGGAATTGTGGGGAACACGACGGTAGTGTTGAGACTGATTGTATTGTCCTTTGGCACGACCTTCTTCTCGGAAGGACTAGGTTCAGAGGCGTTTGCTGACGATGCACTTGAGACGGACTCGCTTGCTCGTGGCCTGTTGTCTTCCGTCTTCTCCTCCGCCTCCTCTGAAGAGCCACCGCCAAAGAAACCTTTGAGCTTGCCGGCAATTGATTCGTCCTTGATTTCTCCAAACGCAACAGCATTAGAGACAGACACAAATCCGGATTCCGACAAGGTCAGCGTAGCTTTGACGACCGGGTCCGTCGCGCCAAGCTCGGTCAAGTTGGCGATCGCCTCCGCGACTCCGGTTATGCCAACTTCGAGGAACCGGGTGGGGAAGTTGGCAGGGCCGGGTTCCTTATAATCGAAGTTGATGACAAAATCCTCCTTGCGCTTGAATGTGAGCGTCTTCTTGGCTCCAACCTTGCTTCCGGCGGGGAAAATGAGGGTGTTGATGGTACGGGGAGTGGATGCAGTTGCAAGGTATGAGACTTGAACATCATAGGCACCGATGTCGGAGACCTTGATGTTCTTGGTCTTAAATTGCCGGCTCAAGCTCGCGCCATGGAGAGCAGCCCCTAATACAGCCGCCTCATCCGCATTTACATTCAAGGCGATCTTGTCCTCCCCCACAGCTGCTTTAACGGCTGTTTGGATCATCGGCGTACGTGTGCTTCCACCCGTTAAGATGACCGAAGTAATATTGTCCAACGTAAGGCCTGCGTTTCTCAGCGCATCTTCAATAGGCTGGGCAAATTTGGGCTTCAAGTCTTCACATGTTGCCTCGAAGGCCACACGGGAGACCTTGGTGCGGAAATCAATATCCCAAGCAAGACTCTCGATGGTCGAAGACGCCTCCGTGTTAGCTGAGAGGATAGCTTTAACACGACCAGCCTCTTTCCACAACTTGGCAAGCCCTCGTTTGTCGGTCCGGATGTCCTTGTGATGCTTGGCGTTGAATGCCTCAATGAGGATTTCACGCAAACGACGATCTAGCTCGGTTCCACCCGTCGAAAGATCATACCCAACACCAGCCACAGTAATTTGAGTCGCAGGGTTGGTTCCATTTCCAGTCGAAAAGGTAACGACGGTGGCGCGAATGCCCGAAGCACCTGCATCGTAGATAACATGGTGTTCGGGGGTAGGAAAGTTGCGGGTCATTGCGTAATTTACAGCAACGGCTGTTCCATCGTTTATAAGGGCAAGAGTGCGAAGACCAGCTATTTCAATAGCATCGACAACAGCATCGCGTTGGAATTGGGAAAAGAAAGAAGGAATGGCGACGATAACGTCCGATACTTTCTCGCTCGTTGTTGCCTCTGCAAGTTGTTTAATGTAGGAGAACTGCATGGCGACTAGTTCTTCAATTGACCACTGTGTGCCGTCCGACTGCCTCAAGGCGACTGTGTTGCGGGTAGTTTTGACAGTCTCGGCGCTCGATATTCGAGAGTACTGTGAGGCTGCAGGGCTGTCGAATGGGACGGCCTGGAGGAGTTTTATGGACGAGAATGAGTCAGTGGGGAAACGGGAGGCCTATTGGATGCGTTGTGAACGATGTAAACAGTGCATAGAGATCACATACAAGGTTGAAAGCATCTGTACCAAAATACCGTGTTGTTTGTTTCCATCCTACGGAGGCCTGCATCTTGCGCTTCGAGTCCTTGTTGAGTAGAACATCGAATGGGATGCCAGGACTCATGACAGAGGCCTTAATCCAGTCAGAGCCATAGTCGATTGCAAGGACAGATGCGAGAGCAGTGTCTAGTGAGAGGAGAGAGAGAGCAAGAGGGAGTAGCCGCATTAAAGGAACATACACGTCGTCGCGTCCTTAAAGAAGTTTTGGTGACACGTCTGCACTTTTGCGGACCGGTTGGTCACGATGACGATCAAAGTCTTTTGATTCTATCATTGATTTGCCGCGGCGGCGCCGCTTGTGTGCGTCATCAGCGCCGCATACTATACCAACTTGTCCAAGGCAACCATGTCTAGCAAGAAGAAATCGGTCATTGACCGCACACCCACAAACGCGCCCAGCAAACTAGGAACCGCTACATTTACTCTAGGACGTCTGTCCGAGTAAGTTGGGTCAACTCACTACGCCTCAATAAAAGTAATATCCTGATTTTTAGTGCTCCCCTGCAATATTTTATGTTCACCGAAGGTTGGGCAGTTAAAGCGCTTACCTCTGTTGGGATTCGCGCCAGCTCGCTTCTCCTCACAACCGGACCTGGTGTCGCAGGACTCGCACCAATTCCAACACTCATGACCGGAATGTACGCTGTAGCTGGCCTTCGCCACGCTTATTGGGTTCTTTTCACCAACTCCTACGATTGGAAGCTCCCCGAAGCGTCTATGGTCGTCTTGTATAACACCTTTTTGAATACGACCAGCAGCCTTGTTGCTGCACACGCCCTTACGTCTTCTCCACTTCCAATCCTCGGTGACAGGCTTATCGACTGTATTGGCTGGAAGCAATGGGCGGGTATCACACTTTTCACCACCGGAATCGCGATAGAGTTGATCTCGGAACAAACTCGTAAGGCCTTCAAAAAGGACTTGCGCAATAAGGGCAAAATTGACGACACTGGCCTCTGGTGAGCTTATCGCATTTTCTTTTTTAGAAAATATCTCTATCTTAACCCAACCAGGGGTCTTGTTCGCCATCCAAATTACCTCGGCTATACTCTCTGGCGGACCGGAATTATGTTGACAACAGTAAAGGACAACTTTTGCTTTGGGCTTTACTCACTGGCGCCACAGGGTTCTCTCACTGCTTCAGCTCTTATGGCCGTCTTCCAAATTATAGCATTCACAACAGGCGGAATTCCCGATATCTCAGCGCATATGGCAGACAGATATGGAGCACAGTGGGAGGACTACAAACAACGCGTGCCTTCAGCTTTGATCCCAGGCATTCTGTAAACGAAAGACCAACATGTATTTTTACTGTCGACGTTGAACTGAACATTTCCTCTCCACTCTGAAGGCCTATTGGAGGTTCCAATCAATCGGATTGTACCCTTCGGCGATGCCTCGGCCACCTGACTTTGACATGGGCTGCCACCATTCTCTCTCTTATACAGGCGAGGGTGTGAGAGATAACCGCGCCTTCCGTGCCTTCTTCACGACTTACCACGATGAGCAGGCGAGGGTCCACCGACCTCGCTATGGACCCCGAAAAATTGGACTCTTCACGCGACGACAACACGACCCTGGAAGACAAGAGTGGTGTTAACGTTGTGGTCAGTCAACACGCGACTTCCAGCCCGGAACCGGCCCCAAAAGTGCCTACGACGCTCGCTGCAGATGATCCCGAAAGTTGGTTCTGCCAAGCGAAGATATGTACGTTCGGGTTAATTGGTTGTCAGATCCGAGGAATTGGAAGGTATCAAAGAAAGTCGTAAGCAAACATTCTATTGAGGTTGTCGAGACCATACTGAAGGCTTGCTAGATTGTCAACATTGTGGTCTGTGTCTGGGTATTGTCTTTGACCTTTTCCTCCACCGCATATGTGAGCGAACATAGCCTTCTTCGCTCGCACTTGAGGCCCATGGCGTGGATAGGTCGCCAGCTTGCCTGAGATTGTGAGAAGATACAATATTTCTTTCGAAGGTTTGTTTCAAGTTCTTGATTACGTGATATTGATCCTCTCGATCCAGTCGCAATCCTTGGGGTCACTCTAAATATGTCGGCACCTTTTCGTCCAAATTTAGGACTGTGATATAACTGATCTTAGCTTCGGTTTCGCTGCCGGACCGTTACTGTTCGGACCCGCATCTGAAGTTTATGGGCGACAAGCAGTTCATCGTGTCGCAGGCGTAGGCTATAGCGGTGCGTAACACTTTATCTTGACTTAAATCATCGCTTATGTCGTTCAGCTTTTGCATTTGGTGTTGCCTTTGCACCAAATACTCCCGGCTTCTTGGTTATGCGATTTTTCGATGGTTTTTTTGGCGCAGCGTCAATAAATAATGGCAAGTTCGGCTTTCTTTCGATTAGTGTCTATACTGAACGTCCGTCAAGTGCCGGCTGTCATCGGAGACTACACCACTCTTCATCAACGACTGCTTTACTCTTCATTGTGTTAGTGTTGATGTTTTTAGATGGAACAAAACTGACGTCCTCAGACGCGCTGATGGCATTTGGCGGTCCTTCACTTGGCCCGTTGATCTCCTCGTTCGTTCAGACTGAGGCTGGATACCGGTAAGTACTTAGCATAGCTTATATGCTACACTATGCTAACCAAACTCGTAGGTGGAATTTGCGCGTGATTGCGATTTTCAGCTCTGTCACGAGTCTTATGGTTGCATTCGTACCAGAGACGCATGGGCCAACACTGCTCAAATGGAGGCTTCAAAGGGAGAATAAAGAATTGGCGCCTAAAACCGACATCAAAAAACTGATGTCAGTCCTCAAAGTTGCCATTTCGCGGCCAATCGTTTACCTGTTCACTGGTGAATAATGTTTATGTGTGACGCATTTGAACTGACTTCGTGCACGTGCAGAGCCGGTGGTTATGCTGGTGTCGATTTACCTGAGCATCTTGTATGGCATCCTCTATGGATTCTTTGAAGCATTTACGGTTGTTTGGGTCCGAACTCGCGGCTTCTCCCCCACGTCGTATGGCTTGACCTATATCTCACTGGGCCTTGGGTTCCTGTGCGCTATAACGATGGTGGTTACTATCGGTCGTGCGTCTTCAACAGTCACTCGACCATTTCTTTCTTTCTGATTCCATCCGCAGAGTCGATGTATACGAAGAGTGCAGCAAAGGATAAAGCACAAGGCATTCCCGTCCAGCCTGAGGCAAGATTGATTCTTGGGTACTATGGCGCCATTATGTGTCCAATGTGGGCTTGTTCTCCACACTTCCGGTGCTCTGTTGATATGACCTATCAGCTCACTGTTCATTTTTGCCTGGACTGCCCCTTATAAACATGTTCATTGGATTGCTCCTTGCATCGGCGAGTTCCTTTTCTCGGGAAGCATGCTGCTGATCTTCACGGGTTTTGTGAGCCTTGACATTCGTGTCGCAGTTGTGAACGCTGATTCTTCGCAGATTCCGTTCCTTATCGACTGTTATCAACTGACCGCGGCAAGCGCTTTGGCTGCGGGAATGGCCAGCCGCTCTTTCGTTGGCGGCATATTTCCTTTGTTTGCCATCCAGATGTTTGAAGGCTTGACGGTGCAAGGCGCGACCTGCCTTTTAGCTGGCATAGCGTGTTTGTGCGCACCAATACCATTCATCTTCAAAAGATATGGGACGAGGTTACGAGCTCGAAGCAAGAATGCAGCAGTACAGAGCACCTAAATAATAAATAGAGCAAATATAATGCGTTTGTGCCACGGCCATTGCTGCGGACAAAAGGCGGTGAGCGGTGAGAAGACCGACGCGTGTCACGCATGTCACAACCACCTTTTGGCGAGAGCTTCGGCAGGAGCTGCCTCGTTCATCGCCTCCTACCTACTAATTTCTTCTTCCTTCATCACCCATGTCCCGTCGAAGCTACCAAAGCGGCGTTTCTGACAACCGAACCTCACGATATGTTAACGACGACGATCTCTTCAAGTAGGTCTACCGCAAATTATTGAGGCATCTCTGACTTTTATTTGCATTACAGTTATGTACTGCGAGTAGCGTATGGACGGTTGTTTCTCTGGAAATCCACGTCTCAGTCCCCTCTTCAGATACCTCAGCTATATCATGACCCCCAAACCAACAGAGACGGTCACCAGCGCCCCCATACCGCCTGAATTGCGAGATCGAGAGCACCATTCCCGCCTATCAGCTCTGTCAAACTTCTCAATTGGAGATATATTCAAGGACGTGCGCGATGGCCCAAAGAGCGTCAAGTTCCCGGAGAAGCTGCTCAAGGTGTTGGAGCAGAAGTTGCAGAGTATAGCTATGGGGAAGGACCCAGCGTGCGTAAACAGTCGAACGCCAACTTCTTGGTTGGTAATTAATACACAGATACTCCGAACAACTAGTGCGGCGGACCATGGCCAAATTTTACGGCCAGTTCATGGTCGACAGCTTCAAACGCCAAATGAAGGAGAACCGCAAGATCGAGGAACTCATCCTTATGTTTGCCACACACGCTACAGGTGTGCTAAAGAAGGAGCCTTCCCTCGGAGGAGACGGATGGAAACTCGAGCTCAATAACCAGATCGCCATTTTCGTCAAGATGTTGCGAGAATGTCTTCGGACTGTGAACCATGTTTCACCAGAGCTTTTGAGTCGGCTGGACACATATACCGCCAAGCTGGCACCCTCACAGAGCTCCAGCGACTCGGGTTACGATTCTGCATCAACTCGCAACTCAATCACGATCCCCACAGTCAGCTCCAACGTCAACGATATGGAGCTGGTTGGGGTTGTCGCTGCGTTGTTCCGAATGCGACAAGAAGAACTGCAGCAGGAGGTGGACGCTCTCAAAGGAACATGCACCGCTAAGGCAGCGTTAACAGACCTCAAAGTGCGTGAGACCTTTATCGACTCTATCATTTCAAGACTAAGAGTATAACAGACATGCCTGAAAAATATTAACGCAGGCATGCCTTTCCCAGGTCGGAAAGAAGATTTCGAAACGGACGACGCATGGAGGAATTGGCGAACTTCAGAAACGTCACACCTGCAACAACTCGTCGTAGCGATGGTCCAATTCAATCCTGAGTTAGCCAAATCAACGCCGGCTGAAAGCGCCGCTGCCTCTTCATCAGCCTACGGAGGGCGACCTTACTCGAGCTACGAACAACAACCAACCCGAAACCCATCTATCAGCAGTCGTCGGTCACTATACGCTGATGGTGACGGACTTCAAGACGATGTCAATGGCGACGATGAGATTCCAATTGGCCACTATTTCACCTATATTCCTTCCAACCCGCGCAAATATTACAAACGCCTATTGGAACATTGTTTGATCGCAGACCTAGAGACAATGTTGAGCCCGGAGGTCGACGACAACGATGAGGTGTCATTAGGCATCTTATCTGCTCCACACCTAGACTTGTTGAACGAGGTTGCTCTTCGCTGGCGGATCGGGCACTCCTATCGGGCAACATGTTTCTTGGACCTCGTGAAGCAATTCTTTGAACGTCAAGATATCCCAATGGAGTGTATACCCGAAGCATTGACTCACGTTTCCAAAGTAATGTCCGACGTCGAACTAGAAGACTGGCCTTTGCACGATGTGTGTGCTGATTTGTCATCTCTTACCTCTATTTTTGACCGCAGTTATTTAGTCCGAGTATCTATCCGGTGTCTATGGCGGTCTCTTCAACACCTTCCTCTCCAACTTGTATCATGCCATGGAAAACATCCCAAATATCAAACCTTCAGAGGTGGAGCCCTTCATCCAAGTCCTGGAACACATCCGCGACAGTGGCTTGCTAGAACGCTTTGGTTTCGACCAGGACATCAACGCTCGCTTTGGAGACATTCAGACACAAATTCGCCAAGTAGCATTACGGTGGTATGAACTCACACTGAAGGAGCTACAAGCGGCACCGGGGGTTAACCGCGCTCTACCCTTGTTATTGATGACAGATGAAATCGAAAAGGCGGCAAAGAACTTGGATAAACGATTCCCGGAGCCAATCATGGGGTATGCAGTCCAATACGAAATTGTGGTCGTTTTTAATCAGGTTCTTTACAGTCAACTGGATCTCGTCTCATTGGTCATGGAGGTTCAAATTCCGCAATATGTCCAAGAAGTGCAATCTTCCCAAAAGCGCCTGTTCGAGTCATCCATGAATGGACCAACACCTGATGTACCCATTCAAGACATCTTCGCATTATATCGCCGAACAAAGCTGCTGATTGAGATGTTCGCAGCGTTCTGTCCGCAGTGAGTTCTGGCTTGGTCTTGTCGTCGTGTCCGATGACATTTTATGGCAGGGGTCGTATCGACTTCGATATCCATGCGTTCTTCGAGCCTTACGTTCGACAATGGCTGGTCAATACGGATAGTAAAACTGGGCAATGGGTCGAGGCGGTAAGTAACACTTTGATCCTCTCAGAAAATTGACTAAGGGGAGATTGTATAGGCCATCAAGGCCGATAAGGTTGACCTTTTGTTAAAATCCTTTAGACTCTATGCTAACTACATCCCCTAAGTTCCAAGCCGAGGGCGCTGAGGGCCATAGTTCTTCAATTGTTGATCTATTCGACTCATTAAGAAGTCCCGTGAACTTTCTGGAGGAACTTGATTGGCAAGACAAATACCAGGAAGCTCGTTTTGTCACTTCTTTATCCAAGGTTGCTTTCCCCATGAACAATCCTGTTTTGTTTCTGATCCATATGTTCAGAGTATGGCGAAAGCGATAGAGCAATACTGTCGCAGTGTCGAAGGCCTCTTCCTTACCGAGATGTTTCCTCGACCAACTGAGTACTTGCAACCACAAAAGTCCTCCGCGTGGATCGAAAAGGCTCGGCAGCTAACGATCACCGGGGAAAAGAAGGTTGAACCCTTCAACTTTCAACCCGAGTCGTGCGTCAAGCTCAACAATGTGGAAGCGGCGCGGAAGCTTTTGGACAACATGTACACCCAATCACATGCGGACACCGTTTCTGAAACCCTCCAACAAGCGCCCCCCCTCCCCAGTAAAACGGAAACCGAAAAGTTTTTGTTTTCGGTCAAGATTTGTATTGCGGAAGGGCTGGTGCCGTTGGATGGCAGCCCGTCGTCTAGATTGGACACTTTCGTGACTTTGAGTGACGAAGCTGGCATGCGATTAGCCAAGACACGGACGATATACGAGACCTTAAATCCCCGATGCAAGTTGGCTGTTTGTTTGTTTGTCATCGCTCTAATGTGTTGTTCCAGGGGACGAAACATTTGATATTTCCGTCGACAAGCCATTGTGGCTAATGGTTAGCGTTCGTGACCGTGCATTGGTCGGCAAACATGACACAGTAGGGCGAGCATATCTGTGTTTGGACCCACGACGATTTGGCGACTTTTTGACTCACGATTTATGGATGGATCTGGACTCGCAAGGCCGTGTTCTGGTGCGAATCAGCATGGAAGGAGAGAAAGACGATATTCTGTTCTACTTTGGTCGTGCTTTCCGGTCACTGAAACGGGCAGAATCCGATATGCTGAGGATTTTCATTGACAAGGTTTGTTTGTGTTCTTGTGTGCGGGGATGATTGGTCACGTTTTCCTGTAGATGTCGCCCTTTATCCAACAATGTCTTTCTCGACCAGTGCTGAAAGCACTCCTCAAGTCCGACAAATCTTCATTAGATGTCAACAAAGCCCTCAGTGGTGTCACCGCGCTGTGGGGTTCTGCCACCTCTGCACTGGGTTCTTCCTCAAACGAGGTCCAAATCCCATTGCCCAGCTCAGAGAAACCCCGTATCCGTCCTGACGAGCTCACAGACGTCGAAATTGAGCAGGCCATTCTCCCTTTATTCGACTATTTCGATGCGAACCTCCAGACACTCAATACCTATCTCAGCGACACGGCAAAGGATATGGTAATGTCTCGTGTGTGGAAGGAGATTTTGGTTGTGGTCGAGGGCTTGCTTATCCCACCATTGTCGGACGTCTCGAGTGACATGAAGCCGTTGACTGACAAGGAGGTGGACGTTGTGTTCAAGTGGTTGAAGGTGACTGCGTTGAGTGTGTCCAGTCCGCTTCGATACTAATACTTGCCAGTTCTTGAGAGACTATTTCTACGCGAACGGCGAGGGCCCTGTTCCACTAGAGGTTCTTCAAAACCAGAAGTATCGCGATGTCGTTTCGATACGACTGTACTACGACTGGCACACGTAGGTCAAGCTATTGTGCATCATTTCAGGTCTCTTATTGGGTATAGTGACGCTTTGATGGAGGAATGCGTGCGCATGATGCAGCAAAGTTTACGTTCATCTTCAACCACGAAACGGCGGGTCAAGAGTGTTTATCAGCAACGCAACTTGGGCACCATCAAAGAACGGAAGAAGGAGAAGCGGGAGGAGAAGGAGGTATCGAATGGAGAGACTATAATGCGCATATTACGAATGAGGTGTGTGTTCAACCAACGTACCACCCTCCGCTGATTTAGATCGGTCTCCAGACCCAACACCTCAGAATTCATCGCCCAACAACTGCAAATTCTCAACACGATGCAGGCAGAGCAAGAGAAACTTGCGCAAAACAAAGAGCGCAGAGCAGGGATGAGGCGACCGGGAACAGGAAGGCAAGCTCCTCCGCCTGTACCAGAAGTACCACCCGTGCCGGAGGTTCCTGAACGGTGAGAGGGACTGATATCTCGTTGCATACTACATATACCGCTTCTCCTTTTCTTTCTTTCTTACGAGTCAGTTATGTTCATGGGACATTTGTATAATTTGTGCAGTAAGATCTTTGTTGCATGCTGTTGCAGAGTCACAAAAAACAAACTAGAAACAGCACTTGGACTTGTACAACTTCATCAGTAAAAACGCGGTCACATGACACATCTGACATCACACTCAAGTCTCTTTCAAGGCCGCTGGTGTAAGGTGGCCAATGGTGTTGCGATGCTTTCTGGGAGCCGCTTCAAGGTCCGCATTCTTTCTTTGCTTTTTGCGGGGGTAGTCTCGAGCTTCCAAGAAAGGCGGAGAAAAGAACGAAGCTGAGTATATTGCCGCTTTGAGCTCTGCTGCATTCTCATTATTATTATAATTATTATCAGGCGTCACACATGTCACGGCTAAATTGAAATCACGTGTGAGAAATGCCTCATGCTCACACGTCCACCAAATGCTGGAATTCAACCCAAGAGATATCTATTGGCTCGAACACAGGTCCTTCTTAGAGGCATCTGGGTACCGCTTGCGGCCCAAATTCAACCCAGAGTATATCCTGAATCCCAACCCTGCCGCTCGGCGTGAGGATTGGGCAACACACACTGTGCGTTACTCTCCGAACCGCACACCGTGGAAGCTAAATGCCTACAGCGACATACTATAATGGATGCTCATCGCATTTCGGATGGGCAACCTGTCATGCTGAAAGCAGTTTCAACCCGTATTCACCCTCACGAAGTTGAGATTGCCAGACTATTTTCGTCACCTCCGCTTTCTGAAGACCCAAAAAATCACTGCATTCCCATCTTTGACGTCCTCACAGACCCAGATGATACGGATAAGCAAATTATCGTCATGCCTCGACTTCTTCGTTTCGACAGACCGATGTTTGAAACCGTCGGCGAGGTGGTGGACTGCTTCCGACAGATTTTTGAAGTAAGTAAAGTCTGAAAATTCCAGCTCTTGCTAAAAATTCAGTCAGGGAATTGAGTTCATGCATCAAAACTTCGTCGCTCATCGGTGGGCAACACAGACACGCAGCCGCTGCTCGTTTTGATCCGTTTTCAAGTGATTGCTGGGGACCCAATCTTGCACAAGACCCGAGTTTACTCTTCCCAGATGGATTTCATCCTATATACATCTCTCAGGACCCGCAAAATCAGCATAAAGCACGCCATATCAGCCGTACAGAATGCTGGCCACGTTTCTTTCTCCTCGACTTTGGTTTGTCTCGTCGCTATGATCCTGCAAATGGACCACCCCTCGAACGCGTGATTTATGGTGGCGACAGGTCTCCACCGGAGCAGCACAAACGACCTGCCATCTGCAATCCCTTTCCGACAGATATATACGTCCTCGGCAATCTTCTCAAAAACGACTTTGTTTACTCAAGAAGATTGGGCAAAAAGTCAGTTATCTTGGTACGCGTTGCTTGTTTACTTCTATCAGTGAGTGATTTTGAGTTGATCACTCAAATAGCCATCACTTCGCTTCCTCGAGCCTCTTGTCGAAGCTATGACGCGACCCGACCCTGCAACACGACCTACGATTGGAGAAGTCATTGACCAACTCGACGTCCTATGCAATGATCTAAGTTCATGGCATCTGCGGCGTCCAGGTCGAAAATATGCCTTCAACCTGCGGCTGTTCTTCCAGCAAATAATGCGGACATTGAAGCGGGTCCCACCACTTCCGCAAAAAGCATCACAAGGTCATCGGCCAGCTCTCAGCGAGTCAATACGAATGTTTTATACGGAAATGAGGCTACCAATGACAACGGCGACGATAGATGATTGTGAATTGCACGAGAAGTAGGAGGACTCGTGTTAGGTGCAGCTCATCAGTGGGCCGTGATTTGTACAGCACAAGTGTCTACTTATCTGTGGTTTGAACTCGACGCTCACGTCCGTCACTTCCCTCTTTCTTTTGAGCCCTGTCCATTCTCCACCCAAGAATAACTCAAGGCCTCGTGCTAGACACACTCTTGTAAAGCGTGTTAGCAGGATGTCTTTCCGTCTTGACTTCCACTAGCAGAGATATTGATTCAACTTCCAATGAAGATCCCCAACCTGCCCACGACCAACGCCGGGCTCGCATTGAACAAACTTGAAGAAAGTCTCAAATTGTTGAAAGATACTGGTGACGCGTGGTCATTCAAGAAGGCCGAATTATTGGCTATCATTGCCGACTTTGAACGGTATAAACACTCTTCCAGGGCTGACAGCCATTGAAATGGCATTCTCGATTTCTTAGATTGACGAACGAGAAAAGCCAAGTCTGTAATGTCTTATCGGACGATCCCCTGCGTAGCACAATGGATGGCGACGTCAGAAAAAGCGCTCGCAACTTCCACGCCGATGTGATGTCTTTATATGACCTTGTAATGGCTGGTGGTCCTCTTTCCTACATCATGTCGAAGAGCTAAAATTTAGCCAGATGTGGTCATCTGAAGCAACTACCATCGATGACCAGGCTAGTTTTGTGATTCCAAATGCCACCACCCCCCGTAAGCAGCTTTTTGCTGTCCCATCTTTCTTGTGCCAGTGTTTATGCACAGCAGTTTCAGTCTCACCCATGAAGTAGTGCCGTCAAAGTGTTCTGCGGTTTTCTCTCTTTATTTACGCCTGGTTTTACAGGAAGCTGCAATGGATGAAACGTGGAACGTTGAAGTTTGTTGGTTCCCTTGGTTGAATCTTGCTTATCTAATTCCGTAGAGATCGCATTGCGCTACTGGTAGGTTCTGCGTTACACAGATGATCATTGTGCCTAACTGTTGCTGTTCAGCGACGAAAAAGAGATCAGATACTTCCTCGTCTCCGTGCGTATGTTTCAGATCACGACCCAGACGCGGATGGTGCCCCGTTACCTGAACCCAGTGGTCTCAATGACAGCGAGTCTATCGAGCGTCCACAGATATCAGACGCAACCATCGATACGCATGAGCATCTGGCCTCTTCCAAGTTGGTACGTTCCATATATTTCCTCCTGCAGTGAATGGTGGACTGACTTGGCCGTAAAATCAACAGGAACGCACTTTTCGGGTCGTAAACGACACCAACCCAAGTCAGAATCGAGATAGCATAAGCACCCAGTTTAGCTCCACGAGCACCTCTCCTCCCCCATACCCGCAACTCGACCGGGGGATTGCTAACTTGAATGATGTAAACGAGATATTGCGCTGTTGTACTTGCAATGCTCAGTCATTTTCAGGATTGTCAGAGTCAAGATTCAGAGCTTGGTGCTTTGGTTTCTTCTCGATGTGGCAGCGTGAGTTCCCCCTCGTATGTGTAAACGATAGTCTTGCTGATAGTTCAGATTAGGTCGAGGACACTACTGACAGTGGTGCTGGCGCCGAACCCTCGCGTGCTGCTCCAATCCCTCACTCACACCAAAGAGAGCAGAATGTTCAGCTGAGGTATTTTATAAGATTCATGACAGATTGGGCTTAACTCGTTCATTAGAATGAGTGTCATGTCGAGCACAACTTATGCCACAGCACCATCGACGCTTGCGTCTGAGGGGAGCATTCGGAGCCTGTCCTCTATACCCTCGCTGGATGACTGAAAAGTGTGCGGAAGTGATGTCAATGGATGATTTGGTTCGGTGATTAGCATTACCAAAATCGTTGAACGATATTAGTACAAGAGAGTACAAAGTGGTTGGTCGTTGATCATTTGGAAAGCCAGCCCACCTAGTATCTGTACCTCGTAGAGTAGTCTGTCACTCATATCAGGGAATTGGCAGTAAGATAGAGCATAAACGTACCCTTGGGTGAAACAACGAGGCCACGTCCCTTGGACGCTCCACGGTAGACGGTCTCGATGATGTCGATCATCTACGAAACACAGTAATGAGTTTCTTAGCCTTGCTTGAAAGACGACTACGTACTTCCTGTTTGTTATCCATAGCCCAGTTACTTGCGGGGGGAAGAAGTTGGGTAAGCACAACACTAAAGAACGGGGATGCAGACGCACATTTTGTTATTGTTGCCAGTACCCAAATCGATCATGATATGCTTGTTCCTGCCATTAAACGATAGAGTGAGCTTTTGGGGGCAAATGGAGGGAACAGACACCAACCGGTAGAAGAACATGACTGTGCAGGGATCGTAAAGCTCGTACATCTGCGCTGGATGAGACTTTTGCATGCCATAGGGAGGCTGCGCACCTTGTTGAAGTCCGGGACCTCCGTAATATCGCACAGATAGACAACGGCAAAGTTCTGGACTTTCTCGGAGACGGAGTAGAGCGTCTCGTCCATAGTCATGCACTGGCTGTCCCAGTCGTGCCCGAAGCGGATGACGACGACACGGTCTTCTTCGGACTTGATGGCTTCGTCGACGTGCCAGCCCGAGGGAAGATGGGGGAGGAAGTAGGACATGGTTGTGGGTGCAGGGAAGAAGTGGCAACAAGCGCCAAGCGATCACGTGCAAGATTCATGAAGTCGCGATGCTTGAACTTAATGCAAAGTGTATGGTACTGCATAAGTAGGACACAGCTAATCGCACAGCACTGCCAGGAGTCATAAGGAATTCGCCATCAACGTTGAGATTATGAGCCATTGCAGGCTGTTTTCAAGATACAGTACTGTACTCGTACTGTACCGTCATGAGTTTTGTCGCCTGATATTTATCACTGCCAGACTCAGAGATACCTTTTCAAACTTATTCTGGCCAGCACAGTTAGAATGTACTCTCCTACTGAATTCAGGATATCTAGGCTGGCATTGAGTGCTTATTGATGCTCCCAGTCTTACATGGGTGTCAGAGAAAACTATATGGCAAAGATGAAGCAGTAGAGAGCGCCATGATATTTGCCAAATATGAGGACCACGAAGAGATGGATTCATGAAAGACGAACACGGACGATCGACGTTACGTAGGACCAAAGCGAGTTGATGTCCGTGATCGGCTATCATGCAACGCCGTGGTTGCCGCCCGACAGATGCGATGCACTTTTGTGACTTGACTTGACTGGTCATGGCTGCATAAATTTGCTCTACCTCGTTGTCTTCTCGTCTGCTCTCCTCACTCCACAATGATTCCACGGATACACCAGCTCACTTCTATCTAAACAAAAAACCACACCCACACTACTGCAATGTTTGCCGAGAACGAGTCGGAAAGCCCAAGGGTTCCCTCTCCGTGGGACCCTTTCATCTCGACGCCGCCTTCTCCTTCGCCGAGTCCTGTGCCCCGTCTTGTTCCTGAGCAAGACGATGGTAACGTGGAATACAAGCTACAGCTCCTTTCGCCTTCTCCTGGTCGCTTTGCCCGACTGGTCACTCAGATGAAGTGGCGGCTGCTTGAGGGCGGCGGCCAAGCGTACTATGAGCTTGGCGTAGCGGACAGTGGAATGCTTGTGGGGCTACCCCGCGCAGAGCTCGAGCAAAGCCTCGAGACGCTGGAGATGATGGCTGGCGAAATTGGTGCGGGGTTACTTCTTTTACTTCTCATGCAGTGACTGACTTTTGATGCAGGCGCCAGCGTTATTGTTGTCAAAGAAATTGAGGTCCCGGCGGCTATGCTTGACCTTGTGTCGGCTGACCCCGACTCGTGGTACGGGAAGCGAACAGCTAGACGACAGCCGCTCCTGCTTACTTCTGATGAATCAACGGCCACCAACACCGAGACGGAGCTCTCCGCCACTGACGTCGACGACGAGCTATCCACGTCCGTCAAGAATGGCGTTGAAAGTATCTTTTCCATGGACGACCTTGATGATATGGACTCGGCATTGGTGCCTCAAGGTCACTTTGACCTCGAAATTGCCTCGGTTTACAAACCGCGGCCCGTTCGCGAGCGGTCACAGGGCCACCAGAACCTCCACCACAAGAAGAAGGGTGCGAAGGGCAAGAAGGGAAAACATCTCCCGGACGGCCTGCTTTCTTCGGCAGCTCACGAGTCGGATGGGGTCAAGGCCATCAAGGCCCAGAAACGACGACAAAACCGTGACCGCAAACGTGAAGAGCGTCTGAATACCTTGGTCCAGGAAGTGTCTGAGGCTGTCGAGGCAGCTCAAGTCGAGGAGAAAGGGTGTTCGCAAACTGATGCTCTTGTTACAGACTTGGAGGCGCTTCATGTCTCAGTCAATCCCGAGCCGTCATCCATCCCAGCGCTTGAGCTGCCCGTTGACGACCCCGACCTCGATCTTGATGGCGAAGACGATGTTTTCCCGTCAATGGTCACAGCTGTGCCTGGCCCATTCACCGGTCTCGCTTCAACTCATCTCACTGTCCCTGTCACTCCCTTAACGAGCACCAACGCGTCAAATGTGGAGCCTCGTCTTATCGTCGAGGCACTTGTGGTCCGCAAAATGTCGATAGAAGAGGCGTTCTTAGATTTTGGTGGCGCTTTCTCGTTGACCTGAGGTAATATATATATTCCTATTTTCTCATCTACTTTTGTCTCTTTTGTACACTGGATTGTGTTTCAACTGCTTGCTATGTGTAGACTGTACTGTAATCATGGATATGTTGATCGGACTCTTATGAGCTTTTTTGGGGCAACGGAGGGGACTGTCTGTTCCAAATCGGTATCTAACGGCAGCATCCATGAAGCCCTTGATAAATAAGTGCGATAGCTAGGACCGCAGGCCCGTAGGAGAGGAGAAAGCGAGTTACTTCCTGATTAGGTAGTTGAGCGCCATCAGTCACCACGGTATAAAAGCCACACATTTTGTGACGCCCGTTTCTCATCCACGAACTACGACTACGACCCGACCTACTACTATCTTTTTACCACACACTCCTTTGAAACGAACGAACGAACGAAATGCCTGCCATCTCCCGCACTCTCGCTGTCCTCGCCCTCGCTGCCGTGTTTGCTGCCGCGAAACCTATTCCTCGCTCGGTACGAAACGTTGTCTTTTCTTTTCTTGCAACTGACTCGCCGAGCAGAATCTCGCCACGTGTCTGATTTCGACGACGGAGGGAACGCTGGAAGTTACGGAACACAATATTGAAGACCTCCGCTGCAACCCCGACTTTATGAGCAAGAACCCAAGCTTCGAGGCTGCCTGGGCCGACTGCTGCAAGACTCAAGGCTGTAGCGTAAACTCTCCCACTGACACTTCTGGCTTCCGTCAAAGGTGCGTGGTCATCTTGTTTTTTTTTTCTCGCCGTTTTTTGACTTGGTTGTTTTTGTAGCAATCCGAATCAAGAGTCGTCGCAACCGAGTCTCTCTCTGCCTCTGGATCCGTCCAAGGATGAAAAAGCCGGCGACGAGTGCGTTTGTTTTATCGATTACTATTCGAATTGAACACTAACTTGTTCATTGACAGAGCCATCAAGCAGCTAGAAGGCGACAACGAACTGCCAACTCATCGCGTTACTCGTCCCAACACTGAGCAACAAACTTCGACCACACTCAAAACTGACCCTCAACTCATTCAAGACGCGCCTCTTCAACAGGAAAAGCAAACGGAAACGCTCGCCGAAGGCTTGGACCCGAAGAATGGCGCCGTCAAGCAGATTGAAGCAGAAACCGATCCCAAGAAGATTGAAGACTTGTCTCCTCAAAACACTGGCAAGGCTTCGCAAACACTCGCGAGCGAGTACGTTTCTCTGTTGCTTGGCATTTTTGTCTTTTACTAACCACTCTTCGCAGCACAAAACAGGTCGAAGCAGAGGTTGCACCTTCAACTGAACGTGTTGTATCAAATCCAGAAACCAAAGAGGTTGCGCAAGACTTGAGGTACATTCCTTTTCTCAACTCGGCTCTCTCATTCGCTAACCATATCACATAGTCTTCCGAAAAAGACTGAACTTTCTCAACAAAATCCGACCACACTCGAGCAAGAGTACGTCCTTCTATGTTTATCGTATTCCACTCGATTGACAAAAACTTTCAGTGCGAAGAAGGTTGAAGGAGAGGTCGTCCCAGCTTCAAACCAAAACACGAAGGAGATTGCGCAAGACTTGGGGTATTTTTCTTCGAACTCGCTGTCGGACATATGCTCATTGCGGTTCCTAGTCTCCCGAAGAAGACCGAACTATCTGAGCAGAACCCGGGAACAATTGAGAAGAAGGTTGAAGACGAAGTCGCGCCGACATCGAACCAAAAGGTCACACAGGACTTGAGGTGTGTTGTTTGTTCCAACCTGTCGCAAGCGCTTACCATGGCTCCTACATAGTCTCCCCGAGAAGACCGAACTTTCAGAGCAAAACCCGGCTACACTTGAGACCGAGTTTGTGTGCTCATATTCCTCGTGGGGCCGAACTGACAACTAGGACTCTTAGGGCGAAGAAGGTTGAAGGAGAAATCGCCCCGACATCGAACCAAAACACCAAAGAGGTCGCACAGGATTTGGGGTGTGTCCACTTTGCCAACGCGTTCAATTCATACTGACTATAGTAGCCTCCCTCAAAAGACTGAACTGTCTCAGCAAAACGCCGGCACACTTGAGACGGAGTACGTGGTGGTTGTGTTTGACATTTTCATTGAACTAACAGCCGCTTTAGTGCGAAGAAGGTTGAGGGAAACGTTGGCTTGGACAACAGTAACGCGACCACGCAGAAGACTGCTGTGACTAGTGTCGAGGAGCTCGAAAAGGCCACAACCGAGTCGCCTTCCGCCAACCGTCAACAACCAGCGAGCAGCAGCACGACTAATCTTGGACCGACTCTGACCGAGATTAAACCCGAGGGCGAGAAGGTGATCAAGCAGGCTCAGACTTGCGAGTGCAAATAACTTAATACTCTCTCTTACATATGTACACTTAATTATCTAGTATCTATGGGTTATTCGTGTTCACAAACAGAGCTCTGAAATTGGCGTGATCCATCATTTGCTGTCAATCCCAAACCATCATGTCCCTAACACTACACTGCTACAAACCACCACCGCGATGAAGGGCTCCTGGAGGAAATCGCAAGCCCCGTTGGAATGGGTGCTCCCCGTTGAGCTGTGGGAGCTTATTTTGGACGAGATGAGCGACGGCGGTCTTGTTGAGGTCGCGAAAGTGTGTCGCGCACTCAACACGCTGGCGCTGCGGCTCTACTTCCATCGGAACAAGATGGAGGTTTGTCAAGGGGCTCTTGACATCCGCTCGCACCTTTTGCGCGCCTTGTTCTTGGCGGTGCACCGGCCGGAAGGGGTGAGCAGCCTCACGGTGACGTTTTGGACGTTTGGCAAAGGCCAGGGTGTTCTTATGCTACGCGACATTGTCGAAAGGTGGCCCAGTCTAACGGAAATCCACCTCAACTGGCCGCAAAACATTCTGACGCGGAATCCGGACCTGGAGGCGAACTATGGCCGGCCTATTTCCGCTGCGGTGTTTCTTGGCGCGCTGTGGGAGGTGTTGGTAGTGGTAGCGCGGAGAGGCGGTAGTAGCCAAGCTATCATCGTTGCGAATGGTACGCTGCAGCGGTGCGAGATGGGTGCACTGGCGGCGGCGAAGCTGGGCCGTGCCAGAGTTGAACTGGATTACGCGTATTCGCGCCGGGCGGGCCGTCTGACGCGGATTCTCAGCACTATATTATTACGCAGAGAGCAGGCTCTCCGTAGTGTGGAAACGGAAGTGCGCCCACGGTTTGTCATCCGCGCCAAGACGGGGGACATTAGGATCGAGCGAATGGAGCGGGTTAGTGTGGCCCCGCTCAACCTCAACGGCTGCTGCGACACACTCGTCCAATTCGGGAGCACTTCTCTGCGTCTACAGATGGGCGCTGGCCTCTCTGCCGCGGACATCTCGGCGGTCCTCCCACACATCCGGCTCCCGGCCCTCACTCGCCTGGAGATCGGCTCGCCCGATATCGCGTCTGTTGCGCTGCAGAAGTTCATCGATGCCCACCCGCAGCTGCACACCTTCACGCTCAGCTGTGCGTGGCCATCCTCGCCGGCCCATCACGTGCTTCCGCGCACGACCACGTGCACGGTCGCCGCGCATGAGCACGTGTCCGCCATCCCCGCCTTCCTCGGCGCCTTCGGCCTCAACGTCCGCTCGCCCTCCGGCCTGCTCGTCGTCGAATTCACGTGGCGCCGCATCACCGCCGAACAGCGTGCCGCCGCCGCCGCCGTCTTTGCCTGTGTCGGTCGGCACCCCGCCGCCAGCCACCTCGAGCTGCGCCTCCCGTCGGACTTCGCCGCTTCCAGTGACGCCGACGCCGCCGCCGAGATCGTCGCGCTCGGCAGCTTGGTGAGCACCGCCCTCGTCGCGGTCACGTGCTACTCTCTCGCGGAGGCGCGTGCGCTCCTCCCGCTGCTCGCGCACCTCCCTGTGCTGCGCCACCTCCAGATGACGCTCGCGGGGACGGACCTGGGCTCGGCGGAGGTGGCGGAGGTGAAGACGCTCGCGCGGGCGGCGTTGCCAGGGGTGCAGTTGAGTGTCATGGACCTGCGGTGAATACGCTATACCGTAACTACGTTGAATAGACTGTTTTAGTGACGGGTATTTATAATAGTGTCTTCATTGACTGGTGCAAAGAATACACCCAATGTGGGTCGATTTGGCTCGAGCGCTGGAAACAACTAAACAACTTCCCAAATGTGGATCTCACTCATTCAAGTTGGAGAGATGTGTTAAGCAAACCATTCCAAGTTCTGAAATAAGACATTATCAATTGCATTGTGATCAACTCCATTGCAGTCAACTGCACTAGTTTATTAAGAACTTCATCAGATCCCACGTGACCGCGACAAGCTACTACGACACATGTGGTTCTTCGTCCAGCACCGCGAGGCGCACGCCGGGCAGCACAGTCGCCGCGGCCGCCTGCAGCGCCGCCCACGCGTGCGTCGCGTCGCTCCCGGGCCCGGGGCGGTCGAGGCGGATGTACAGGTGGCGGAGTGCGGGGAGGTGCGCGAGGAGCGGGAGGAGCGCGTGCGCATCGGCTGGCGCGGGGCACGTGGCCGTGACAGAAGGCGTGCGCGCGAGGCTCGCGAGCGCGGCGATCTCGGCGGCGTTGGCGGGCGGGGCGGCGGCGAAGTCCGGCGGGAGGCGGAGCGCGGGGTAGCTCGGGCCGGGGTGCCGCGCGCCGAGGTGGGCAAAGACGCGCGCGGCGGCGATGCGGTCTGCGGGCGTGCTGCGGCGCCACGGGATGCTGACGACGACGCGGAGGTCTGGGTGGGACGGCAGGGTTGCGGCGAGGAAGTCGGGGAGGCCGGCGATGTGCGCGGGGTCGCGGCACGTGACGGTATACGTGCCGCCGGTAGCTGCGGCGCTCACGCGGGAGGGAGGGGATGGTAGCTTGGGGGACCACAGGCAGGTCAGCTGGAAAGTCCACAGGAGGGCATGGTTGTCGAGAAACTGGCTGAATGCGGCAGGCGCTATGTCCGGCACGCCAATCTCCACGGTCGCGAGCGAGGGCAGGCGGAGATGCGGCAGCAGCGCCGCCACATCCAGGCCCGGGTCGGGCCGCAGGCGCAGGTAGTCGGTGTCGACCTGAATCAGCGCTCCCCCACCTGCAAGCGGGCCCACGCGTATTCCTCCAATCCGCGTGATCCGAATGTCGGCGCCCGTCCTCGAGCGGACGACGAACTGCGGGCGGGCGTGCGCTTCGAGCCTGGCACTGTACGCCGGCGGCGCCTGCGCGCGGAACACCGTGTTCAGCACGCGTCTGACGCGGCCCGGCCGGCGCGGGAACACGTACTCCAGCTCCGCTCCGAATGCCCCGCCGCGCCACGTGAGCTTGGCCGCCGCCAGCGCGCCGCTGTCGCACCGATGCAGCGCGCCGTCTGCGACCACGACAGCCGCTTCGCTGCCCCCATGGCCACGACTAGCAGCACATCTCTGCGCAACCAACACGACGACCTCCCACAGCGCGGACAAAAACGCCGCTGCAGACACCGGCTTTCGACTCGAATGGGCTTCCATGTCCGGATGCCGCGTCAGGATGTTGTGTCGCCAACTAAGGTTAACCTCCGTCAAACTCGGCCACCTCTCCACGATGTCCCGCAGCATAAGCACGCTCCGGCCCTTGCCAAACGTCCAAAACGTCACCGTGAGGCTGCGCACCCCTTCCGACGGGTGGACCGCCAAAAACAGCGCGCGCAGGAGGTGCGAGCGGATATCAAGCGCCCCTTGACAAGCCTCCATCTTGTTCCGGCGGAAGTAGAGCCGCAGCGCAAGCGTGTTGAGCGCGCGACACACTTTCGCGGCTTCGACAAGCCGCCCGTCGCTCATCTCGTCCAGGATAAGCTCCCACAGCTCAACGGGGAGCACCCATTCCAACGGGGCTTGCGATTTCCGCCGGGACAACTGGCCCTTCATGGTGGAGGTGGTAGAAGTGTTAGGGACATGACATGACGGTTTACAGAAATAACGGCAAGTGATGGTATCACGCCGGGCATATCTGATTAACTGAGACCGAATCCGACGTAAGATAAGATCGAGCAAGGCCAACTTTTGTCTATTATCCAAGTCCAAGTCAAGCGAAACAAAACAATAGTCTATAAATGTGTATACCTAGAAACCGAAAATGTCCTATATTCCTATCCTAAAAGAAGATCCCCTCTTCAGCTCGAGAACGTGACGAGCGACGACCCGGCGTTGTTCGCGATCACGAGCGCGGGGTTCGCGGTGAGGTAGATCGACGACTGCGACGGGACCCACACGAACTCGATCGCGGGCGAGGCTGCAAACAGCCGTCAGCAAGTGCCCATCAAGAAGGAAAAACAAAAAAAACTCACTTCCGTCGTAGTTCACCCACGACGCGCTGACCGCGCCACCGACACCGCCCGCGCTCCAGATCGCGCTCTCAAAGTTGGCGCCGGCGACCGACGTCGCGCCGCTTTGGGGCGTCTGGCCAGGGAGCGCTAAAAAGACCAACACGTTAGACGCTTATATCAGGGTCGGAGAAGAGTACGTACATTGCTCAGCCGCGCCAAGGACCGCGAAGTTCCCATTACTCGCCGCCAGGTTGGTGCCCGCGGTCACGAGGCCCGCGAGGTACGGCGTCGCCGCGGCGCCCGCCGTGTCGCGCAGCAGCAGACTCCCGCTGCTCCCCGGCGCGAACAGGCTCGCGCTGCCCTGGAACGGCGTCACGATGTATCGGCCCCTATGTCACCGGTTAGCACGTGTGTTAAGAGCAGAGTAGATGTGTGGGAACTTACCCGGCGAGCCCGAGGAACCCGATGGAGCTGCCGCTGTTGACGTCCCGCACCTGGATGGCAGTCGCGGAGGCAGACGCGCTCGGGGCAGCAGATGAGGACGATGCGGACAGGGACGCCGATTCGGAGACGGACGAGGCCGACACCGCCGAGGCCGATGCTGACTCGGACGCGCTGGCTGAGGCGCTGTCAGAAGCGGACGCCGACGCGCTGGAGGCCGAGGCCGACGCCGAAGACGCCGAAGCACTCTCAGAAGCAGAGGCCGATAGTGAGGCTGATTCACTCGCGCTGGCGGATTCGCTGGCCGAAGCAGAGGCCGATGCGCTAGAGGCCGATAATGAGGCCGACTCACTCGCCGACGCCGACGCCGACGCCGACGAAGCTGCTTCGGCCGAAGACGCCGAGGCGCTCGCTGACGCAGCAGAGGCTGACGCGCTTGCAGCTGATAATGACGCCGACTCAGAGGCACTAGCCGCCGAAGCACTGGCGGATTCGCTAGCCGAGGCACCAGAGGCAGATGCGCTTGACGCCGACTCACTGGCCGAGGCCGAGACCGAAGCCGCCGACTCCGACGCGCTCGCCGCCGAAGCGGAAGCACTAGCGGATTCGCTGGCTGACGCAGCAGAGGCGGACGCACTCGACGCCGACAATGACGCCGACTCACTGGCCGAGACCGAGGCCGAGACCGAGGACGCCGACTCAGACACACTGACCGCCGAAGCACTGGCGGAGGCACTCTCCGAAGCGGACGCAGACGCGCTCGACGCCGATAACGACGCCGACGCGCTTTCCGATGCTGAGGCAGATGCACTATCTGATGCAGATGCAGAGAGCGAGACCGGGGCAGACGCGCTGACCGACGGCAGAACAGACTCGCTGACCGAGACCGATGGCACAACAGAGCCCGATGCGCTGGCGGAAGCGCTATCTGATGCAGACGCCGAAGCCGAAAGTGATATCGGGACAGAAGCGCTAACGGAAGGGACCGCAGATTCGCTGACCGACACTGAAGGCACAACAGATTCGCTGACCGAGACAGACGGCACAACAGAGCCCGATGCACTTGCGGAGGCGCTATCTGACGCAGACGCAGATGCGCTCTCCGAGGCCGAGGCCGAAAGCGAAATCGGGACAGACGCGCTGACGGAAGGAACCGCAGATTCGCTGACCGACACTGATGGCACAACAGACTCGCTGACCGAGACCGACGGCACAGCCGAGCCCGAGGCACTCGCAGATGCACTGTCTGAAGCAGACGCGGAGGCGCTATCTGAGGCAGAGGCCGACGCGCTAACGGAGGGGCCCGCCGAGCCACTGGCCGAAACCGCCGCCGACGAAGAAGCTAAGAAAGTGCGTCAGTACAATTCATCTTTTGAATTGAAAATCTAAACGCGAACTCACCAACTTCAGACGCAGACGAGGCTGCGCCGGAGCTCGAGGCCGGGACCGACGCCGACGCCGATGCCGAGTCCGAAGCGGACGCCGACGCCGACGCCGAGCCGCTGACAGACGCGGAGTCGCTCGCGGACGACGCGACGGCGCTCGACGAGGGGACAACCGAGCCGGAGGCAGAGACCGAGGCACTATCAGAGACGGACGCCGAGGCCACGGCCGAGCTGGAGGGCACCGCAGACGCCGATGCTGATGCGCTCACAGAATCGCTGGCCGACGCAGAGGCGCTGTCGGAAGCGGAGGCGGAGGGAACAACCGATGCGCTAGCCGATGCGGAGGCGGAGAGGGAGACCGGGGCGGAAGATGGAACAACAGAGTCGGATGCCGAAGCCGATGCACTCCCTGCTGCACTTGACGAGGCCACGGCCGAAGCAGAGGCGCTGTCAGAGGCAGAGGCGCTAACAGAGGGAACAACAGAGTCGGAGGCCGAGGCCGAGGCACTCTCTGAAGAGGCAGCTGCGCTCGACGAGGCCACAGCCGAAGCAGAGGCGCTGTCAGAGACAGATGCAGAGAGCGACACCGGGGCGGAGGCACTAGCAGAGGGAACAACGGATCCGGAGGCCGAAGCAGAGGCACTATCAGACGCCGAAAGCGACACCGGCGCCGAGACGCTAGCTGACGGAACCACCGAGGCGGAATCACTAACGGACGCCGAGAGTGATGGCACAGCCGAAATTGAAGGAATGCTGCTCGACGCGACATCGCTGGCAGACAAGGAAGCCGAAGGCGAGACGACTGCCGATGCGCTAGCGGAGGCAGACAGTGAGGCCGAGGCGGAGGGCACAACCGAGGCAGAGTCGCTAACCGACAACGACGCCGATGGCGAAACGGCGACTGCACTGCTCGAGGGGACTTCACTGACGGACAGGGAGGCCGACGGCGAAACGATGGCCGAGGCAGAAGCGGAGTCGCTAGCCGACGCCGATGCCGACGCTGATGGCACAGCCGAAATTGATGGCGAGACAACAACGCTGCTAGACGCAATGTCACTTGCTGACAGAGAGGCCGAGGGAGAAACAACCGCCGATGCACTGTCCGAGACCGACGCAGCTCCACTCGACGAGCCCACAACCGAGCCCGAGGCACTATCAGACGCAGAGAGCGAAACCGGGGCAGACACGCTCGCAGACGGCGAGACAACCACAACACTACTCGAGACAACCTCACTTAAGCTGACAGACGGCGAGCCAACAGCCGAGGCGCTGGGCGAGACGAACAGCGACGCGGAGGGCGAGAGCGACGCGGACTCGCTGAGCGCCGCAGACGACGAGGCGATGGCGGATGCGCTAGCCGATTCGCTCGCCGACGAGAAGATGGACGAGAAAATCGACGAGAAGATCGACGATGCGGATGCCGAGACGGAGTCGCTGGCCGACGAAGCGGCAGCGGACGCGCTGGACAACAGGCCTGAGGCAGATGCGGAGGCGCTTTCAGAGGCAGAGGCTGAAGGAACGTTCAGCGGTCACATCAGATCAAAAGGTTATAGACAAACCAGAAGCAGCGCTCGCCGAGGCAGACGCGCTCTCCGAGGCGGAAAGCGAGGCAGACAACGACGCCGAGGCGCTTTCAGAGGCAGAGGCCGCCGCGCTCGACAACGAAGCCGAAGCTGCCGCGCTCGACAACGAAGCCGACACTAAAGGAAAAAATTTAACAACAATGACCAGAGATAAAGCATTACAGACATACCAGACGCAGCGCTCGCCGATGCAGATGCAGATGCAGATGCAGACTCGCTAGCAGACGCCGACAGCGACGGCACACCACTCGCGGACGCCGACAGCGCGACAGACGACGAGAGAACATCGCTAGCAGACAGCGAGACCGACGGCAGAGCAGACGAAGACACAACCGCAGAGGACGACGCAACTCCCGATGCACTGGCCGAGGCAGACTCGCTCGCGGACAGGGCGGCCGACGATGACAAAGCAGCCGATGCCGACGCCGATGCGCTGATGGCGGATTCACTAGCCGACAGGGAGGCCGCAGCCGACGACGACGAAGCCACAGCAGCCGACGACGACGCAACGGCCGAGTCGCTAGCCGACGAGGCAGCAGCAGAGGACGACACAGCAGCAGACTGGCTCGCAGCGGCGGAAGATGACAAAGCAGCTGATCCCGACGCTGATGCGCTGATGGCGGAGTCGCTAGCCGAAGAAGCGACAGCGGACGACGAAGCAGCGGCCGAAGCAGAGGCAGACGCGGAGTCACTGGCGGAGAGCGACGCAGCGGATGCGCTGGCCGACTCGCTAGCAGACAACGCGGCCGAGGAAGAAGCAGCAGCCGATGAAGAAACAATGACTGATGAAGACGCATCACTCGCCGATGCAGATGAGGCAATCGCTGACGAAGAAGCAGCAGCCAACGATGAAGAAGCGGCGGCCGCCGAAGACGCCGACTCACTTGCTGAAAGCGCAGCAGATGAAGAAGAAATAGCCGATGATGAAGCATCACTCGCTGACGCAGACGACGCAGCCAGCGACGAAGACGCCGCAACCGAAGACGCCGACTCGCTCGCAGAAAGGGCAGCCGATGGAGAGGCCACAGCCGCCGATGATGACGCAATCGCCGACGATGACACATCACTCGCAGAAGCCGCAACCGAAGACGACGCAGCCAACGACGAAGAAACGGCCGCCGACGATGATGACGCAACCACCACCGACGAAGAAGCAGCCGCCGCCGAAGATGCCGACTCGCTAGCAGACGCAGACGCAGATACCGCGGCCGAGGAGGAGGAGGCAGCAGCCGATGATGACGCAACAGCCGATGATGAAGCATCGCTCGCTGAAAGCGCAGCCGACGACGACGCCAAAGCCGAGGAAGAAACAGCAGCCACAGACGAGGCAGACTCGCTCGCGGACGCGGAGACCGATGGCAGGAAGCCAGACGGCGAGGCAGAGGCGGAGGGCGAGACCGGCGCAGAGGACGAAATTGATGCGACATCACTCGCCGAAGCCGAAGCCGACGCGGAAAGGGATGCAGAGAGCGACGCAGACAGGCTTTCCGACGCGGAGGCAGAAATGGAGGCGAGTGAGGACGAGACCGCCGCGCTAACAGACGCAGAGGCTGAGGCCGATTCGCTGAAGCCAGATGGGGATGCAACCGCGCTCGATCCAGAGGGGAGGACAACACCGCTCGAAGCGGAAGCAGAGGGCTCGACGAACGAGGAGACACTCGATAGGCCGGCAGAGGCCGAAGCGCTGGCCGAGACGGAGGGCTCGACGAACGAGGACACGCTAGATGCAGAGGGGACAACCGATGCAGAGCCGCTGGCCGAAGCGGAGGCCGACAACGAGGATTCAACAAACGAAGACACGCTCGACGCAGATGGGGACGGGACAGCGGACACCGAAGCGCTGGCCGAAACAGAGGGCTCGACAAACGACGAAGCGCTCGAGGCAGAAGGGACACCGGAGGCAGAGCCGCTAGCCGAAGGGGACAGCGAAGCAGAGGCAGACAGCGAAGGCTCAACAAACGAGGAGACACTCGAGCCCGAAGGAACAATGGAAGCCGAGGCGGACACCGATGGCTCGACAAACGACGAAACGCTCGATGCAGACGGGACAACAGACGCGGAGCCGCTAGCGCTAGCCGAAGGGGACAGCGATCCAGAGGCCGAGAGCGACGCAGATGGCTCAGCGAACGAGGACACGCTCGATGCAGAGGGGCCAACAGACGCGGACGGCGAGAGAGATGCAGAGGCCGACAGAGAGCCAGACGCCGACACCGAGGGCTCCGCGAACGAAGACACGCTCGAGCCGGACGGGATCGCCGAAGAGGCCGAGGCCGAGGCCGATCCGCTCACGGAGGCTGATCCGCTGCCACTAGCCGACGCCGATCCGCTCGCCGAGGGCAGCGACGCCGACGCCGACGCCGACGGGGACACGGACGGGAGGAACACATTGGACGACGACGACGGGAGGGCCGCCGAGCTGCTGAGCGACACGGGCGCCGCAGACGAGCTGGACGCGGGGCGGGAGGAGGACGAGGCGGAGCTGGACGCCGGGCGCGAGGAGGACGCGACGGAGCTCGAGGTCACGGGCTTGTACGGGATCGGCGCCTGGATGTAGTCCGCCGATTCCTCAGCTGTGAAACGTTTTAGACGGAGTATTAGCTTAAAGGAAAGACTTACGACACCCGCTGTTGGGGGACTGCGAGCAGGTGTTGGGGGCGTTGCAGCTCTGCGGGGTGGAGGTGCAGCCAGACGGGGAGCCGGGGGCGGCGTACGGCGTCGACCCGGAGCAGCGGTACACGAACGCGTTGTTGTAGAACGACGGCGTCGTCCAGCCGCAGCACGCCAGACACGCGCCGCGCATCCCCGTCTTGCCCGCGAACTTGCCCATCGTCGCGCTCACACACGAGCCCTGGCCCGCGCCTGTGGCTCTTATGTCAGCACTCGCGCATCAGACCCGGAAAGGAAAGGAAAAAGGACGCACGCGGCTGGTAGCTCCCGATGTAGCACGGCGTCTGGGCCGTCGCGCCGTTGGCCGAGACATAGCTGCCGTTCGACGCGGGGATGCACGCGATCTGGCCGGGCGCGGGCTGGAAGTTGCCGCGCGTGCACGGCGCCTTCGGGCTCGTCCCGCCCGGGCACGCGTTCCCCGGCTCGCACCGCACACACGCCCTTTGCGTGCCGTTGTAGTACCGTCCCTGCGTGCAGATCGCCTGTCGCGAAAACAGCCCGCCCAACCTATATGACTATTAACGCTTACTCAGCTGACATCAAGAAAACAAACCAGTTCGCCGACGGCGCAGCGCCCACCTCGGGGAGCGCCCCCCGCCGCAAGCAGCACCGCCATCCCCGCCGCCTTCAGGTTGAGTGCGTACATCCAGTCAGTCGCAAACGTTAAGATATTCGTAAAAAAAGCAAGTCGTCAAAGGGGGTCGTAAGTTTTCGTGCAAGTTCGGTCGTAACGTTAACTTCAGGGGGCACTTGCTGCCGTATGCGTTTTACGAGCCCTTCCGCCGCCCACCGTGCCCAGCTTTATACCGCCCCCCCTCCATTCCGCGGCGGATGTCTCGTCTCGTCTCGGCGCCGCGCCGCTCTCAGACGTCCGCGTCGAGTCAGCGCATGCGTGAGACACAGACATCATGGTGTGGCGCAAGTTCAACCTTTGCGTGACGTGACAGGCGGGAAGCGGGTCACGCTCCGAGCTCGCCGTCCGATCGCACAGCATGCATGCAGATCTATGATCGCCAGAGATGACGCAGAGAGGTAATTATAGATAGCATTGGTGATGCCACAGTGGAGCCAGGCACGCAATTTTTCCGCTCGATGCGGCGAACGTGAAATTATAACTGGGTACAACCTTACAAGTGAGTATTGTACTAACTGCCAGCAGCAGCGCCTACACTTCCGCCCATCGATATCGTGCATTCCGCGCCGTTTGCTTCCGGATGCCGTCGAACGCAACGGAGTGGCTCCCGCCCCCCCTGGGACCACATCGATATCCACCGCACACTCCAGCTCCAAATGACGCGTCTGACGCCACCGGGATCAGAGACAACATCCGCGCATTTTATCTTATCGAAGGGTCATGTGGGTGGCTATACAGATGCGCCGTCAACACTCTCGCCGACCGGCAATGCATCACTGTCTTCCGGTGGACGATGTGGGTCCTCCCATAAGAACTCCAGTCGGCCCTCTATATAGACAGGTCAGCAAGAAAACTTGACGCGTCGGTGCTCTTACCTGGGCTCCCGTTTTTTCCGGCAACGAACCTGGCTGCCCGTGCCAACAGCTCCACGCCGCCCGCCGCGGCCAGCCTCCAGTCCTGCAGTGCCCACTCGGTCCAGTCGAGGTAGTGGCGCGTGAGGTCGAGCAGCACGCAGCGCGGGTCGTGCAGTGCCGCCATGTCGCGGATGTAGTCCTCCCGGGTGTACATCCCCGCATCAAAGACATGCAGCAGCACTTGCAGGCGCGGACATTGATTTAGTATGTGATGCAGAAAGCCCTCGTCCTGGACCATGCAGACGCACAGATGCGTGAGGCGCGGGAGCGCAGCGAGGAACGCCAGGTAGCGGCCCGTCGACTCCGCGTCGGTCTGGTGCGCGGGATAGAGCGTCAGATGCGTCAGATTAGGAAGGATGGCCGGGCCGGAGCCGGGGCCGGGCACAGCCGCGATGCGGACAAGCCGGAAGCTGAGTGTCAGCCGCTGCAGCTGAGGGAGCCGCCATATATCAGGGAACGTCGTCGGCCGCCATTTCGCCTCGAACACGAAGCTCTCGGCCGCGGCGCAGCGCGAAACCACGAGCTGGACATCGTCGTCCGGGAGGCCCTTGCCGACAAAGACGTGGCGGGTATGTTGCGCAAAGAATGCGGGCGGTTTGGTGAACAGGGCAGCCCAGAGATGAGCGTCGACGTTTCGGCCGCTGAGGACAAGTGTTTTGAAGACTAGAGGCTCTATCCTAATGTCATCAGCTGGGCTCATTGAGGCTGGGAAGCAGTACCACGACTGGACGCGACGCGCTGTTTGGAGAAGGCTCGGCGCGCATGTGGGGTGCATGAAGATGGCCGTTTCGAATATTGTTCGTTCAATGTCGTGTGGCAGCCGTGAATTCACTTCCCTAGCATCTGGCTCAAGGGACATGGGGAGCAGTGCAGCAAACAGTGTGGTGGGTTCTGTCAAGATTCTGACCAACTGTCACACCCTACGAAAAGTTGTAGATAAAGATAAACCGGGTAGCCTTTTCACACACACCGTAAAACTGTATCTTTCAGTATACCTGAAAATGATGCTTTTTGTTGTACTTTCAGGCAGCACCGGAATTGGCACTGAAAACAATACTATTAGTTTATCTGACATCTGTACCAAAAATAGTGCTTTCAGTAACAGTTTTAGCAGCTGCTGAAAACACAGTTTTCAGTATATGCTTGTGTAAGGGCAACCCTGGAGACTCCGACGAAAGCCTAGCAGGGGAGGATCCAAAGCGTGAATAAAAGCTACGGAAATACACGGAGGGACCGACCTAGCAGGGGAGGATCCAAAGAGAAGAAACTCTAAGGGTCCGCCTGCTAGGGCGCCAACTATATACTGGTCGTCCGTAACTGCCGACGTAGAGCGCAGAAGGCCTGAGCGGCGTCGCAGGCTCTGTCCCAAGGTGATCGTTGGGAGGGTCTTGACGGATTGGTGATTGTGCGGGCGAAGGAGGCCATGGACGATGGTCGGGGTGGGTCGGAGCGTCCGAGGGGGCGCCGGTCGGATGCGCCTCGGATGCGTTTGGAGGGTCCGAAGGAGGCCGAAGCGGGGGTTCCCCTGACATCACCCCCCCCTTTGAATGCGGCGTCCCGACGCATAGTTCGAAAGGGCAAGGAGTCGAAGGTCGCTGAGGCGATGTGCCGTGGTTTACCCGGGTACCTCCGATAGAAGTCCGCAATCTTGTCTGGCGCAAAGACACGGTCGAACCGAACCCACGAGTCGTGTGAAGCGTCGTAGCCTTTCCACCTGACGAAATAGTTAAGACGCTTATACCTTATCCTGGCATCCAAGATTTCCTCGACTTCCCATTTGGGGACTCCGTCCTCTAGCTCGGGGGGCGGTTCATCGTAGCCGGGTCGTCCATCGAAGGGGTCGTCCTGAGCGGGCTCGAGCTTAACAACCGGGAAGACGAGGTGGAGTTTGGAGTAACGCGGGGGGAGGTCGAGCTTGTAGGCACCTTTGCTAACCTCTGCGAGCACCTTGAACGGTCCGAGGCGCTTGTGGGAGAACTTCTCGGAGGGCCGAGTCGTTCTGATGTCAGAAGCGTCCAGCCAAACCTTATCACCAACCCGGATATTCGGAGCGTCCGAACGTTTCCGATCGTAGTACCGTTTATACTCGTCTTTGGCTTTAACGAGCGCGGCCTTTGCCTCGGAGACGCCGTTAGCTATCCGGTCGCGAAACTCGTTCACCAACTCCAACTCTGAGCGGGCGCCTGGCTCGAAACCCATCCGGGGGAGCCGACCAGTGTCCGTCATAAAGGGTACCTGTTGAGTGGAGGAGTGAACGTGGTTGTTATAGGCGAACTCAGCGGCAGGGATAAGCTCGTCCCCAGTCGTCTTGTTGGTAGTTGGTGAAGATCCGGATGTACTGCTCGAGCTCTTGGTTAACGCGTTCGGTTTGTCCGTCGGTTTGCGGGTGGTAAGCCGTAGAGGTAGCCGGTTTGACGCCAATTAAGCGCCAGAGTTCGCGCGTGAAGTCAGTGATGAACTGCGAACCACGGTCCGAAATGGACTTCTCAGGGGTTCCGTGGTGCCTCCAGACGTTCCGATAGTACAAGCGGGCAGCTCCGACCGCGTCTATTGTCGTATGGCACTCAGTGAAGTGAGCGCGTTTGCCAAGAGCGTCGACGACTACCATAACCGCGTCATACCCATGGGCCTCGGGGAGCTCGACGATGAAGTCCACAGTGACGGTGTGCCAGCGTTCGGGGGGGACTTCGGTCGGGTGTAGCTCTCCGTGCGGGAGCCTTCGGAGGGCCTTCGTGCGGCAGCACAAGTCGCAGGTCGCGACGTGGCGTCCGATATGGCGGGACATCTGTGGCCACCAGTAGTTGCGCGAAACCAGCTCTAGGGTTTTGAACCGACCGGGCGTGTCCGGCGACTCGCGTGTCGTGGCAGAGCTCGATGATGCGCCTCCTTAGGTCCTTGTCTTTGGGGACTACAACCTTGCCGCGGAAGTACAAGAGATCGCCCGAGACGGCCCACTCGTCCGAACGTGATGAGGGGGGGCCCGAACTTGACCTCGGACCTTCAAGAGTTGCCGGGCCGCAAGCGCGACGGCTCCTCTAGGTCAGGCTCACCGGATAGCGCTTCCTTGATGTCGCGGACAAGTTTGGACCCAGGCCCGGAGACAGTGACGGCCTCAAGCGCACGAATGTGGAAGAGCTCAGGGCGCAAGAGGGTGACGTCCGAGTTGTCTTCGGAGATGCCGTGGTCAGGCCGGGCGGGAGAGAGCGTCGGGGCGGCCTGTAAGGGCAACCCCGGAGGCCTGAGATCAAGGTCCTAGCAGGGGAGGATCCAAAGAGTGAATAGAAGTAAGCAAATACAAGTGAGGCTGACCTAGCAGGGGAGGATCCAAAGAGAAGAAACTCTAAGGGTCCGCCTGCTAGGTAGCGGAACTATATACTGCGCTCTTGACGCGCCAAGGTTGATCGTTGCTCCGTGCAGTATGCCTGCGCCATGTCGCAGGCCAGGTCCCAGGGGATCGCCAGGCGGGGGCGGCGATGCGCCTGGCGGAGGCGGTGATGCGATCGCCGGAGTCGGAACCGGAGTCGGACCGGAATCGGAATCGTCTCCGAGGGGCCGAAAGGGAGGTTCCCCTGACATCACCCCCCCTTTGAATGCGGGCGTCCCCGACGCATAGACCGGAATGGAATCGAGTCGAAGGTTGCAGAGGCGATGTGCCGTGGTTTGCCAGGGTACTTACGATAGAACTCCGCGATTTTCTCCGGGGCGAAGACGCGGTCGAAGCGGACCCACTGGTCATGCGACGCGTCGTAGCCTTTCCATCTGACGGTAATTCAGCCGTTTATACCTCACCCTTGCGTCCAGGATTTCCTCTACTTCCCACTCCGGGACTCCGTCCTCGAGGTCCGGAGGGGGCTGGTCGTAGCCGGGGGTCCCGTCGAAGGGGTCGTCTTGGGCGAGCTCGAGCTTGACGACGGGGAAGACCGGGTGGAGCTTCGAGTAGCGCAGGAGGGAGGTCGAGCTTGTAGGCACCTTTGCTGATCTCCGCGACTATCTTGAATGGTCCGAGGCGGCGGTGGGAGAACTTCTCCGAGGGGCGAGTCGTCCTGATGTCAGAGGCATCCAGCCAAACACGGTTGCCAACCTTAAACTCCGGAGACGGAGTGCGTCTCCGGTCGTAGTAGCGCTTGTACTCCTCTTTGGCCTTAGTGAGCGCGGCCTTGGCTTCGGCAACACCAGTGGCAATCCGGTCGCGGAACTCGTTCACGGACTCCATAGCGGAACGGACTCCGGGTTCAAGCCCATGCGGGGAGTCGTCCCGTGTCCGTCATGAAGGGGACTTGTTGCGTGGAGGAGTGAACGTGGTTGTTGTAGGCGAACTCCGCGGCCGGAATCAGCTCATCCCAGTCGTCCTGCTGATAGTTGGTAAAGATCCGCAGGTACTGCTCCAGCTCCTGGTTGACGCGCTCTGTTTGACCGTCTGTCTGCGGGTGGTACGCGGTGGACGTGGCAGGCTTGATGCCGATTAGACGCCAGAGTTCTCGGGTGAAGTCCGCGATGAACTGCGAGCCGCGGTCGGAGACGTACTTCTCCGGAGTCCCGTGATGGCGCCAGACATTCCGGTAGTAGAGGCGAGCCGCCCCTACTGCGTCGACCGTGGTGTGACACTCCGAGAAGTGGGCACGCTTCCCAAGGGTGTCGACGACGACCATGATCGCGTCGTACCCATGGGCCTCCGGAAGCTCGACGATGAAGTCGACGGAGACGGTATACCAACGCTCTGGGGGCGTTTCCGTCGGGTGCAGCTCTCCGTGGGGCAGTCTCCGGAGTGCTTTGGTGCGACAGCACAAGTCACAGGTCGCGACGTACCGGCCAATATGGCGAGACATCTGAGGCCACCAGTAGTTCCGGGAGACCAACTCCAAGGTCTTGAAGCGACCAGCGTGTCCGGCAACTCGAGTGTCGTGGCAGAGCTCGATGATGCGTCTCCGGAGGTCCTTATCCTTAGGTACGACAATCTTCCCACGAAAGTGAAGAAGACCACCGGAGACAGCCCACTCGTCGGGAGCGCGAGGAGCGGGGGCCTCGAGCTTGACCTTGGACCTTTAGGAGTTGCCGGGCCGCTAGTGCGACGGGCTCCTCTAAGTCAGGCTCACCGGAGAGGGCATCGCGGATGTCGCGAAGGAGTTCAGAACCAGGGCCGGAAACGGAAACGCCTTCGAGAGCGGGACATGGAAGAGTTCGGGCCGCAGAAGGACGACGCCGGAGTTGTCGGAATCGATTCCGTGGTCTGGTCTCCGAGAGAGGGCGTCAGGTCGGCCCATGTCGCGGCCGGGCTTGTGGTGCAGCGTGAAGTCGAACCGGGAGAGGTAGAGGGACCAGCGGGCCTGTCTCCGGTTGAGGTGCTGCGTCTTCCTGAAGTACTCCAGATTCTTATGGTCAGTCCAAATCTCGACGGGATGCGCGGCGCCCTCGAGGAAGTGTCTATACTCCTCGAGTGCGCGGGATGATCGCGAGCATCTCCTTGTCGTGGATTTCGTAGTTGCGCTGGACATCATTTAAGCTTTTGGAATAGAATGCTACAGGGTGCCACTTCCCGTCCGGGGCGGATTGTGAAAGAACCGCCCCCGTCGCATAATCAGAGCTGTCCGCCTCAAGTCGGAAAGGCCGTGCGTCGTCCGGAATCGCCAGGACCGGTTCCGAGGTGACTGCGTCCTTGATCGCTTGGAACGCGGAGGCCTCCGCCGCCCCAAGTCCACTGCTGGTCCTTCTTGGTGAGCACGAAGAGAGGGCGCGCGAGGGTCGAGAAGTCCCGAATGAACCTGCGGTAGAAATTAGCGAACCCAAGGAACTGCTGAATGTCCTTCTTGTTTTCCGGAGTCGGCCAAGCGGAGACGCCTGCGACTTTGACGGGGTCCATTTCGACGTGGTTGTGGGAGATGATGACTCTGAGGTACT